ATTGAATAATAGAAAAACTACAGTAAGAATGTTAGGTGAAGGCAACTCGAACCTTGAGTACCTTGGATTGGCCCTTAAATTTATTTAATTACAATCACTTATTTATCTTTGATTAAAATAAATATTAGAAGCACTTTCAAAACTTGTTTTGTAAGAAAATATTGAAACTTTCCCAAACCTAATGAAGTATGATTTACGGGGAGTTTTCTAACCAGTTCTTAATAATCCCATAAACTGTGACAACCCTTTCATTTCGTCTAACACTCCCAACGTACCTTGAGCATTAGCCAGCGGTATGCTGGAATAAATAATCATAACCAGTTTTGCAGAGTTTCCCAGCTGTACTCAAGGTATTTGCTAACCATTCTCAGACGCCCGCGGCGACAACAACCGACAGTCACTCAGAAGACGCATCTTCTGTAAGTGGAGATCTCGAATCTTTTGTGAGAGGCTGCTAATGAATCTTTACGGAGATCTGTGCAAGTGATTCATGGGTGGCGGCTGTGAAACTGTCACCACATCTGTCACACAAATGCGAGGTGCTAAACGCACCCTAAATCGTATGGTGCTGGCTCTCTAATCGCTTTGTCGTCATCTTCCGAAAAAAAAGCCACACATAATTAGCCATAGCCATTCCATTCATATCAGCAACAGTGGACAAGGGCAATGGGCCAGAAGTTCTTTAATTAAAATCAAGTCGCGATAAGATAGCCGTCTCGAATCCATAGAAGAAGAACAACATTTGATAAAGTCAAACACGAAAATTAAAATGTGTCTTAAGTTGTTAAGATAATGGAAAAGAAAAAAAACCAAGTGAAAATCAATTATAGGTGTCCCTCCTTGAAGTCTGAATGGCTCAACATTGAAATGGATTCGTTATTTTCCATAAATCGTCCAATCACGATTCGCAGATAGTGAAAGTTCTTCCTGCTCTTGGGTTTCACTTTTCTACAATATATGTTTTATAACTTGCGTTAAAATCTCTGTTTGAGAGCACTCCAAGTGAACTCCCAGCGAATGTCGTCAGCCTTTGTTTAATTTATTACGTAGCCTTTAGCTTTTAGTCAGTTTTATAAACAAACTGCGAAATTATCATCGTTGTCGTGTGTGTTTGCGTTGTCTGCCAGTAAATTATTATTATAAGTTGATATTTTTATTATTTTAGCCAGCTTTAAATGGCTTGTGATGCATCATTTGAGCAATGTGAAGGGCTTATGCAATAGTTATAAATATTTTTTACTTGCTTTGCCATTTACGACTTGGCTAATTGAGATTTTAGGGGATTTATGGGCATTTGTAACGGAGTCATTTAGAAGTTTAAGAGCGCATTAACACAAGAGGGTGGACATGGTAAACACGCCTTTAAAACTAATTTGTAGATAAGTAAATACATCAATAGCTGTCATTTTCTTAAGTGTTGACCTATCTTCAGGCCATCGGAAGGAAATCGCTGACGAGTGAATCGGCCAACCCAATAATATCTGATTACAAATCCGTTCCCATGAATTGATATCTTAAATTGCCCACTCCCCGCAGTTCCAACCATCTCGCATGACTCACTTACTTAGCACTCGCTATATGAATTTCCCACCTGAGCAAAGATGAATTTGCATTTAATTTTTCTGGTGATAATCCCAAAATAAACCCCCCGAATGAGGCACTTGGTAAATTAATTTTATCTCATACATTCGGTTGTTTTCTTAGCCAGCTATTTCCTAGCTTATCGGATCCTGAGTTTGCATATCTAGCCAAGATATAATTAAATTCGATTTGAATGTGCGAAAATGTATACAATACACTGAATTTAATTAGAGTTCCCTTGGAAGAATGCCGACCAGACGGCAAAGTTCCCGTTGAGAAAGTTCCCAAATGTTCTATAGTTCTAGGGATTAGGTTATAACGGATATACATATAGAGGTGGGGGAGAAGGGTAGAGAATCCCTAACCGAATCGAAATCAACTACCTGTAAGTGCCTAACGGCTAATTTGCTTTAATGATGAGAAACCGCTTAGGTAAACAAACAGACAACAACAATGGAGGCTGTCTATTGTCCCCATGCGGGTTGTCAAGTGGTTTGGGGCCTAAAGGAGGGGGGGGTAGCTTTGGCCAGCGGGCGATTCCCCAAGCATTGTGAATGATAAAACCTGCGAATATATGTATGTGTACTTCATGCTTGATTGCAAATTCAATTAAAGTTTGCGCAGTTCTCTAAGCCCGAGAAGCGGAGAATCGAGAGAGAGAACTGACAACGGGAAATCGCTTAACAGAGCAAAAAAACCGATTTATGAACTTACGAAAGTTAACAAATTGCATAGTCAAGGTTTTCCATTAGTGAAATACTTAACAAAATATGGATTAGATATTTTCTAATATTTTTTAAGAATTAAGCGAACCACAAAAATCCCTATTTCAAATAATTTGCTAATGATTTAACATGAAATTTTTTACCTAACCAATTTAAAAAAAATTGGTTTTTTAATTAGTACAAATTTCCTACGCCAAAGTACCCCCTGATTAGTTTCCATTATTTACTAGCACCATCTTCAATTACATTTAATTGCAGTTTTATTTATAATTATGTAGCTTATAAGCCACAAACACAATATTATTTGTTTCGTTTAATTTCCGTCTATCAATTTAACGATTTCTTTGTTTGTTGCCTATGATGTTTTGTGACGTTTTTTCCAACTGTCAGTTCCGCTTCCTAATATAAATATTAATCGACTGGCTGAGAGCCATAAACCTACATTCATGCGAGTATGGACAATTATTGTTATTTTTATTATTATTTCGATCTCATCCCATGCAATCCCATCCCAGAAAAACCCCTTCCCCCCTTTCCCCCGAAAACCCACAAATTGTCTTATTGTTGGAGTTTTGAATTGAATTTTTTTTTTGCGCCTCATTGTTTACCTTTGTATTGAATTAAAAATCGCTTACAATGGAAGCTGGCAACTGGCAATTTGGCGGAGGGAAAGTCAAGGTCATCCCCCTTACCCATCCCCCAAAAAACACGAGCTCATCTTATTCCGATAAATTAGGCTCCAAAGGTGCGGAGTGGGGGTGATCGTCCAGAGAAGCAGAGAGCTAATGCCAACACTCATAAATCTTACGATGATTCAACTTTCAGGCAAATCGAAAAAAAAATCCAAAACAAACCGTATAAAAACGAAAAACATATTTAAGTATATAAATAAGAGGCAAACGAATTTCAAGCCGAGGCGGAACACAAACGCTTTTGTAATTTGCAATGCCTGAGACTGCGACTGGAGTTTTTTTTTTACTTTGTTTATTTTATTATCCAAAGTTCAGGGCTTTTTCGGAGTGGGCTGCTGCATTCAGTGCCTGAAATTACGGGCAATTAATACCGGAGCGGTGATTTCAATTGTTAGTGCCGCGATGACGATAAACGATGTGTGCCCCATCACTAATTAGCAAATTAGCAACTCAAAGTGCAACAAGTTGTCAGGAACTTAAAAAACAATTTTTTTTTTCTAACACGAAATCACAATTGATTCTTAATTGGGTATCAATATCTCTTTAAAAGGAAAATTTAATTTGCTAAAAAATTAGAAAAACGTTCAAATATTGGAAATCTTTGCTAATATTTTATTAAAAGTATTATTAAAGTAAGAAGTTATTGAAATCTCTTCCAACTAAAATCCAACCGATTATTAAATTTCTGTTCGAGAAATCTCTTAGAAAACTTCCTTAACTACTTAATTATAAATTCAGTTAAATTAAGCTAGTTCATAAATTAAAGTATTTTAGTAAACTAAAGGTCATGGCTGGTTATTTTTTTATAACAGGGAGTGAACCCTGGACTTCCTAGGACTTCCAAATTTTGGAAGGTTGTTAACGTTACCTCATCAGTTAGGTTTAGGATTCTCATTTTTGATTTTCGAATTTCAAGGGTACAGGAGATCGTCTGAGATTTCGTTATCTTACCCCCAATAATCATAAATTTAATCTTAGAATTATATATTTTACTGAATAGTTTTTCTCTGTGTAGCCTTAAAACATTACCCAACTGAAGTTATTTTCGTTGAATGTTACCAATATATGAGCTATATTCAAAATACTTTTGCTAATGCCCTGTTGCCAAGTTTTCAGGAAAATCACGTTCCTTTCCGGTGCGAATGTGTGTGGGTGCGATAAGCGGGGCGTACTAAATCAATTTTGACCCATGAGCACATGCATGTGGAATTTCCATTTGCCCGTTTGCCAGTTTACCAGTTTCCAGAGCCGAACAGCGACGAAAACAAAACCCAAACTTAAGCACGGCCATAAATGCTATTTGGCTATTTGGCGAGCAATTACACTTATGCCAAGTCAAGTACTTGCCAGATATGCCCATCGAAACGAAACTATCGCCAGGCCAATTGACCAGAAATATATTCCTCTACAAAACCCCAGAAACACGTACTGCGGATCGCCGGCGGTCCGAAGTCTGGACCTCTTGCCCAGGGTCGAAATTTGGGGTCAGTTAATGTGGGTCAGCATATTGTCAATGTCGGTCGTAAAGGGAGTACGCGATAAGGTGGCCAAAAAACTGAATGAACTGGGGAAACATCGTTATCTCTCGGTAGTCGTTGCTCGCCATAAAAATACATTTATATGTGTATCTACTGGACTTGGTTGATTGCTACCCCTAAAGAGAGAAAAAATACAAAAAACTTAGTGACGAACTAAGCGCGATACTGTGACATTTCCATTCCAGTCGCTCATGTATTCGTTTGCCAAGGAACAATAGCTCATTATGAAATCTTGCATTTTATCAGCAAATGTTTCTGCGGCAAATGAGTTCTTTCAAGCTGATTGTGGAACCAAATTGGATTGATTTCTGTAGAGTTTTTGTCGGGTTAACAGAAAATATGGAAATTTGAGAATAAATGTTCTTGAAATCAAGATAAAATTGCTCTTGATTTTGTTTTTTGACATAAAACGATCTTAAATTCTAAAAATCTTTGATATACTTTGATCTAATATTAATTATTATTTTTATTTCCTTTCCAGAATCCAACATGTCCACGCCCACTTCCCCGAAGACGCCCACGCCGCCCACTTTGCCGCCGGGCGTGACAAAAACGTGTCATATAGTCAAAAGGCCTGATTTCGATGGTTATGGCTTTAATCTGCACTCGGAGAAGGTGAAGCCAGGCCAATTCATTGGCAAAGTGGACGCCGATTCCCCGGCGGAGTCGGCTGGCTTGAAGGAGGGCGATCGCATCCTGGAGGTCAACGGCGTGTCCATTGGCAGTGAAACGCACAAGCAAGTGGTGGCCAGGATCAAGGCCATTGCCAACGAAGTCCGCTTGCTCCTCATCGATGTGGATGGCAAGGCCATAGAGGTGAAGCCCGCATCTCCGCCAGCAGCAGCTGCCTGCAATGGCAACGGAAACGGAAGTGCCAGCCCGAACGGATACGAGGGCACCAAACAGGAGATGCCCGGAGCCAGTGCTAATATCAGTAGCATCAGCATGGTGAGCACCAAGCGATCCTCAAACGCCAGCAGCATTCAGAGCGGCAGCACCATGAATGCCTCCGATTTGGATGTGGTCGATAGGGGAGTCCCGGCAGCCCCGGCACCAGTTGCTACTCCACCTCCTCCTTCTGCTACCCTTCAAAATGGAAGTAAACCCTCGTCGCCTATTAACAATAACACTCTGATGAGCACGCCCCCACCGCCCTCAGCCACCAAGGCGGGCATCAATAACAACGGCAGCGTTTACAACACCAATGGCAATGGCACAAATGGCACCGCCACGCCCATCACGCCTCCGCCCCCAGCGAGCGGTGGCAATCGGGCGGGCAGCCTGAATCTTCCACTGACAGCCGCCGAAATGCGAGCCAAGTTGGCCTCCAAGAAGAAGTACGATCCCAAGAACGAGAGCGTGGACCTCAAGAAAAAGTTCGACATCATCCAGAAGCTCTGAGAGAATGGAAACCAACCCAACACCATACTTGTTATAATGTCAGGATGAGGAGGAGCTAGAGCTGGTTTTGTCAGGCATACACACCACACACACAATATACAATATGTTTAGCTATTAGTACGCAGAGTCACTTATTAACTAAGCAAGTTTTAATTTTATTACCCCCTAAGAGAGAAGGAGCGACCCTTTGGAATATCTATATACATGCGACATAAATGTATTCTTCAAATTCTAATATTGCAAACTCCGATTGGCAATGTTGCCCTGGTTCATTGAACAACTTTCGTTGAATATGTACTTAGTTTTGCTTGTATTTTTGTAAAGTAAATAAAGCAAAAACATAAAAGATATACGACTGCGAGTGTTTTTCTATGGGGCAGCTGATCAAACAAAAACGGGAGTCTGACTGAGAAATTATGAGACTAGTAGCTGTGAAAATAAAAGTAAATTGCAAGATAAAAACAAAAAGCTCAAAAATTTAAATTAGTTTTACAATTTAGTAGAACAGATGTTCTAATATTTCAAGCTAACAAGCATTTAAATGAGTAGTTTCTTAGTCTCTACGATATCAAAAATATTTAATTTATTACTAGAAAAACGAACACCTAGTTGGCCCTAAAACAGGCCTCCCCGCAGACTAACAATTAAGATTGCAGCTCCTGACGCTTAAGGTTACAAAGTGCAGCTGCAACCACGAGCATTTCATCAAGATACCCCAGCAACGATTTCTGTTGAATGGCCGAATGACCGAGTATCCGGAATTCCCTAAGGCAATCGATCATATCCCGCATCTGTGCCCTGCAGGCGGGTTCTTGGGCCTTAAACGTGGGCAGTTGGACCGCAGGCGCTCGCCTCGAAGTGAGTGCTCCATCTACAACATTTAGGGATTGCTGGTTGGCCAACTGACCACCCAAACGCTGTGCCTCGAACTTGCTAAGCGCTCGCTTCGGTTCATCATCCTCATCCGCTGAGTCGTCAATCTCCGACCGGCGAGCACGGGGCACAGCTTTTCCCGGTTCCGCACAGAGTGTAAGATATTTGGGGATGACATCTCGAAATTGGCTGGCCTCGAACAACTGCAGATCATCGCAATGGCCCGGAAAAACGCTGGACACATAACTGATTATGCCTGTAAAGCAGGAAAGTTACTTAAAGTTCGCTTAACGAGCCAATCTGCTTACCATTTGTATTGATGCAGAATATGAACTTGTAGGTGTCGCTGCCTAAGCCTAAATCTATGGGTATATCCGTTTCCACACACTCTATTAAAGAGCGAACATGCAGCAGATTGGCCCGGTAGTCCAGTGGCGTGTGCTTGAACCGCTCGTTGTGGTGCCGGGCATCTGGCCAGCGGATTAAGGGTCTAAGGTAACGCGCCAGCTTGATGAGCGTGCGCTTAAACGTATCCTCGGCATCCGATTCACTTAGCTCGAAGTGAGCTGCTAACAGAGCAAAAGGCTCGTTCTGCCGGAGTTTCCTCAGAGTTATGCAACAGTCCAGATGCGCGACATTGGCGCTGCGGCAGATGTGTCGTTTTAGCAGGGACAGATGCTCTGGAGCCACACCCAAGTGAAGGAGTGGTGCCTGTTCCACCAAACTGAGTGTTAGACTCCTCATGCTCCTCTGCGGCGGCTGGGGAAGCTCCCGCTTGATAAAAACCGCTTGTCGCACGGCGGAGGAAACTCTGGAATCAGCTGCCACGGTGGGAGTGGAATTCCTGCTACTACTCGATGTGGATGGCGATGGGGTGACCAAAGCTGTAACCGGTGTCAGAGGAGCACTTTGTGCTGGCCTAGTGGTGGCCTTGATGATTGTGTTCGGCGGCAGGGAGCTGATGGCGACGCCCAGGCTTTGCGAGTCCTTTCTCCCCAGCATCTGCAACTGGCTGCCGGAGGATCCACTGGGACTGGGCTGAATCACATATTTGGGCGTCTTGAGGATGGGATCTAAAAATATGAAACAGTATAAGTTAATGTGTTTTAGGTCTCATGATTTTGTCCCCAATTCTAATCCTGATAATTTGTAATTTTTTATAGTTTCTATATTTTTATTATTTTTAAATTAAAGGCAATATTACTTTTTATAAGATAATTTCTTTAATCTTTAAATAACATAATAAATGTCAATATTACCATACGGTTTTTAAAGCTTAAAAAAGTTGTTTTACTAAAAAAAAATATTTTTTAATTTCTATGTTTATATATGATATTTTTTCCGCTTTTTGCTACTTACATCCCACTGTGCCAGCTGTTGCTGTTGTTGTTGCTGCTCCAGTTGTCGTTAAAGGCAAAGGTGCTGCTCTCTTCATGTTCATTTTGTTGAGCACTATGCCCCCCGAAGTGATCCTCACTGTGGCATTTCCCGGCTCCAATTTTGCGAAAGGTTTCTAAGCCAAAAAATTTAATTTCTTTACCAATTGCGATTTACTTTTCTGTTGTGCTCGGCACTTCTCACATGTTACTCAACAGCTGTTTGCGCATCTCGGCCCCGCCTATCTGGCAACGCCGAATGACAACAAAAAAGGGGGCCGTTGTTTATACATTTTGCAGACTGTTTTATTTTACCTTTATTATTTGCTGGGGATCCTGTGTTTTCGGGCGTAAGACCACGGTGGGTGGTGCGGGCACCAGTACACCGCTGGAATTTCGAAATTTTGCAATTGTCAGCGCCATTAAAGCGGCTTTTTCCTCGAGAGCAAAATTGGACGCTTTAACGTTGCAAAAATATATCTAAGACTGGGCTGCCAGATCGCGGGCAGACCTAACAGTGGTTCGCTAACAGTGGCTCGCTAACAGAGGCCATTTGAGTCGGCGCCAAATTTGAAAGTTGGAGAGCGCCAAAGCTTACACCATTGTAGTGCAATTAGTGGATACTTGATGGGTAATTGCAGTGTCTGACTGATATTTCGAAATGCAGAGCAATTTGGCTACGCGCTACGTTTACTGCCCCCGAAAATGGGGTCATTGCGCACTTGAAGTGCCGTTGTTTATGTTTTTAACTGTCTTTCGTGGGGTATAACTATTGCGATTCAATTGCAAATAGAGCCGATAAATGTGCACAGAGAGAAATCTTAGCCTTAATGAAGAAAAAATCAGAAATAATATTAACAAATTAAAAAAACAAGCCAAAGGATATTGTATTGCATAATTATTTTAAATATTTATATTAAAGCTAATTAAGAAGTCAATAAATCTATAATGTTCATATGTTTTTCTCTCCGTGCAGCCATCAATTTGTTGGCAATCTATGAATTTGTTTTCCCCCTTCATCTTTTCTGCCATTATGACAGCCCACCATAATTGCGAAATGTTGCCAAGTTTCAACGAGTGTTGGCCGATGCTTCCTGCAATTAATTTGGCAGTCCGATGACGCAACGGATCGCTCCTTGCATAATGAACTGGCCGCAAGAATACATAGAGCACACACATTGCACTGACAGTAAGTGGTAACTGGTTTTCTTTCGTTTTCATTTTTATCTTCATTTTCATTTTCCTTTTTCCGCCTTTTCAGCATTACGTGGGGGCTTTGATTTTGGCCATGGCTCGCTGGTCAATTTTCACTTTCACTTCCCCACGAAATTCCCCACCCATTAATTTACGCCTGCTTGTCAGTGTTTCTTTAGCTTATAATTTAAATAGAAATCGTAGGGGTCTAACACAATGATAAAAGTACTAACACATTTGGCTTAAAACTGATGCGGAAACCCGATATTTCGTGGGCTTCCGCCAGATCTCGATGGGAGTAGCAAGTTAGTTTGTCCTCTGACTGCTACTCCCCGCTGGCTCTCCCTCTTCTGCTCTGGCTCCTCTCCAAAGAATTGCGCGAATTCTTTAGACCTTTCATCAACTTCTTCTTCTTCACTTCCTCCCGCTCGTGTCACCCGTTCAACGTCCAGCTCAACGTTGCTGCGTGGATGCATCCGCATCTGGGGCATGCAGATGGACTCGCTGTTAGTGTCTCGCCTGCTGCTCCTCGTAATCCTCATACTCGTACTCCTCCCTGTTCGTCCTCCTTCTTCTTGTGCTCGCTTTCTGTGCGTCTGGCTCTGAATATCCCCGGGCAATCCCTAGTAGTGACCATGGCTGTGGTGGCTATGGTGGCTGTAGTCGTGGTGGTCCTCGTGATGCTCGTGATGCTTGAAGATCGGCACCTCGACGTGGTACTTCTCCGGCACGGGAATCTCCTTGTGGATGGGCACCTTCACCTCGGTGTAGACGGGAATGGGCTTCTCGATGGGCACCTTGACCTCATAGGGCACGGGCTTCTCGACGGTGTAGGGAACCTTCTTCTCGACGGTGTAAGGCTGAGGCACGGGCACCTTCACATGGACTGGGTAGGGTTTCTCCACCTGCGATGGAAATGGGGGAAGGTAGTTGGTAAATGGGGGTTCGGGGATATATATATATATTAAATTCTTTACGATCTCCACTCACCTCAACCTTGTAGGGCTTGTCGACGGGAACCTTGACCTCATAGGGCACCTTCTTCTCCACGACCACGGTGTATGGCTTCTCGACCTCCACATCATAGGGTTTGGGCACTTCCACATCGTATGGCTTCTCCACCTCGTACTTCACCTCGTAGGGCACCTTCTTGATCACCTCGTAGGGCTTGGGAACCGGGACCTCAACCTTAACCTCATGGGGCACCTTCTTGATCACTTCGTAGGGCTGGGGCACTGGGACCTTGACCTCATAGGGGATCTTCTTGATCACTTCGTAGGGCTGGGGCACAGGGACCTTCACCTCGTAGGGCTTGTCGACGGGGATCTTAACCTCGTAGGGGATCTTCTTGATCACCTCATAGGGCTTGGGCACATGGACGGGTACTTTAACGTACTCCTTGACATGGACAGGTACCTTCTTCTCCACGATGTAAGGCTGAGGCACATCCACTTTCACCTCGTAGGGGATCTGTTTTGGATAAAATTTAATTGATGGGTTATTTATTGTTTGGTTTATGATTCGTTATCAAGGATTTTTAATTTAGAATGTGATTTGAGGATTTTTCATATTGGAATTATAAGGGTTTTGTACCTTTTTAAGTAGTTTTTTTGGGAGACTCATTTTTTAATACTTTAACTTTAGTTGTAACATTATATGTCAATATAAAATAGGGATTAATCAAGGAATTGGGGGATATTGGACATGAAATTATGAAAACTTGAATTTTAAGGCTTTTTTATGCTGTAGATCAGTGAATCTCAGTTCGTTTTGGACTCCCAAAGACTCACCTTCTTCTCGACGGTGTAAGGCACGTGCTTGGTGACCGTGTAGTGGACCGGAACCTTCTTCTCGATGGTCACCGTCTTGATGTGCTCGTGGTGGTGCTCGTGGTGGGGCTGGTAGTGGTGGTAGTCGCCCAGGTGGAGGCCCCTCTTCTCCACGGTCTTGCCGTCGCCCTCGGCCTTCTTATCCTCGACTGCTCCGCCCAAATGGGCCAATGCCACGCACACGGCGAGACAAGGAAGTACGAACTGCAATGGAGGACATACGACACGGTTCACACTCGGATTCCAAACACTCTGAACACTTCAGCTGGATCCTAGGATCCGCTCCACTTTCGATGGTCCAATAGATTCGGCTTTACCATTCGCATTGTTGAGCTGCTGATTCGACGTCTCACGGGGGAACAATTACTCCACAATTCGCTGTGCTGCACGGGTAACGAGATCCAAGCTGGGACTGAATCGCTGTGCCGCTGCACTCAGCTTATATACACCGAAAAATTGGACTGTCTTGTCTTTCTATATCTCGCAACGCAAAAGTCGACGGCGCGGCGCATTCGCAACTCTTTTGCCGCCCGTTGTTGTTGTGGATTTTGGCTTAGTAATGAAAAGTCAGTCGGGGGAACGGTGTTATATGAAAACTCGTTTCGATTTCGGTGGAAACCGAAATCCCCAAAAAGAGAGGGGGGATGGATGGTACGCTACCGGAGGCACGACTCCTGCACTCGAGATATTACAACAAGGTAACCGGGTCGTTATCCTACAGACAATAGCTAGGAAGTGGAAATCTGTGGTACACAGACCCACATAGCCGTTTGTCGGTAGCTTTGATTTACAGCTCGGTTTATTCGGTTTATTTGGTATATTGACCGAAAAACTATATCAGGCTTCCGTTTCCATGGGACCCACACACCTGGATATATGATATATTCGATTCGAGAGGCTGGGGATTATGCAAATGCCCGCGGCTATTGACTTCATCGCGTTGCAAACCCAACAGGCCGAAACCCAATAGCCAAAGCATAAACCCAGTGTGGTAAGTGGCAGAAACAATAAGAAGGTTAAACTAAGCACAATGCATTCGGATATTCGATATATTTTACATATGCGTATTTCATAGCGGCTTATAGAGTTTTATGGGGTCATCCAAAGCATCTCGGCTTGGTGACGGGAGCCTCAAAAGATGTACACCGCCAAAAAATCAGTCATCTTTATCGCCGTCGGTCTTCTATGTGAAGATCTTCTCGGGTCTTTGAGTGTAGAATTAAGTATACATAAGTGAATTTCAGAATTTTAATTAATCTTAAGAAGTAGCAATGAGAACTAATGATATGGTTTAACAGCACTTACCAACATTCAAAGAATTAAGTTAATAACAGTGCTTTAACCTCAACATTCACCACGAATTTCGGAGGAAAATCGAAAGGAAATGTGGTATTTAAGAAGTATGGGAAAAAAATCATCTAAGATTATTCTAGGTAAAAGGTTATTAGTTTAGTTTATGCATTCAAGCAAGAAAATCTATTAGGGTGTTCAATTGCGTTGCAAACGTTGTAAAGTGTAAAAGTGTAAGGCAGTTCCAACAACAATTTCTATACAAAAAAATTTTTAAAAGTAATTGTTAATTAAACACCCTATATGTGTTCTGTCTTTAAAATTGGAGGAATTTAAATTTAATTGTTCCACATGGATCACTTTCTTTCTCCCAGTGCCTTTTGTGGTACACTTTTTGGGCATCATTGGAGTAGCATTGGGTCAATGGGTTTTTGGAGATAGGATACATATAGATAGGAGGTCCGAAACAGAAACCAAGCGAAACCCCTGACACACGGCTGGCACAACTGGCAATTTTGTGGGCTCCCTGGCTACCGATCGTGATTGCTACCCCCTAAAGCCGCCTGTGGGAGCCCGCGGCGTGACTGGGATACATAGATATATCTATACATACGGTGGATATGCCATCATGTATCTCTTGGATAGCCGTATTCGCGAGTGCGCATTATGTGATGTATGACTGACTGACTAGCTGCCTGGCTGCCTGGAATTTTGTGCAATCACTCGCAGTCATTAAATTGAAAACATACTTAGCTTCGAGTCGGCTATTTTAAAATCCATCGTGTGGCAATACCAACAATTCGACTAAACACAGTCGACTAAAACAAAAGCCGAGATATGTACAATTTTCTTTTTTACCATTTTTTCGCAAATCCCCAAGCCTAAGCTCCAAAAAAGGCGAAAAAAAGACAGACGCGGAAGACAGGCCATAGCATTTACATGCCCATTCTATTTCATAATCAAATTTAGGCTCCGATTTTTTGTACCCGCTAATTGCCCATTGTCCAGTTTTTCCACTACAGTTTTCCTCCCCTCCGTAGCTTTTGGCCCACTTTGCCATTGCAATTCTCCGCAGCGATTAACGGCTCTTTCTGTCTGATTAACGGGTTCGCGCAGTGTCCCTCTCGCTCTCGCTCACCAGGCCACCTCTCTCTTTCCCGCGCACTGCAATTTGGTCAACGACCTTCACTTGTTTTTAGCTTCGCCCCTGCGCTCTCCTCTTCTCTTCTTGCAACTCCCAAATCTTCAGAAATCTTCGCAGCGTTCGCTTTATCTCCGAAAGAAGGGTAAAATGTAATGGCAACCTTGACCCAATCATTATTCCATTTCCATTCAATCATTGTTTCTCTTGTTATCTTGACTTGTAAGACGGGGGATTTACTACTGACCACTGACCACTGGAGACTGTGCGTGCGGGGTGTGATTAGATTTTAAATGGCCATAATTGGACAGTCTCGCAAGCCGCCAATGTGAAAGTAAATCTCTCAATTCGATTGTTATGCAACGTGCTTCCTTTAACCCATTTTACAGTGGTGCTATATTACTAATTACTACTCATAAAAGACACCTGAAATTAAAACACTTTAATCTATATAAATATAATTAAACTAGAGATAAAACATTTACATGGTAGTTGGAGGAGTAAAACAAGTAATAAAAAGGCCATATATGCTGTCTGTGGTTTGAAAATCTGTAAATAAACCGGGTCCTTGAAGTAGTCCAGCATTTAACTGGTTGTTTGACTTATATAACCATTTAAAGGCTTAATGGCAATCATGTCAATATGGACTTTAAAGCGGGAAATGCAAGAAACTTGATTGATATAGTATAAACGGGTATATCTTTATCTATTTAAAAAATATTATGGAAATGTTTTTAAAATATGTTCCTTTACTGCATTTTATTAAATTTCTTTTTTAAATATTTAATTTTAAATTTAAATAATGTAAAAAGTAACAGCAAAAGGGTTGCCAGACTTACAAATATAGTTACCGTAATAAAGGCGCTGCCAACTCAAGTTAATTAAAATGGCATTAATACCTTCTGTGGTAGACAATCTGGCAACTCAGCTTATCGATAGGCCTAGAGATGTCACTTTATCCGCAAGTCATTTCAGCGTCAAGTCATCCGGCATTTGTTTGCGATTTTTTAAAAGAAAACTAAGGAAAAGTAAGCTCTTTTTGAGTTGTTATAACAAAACAGACTTGTTTAGTAACTACGTAAATTACAGCCCAGCATGTTTCTCACCCGTTCCGAGTACGACAGAGGCGTGAACACCTTCTCGCCGGAGGGCCGTCTCTTCCAGGTGGAATATGCCATTGAGGCGATTAAGTTGGGCTCCACAGCGATTGGAATTTGCACGCCAGAGGGTGAGTTTTAAAGGGTTATTAAACTGGTAAAAGATGAATTTCAATATAAACCCCTTTCCACAGGCGTTGTTCTGGCCGTGGAGAAGCGCATCACATCGCCGCTGATGGTCTCTAGTACGGTGGAGAAGATCGTGGAGGTGGACAAGCACATTGGATGCGCCACCTCGGGTTTGATGGCCGATGCCAGGACTCTGATTGAGCGTGCCCGCGTGGAGTGCCAGAATCATTGGTTCGTCTACAACGAGCGCATGTCCATCGAGTCCTGCGCCCAGGCGGTTTCCACTTTGGCCATTCAGTTTGGCGATAGCGGCGATAGCGACGGAGCCTCTGCCATGAGTCGTCCCTTTGGCGTGGCCATCCTGTTCGCGGGCATCGAGGCCGGGAAGCCACAGCTCTGGCACATGGATCCCTCGGGAACCTTTGTGCGCCACGAGGCCAAGGCCATTGGCTCGGGCAGCGAGGGAGCCCAGCAGAATCTGCAGGACAACTTCACCAACACGATGACCCTCAACGACGCCATCGAACTTTCGCTGAATACTCTGAAGCAGGTCATGGAGGAGAAGCTGAACTCCACCAATGTGGAGGTCATGACCATGACCAAGGACAAGGAGTTCTACATGTTCACCAAGCAGGAGGTGGAGCAGCACATCGCCAACATTGCGTAAGCAATCCGAGGGCTTAAATTTGGTTTAACTTGAAATGTAATGTGAATAAATGGATTCTAAATCGATCTGATAGAGGGTAATACTCGGATTTTTTATGGCAATGGGTTCTTGAAATAGAGAGAATGATAAAAGGATATAAATCTGGATTTTATATATAAATTATACGGTAATATTCACTTAATATAGAGAAGGATACATTTGAATAGATTCTAAATCGATCTGATAGAGGGTAATACTCGGTTTTTCCATGGCGGAGGGTTCTTGAGATTCATTTAAATTTTATTTCTGCCCATAAACAATCTAAAGTCATTTTATATTAACATAGAGAAAGCTAATGATTAACGTAATACATAAAAAATCCTGATTTAATCTATAAATTATAGAAATTTAAAAACATCCATTAATATAGAAAATAATAAAAGGATATTGTATTTTATATCAAATCTTGTTTTGATCTATAAATTATAGAAATTCCATTGTTCTTTGATAGTTTACAACTAGGTTTTAATAGGGATAATGGGATAACTTCTGGCTTTTCTCAAACAATTTAAACTCTAGAGATCAAAAAAGACAGTTCTTAATAAATAAAACTCTGTTTTCAAAGCATATGAAATCTATATTACAAATCTAGTAATATTTAAACTATCTTAAGTGCATTTTACAACAAAATACCATCGGATCCAGAACCCTTTTCCCCCCTCAAAAACTCCTCCTTTTCATTATATACAGTTGACTTTATTCGTATGCATGTATATTTCGTGTAATTGTGTATATATATATTTTATTATTCGCTACAACATTTGTGGCTCCATTGGCGTCGCTGGAAACCGCTACGATAATATCTCGTTTCGCACAATCTATGTAATATGGTACATGCACTCTAGACACAAACAGTTGAGCAAATCAAACAGCTCGGATTAACTTGGTTAATCGCGTACAAAGGCAAATCATAAATCGATGCGCGCACAGACTTTCTAAGTTTACTTCTCTTTTTGCTATATAATCCATTGTTTTGTGATAGATACATGTGTGTAGAACATTTTGCCTAGAACCGAAATACAATGCAAATAAGGCAGATTAACATTTACAATCTAAGTGGGGGGATTGGGATTTCGGATTGCGAATTGCAGGTAATGCGTGTGAAGACAGGGAAGACGATCAAAATGAACAAGTTGTATAAACCTATAGAATATCGCTATATAATATATATATCTCTATATATGCGTGTGTATAAATACATAAGTAAACGGGGGCTAATCCCCGCGAGCATTCACAATAGTTTTCATCACACAACTAGATTTTTAGATTTAAGTTTCTAGGTCTGATGTTGGTGTTCGCTGCCACTGGGACTGCTGTTGGTGTTGTTGTTGGTGTTGTTATTATTGTTGTTGTTGCTGGTGGTGGAGGTGGTGGCGCCTCCTCCGCTGCTGCTGGGCTGCCGCATCATTAAACGCGACAAGCTGTTGTCGCTGAGCGAATAGATTTCCGGCTCGAAAACAGGCGGACACTTCATGTTGGGATAATCCGGCGTGGCTGCCTTGGAGTCCACTGAACCCGAGCTGGAGACCTTCGGAGTGGCTGCTCCACTCTCCGTTGATGTCGCAGCTTCCGCTGGAGGTTCCTCCTCCCTTTGCCTGTTAGCCATCACCGGAGGCGGCGGAGCTGGCGGCAAAGGCGGCTGCAGTCCCTCCGATGAGCAGAGATTCGTGGTCGAAGTGGTCACTATGCCGGGACCCCGGTAGCTGCGATAGCCCGCCTGATTCTGCGTGGGCAAAGTGATCTGGCTGAAGATCTCCTGATCGCCATCCGGATCCGCGCTGCTCGGGGGAGTAACTAACTGCTGCTGCTGCTGCTGATGATGATGATGACCGAAAAGCGTGCGATGCAGCAGTGGGGAACCCAGGAATCGATTCTCCTTGGAGGGCTTCGCCGGCGTTCCACTCGAAATCGAGAGCTTCGAAAGGATTGCTATAGGAGCCGAGTTCTTGCGATGCGCATCGTACTTGGTGCCCACAATCTTGTCGCGCAAATCCTGATTGTACGTCTGGCTCTTCTTGATGCTGCTGCCGGGGTTTATGATGGCCATTCCATTGCCTCCTCCGCCTCCATCTAATGCGTGATTTGATTTGGATTTCTTGTTCAGCGGCAGCGTCATGGTCATTGCACTGCCCGAGGAGCCCGTCGAGTGTTTGGAGAAGGGAAACCTCCGATCGCTGCTCGACTTTCCTTTCGACTTCTTCTGATCTGCCCCTGAACCGGAGCTGGTTTTGTGCAGGAAGCTGGAGAGCTGCAGCTGCTGGGAGCGCAGAAAGTGCTTCGTCTTGCTGGGCTGCTGCTGTTGCAACTGCTGATGTTGCTGTTGCAAATGCTGATGATGCTGCAAATGCTGCTGCAACTGCTGCTGCTGATGATGGCTACTCGATGATGATGGCGGCTCATCGCCGCTAATCAGCTCGTAGCCAAAGTCGCGCAGCTTCTGACCCTCCTTGGTTCGCGTCCGCTTGATGCTCTCATCGTCCGGCTTGAAGCTAATCTCGTAGTCCGGCGTCTTGGGCAGACTAACGCTCTGTATTTTGGGCAGCTTCTCCAGCGGCTTCACCAAGCTGCTGCTCAGGGAGCTCTGCTGACTGGCCGTCGACTCCGTTCTCGCATGCTTGTGCTTCTCCACGCCCAAGTGCACCCGATTGTTGTACATCTCCTGGGCTTCCTCCTCCTGTTTGCGCAGCATCAGATCCTTGAGCGTCACAAAGCCTTGGGTATTGTGGCCATGATCCAACGTGCTGCCCACCGACATCTTGGGCAGCAGGGTTTTCGAGGTGTGGAAATCGAATTCCACCAAATTCGGATTCGAGGCGTGCAGAAAGTTGAACGGCGCCTTCTTCAGACTCGACTTGCTGCTGGGACTCTGGCTGGGACTCTCCTCGGTGCTGCTGCTCTGCTGCTGCTGCAGGGAAGTCGTTGTGGGCGTGGTGGGCGCCGGCGAGGTGGGCGGACCCAGAATGGAGGCGGCCGACTCTGTGCCGCTGACCACCGAACTGCGGCTTGAACTGCGGGATAGTTTGGGCCCTAGCAGAGGTGGTATCTGCGTGGGCGGCATGGCTGGGTCATGGTAGCCCGGGGTATTGGCTCCTATCTGAATGCCAAAGCTTCCACCGGGCACTTTCCTATAGCTACGATACTGCTCCGTGGGCACGGGAATATCGCTCGAGGGTTTGGCCGCACTGCTCTTAAAAGTGTTCGTAAACTTCCTAAACGAATCCAGGTAGCCGCGTTCATGTTTTATAGGCGCTGAAGAGGGAGGAGTGCCACCCGAGAGCACCATTGACATGGACACCGCCTCCTTGTTGCCCTGCGGCGAGGGAGTGCTCAGGTTCTGGGTGACGAGCGCATCGTTTTCCTCGCCGGAGCTATCGTTTTCGGAATACAGATCCTTAAGATCGCCACCGCTTTTGGAAGCCGAATTAGGTGGCACTTTGAGCGACGCCTGGCGCAAAAAGTCCACCCACTGATTAAGCGCATTCAACGACTCTGCCGCAAAGTAGAAGCTCTTCGCTGTATGGTAAACTTTAAAAGCATGCGGCTTGGAGTGCACTTCCTTGGCCAGGGAAACTGTGAATCCCGGCAAAAAGATCACCAGGCTGGCACTCGTACTCTGCTTGCTGCGAAATCCGTAGAGAATGGTGTCCAGCATCACGAAATATATCTTGGCCCAGTAGGTCACCCCGCGATGGTTCTTTTTGCGGCGGTATAGGTGACCCTGAATGTCTCCCGTGGGCAGCAGCTTGAGGTTCGTATTCCGCCGCTTGGCCATTAGCGAGTGCTTCTTTTTCAGGGTCAGCGTTCTCGATTTGCTGGGCGTGTGCAGCTCACTAATCTCTGAGGAGTCAGCCGATGGTACGGGAATGGAAATGCTGGTTGTGCTAGAAGCTGGCTGCATGCTAGCGGGTTTCGGTGGCGGTGGCGGCACCATTTCCCTTGGTTTCCTGGGTCGCGGTGGCGGTGCCGGCGGCGTGACAAGCAGAAACTCCTTTCTGGGCTCAATTGCAGGCGGCGTATCCGATTCCTCGCCTGAATTATCATAGGCTGGAGTACTGTGACTCTTGTCCAAGCGGCCCCTTCGATTCAGGAGCGGCATATTAACCGCCTCCGCCAGGGGCAAATCCTGACCTTTGCTGGCCTGATTAATGGCCTCTAGGAGTTCCTCCGCATTCTCCGTCTTGCAGTTGCGCAGCGTTTCCAGCGCATCCTCGTCGCCCTCGTCCGCAAAGGGAATCGGCTCGAAGGTCTCCAGTATGGTGTTCTCCACATTGCAGATGAACTTTTCGTTCTTCATCACATAATCCTCCTTGGCATCGAATCTTACTACTTTGCTGACGCCGGGCTTGTAGCGATCCACGAGGAATTCGCGCTGCGAGTCCTCCGTCAGTTGTTTTAGCTTCCGCACCTCATGGAACATCCGCTTTCCCCTGTCCGTCGACGTATCGCCGGTGATTCCAATGCAAGTGGTGGGTCGCGGGGCAATTTCCAGGCCATAACCAAAGGATATCGACTTGTCGCGAATGCTGGGTGAGCTGGGATCGCAATTGGCGGGCGAGCCAACGCCTGGCTTTCGTTCGTGCCATGAGGGAACCACCAAATCCGAGTGTTTCAGGCTCAGAAACTCATCCCCACAAATGGTGTTTCTCCGCTGCAGCAGAGCCCTTGGTTTGGGGTAGTACAAACGTATCTCACGGGCTGCCAGCTTGGGATCCGTGGGCGTGGGAATATCACTGCAGCTGGAATCGGAATCGGAAGCCGAGGAAACTGGGTTTGTCACCTTGGTCAGCTCACGCTTCTCGCTGCTTAGGGATTTGCTGGGATTCGTCGGTACGCTTCCCATTCCACCCGTTGCCATTGGATCGGTATCCAAAGTGAGGAAAGCAGTCCTGGGACTCGGCATCTGCTCTGCCCAGCGGTTGGCCATGTTCCTCTTTTTGCTGGGCAACCTGTAAGGCTGCATGTAGATCTGGCCAAACATCTTCGTATGCTTCGGTCGCTTTTTCACCGTAAGCACCACATCGGGCAGCGCTTCCCTCAGATGCTCCAGCACCGTGCGATGCTGCCAGCCCACCACAGTTTGATAATTGATCTGCACAATCTCATCGCCATCTTCGATCTTTCCCGAATTGTGAGCAGGTGAATTGTACTTGATGTCCGTGACGCGGTGAATACCATTATAGCTGGATTCTATGTTGAAACCCAGCTCGGATTCGCGCTTCTTTAGCGTCACCAGGTTCAAGGAGGCGGGCTGCAGGACCATGGGATCGGAAATGTCCTGGATGACGAAATTGGCCAGATTTTCCAGTCGCTCCGCCGACTGACGAATCGCCGGCACCGGCTGCAGGGCGAACCTATCGCGATGCGCTATGGTGGCCAGCTCCAGGCCGCATTTGAGCACATTGCCGCAGTATTCGCGGTACATTTCCTGTTTGCGAAAGGGCGTTCGTTCCAGGCTGCCCACCAGCGGTTTTAGCGTAGCTATCGTTCGGGTGATATCGTGCAGTATCCGCGTATCGATCTTGGTGCTCTCCGCATGATTCCTGGCCAGCTCGCGATGCAGATTGCCCGCTGCAGTGGCCACATGCAAAGCCATGAACTGTAGATTGTCGTTTTTCAGGTGATAGTGCTGGAAGATTACAGGGATTAGGGGGTTTGTTAGGTTGTTTAGGGGTTTATAAGTATAGAGGGTACTCACAAAGTTCCTCAGGTTCTCCACCGCCTCCAGCACGATCTCCTGATGGCCAATGCGCAGCATGCCCAGATTCTCCAGCTCGTAGGGTCGAATATTAAGCAGGGCCCGACCGCCGATCTCCTGCTTGGAGAACTCGTACAAATACCCCTTCATGGACTCATCCAGACCTGGGAAAACATAATTATACTGTTAAAACCTCGAACAAAGCGGAATTTCTTGTTGCACTATCTCTGCAGTTGTTGTTGCTGCTTTTTGGGGCAGTGGCTGCGAGATGCACTTTTTTCTTTTTCCTCTTTCCCAGCTGCGTTTTCCTTGACCTCGAATTTTAGTTACCTCTGATCCAGTCGGTGACCTGGTCGGGCGTCCACTCGGCGATGTTGATGTAGGCCATCGCGCTGCTGCTGCTCACGATCCGCTGGGCCCCACCTACGGCATATTATCAATTGCGAGCTGAAAAACACTCGACCAAGTTCGGAGATATTGGATATTGTTGCGTCTCTCTGGTCCGTCGACTAGGGATGGGAGCCAGGAGGCGATGATTGTTCGATATTTACAGACGGTCACTCTGGAAGGGCAGGAGTTTGTACTCGCTGACTTAGCGGAGACATCCTCCTGATATGTCACCATATCCGATTATGATATCGAGTATTAAGGGTATTCACCACATTTTTGAATTGCCGATCAGATAAAATAAGCGTGCAAATATTACCTTTTGTACATTTGTCGATATTAATACTTGCATTTGAATCCAAGCAGTGTATTTTAAAATCCTTGGTAAATTAATAACTCCTTTCCTGGCTTGAACTCGAACTAACTGGAAATTCAGCTTAGAGCTCGATATGCATATCTTCTTATCATCTTCTTATTTGGCCAAAATACTTAAGTTTTTAAGACCACTGATATCGTTCGGCAAAGAATACTCTTCGTCGAGGCGCTTTCTAACTTTTTGAATAAATTTATATATTTTATTTTACTGTAACGACAGAATCTCCTTAGCCCGCCCAACTCTTAGTTATTGACATTCGGGACATTCGATAAATCAAAGCTGCGTTTCGCAACACTGGCGCAGACCCCAATCGAACAGCTGAGCGCCTTGCGAATCGAATTGAATTGGCCCCAAAACATACGAATAAATGCCTCAATGACAGCATCAAATGAAGATAAACAATCAAATTAGCGTTCCACCGCCCCAATGAATTTCCCCCAGCTGACAATTAGCCGCCTAGGCGACCACTTACACCCGGGCATCCATACATATACATACGGGTTCCCCAGCGCGCACGTTTTTCAACGCAATGCTTTTAGAAACCGAATCAGTCACTTGCTGGGAGAGGGAGAGGCACGACGAAATAAATCACCGCGTGTTTTTTTCTAATCGCTGCAACTGGCTGCTGCTGCTGCTGCAATCTCAATTCTGGCAATGTCTGTGAAGCAAATCAAGTTCTACAACCCATCGAGTTCCGCCAGCTCCGACAGGTAACGAACGACTTTTTAATGCCGCGTTAATTCACGCACGGCCGAAAGTAATGTGTGAAAATCCAACAAAAGTCATTAGAATGTGATACGCACATACATACCGTATGTATGTATATAAGCGGGCATGTGCTCCAAGCCATTCATCATATGTGCGTACATATGTACATCGTGGGGCCCCTAAACACGCAATATAAATAAATGCTGGGAAAATGGCATAGGGCCTCCCACCGGGAAAGTGAGAAGGTGGTTCTTTGTGTGCTGAAAATCCTGTTCCTTTTAGCAGAAAGTGTTGGAAATCCTGTTTCTTTCAGCAGGCGACGGTGTAGGGAAAATGTAAATTCCCTAGGAAAACCACATAGAAACCTCATTTCCCCCTTACTTTTTGTGTCACCCCCGTGTATTTTGAAACCAGAGACGGAAGAAATGTAAGGGGTGAATGAGGTTTTGTCCCTTCCGCTTGTATGGAGAAACCTCTTGAAAATATGTTATTTTCCAGAGGAATGTTCCCGCTGGGCTCCCACCGGGAAAGTGAGAAGGTGGTTCTTTGTGTGCTGAAAATCCTGTTCCTTTTAGCAGAAAGTGTTGGAAATCCTGTTTCTTTCAGCAGGCGACGGTGTAGGGAAAATGTAAATTCCCTAGGAAAACCACATAGAAACCTCATTTCCCCCTTACTTTTTGTGTCACCCCCGTGTATTTTGAAACCAGAGACGGAAGAAATGTAAGGGGTGAATGAGGTTTTGTCCCTTCCGCTTGTATGGAGAAACCTCTTGAAAATATGTTATTTTCCAGAGGAATGTTCCCGCTGGGCTGCGTTCGCAAAACACCAATACACGCACGCATGGCATGTGATAAATTCAATTTCGATATAGTCGCCGGTTGCATCGGATCGGAGGAGTGAGCGAGAGGGACTGACGAGGGGAGCGGGGGGAGAGAGCGAGAAAGCGAAGCGAACCCCCTGCGAGAACAGTTACGAGCTAGAGATGGGCGCGTGAGCAGGATGTGATTAACGGTTGCACTTGCAGTTAATATGATTTGTGGATTTTAAATTCTATCGCCCACTTACATAAATTATTTTTGACTTCAAAATTAAATTAAATAAAATATAAAAAAAAACAATTTATTTACTAAAGTTCTTCAGTAATTTTTTGCTATAAAAAGCAGTATAATAATTTACAAACACTTCGTGTCACGCGCCCACCTCTAGCCGAAGGCAGGCGACAACAACAAAGCGGAGACGACGCCGGCAGAGGCAACGGCAACGGCAGCGCAGCTTTTTAACCTTAGCTGCTTTAACACTTTTTTATGCCATTCAATCGCCAAACGCCGCTCACCTCACACTTACACTTCCACCTCCGCCGCTTATTTTGCTTTTATTAGTTATCGAATGAATGCCGGGCCACAACGCAAAAGGTGAACACCGCTGCGTAAGGAAAATAAAAGCTCCAAATCACATGTGATCCATCCACGCCGCCGGCGATTCGCGTGAGCGTCTGTGATTGTGATTGTGAGTGAGTGACCCATTTTGGCCATCGCCTCGCCGGTTCTGCGTTCTGTGTTCTTCTGCTGCTGAATATTCTCACGCCCACGCCGACGGACAGAGAGATCCCACGAAATCACTGCCAGACCGGGCTAAAAATGAGCAGCATCACGTTTTTGTGCAGCAAGTCGGCCCACAACAACAACAACAATAATAATAACAAGAGCAGCAACGATGTGCCAAAAGCGACCGCAGCATTTGCAGCCGCATCCGCCGGTTTACTAACCATCGCCGCCCACCAACAGCAGCAACAACAACCACATCAGCAGTCAAAGGTTAAGGCTATAGCAGCCAAAACCAATGGTCACATGTAATTCATTGCATTTTCCCCCATTTTTAACGTAAAAAACCAATCGAATTCCCATTATATATGTGCATACATTCATTTGTGCATGAGTATATATGTATGTATATATCTGTCGGTGTGTATTTGAGTGCCCTTTGTTGTTTTTGTTGTCTCATTTACCGCCATTCTAATTGTTTTGGCGTTGCGCTTGTTTGTCCAGCACTCTCGTTTCGCCCCGTCTCTGTCTATCTATCTGTTTTCCAGTGTTTAATTAACGCTAGCGTTTTGTGTTTAACATTGTTTATCGAGTCTGCGGTTCGGCAAATAACAACAAATGACGAAAAGACGATAGCGTCAGCAAGTGCGCTCTCGATTCTCCAACATGGCTGCGATCGCAAAACAGAAGCCACGTCTATCGGTTTTCGCCAACTCCCGAGTTCTCTTGGCTCCCCCTCCCCCCTGCACATCCTGTCCTGCATCCTCCATCGCCTCTCACCCGGAGTCCTGCTGCCGTCCTTGTCCCACCCGCCTGGAGCGGCATAACCTGTTGTTAGATTTCTCGGGAAGAGCACAGCACACGTGGCAAACGCTGCGCTCTCCCACTCCTCTCCTCACCTCTCCTCTCTCATCATGCGGTGCAAAAACTATAAATATGCTGAGGAATCTCGCCTCTGGCGTCACCAGATTATTGGCCCTGCACAGAGAGAAAAACCGGCTTGAATGAATAATTTCCGACCTGCTTTTGACTAACATGCGATTTATTTCAGTAGCGAAAAATAAAATAATTAGCACAATTAAGCAGATAAAAAAATCTTTAAAGTGAACTTAATATTAGGGAATTTTTTTACCCTTATAAAATTTAAAATCTTAAGGCCTAAACAAAATATATTATTTAAATTTATTTATTTTAGTAAAATAGTAAATTTATTAACTCAATCTTAATATCATGCAGATAAAAAATCTTAAAAAAGTTGATAAGATCACATACATTTTTTTCTTCCCGTGTGCTGTATTTCTTTTTGGCACAGTAATAAAGAGCAGAAGATACAGCGAAAGGTGGAAAAAGAGAGAGAGAGGAGAGAGTGCAACGAACGCGCCTACGCAGCATGGCATCCAAAAGATGGACCGTCTAGCAGGCTTTGTCTGCCTGCCCCTGTGTACTCATCTTTTACTTGCTTACTTCTTCCCAGAAATGTATATCGAGTGTGTTTCTTTATGTATTTGGCACAAGTAGTAGTCTGCATTACTTTAATGGCCAAATACGGCCGGATTCGGTTCCTCCCGAATCGTGGGGTCACGTCAGCATTATGCAGTGCACATGGCGGAAATACCCCACCATAATATAATGCTATATGCAAAAATTTATGATATGGCACATTAATGAATGTAGGGTGTGTCAGTAATCTGAACAAAAATGTATACATTTCATCTGTATCATTATTTTCCATACCTTATTTTTGACCTACTTAAGGGAAATACCTTAAATTTATTGTTTAAAGTATTAACCATTTACTTATTTAACCATACAAAACTTGATTCACCCTGTTGCTCATATTGTATTTCATACAAGATCGCAAAATTACCATAAAAAATCCAATACTTTCTCCAGACCTACATTTTTAATTAAAAGACCATAATAATAAACCATTATCTGTTCTCATTCGATGCCATAAGAATTAAGCTTATAATACCAGCAATGTTATCTTCTATCCCATTCAATTAAGGCCTCAAGTAACTGGGATATTTATAGAACATATTGAACAGTAGATTAATTTTACGTAGGCGATACGTCTGGTCTCATGCGCTTGTGTGGGAGTAAATAAACGTAGAGAAAGGGGAGGGGGCCTTTAAAGTAGAGTAGGTCAGTGAGTATAACGCATCCTTGAACTCTCCGCGCACAGCTTGCATTGCCATACCTACCTACCCTGTAGTAATTTCACTAACAAAATTGGTAATCTATACTTCTGTACCCGTAAAATACTTAAAATTATTGTGAAATTAATCAGTGGTCGTGGTTGGTGATAAAAATCCTTATCGTGGCTAATCACTGAATTCCACTTAATTTATTCGTACTCAACGTCATCGTTATATGGTGGGAGTTAAGAATTCGGTAAGCGTTAACTAATCTGTGTATATATACTATTTGCAGCGATGACCGTTCGGATGTCACTGAGCAACTCTACGTGGATCCATATGCCGACCTGGGCAATGGCCTTCCCGGGGATCTCAACTGCTGCCCAGCCTCGCCCACTACAGTGCCTGCAAAAGCATCCTTGGAATCGCCTCTGAAACGTTCCGGCCGGAGGCAGCGAACCACATCCATTGGCAACCAGACCACCACCGCGAATCCGTCCGAATGCATCATACGCGCCAATAATCGCACGATCTACACGGCCGGACGTCCGCCGTGGTACAATTGTGCCGGCCAGCAGGTTGAACCCTTCGTCATAGGTTAATATTCAAGTTACGCATACGTTTCCAATTTCTAATATCTTTAATGTCCTTTAGGAATCTGCGGAGGAAGTGCCTCTGGCAAGACCACAGTGGCTGAGAAGATCATAGAGAGCCTGGACGTTCCCTGGGTGACACTCTTATCCATGGACTGTTTCTACAAGGTGAGAGAAAATAATCATCAGCTAATTAAGTACCCTTAGTAACTTTCCCTTTTATCCCGTAGATCCTAAATGAGAAACAGCATGAACAGGCCCTGATCAACGAGTACAACTTTGATCACCCGGATGCCTTTGACATCGAGCTGCTGCTGGATGTGCTCACCAAACTGAAGGAGGGCCGCAAGGTCGAAGTTCCCGTCTACAATTTTGTGACACATGGCCGCGAGAGCCAAACGAAAACGATGTACGGCGCGAATGTGATCATCTTCGAAGGCATTCTTACCTTCCACAGCCCAGAGGTACTTAAACTGCTGGATATGAAGATCTTTGTGGACACAGATCCCGATATTCGCCTGGCCAGGCGGCTAAAAAGGTGTGTGGGGGCTCTCGACTTTCCCCGACTGGATTATAAAATGAATTTTACATTTCAGGGACATCTCACAGCGCGGACGCGACCTGAAGGGCGTGCTGAAGCAATACCTGAATATGGTGAAGCCCTCTTACTGCAATTACATAGCTCCAACAATGGCCCATGCGGATATCATTGTGCCGCGTGGCGGCGAGAACAAGGTGGCCATCCATCTCATCGTCCAGCACGTGCACACACAACTCCAGCTGGTGAGGATTTTTAATAAGTAACCTATATTAACCTTGCTAATCTCTTTCTGCTTCTTCCAGCGTGGTTTCAAGCTGCGCGAAACTCTGGCCAATTCCTACAAGGACCAGCCCATGCCACATTCTCTGCACCTGCTGCATCCCACGCCCCAAATCAAGGGCCTGCACACGTTCATCCGCTGCCGAAATACGTCCCGCGATGAGTTCATCTTTTACTCGAAGCGCCTCATTCGGCTGGTCATCGAGTATGCCCTCAGTCTGTTTCCCTTCAAGAAGACCACGGTGGAGACGCCACAGGGCGTTCTGTACGAGGGCAAACGCATGGAATCGCGCAAAATCTGCGGCGTCTCCATTCTGCGAGCCGGTGAAACCATGGAGCAGGCCGTGTGCGATGTGTGCAAGGACATTCGCATCGGGAAAATCCTCATCCAGACCAATCTGAAGACCGGCGAGCCGGAGCTTTACTACCTGAGGCTGCCCAAAGACATAAAAGACTACAAGGTGATACTGATGGACGCGACCGTGGCCACCGGAGCGGCGGCCATGATGGCCATTCGGGTGCTGCTGGATCACGATGTGCCCGAGGACAACATCATCCTGGCCTCGCTGCTGATGGCCGAGATCGGTGTGCACTCCATTGCCTATGCCTTCCCTAAGGTGAGATGGAGATTATATCTTTAACTATAGATTTTAACTTTGATCTCTCTTTTTTACAGGTTAAAATTGTTACTTCCGCTCTGGATCCGGAGATTAATAGTAAGTTTTATGTTATACCCGGCATTGGTAACTTTGGCGATCGCTACTTTGGCACGGAACCCTCCGACGAGTACTAGGAGGAACCACTATGGAACCATCAAGTTTCTAATGTATCCTAGGTTAAGTTCAAAGCGTTACTTAAATTATGAATTCGGAACGAAAGCTTGTTTTATTGGAGTAGTTAAAGGAGCCGTAAGAGCAGCTGAATGAGGAAGGCCAGGCTTCCCACAACCAAAGCAATGCCCACATAGCGCTGGATCAGCTGATCCCGACTCCTGGTTTGGATCTGGACCTCCTGCTTATTGGCACATCTCGTCCAGTCCCGTTCGTCATCCAAAATCTCGCCCACCATGCTGAACTTGCTGACGCTAGTGATTCGCACATGGACGCGAGTGCCCAGAAGATTCTCCCGCATGGGCAGCAACACCTGCTCGTAGCTCTTGTTGTGGCCCACATAGTGGAGCTTGTCGTGGGAGATTTCCGTGACCAGAACAGTGTATATTTCACCCACTCTCTTGGCGTACGGCTCGTAGCTGTAGAAGAGATCTGTGAGTCGTTTGGTGCGCTTCTTCACCAGATTCGCGGGTATGCGCTCCATTTTAGCAGCTGGCGTGCCCGGACGAGGGAAGAACTGGTTGATGAACAGACTGGGGAATCGGTACTTGGCGCACAGTGTCATTGTCTCCTCGAAATCCGCCTCGGTCTCTGTGGGAAAGCCGCAAATTATGTCGGTGGCAATGGTAATGCCGGGAACGCGTTCTCTTAAGAAATCCACCACATGTTCGAATTCCTGCCGGCAGTACTCTCGCTTCATCTCACCCAGCACGGAGTCGCTGCCGCTCTGTAATAGAAATGATAAAAGATTAGCCAGTTATAGATTTAGATTGAGAAATAGAATCTTACCTGTACAGGAACATGCAAGAAGGCGTAGACTCTGGGATGCTGCAGCACCTTGGCCACCTCCTCCAGGTGTTCCAGTATATAAGGTGGATTGGTCATGCCCACGCGCAGCATGCAGTGCTCGGGAATCACTTCCACCAGCTGCCAGAGCAGCTCGGGCAGCGAGCTTCCAATGTCCCGACCATAGGCACCGGTATCCTCGGACGTCAGCCAGATCTCGCAGCATCCCTCGGCGAAGGATTGGCGGGCGCGCTCGACCACCTCCTCGGGCGGATAGCTGGCCAGATCGCCGCGGGCATGCTTGGTCTTGCAGTAGGTGCACTGATTCAGGCAGCCCGAATTTATGGATATGATCTCAATCAGCGGATTCTTGCGCACTTTGGGTAAAGAGAGCGGAGCTCCAGCCACCCGGCGACCGTGGACCTTCTTCTTGTTCTGCAGCAGCTGGACGCTGTGGCCCTTGAGGGTCTCCTCAACGACCTCGACCACGCGATCGATCTGCTGGACACCGATGATGGAGAGACCGCTGAGGTAGTCCGATTTGGGAGCTCCCTGCGGGACGCAGCCGGCGACCACGACATGCTTGCCATTCCGCATGCCCGACTCGATCTCGTTGCGGAACGTGTCCTCTGAGGGATTCTTCACCGTGCAGCTGTTGAGCAGCCACAGGTCGGCCTCCTCCTTGCCACTTAGTTTGTAGCCATAGGCAGCCAGCTGACCGGCCATGTACTCCGAGTCCGAGTTGTTGTGGGCACAGCCCCAGGTCTTGACGAAGACCTTCTGGGTGCCGGGTATCACGCTCTCGTGGATCGTGGGCTTTGGTTTCTCCTCCGCCTCCTCCTCAGCTTCTGGCCGGATTTGTATGCGTTTCTTGGCGCGCACCGTCACATTCTTCTTGTTCTCGTAGCGCTCTCGTGGCTTCACATCGTCGGCGGATATCAGGTCCTCGATGTCGTCCACATCGTTGCCAGGCAGATCCTGTCCAAGGTGGTACATAGTTGCGTCGTCTCCTGGTTGCGGAGGATTTCGGTTCCGAAACACATGTGCAACACCTCCAGCTGTTTACATTCGTGCTTCTTCTTCGATTCGGAAAGGGTATTCGATAAATGCAATCGATAACAGGTTTGGCTGTGCCTCCAGGATACCCTACAGTAGGGGTGTTTAACGCCTATTAACATTTAATTTAATATTCATTTTAATCCTTGAACATCTTTTCTGAATTAATTCCTATTTTATATATAAAATGACAAATGGGCTTTAACACTTATTTTTAAGTTTTAAGTAAACTGTTTTAAACGGCATTCGACTTATGTATGTATATTTTCAATATTTAAGACCTTTATTTGGTACCTTCTAAGATGATTAATCTTACAAAATTGATTCATTTTAGTGTAGTTTTTAATAATAAATGATCCGAAAGGAAAAATAAATTTTAGGAAATAAACTTTATGGTAATGTAACGATCATTTGAATATGATAGTTCGTCCCAAAAAGATATCTAATCTACTAAAACAAATTTTTTAATAAAAATTAAATAGTTAAATTACACACCTACAACGACGAACTGAGTGCCATTTCCAGCATGCCCGAGCTTTTGCGGCTCATGCACCCTACTGTGTAGACACACAGTTATCAGTGCGCTATCAGCGGAACAATTTACTCTGCTCCAGACCGCCGCCACAGCAGCCTGTAAAAGCACAATCCACAATCCGTAGCTAGCCATGATTACGATTAAGTGTAAAGACACCAATCTGGATCCCCTTCCGATCAAGGTGAGTTCATGGCGGAAGCTCTTTTCAATGCCAAGCTATAAATAAATCGCTCGCAGATTGGGATCATTGGCGGTTCGGGGCTGGATGACCCCGATATCCTGGAGCAGCGGCAGGAGCGCGTGGTGGAGACGCCCTATGGAGAACCATCGGATGCCCTGATCGAGGGCGAGATCAATGGAGTCCAGTGCGTGCTCCTGGCGCGACATGGACGCAAGCACGACATTATGCCCTCAAACGTTAATTACAGGGCCAACATCTGGGCTCTGCGCGATGTGGGCTGCACCCACTTGATTGTGTCCACCGCCTGTGGCTCCCTGCGCGAGGAAATCAAGCCGGGCAACCTGGTGGTGCCGCACGATTTCATCGACAGGACCACGAAACGCCTGCAGACCTTCTACGACGGCAAGGCCCAAAGTCCACGTGGCGTCTGCCATTTGCCCATGTTTCCGGCCTTCAGCGAACGCACCCGCAACATCCTCCTCCAGGCGGCCAAGGAGCTGGAGATTCCCGCCCACGAGAAGGCCACCATTGTGACCATCGAGGGACCGCGCTTCTCCTCGCGCTCCGAGAGTCACATGTTCCGCCAGTGGGGCGGCGACCTCATAAACATGACCACGTGCCCAGAGGTTGTCTTGGCCAAGGAGGCCGGTCTGCTCTACGGATCGGTGGCCATAGCCACGGACTACGACTGCTGGCGCATGGGCTGCGAGGGTGTCAACGTGCAGGATGTCCTGCGCACCTTTGCCGAGAACGTGATCAAGGTAAAGAAGATCCTGGTCAACGCTGTGGGCCGGATTGCCAAGGAGGACTGGTCGGAGGACATACTGAATGCCAAGGTGAGTGAGCTTGGATATGAACTAGAGCCCTGCATGAATGGATTCAATGCATTATTTTAAATTTTTTGTTTTATATAAATGAAGTAATTAGAATTGGTTTAATAGAATTGAATGAAAGAATGGCATGAATTCCGAAATAATTCTAGCGACAATTTATTTTAAAGAAGAAAGAGCCATCATTTTGTGATTAAATATACATGCATTTTATTTTCTAAGCAGTTAAGATTGATTTGTTAAAAATTGTACACTTTTGGTTCTTGCAAGTTCAAACAATTTATAAAAATCAGGGAACGTAACTGTTATAAGTTTTATTTTAAAAATCACACTTTAACAGTTATTTTCTGATTTGTAAAGTAAAACTCAAAGAATAACTGTTATTTTTTGAGTTTTATAATAAAAGTTGACAAATAACAGTTATTCGTCGTGATCAAAATAAAACTCAAACTTGATTTATGGCGATTTTGTGGGTAAACAAAATTTTAAAAAAATATAGGTATAAAATATGCGCGGTTGCCTTTTTTAACAAACTTTTAGTAAGTTATAAAAAGCACGGGTATCATGTTTTTTTTAATTATTTCATTTTTTCAAAAATGTCAAGGGAATAACTGTTATTCATAAAAATCAAAAAATAACAGTTATTTTTTGAGTTTTATTATAAAAATCAAAAAATAAAAATCATTACGGATTTGTAAACTACAATGGCTAATAAAAATTGTGGTGAATTTAAAAAATTTTTAGGACCATTCTAAGTGCGTGATTTTTTTGTATGAAAAATTTACAATAACAGTTATTTTCGTTCCCTGATAAAAATGATTCATTCATTTCATTCAATTCGAAATGAATTAGAAAAACATTCCATTTTTTTAAACATAGAACTGAATTAAACAAATCAGAAATTTTATGGCATACTATGATAAAACATGATATTACGAACCCCTAAAGAAAGTACTTTATGAGAACCTCTATCTTTACAGCAATGCGTTTGCAACAACACCATGTCCGGGGCCATGTGACGTTTTATAAAACTGTGCCACGATATAACCGAAGAAACGCTGATTCGCCGCAAGATATATGTTCCACCGTTCTACCAGCAGTTCCACAAAAAGCGCGGGCCCAAAGTCCACTCCATATCCATTACATACGAATTGGATCCGGAGGACACCAGGCGGCCCAACACTCTAAAAACTCCATTCAAATGTGAAACTGTAACGTCCGCCACGGCGTCGCAGTAGAAATATACATATGTAACTACAGATATGCAAAACTAATCCATAAATTGGGACACTTAAAAGTTCACATTTATATAATTACATAGAGTTGCGTCTTTAAAATTAAAATTGGAATTCGATTGCGCTGCCTTTACGGACACTTGCGCTCCACTTGGCTCTTGCCGGCCTCCTCGTACTCCTGCGACGAAATCCACATCTGCTGGAAGGTGCCTATGCTGGCCAGGATTGAGCCGCCGATCCAGGCTCCGAATCTCCGCTCCACGCTGCCATTGGCGGAAATCATTTTCAGGCGCGTATTGGATGGGGCACGCAGCTGCAGATCGCGATTCAGGCGCTCCGGGAAGCCCTGAAGCAGAGTATTGCCACCTGGGAATAGAAATTGTTTAGAAAGAAATATTTTTAGGGGTAGAATATATTTTTACCCGTAACCACAACGGAGCCAAAGAGCGACAGACGCACATCGGCATCGCACATGCCCACGCTGGTGGACGCCAGTTGGCCAGCGCCCAGCATGGCGTTGTCAAACAGACTCTCGGCTATCTTAAACCGCTCAGAGCTAAAGTCCTGATGATAGCCATTGGGAAACTCATAGTGCACCGTTGGAATCTGGGCGGCCACTCGCTCGTCGAAGGGATTCTCCAGGACCTGCAACACGTTCATCTGGAAGTCCTGCATCATCAGCTGCAGCATGTAGTTCTGCCACGATTGCGTCAAATTCTCGGGCAGTTTGCGCAGCGTAAAGCGCCCGTTGTCACGCTCCTTGACCACATCCTTGGAGGCTATTTTATAAACCGGCGAGAGATCGATGCCGTGCTTCTCCAGATGCTGGCGGCACTGGCGGGAGAGAAAGTCGCCACCCAGCGGTGACTTGACCACCGCCTGCGACAGCACATAACCCTCGTGGACGGGAACGGCCGAGGTGTGGGTGGCGCCGCTGTCCACGACCAAAGCGGTGGCTCGTCCGCTGGAGAAGGCGGCCAGGACAGCGTTTTTCACCAGGAAGAAGGCCGGAACATTGTACTTCTCGAACATCAGCTCCGTGAGCTTCTCGCGGTTGTTGCGCACATTCCAAGAGGCCTCGGAGAAGAGGACGGGGTGATATTCCGGCTCCGATTGGATGACATTGGCGTAGGCGTAGTCAATGACCTTCTCGAACAGGTCCCAGTTGTCGATCATGCCGTCCTTCATGTAGGTCTGCACCTCCATCTGGGAGCGGGGCACATTCACATAGTTGGTGTCCACATAGAACTTGCGCTGGTCAGCGTCTGGCGGGGATTAGGTGAGGGATTAGGTGTGTTTTAGGGTCTAGAGACTATAGAAACTCACTATTTGGCGTGGCATTGTTGTCCGTCTTGGTCTCCGGATCGAGATTGGTCTCGGGAGCTGCTCCAATACCCACAACCGAGGGAATCTCCGCCTTGGGCGAATCCTCCTGCGCGTAGCCCACTCGCAGGGAGTGGTGGCCGGGATCGAAGACCAGGGCGCCGATCTCGTCGCCGCCGTACAACATGGTGCCGCCACTCATCTTGGGGCGTCGTCGCAAGCACTTTTCCTCGTGATTTGTTCGAGAATTTCGCGAATTTCCTTCAGACTTTTTTTATTTTGCGGCTTTTTTCACGACGCTTCTTCCACGCTAGTGGTGGGCTGATAGGTTATCGCAGTGCCTATCGGTGTTCCATGTGCACTATCGATACTCGGTTTTTAGCAACTGCCATCACAGTTAGTTTGGCTTGCAAAAAGAAGAAGAATTTGTAAATAACTAGATATTGTATTCTATAATTAAGCATAATCTATATATTAAGACCTAACTATTCCACTTTAATTACGGACAATGTGGTAACTTGGAAGACAAAACAATTAAGTACATGTTTATACTGGAAAAGCTTCATTAAACACAGTAAGATCCTTTAGAAATCCATCTAATGGAAATTACTAAAATTAAAGATATTCCTTCTAACCACTTAGTTTCACCATGAGCACCGACAGCGCCGAGGAGACGGAGACCCACACGAACATTCCCCAAATGGAGATCAACATCTCGAACAGGAAATCCAATGACGAGATCGTTTTGAATGACCTGCTGCTCATGGAGCTGCTCTGCCGCTACCCCTTCCTCTTCAGCCGCCAGGTGGAGCCACACGAGGACGAGGACTACGACTCCTGGGGATGGGAACAGCTGGCCAAGGACTTTAACCAGAGCTACGAGGGCGCGGAGCAGAGTGCTCCGTTCTCGGTGAGCGATCTGCAGTCGCGGTGGAACAAACTGCGTCCTTTGATTAGTTCCTTGGCCAAGGCGAAGGGTCAGATTCCCGAGTCCCTGTGGCGGGTGGTGGTCAATGTTCACAATCGAATGCTGGTGGAGAAGCCGGTTGAAGTGCCGCGCACCAAGTGCCAGGACTTCTTCCTCGCTCAGGCGCCCTTTCTGGAATCTCTCTCCCTGCTGGATCGCCGGCGTTTGGAGGTCGAGGTTCTGGACCTCATCCTGCAGGAGGAGCAGCGGGAGAAGGCCACCCACACCATGGGCCCCAAGGAGCAGGAGGCCGCGCAGAGCGAATACGATGAGTTTCTCAAGGCAATAAGGGTAAAGGAGCTTCCAGCCGACACTCTACTCCGCCTGGCAATGGACGGATTCTGCATTACCCCGAAGATCTTGAAGTCGGATAAATCGGCTATGGTGATTAGCAATGTCCAGACTGTCAATGGAGCAAAGGAATTGGAGATCAAGACGGAGGCCCCTGATGAAGCTGCGAAAAAATCCGAAAATCCCCGCTACGTGCCATTGAAAAGCGCCAAATATTACATTAAAAAGCTTCGCATTCGCATTAAGCGATTAGACTTGGACGACCACCTGCCACTGGCCAGCATCCGACGATCCAATCGCTCTGCGCCGAAAATCTGACTTGGTTTCGTATCAAATGCACATAAGTTTATTAAAAAATACATTACTATAAATTACAACTTAAGGCTATTGTATAATCCGAATCGCATTTTACACATAATTCGCTTGCTTTGCATTCTCGAAGAACTAACAACTAAACAAACAAGGAGCGGGGATGCGGGGGAGAATCTAAAGAACTGGAGAGCGGTTTAACGTTATCAGTAATCAGTTATTTTTTACTTTACATTACACACAATCAATCGTCAACAGTCACTAAAGAACGCAATTCAACAGGTCTATACGAAATACAGTCGTTGGTGGAAAGCGCAGCACTTAACAAGTAAACAAACAATGTGGGTGAAAGAACTAACAATTGGAGATAGCTGATGCTGCCTCAAAACAGTTGGTCCGCCAGGTTGCCAATGAAGGTGGCCAGGTTCATGGAGGAGCCCTCCTTGAATTTCAGTCCAATCGTCTTGCCGTAGGCTTGTATGAAGATGGCGCGCACTGCATTCAGGCGTTGCTTTCGTCTGGATATATGAATGAATTCCATACATTAGTTATAAATAGGGGTAAGGAATATAGTAAACTCACAAGTTAATGCTTTGCTTGCTGGCCATGGTGCTGCCGCCCACGTCTTTGGAGGAACCATTTGCGAAACCGTGCGTTGAGCTGCCGTTGCTGATGCTGCTCCCACTTCCACTTCCGCTGCCGCTCGATGCTGTGTTGGTGCTGCAGTGGTAGCCATTGCCACCATTGTACAGGGGAATGTTCGAGGAGCCGCCGCCATCCGCCGCCTGTTGGGCCACAAACCGCATCATGTAGCTGCCGTTCATCACGGAGTCAATGGAGCCCGTGTCGGTGACCACCTGCCAGCTGCCATTCGAGGACGTGGACTCCTGTCTCTGCCGCGCATTCGATCCGGGCACTGAAATAGGGCTGGTTCGGGATCTAAAAGACAGGATTAATCTCTAGTCAGTCGGGTTTTTTGTTACAGCCAGAGTTCGGAAAATAACACACACTGTAAATAACTTGTGTTATTAACATGTTAAATGTCAAAGTGTTAGGTTCAAAAAAAGTTATTGACATGTGTGTTAAAAATTGTAGCCTACATATTTACACTGTTTTTTACACGACGTTTTCTTTACACATCATGTTTTTAACACAATGAGTTTTTGACATTTAAGTGACAGCTCACAATATATATACATAAATTGATTCTGCCTACCGTTACTAAAATAATGTGTCTATTTAATAAAAAAAATTTATGTTTTTGGTTATGGATAATTTTTCCAATTATCCATTGAATAAACAAATTTTGAGGGGTAAAAAATGTCCTACTTTAAAAAAAGAATAGTTTGTGTTAAAAACACAAGTCGGCTGTGTGTGTTAACAATTATTTTTCACATTTTCCACTTTTGTATTTGACACACATGTCAACAACTTTGCTCACACTCTAAAATACAATTTTTCATGTTTTTAACATGTGTCAAATTCCGAATCCTGCTTACAGCAAAGCTTCAGATTTACTTACCTCTTGGGATTCGGCGACCTGCTGGTCAGCGGATTGACTTGCGCCGGCGTGGTGGCATAGAAGTTATCTGTTATGGACATATCACAGTTGGAACAGTTTGAGTAGCTGTCGTTGCTATCTTGATCGAAGGCCAGGATGTAGTCCCTGCAAAAGAACTCACTCATTAAATCTTTATCCCTCTCTTAATCCCGTATAATACTTACTCCTTGAGCGGTTCATCGTCGCAGCAGTCGGATTTGATCACTATGACACTGCTCCCACTGCTGCTCGAGGTCTTGGTGCGTTTCCTGTGCTCCACAATGCTGTACTCCTCGTCCGTGATAAACTTGAGCACGTGGAAGCAGAAGAACATGATGTCCTCGCCGCGTTTCAGGCGATCGGGCAGTTGATGGCCAAACAGGTACCAGTCGTAGGCCAGTGTGAAGTACGCCATTTGCATGGCGTTCAGCGACTGATGGATGAGTCCGTCGGCCCACAGGGATAGCCTGACCAGGGAGACAAACAGGGGAGTGCGATCCCAGCCGCTGATGCAGTGAATCAGCAGGCCGGAGCTCTCCTCCTGCACATATTTCAGCGTCGCCCTCAAGTAGTTCTGGGTGATGGCCACCAGATCCCAATCCCGGTACTCCGGCCACACCACATCGATATCCGCAGCGGGTCCCATGTTGGGAATGTTGATATTCGCATCGTTGAACGACTGCTTCCAGTTGTAGTGCAGGTTGCGCGCCATGTAGTTGTTGTCCCGGAACTTTTTGAAGAACTCACAGCCGGGATAGGGGAGTGAAAGCAGATTGAAGCTCTTGTAGTGCTTGTTTGGATCCGCTTTTTCGGATGAGGAAACGCTGAAAGAAGTACAGAGGGTTATTACTACACAGAAAAAAAACCGCTAAGAAATATGATTATTTCTACCTTATTTCATATCAATAAGATATGATATCAAACATATCACCATGATATTTTTTATCATATCATAAGAAATACCAAATTAAGTATTTTTTGAGTAAATAATAATAATAATAAATACATAATCTTTATTCATATAAAAATGATATGAATATTACTACACAGAAAAAGAAACCGATATGAAATATTATTATTTCTACCTTATTTCATATCAATAAAAAGCCGATATGATTTATGTCAAATTTAAGAGTCAAACATATCAACATGATATTTTATCATATCATAAAAAATACCAAAATTAGTATTTTTTGAGCAAATAATATAAGAAAACAAGAAAGGAAGCTAGCTTCGGCCAGCCGAAGCTTAAATACCCTTGCAGATCTTTCCTATTAATTAACAAATCGCAAAAATGTTCAATTAATTTCATTAATCTCATTAATTTTCCGATCGTTCCTATGGCAGCTATATGATATAGTCGTCCGATTTTGATCAAATTAAAATTAAAATTCGGAAATATTTAAAAAGAGTCATATCCTAGAGTAGAAGATAATACAATAAAAACGAAAGAAGCTAGAATTTATTTCCTATTACTTTTCCATTCATTTCCCGATCGTTCCTATGGCAGCTATATGATATAGTAGTCCGATTTTTTAAATAATTAATTCGAAATTCAGAAATATTTAAAAAATAACATCCCCAAAAGTAGAAGGTGATATTTCAAAAAACACCGAAGCTAGAATTTTTTTAACGTTTTTTCTCCGATCCTTCCTATGGGAGCTATAAGATATAGTTGTCCGATCCGGTCGGTTCCGACATATATACTACCTGCAATAGAAAGAAGACTTTTGGGAAAGTTTCATCCCGATAGCTCAAAAACTGAGAGACTAGTTTGCGTAGAAACAGACAGACGGACAGACGGACAGACGGACATGGCTAGATCGACTCGTCTAGTGATGCTGATCAAGAATATATATACTTTATGGGGTCGGAAACGTCTCCTTCACTGCGTTGCAAACTTCTGACTGAAATCATAATACCCTCTGCAAGGGTATAAAGATTAACATAATCTTTATTCATATCATTTTGATCTTTAAAAAATATCAAAATGACCATTAACATTTCTTTTTTCTGCGCATGGCTTTTGATCTCTAAGCTAATCTATACTCACGCCATAAAGTATTTGATCTTGCGGTTCTCGACCATCAGGTCCACAATGGTGGAGACGTTGAGCGTGTGGAGCAGCTGGATATCACTCTTGATGACCTCGTCGTAGCTGAACTGCGACTGCGCCTGATCGTGCATGTGGGTGATCAGCGACTCGTCCGTGGAGTCCGCATCGTTCTCCTCGCCGTTGGGCGATGTGTAGTTGCCGCCACTCAGGCAGTCGTAGGCATAGTCCACCACCTTCCGGCCGTAGGTTTCCGGCATTACGGAGAGGGTAGCCGAACGGCAGATGTATTTCCCACGGTACATGATCACCGGCACGGCGAATCTTTGCCGGCATCTCGCGTACTTGGCCATCGTGACCAGCTCCCTCATCCGCTGAATATCGTACTGGTCCTCGTATATGGTATTCTGTGGCTGCTGTTGCGATGGCTGCTGTTGCTGCTGCTGCTGCTGGAGAGGATGTGGCTGCTGGGTGGGGTATTGCGCGTGGAGGGGATGTGACTGCTGGAGAGGATGTTGCTGTGGCGTCTGCAGGGGATTGGCGAAGGTCACGAAGGCTTGGATGCCCACTCCCTCGCTTCCGGTGCTTCCTGCACTGCTGTTCAGCGGCGTGGCTGTAGCTGTGGTTCCGGAGGAACCTCCTCCTCCGCCTGGTAATCCACCACCAACTGGCCCAAACAGACCATTGCCCGGTATCAGCGTCTTGGCCATGTGTCCGTGCTCGCATTCAGGGATGAGTATTCGGCCTGGATAACGCGGACTGAGCAGTCCGTTCGTGTTGTCCAGCTCAATGAGGCTGTAGTCGAGTTTAAACAGGTATTCGCATTTCTTGGAGATTTCGTACTCCTGGAAATAATATAAAGTTGGAGAAAATTATTAATATTGGGTTTGCTAGAAAAAAATAAATCTGTAAGGATGAAATCGTATAGAAAATGGATTTAAAAAAAATCAAGGATATATAAATGTTGATTTGGGATTATGAATTCATAATACCATCTTAACAAAACGCTATTTTTATTGAAAACTTAGACGTTTTATATATAATTTCCTTGAAATTCTTAAGCGATAGTCCAGTTAAACCGCAAGTATGCTTCATTCCTAAAAGCTCTTTATAACATTTCTCGCAATTCATGATATTCTATATTTAGAACGAGTTTAATTAAGGTTTTATCTCGACTGGACTAAGTCCAAAGCCAAATGAAACTTATTTGAATTCAGTACAAAGTTGTCTTTATGGTAGACTTACTACAAGCCCAGTAATCAGTCACCCAAAACTTTCTACATTATAGATTATAATATTACGTATAAGTACGAACTTGAGAATGCCATTCAAGGGATAACTAATCACGGGGTTTAAGGGGTTCTGTTTGCAAGATCTGCGATCTGCTCCCCTCCTAACGAGTGACCTCAAACTGGCAGTAACCAGTAACCAGCGACTTCGATCAGGCTTCTAAATATAAAGTATTTGACGGGGCGGTGTGTAAAGTCAATTGTTTGCATAAATCAGCGATGCCGGGCGTCGCGTCTTAATGGCCAGCGAGATTAGAACGCGGAGTGCAACTGGTTTTCATGCATTCTCAATGTGTGTATGTGCCATATAGACATTCCTACCCCGAGTTCAATGGAACTTGAACGATTCCCGGGAAGGGGAACTGGAATCGGGAATCTGGAATCGGACGACTTCGGTTGGCTATCTGCCACTCAAGGGTTAAAGGAGATAAAAGCCAGGTTACAACACCAATTAGCCATTGAGATAATGGTATTAAATTCACAATTCGGGGCTACCAGTAGATAAAAAAAGGTTCTTGATATGATAAAAACAATATTTTCATGTAACTTTTGGAACTATATTTAGGTGATAATAAGCTTAAATATATAAAATATGTTTCCAATCTTTCTTATTTCAACTAATGTAAAATTCCCATCGAGTAAATATTATTTGCCTAAAAGTTATCAAAAATGTAGAGCTTTTCATTTGTGCGATAATCGACATCAATTTTAAAGGTTGTTGTTTAGGCGACTGGGTAAAAATAGAAAGAAAAGAGGCTAGCAAAGGGGGCGGCGGTGGGCGTGGCCCCCAGCCAGCTGTCCCAGACAAACAACCACAACTAGAGATAAAAGCACAAAAATAATAACAACTACAAATCACAACCACAGCCACTCGCACAAGCACAAACACCTTGGGAAAACAGGTTTTTAGCTCACAAAGAGAAATGTGCAAATAACAAAATAGAAAAACAAAAAACAATAAAACTATAAAAAGACAAAGACCAACGCTGCGCAAAAATTAGCAAAAACAAAAGCGAAGCAGCGAGCAAAACAAACCCGACGAAAACTTAGTGGAGCGTATGTGTGTTCGTGTGAAAAACTACTAAACATACACCTACAAATATACAAAGTGCGAAGCAAACGAGCAAAACAACTAAAACGCAATTACAATTACCAACGAAAAGACGACGGAAAGACGCAAAAACAAGTGACTGTTTATGGCATTTGTTTTGTATTTTTTTAGCCACTTTAAATTGCATAAGCAAGCCATCTAATCTAAAATTATATAAAATGTTTAGTTTGGACGCTCTTTGAAAAACCAAACAAAATCGCAATGATCGAAACAATGATGCTCTGTCTTTTTGTTTATTTTAAATTAAGTTTTTAATAACACTTTACAAAATAATTATAAATAAATTCTAGAATATATTTTAATTTTCAAGTTTAAAAGTTTACTTTAAATTTAACATTTTAACTTGAAAACAGCAGTTTCTAAAAAAAAAATATTTTTTCTCGGAAAATCCCCCAATTATTTGTCCAAACTTTAAATGAACTTATTAAATAGTAATTTTGTTGTTAAATAAAGCTTTAAGTAATAGTAGTTGTTTCGTGCCATGCTTTTGGCAACACTGCTTGGCAGAAGAGAGAGATGGGGATGCCGAAAAACAGCAAAAAAAACCCATCGATGATGCGCTAGTGTGAGTGAGCTCCAAGTTGGAGACGCTGCCGTTACAAAGCACAAGCACAAAGAGCACAAAGCGGTTACTGTTGTTGTTGCTGCTGCTGCCGTTGCTGTTGTTGTGTGCATTGAACTGCTTGCTCACTGCTTCTGTTGCCGTTGTTTCGTTGTTGCTGCCGCTTTTTCTTTGTAAGCGAGTAAATGCAACTGTAACTGCAGCCGCGCTGCTTGAAAAACTGAGCGCCTGTTCCAAAGGCGCTGTAAAACTTAAAAACAACAAACAGACGCGCGCTGAAATAGTTACAGCGTGACAAAATAGTTGGCGAGCGTTGTGTGTTGATCATTAAGCGGTCCATCATTATCGTTTTCATCATCATCGCTGACCCAAATAATGCAACTTAAACCGAAGGCTGGCTCGAAACCCAAGCTTGCCTCACAAACCCGGATTTTAAAGACTCTGCCGATGCTGGGCCACCAGAAATCCAGCAGAAGCTGCAAAGTGCGACACACTTTTCTTCTCTCACAAAAAACAAAAAAAAAAAAGAAAAGAAGAAAAATAACAAGAAATAAACGGAAAATAAAAAACAGAAAAGCTGAACAAAAACACACAACACAACGGCGACAGCGACAAGAAACCGCACAGCTGAAACTGAAAATAATCATACTCTCGTACTCGTGCAATCGAACCGAGAAAACCACCAACCGAACCGAACCAACTCGACCAAGCACAGGGAAGCAGCAAAAGAAAAGAGCGGAGAGGTCGCCGATTAAGTACAGTCAGGCTTCTATAACTCCGACTTAAAAGATTTCGATTCTGGGAAAAATAACTTGTATATTCTTCTTTTTAAGTCAAGTTTTAATACTGTAATTACTCAAATGAATTATAAATCTAATATATCCCCGTTCATAAAATATATAATATACCTTTCGTTATATATTATAATATATATTCATTATATTCCAGTAACTCTATACATTAACATTATTTTGTTTTTATAAATCAAATATAGTTACATTAAGTTGTTTAAATTTTTCACTATTTAGTATAGTATTTACTTATACCACCTATTTTTTAGTATTTTGTTCGTCTTACATTATTTGAACTGTACTGAGCTTGAGCTCTGACTTCGACTCTTGGTTTTTTTTTTTTTTTTTTTGGCAAATAACAACCTGAAAAGCCGAAGGAGGCCTCGGTGCAACCCACACGTTGCATATTCATCAATCCCCCGGCGACAGGGAAATGGCTTTTCTTGAATGAATTATTCAGTGCCCAAGAACTAAGACTCAAAACTGGGGCCACTGACCACACCCAAATGACGGAGTGTTCCGCATTCGATTCTCGTTGTTCTTGTTTACATGATTTATGCTTGCGCTTTAAAATGTGCAGCGTGTTTTTGTCGGCGTTCAAAGACCCCCAGATATAAAAACAAGTTGCGCCCACGTTTCAAACTCTGGATCGGAATTGGAATCAGGTTCCAAAAAATCAAGGCACTGGATTCGAGGGCAGTACAGTTCTGCAGTTTGTTTAATATTCCAGGGGTTTCGTTTAATGCTTACCCCTAAGAATAATTTATACTTCCTGTCATATAACTAAGAAACCCCTTTGTTTTTAATCACAAAGCTATGAAAAACAAAGCTAAGTTTGTATTGCTTTCTTTGTTTCTATAAGTTAAGGTGTATCACGTCTTCAAGAATTAATATAAAATACCTTTATCAACTAAGTTCCAGAGGTAATGAGTTTTTAAAGATTTTATTTTAAGCTTAGTAAAGAGTTTCACTGAAACTTAGTTTTAGAGATTAATCAAAATCCTTTCTCCTCTCCTCTTTTTTTAGTCTTTTCATATTTTACACATACAAATCTCTTTCTTTATCTTTTCTTTTTACCCTATTATTTTAGCTAATCCCCACCAGCATTTCTCTTAATTTATGCAATATCATCCACATCAATGGGAGATATTAATGATCTTTTAATATGCAAATTGCCGGTGCAGTTGATTTGCATTTATTTCTCTGGAGTGCATAAATATCACATGGGTGGAAAAAACACACGAGACAACTTTCGAAAGACATTGAAACCGCTTTGTGGGTGACATGCCACATGTGGCGATGGAGATGGAGCCAAGAGGTCTAAGAAACTCGTTTGAGCCGGAACTTTTTTGCGGCGTCGAAGAGCCGAATGATTTTTGCTTACTACCCCCACATAAAGGCACATCAAACACAGCAATGGCAATAATTGAGCGCAATAAGTGACATCCAGCGAAGTGGGCGTTACGAACAAAGGTACTGGTACATATGTTATGTTATGTATGAGGGGTATTTCAGAAATCTATTCATCATTTGCTTAATTTATTCGCCAGACAGTCAGGAAGAGATTTCCCCTCGCCCACTCGTCGTTCCCACAACCAGTATTCAGAATTCCCCGAGACGCCGATCGCTTTTCTCGCTTTCTGATTTCCCAGTCGACAGTTCAGTGTAATGTGAAAAGAAGGTCATCCGAATAATCGATTCATTTTGACAAATTCAGCATGGGATGGCAGAGATTTATTATATGAAATGCAACTTAACCTCTTAAATAATAATATTATTATTTAAATATATACTTTTTTCCAGTGCTTTAATAGACCAAGTCCAGAAATTATAATCAATAAACACCACACAAAAATGTAAATATCTTTTTGAAGCAGAACAAACTTTCTGCGCTCCTGTTTCCTCTTTGCATTCAAACACACAACTTAATATTTCCCTCGTTTTATATTTCTTTGCTTTGGGAAATAGACCAAACGAATGCCGATCCCCATCCCAGAGATACCGAACCCGAACTCCCTGCAAATAGTTGACTAAGGCGGCATTGCCAGTTCGCACATTATCGATTTTATCTGTCAGCGAGCAGGCGCCCATGAAAGTTCGCAGCATCCGAAAATGGAAAATGAAAATCGGAGGAGTAGCTGTGCCCTTCTTCTAATCATGCTGGCATGGTGGCCCCGGATGCTAGGCAGTTAGTCCCGGAATGCGCAAGAAGTTCCGCAACAGCAAAAGCAGGGTGCTTCAGCTTCACATTACTGCAGTTCGACTGGTGCAACATCCATAGAACTGGAAGCATTGGAACCCCCTTATCGGAGTGGCCCTTAATCAAATCGAACTCGCCGGCTTCTCTGGCGCTCTCTCCTTTCCGGACATGCGCCCGGAAAGCTGGCCGTGCTGCATCCCCGATAAGAGCTGGAAGCGCAGCTGCTCTTCTATTACTGCCGCCTGCCCAGATGCACTTCCCCTCCGGATCCAGGCCTCATCCCCCGCCCTCTTATCACAATGGAACCCCTTCGTCTGGTCCTGCGTTCCTGGCACAAGTGTCTGTGGTGCGACCCACGCACCTTGCAGCAACAGCTGGCCCTTGAATATGTATTTATTTCCACACACACCCCTGAAAAAACGGGGGCGCCGCGGGGTGGCGCATCCAAACGCGTGGGCGCAAAGTTCAACGTGCAACAGGCCATCATAAAAGGGTGCAGGCTCCCAAAATGACCACGGCACAGTGGTAAAGACTTTATAATCCAATGATAGATTTAAATTTAATGCTTATTCTAACATTTCAGAGGCCTATTTTTCCATAATTTACATAAATAAAAACAATAAACATTGACCCGCATCTCATGGCCATTCTATTTTCACAGCTTTCCACACTGAGATCATCGGATAATTGTTTTTGGCATGCTTGACATGCTGCTATAATATGTACATATATTAAAAATCAATCAAACCAAACCCATTAACCTTGCCAATTTCAATGAAGTCATTATACATTTTTAAAACATTCGAGATTATGATAATATCTAAATGAAATAATGTAGTTATTTAGAATGTTTATGAACTATTTAAAAAAGTTTTAAGAGTTATGAAACCTATTTATATTATCCTTAATAGGTTGTAAATGATTGTTACTTAAAAAAAATTTTTTTTAGAAAAAATCGTTAAAATTGTGATTACTTAATATATAAGGTCAGTTCCTAAAAAGCCAATAAGTCAAAGATTTTGCAAAAACTATAAATTATTTTACTATCCTTCGTTGCGCTTAATTTAAGCCGAATTTGTCCCACTGTACGTCAGTTTAGTTGCAATTGTTGCGCTGGAAGGCGTCGCACTTCCGCTCTTCCGGCGATTCCTGCGCGCCTGTGCCGCGTTTTCCAAAGCGCCCACACAAATGACGCCGCTCGGCTTGCAGCGCAGCTGCATCCGTGTTCCGGGGGGGCGGTGGGGGAGAGCGGGCATCGGTGGGGGCGTGGCCAGGGCACAGACTGCTGCCAACAAAAGCAGGCGACCAGGAGCGGTGAGAAGGTATTGCATGTACTATATACTTCGTAAATCCCCCGAGTGCCATAGTGAAGCTCCACTGTTTCCTGGAACCGATTGCAACCCCCAAAACGAGTGCAATCTCGGGGACTGGAAGCAGCGAGCTGCAGACTGGAAAGGGCCAAGCGGGATACACATTAATGCGGAGGAGTAGCTGCGTCCAGGTCCTGCAGGTCCTGGGCCCAGAATAGTGTTCCAGCAGGCGCCAAAGGCAGCGCTCGCTCCGCGGCTGATTTTTGGTCCAATTGGTTGCACATTAAGCCAATTGCCAAAAGAACCAGGAATCAGCTTGCAAAATACTCCTCTTGCAACAGAACATACAAAAAACAGTAGGTTTTTCCCCCACAATCCCATTGTATTGCAAAATGATCATACTGTCTTTTTTCCTCTTTTTTAGCAGGTGAAATTTTTGCAAATATCTTCAATTGACAACGATAGCAGCAACAAAAACAACAACAGGTGGGTTTTTTTTCACACAGTGCAAATAAATAAATATAAAAATAAAAAACAAAAAAAGCGCTAAATCACAAAATGCTGAGAAAAAATGAGAATTTACGAAAGTGGTATATTTTTAAAGCAAAAGCCTTCCTGCTATTTTTGGCATTTTCGCTTGGCTGGGACTCACTTTTTGGCGCCCACACGAGCAGACAGATGGCCCGCCCACCCACACAGATACCGAATACAAATGCAAATGCCCAATACACATTTGCACTCTGCATCTGCAACAGTTTTCAATGCCATGTCATGAAAATAAATCAGTCTGCGATAAATACAACAAATGCGCAAAAATTATATATGTGCCGAGCTGAAAACAAAAGTGATATAATGATCAGCACATTGTTGATAGATGCGGAGATCAGACCCATTTTAGAGAGCAGAGGGCTTACTCATATGACAAACATTCTGGGAATTGAGATTTATTAGAAAACAAAACTGTTGTTAAAAGCTAATATTTATAATTTTAAGTTATTGGAATTTAACTAGATTTTTAATAGAATATGGGAGTAGGATCATAAATGATCTAAGATTAAAAATGGGGTTTTTCAAAGATATAAAATCCTTTGTATTCCAAAAATCTGAAAATTGTTTACTTTCTTTCGCTGACTTAGGAAATTATAAATTTTAAGAATTTACATTTAACTATAAACATGTAAGATAAAATACCTTTGATTTCATTACATTTTAACGTATGTAGTAATTTACTCTTACAAAAAGTAAGTAAGATCCTAGAGGATCCGAAAATCTGAAAATTAATTTCTTTCTTTCTCTGACTAAGGAAATTATAAATTTTAAGAATATACATTTAACTATAAACATGTACGATAAAATACCCTTAGATTTCATTACATTTTAACTCTTACCAAAGAGTTTGAAAAAGTCAAGGTCTTTCGATTTTCAGTACCTAATCAAACTAGATCAATTCAGAATGGCCGAGTACAAGCCAAACACTTCGTGGCCCCACCGGATGATGAGCTTCCAGTGCCGGCAGGCGGATCTGAACCGCCTGGTGATGAACTACCTGGTCACAGGTGAGTTTAAAAAATCAATTATCCATTCTTCTAGTACTAACTCTAAATTTAGAGGGCTATCAGGAGGCCGCCAAGCGTTTCATGGCCGAGGCGGCCGTGAAGCCGGGTCCCCACATGAACACCATCGGGGATCGACAGAGAATCCAGGATGCGGTGCGAGTGGGCCAGGTGAAGTACGCCATGGATCTGGCCACTCGGCTATATCCGCGCCTCTTCGAGACCGACAACTATGTGTTCTTCCACATGCAACAGTTGCGCCTGATCGAGATGATCAGGGATCAGAAGGTGGAGAAGGCCTTGAAGTTTGCCCAAAGCAAATCTTCGGGATTTTCGAAGGTCGATCCGAGGCATTTTCACGAAGTGGAACGGACCATGGGACTGTTGGCCTTCGATCGTCCGGAATACAGTCCCTATGGCGACTTGATGTACTACTCGTATCGCCAGAAGGTGGCAGGCCAAATAAACGCAGCCATGGTGCGTTGCCAGGATGCGGAGAACAAGGTACAGGAAGATGAGCCCATGGAGCCGAGGATGATGTTCTTGATCAAGCTGATTTTGTGGGCCCAGAACAAGTTGGATCGCGAGGGATACACCGACTTCCATAAGATCAATTTCGACCATGGTGATTTCGAGGAGGAGTTCCGCCGGAGCTTCCAGGGTTTCTAAGGCGATAAGCACACAAACACACACACAATAATTGTCCAACGATCGGTCGGCGTCTACTGCGAAACTATATATAAATGTATTTTTTTTTTAGCAAATCTACACATATGAATGTATTTTTTTTTGTGGCAAATCCTACAAATATGAATGTCATTTTTTTTGAATGGATGTTGAATATTAAATATTTCCATATCTTGATGTAAATTGCAGCCATCTTGGTATCGTCTTTGTTTCGGGTTTTTGGTTGGAACTTTTCAAAAAGTTTTGCTGATAAGGCCAATTCTCTGGGTAATCTAAAGCGCATATTATTGTGTCACGTGCCAGCCGAGAGCTATTTATAATGGTTTGTTTTGTTTGCCTCGATAAGAAAATGGGCACAAAAAAAATATGGTATGGGGCTTGGTATATTGGTAGACGATTTTTAATTTATTTTTAAGTGTTTAACAGATAGTTTTTAAGATTTATTTATCGAAATAATCTTGAGATTCAATAACTAGTAAATAACTAAGTTTTTAATATATTTTTGTACTGTTATTTGCTACCCATTAAAAAGGGGTTGTATTAGTTATCAGCTTATTTTCGCAAAGAGATCTCAAAATTCTCCTGGGAGCTTTTGAACCTACATATCGCCGGCCTACGTCATTGGTTTAAATATTGTGCCATTGGCTGGGCGCCTAATCTAATCGGTGTGGCTAAACTTAACCCTGAACCCTGGGAGACGGGGAAATAAAACGAGAGAGAGAGAATCGCACACATAATTCACCCTTTGCACCCCATCAGAAATGCAATGCTTTGTATCAAGGGGCAGTAGCTTTTTGTTTGTGCCTTCAAATCGCTGGCAGATAAGGAAAATCAAATCGAAGGTTGGCGCCCGTTGTTTGGAACGAAGTGAGCGCGATAAGAGATAAAAACACACATTTTGCAACAAAGTATTATCCCTTACCAGTAGAGTTTATCAATTATATGTGCCGATTGCAACTGAACAAACAGCATGTAAGATCGCCGCGGAAACGTGAGTTACGTGCCAAGTTTTCACTTGGCGTTCCTCGCTCTGTTTCCAGGTGCCCGCCTGGCATTTGGCTTAGATATTCACCATATCCACTGGCATGCAAATGAGCAGCGGAACAGCGATTCCGCTGTTGCCAAGTTGCCATCGCAATTGCTATTCTGTGTTATTGCCGGTTAAGCGGGCGATAACACGGAATTACATACTAGACTATTAAAAGGCGTGCGTGACATTCAAGGGGGTTTGGATAGGGGGGATGTACTGAAAGCTGAAGACAAAAGCTAAACACGAGTGCGTGTCGGGGAAATTACAATGCACATTAATGCGTGAATCGGGAGCAGGCCTTAAAAAGGCCATTAGGCTTTTAATTACCGCTCAGCTAAGCAAGTGGATTGGAATATTGAATTTCAGTAACAATTCGAGAACAAAAGGCATCAGGAAAGTTTTCCGGTTTGGAAAAACCTGCTTGCTAGGCACTTTTTAATTCAATTATAACCTGATAATGCGACTTGCGGAATATTCAGGGAATTTAAGCGATCAAGAATATTATCTTTAATCCTAACTCAACAAGATGAATTTAAAAATCATATAATTATTTTACAAATTTTATATTTGGTTAGAATCATTTAAAATATCATAACAATAATTTAAATATAGATAATTAAATATTTTAAACAAAAAAATAATATGAAAATAAAGACAAAGATTGAGTAAAGCAAATTGTTTTTTTGATTTAACTTTTTACTTAGAACAATTATTTTTTTGTTCGTTTTGAGAGCAGTATAACTGTGAAGAACTAATAATTGTAATATTAATAACAACTTGAAGATTACGAGTTAAAAACCAAAATATTTTTGTAACTCTAACTTTAACATTTAACTCCAGATAAATATTACTAATACGATAAAAGGAAACTAATCAAATTTAGGTTAATAAGGGCCCACCTAATGTGTTGAACTACCAAATGGAAAAGCTATCTCCTGAGTAAACCTGCTCCTGAACAAATGCAAACCATTAAGTAAATGACATGTTTAAGCGCCTATTGATTTCCATGAAAATGCGATTTTCCCTGCAGGAAGCTTAATGGCGGCCATTTTGAGTGGCTGAGTATTTTTGGGGCGCGGCAAAAGAAGACGAAGAGGAGAGGAGGGGAGGGGAGAGGAGAGGAGAGGAAAGACAGGACATTATGACGTGTCCTCGTCGTAGGCGCCACGCACACTAGCAAGCTCAGCTTTTCGTGTGCGTGTGTTTGTATGTTTTTGCGGCGACAGCACGTGCACGTGCGCCCAAATGTATGTCACACCCACACACACACACTGGGAAAGCCAACTTACCGCCGTTCCTTCCTCAAAGGCCGCCGCCTCGAAGGACTTTTTTTCGAAAGTTTCCAATAGATCGTGTAGGTCCTGCTGCGTTACGTTGACCATGTTGTTTAGCGTCAGGCTGCACATTTTTGCGGCACTGCATTTACCGTTCGATTCCTTTTTATTCCGCTAATCACACACACGCACACACGCTCACTTTGCACTGTTACACTCGCAAAAAGATGCCGAATTTGCTTTTTTATTTTCTCTTATTGTGTTTTATCTGCTGCGTATTTGAGTCGCTTTTATCGCTTCTACGCCGTTTACACTTCGCGTTTCGCGTTTGTTTGCCTTGCTTTTTACGCCCTAAAAGAAGACGGCGACGTCATCAAAAATTCGCGGCCGCAAACGCTATCTAATTGGCCCTGCGCTCACGGTTCTATTGTTGTTGCTCTCGTCGTTGTTGCCTTCGATGCGCCCGCAATTCCGTTTGTAATAAAGTGTGCTTCGTAGTATTTTATATCCGCAGCGGAAGAAAGCGACAAACGGACAAACGTCAAACAGCGAACAAAAAAAACAACAAAAATAATGATAATGATATGACCGTACATGCATTTTTTGGTATTTTTGTAAACGTAGTGTGATACCATGACGTAACGTTTTCCAATAAAACAGTATTTTAATACCAATACGTAGGGCCATCGCAGACTTAACCCATGGTTTACGGCCAGGGTGAATTCTAGTTAAAGCATAAACCATTTGGTGTTCATAATTTGTATGTTCGCAGTTATGTGATTTAGTTTAGTTAATATATTTTCAACAGAGATGCAATTTTTATTGTAACGGCAACAAAATTGTCAAGATTAAAGTAATGTTTAAATGAAACATGGCATGAAACATGCGCTCTTCTCTTGAGTGACAAAACGATTAGATCCAACGGTTTTAGTCAGTTTATTAAAGTGTTTAACGGAGCTTACTTTTAAAAATTTTAATTTTGATGTTAATGCTCTTGTGTCACACAAGATAAATATTTATCACGAAGAAATATAAGTTTTTAGAAAAGAAATTAATTTGGTCATTCTGAATTTTCCGCCTAAAAGCGTTGACAAACAACTGATTAAGTTAAAATGAATACTGATTCATCGCTCGCAGCATAAGATAACCGTCCAGTTGATTTGTGCTCAGTAATTAGAGTGAACATGAGTTTGTGCTCCGTCTTGATTTTCACTTCCGATAGTCGTACTCCGACCTTCTTTTGACTTCATATTGGTAATACCGATCGTGTTGTTTGGATATAGTCTAGGATAGAAAATGAATAATACGTATCACTAGAAAGTTAGGACTAAACGAACTATAAATTTCTTTTTTGCAGAACCATAGAATACTTACTGCTTCCTTAAGAGTTTCAAAGTGCTTGGCTTTAAAATAAACAGCACGAATATGATGGTACCCATAGACCAGTTTAAGTAGTTACCCGCCATTGAAATCTTAGCCGAAAACTTGTACTTTTGCAAAAGAAATGATATAATCTCCAAGGTCCAGGGTAATCCCATGATGATAAAAAGCCGCAAATAAACGGTATAACTATAATGAAAAAATATAATAAGAGGTTAATTTAAAGCGTTTCATTAAAGCAGGGTCACATTTTTTTTTGTAAAGTGACACGCCTATCTTGCATTGGGCACACGTCGATTCTTCCTTGTGTTTGAAGAACTCCTGCATTAAAGTAAAGAATGTAAGTAATTACATTTGTTTCTCCGAGTTGTTCTTATTGGCATTCTTGACATTCTTCTTAACTCCCATTATACTGCGAGCCGTCAGGACAAACATGGTTATGTTGAATGCAATCAGCAGTATCATCGGTCCAAAGAAGTATATCAAGGCAGCATTATCTCCAGCTGTGGGTGAGAAGAGATGGAGCATGAAGACCCATCAACTTGATTGCCAATTGATATCGAAACTCACTGTAGATCCAACATTGGTTGGTGCCCATCCGAGGTGCCCAATCCTCCTCAATGACTTGGTCAGCTAGGATGGTGAAACATGTCATGGCTAGAGCCATGCCCCAAGCGTAGACATTGTAGCCGAGAAACCGATGCTTTGGCAAAAAGCGTTGCAACGAGTCAGGGGGAAGGGCTAAAGTGGTCCACAGATGAAAACTTATGACAGAAAGCCAAAAGAACGCGGCCATAACGAAAAAGTAGCCCAGGAATCCTATAGAGTATAAGTGCTGTTACTATGTGACTGTTTTGAAAGCATAGTCGATATAAGTACACCTGATGTAGTGCAGGAAATCGAGGGGAATTTCCACACGTTAAACAAGTTGAGGAGCAGTATTAGGTAACCCATGAAAAGGGCGACCATGTAGCACATGAAGCACTTGCCATGCAAATTCTGAAGCCTCTTGACGTACAGGTACACACTCATTGTAAGAACCAAAAATGTCATTGATATTAAAGTCACTGTGGAAAGAGGAAGGCTGTTAGAATCACGGAATACTTAAGCTGTGTTTAAATGGTTGGTTACCGATGCTCTGTGCCAATGGCGAGGCTTCAGAGTAAAGATGACAAAAGTGGGGAGCCATTCGAATACCATTAGCTTCGAAGTCAAAGTGCTGCACGCAATATTCCCGTTTGTCCAAGAAAGCCTCGTCCCATTGTCGGAAAAAGGTTCCATTCTAAGGAAGGGCAAAGGAGGTTAAATTTTTCAGCTTTAGCAACTTTGATTCTAAATCCACCTCAAATAGTTTGAAGCCGTTGCCGGGCAGTCTATGATCTATCCAGCTCATCTTATCCTCCCCACAGGGCATGGGCAGATCCGATTGCACAATTAGATCCTCCCTAAAGTGTCTTTTTGCCACCGTTCCGTCGTTGAGGGTCACGTTCATGTAGGGATTGTGACTTTTCAGTTCGTCCTTCGACATTTCATCACTGCACACGCTGTCATCTATTTTGTGATAGTGAGAGCAGCAAAATCTGATGCAGGGCTTCAGTTTGCAGACACATCCTCTCACGTGGCTCGACACTGCCTCCTTCGAGCCATCAGGCAAAGTCCTGAAGCTATATTCACCCACCAAATTGGCTGGAATGAGTAAGCCATCGTGTAGGTATGAACCGTTCGGAAACTTTTGACCATTTGAGATATCTACGGTGTCGTAGAAGTCGCAGTCGGGAATATCCGCAGTTGTTTTGTGTGCCAACAGCAAAATAACTGTGGCGAACGATACAGCAAGTAGGCACATTTTCTGGAAAATACCTAAAAATGAAAAAAATTGCCGATAGACTTTTAAGCAGACTACAGAGTTAAATCCACCTATTTCAGAACAGATTACAGGAGAGTTATTTCCAAGGGGCCTGCACTTAAAGACAAACCACAATCTTCTCGTAATTAATTCGTTACATATATGTACATAAAATTTACTTATAAAACCGAAAATTGGAGGAGAACATATAAACAGACAGAACTTCAGCGGTTCGCCGTATAAACTTTGACGTCTAGAAGCACAAGGAAAACTAAGAACTTCGAACTTTGTGGGTTCGAGTAGGGTTCAGTGATGACTGATGGAACTCATAGAATTCTTCTGAGTGTTTAAACAAGGAAGTGACGAGGCGACGAAAAGTATTTATTTTTTAAGCGATAAAGTCCTTACATATATTAGACATATACTCGTAAACTCAGTTTAGAGAAAATATGCATAATAATATATTTTCGGAAAACTAGAAACTAAACGCCAAACTTAATTTATGATAAATACATCTTATATATATACTCGTATATATATATATATCATAAATAAAATATATTTATAATTTTTATCGGCATAAGAAAAATAAGTTAAAACAAGGGAGAACAACGTTAATTTAAAAAGACAAGATCGACTCGTCAAGTGATCCAGATTGAGATACAATACTTTTCAACGGATATAACATATCCTTTTACTCAACAAACAAAGAATTAATTATTATATGTACATTAGGGTGGTTTTTTTTTGTATGAAAAATTCTAAGGTCCTACTCTCACCCCCTAATACTTTGCGCATTGGTGCATTTAAGACATACCAAAAAGAAAAAGTATAAAAAAATGCGATTTAGTGCTTGCGCATTGACCTTTAAGTTTATCACTCATACGAACTGTTGCCCTTGATCAAATATTTTAATTTCATATAGATGGCGTAGACTTGTCATCACTTATTGAGTCTAAACATAAAGGTAACCTTGTCACCTTTACAAACGGCTAAAGAAAAATAAAATCGCGATGGCAATATAAGTTCCAATATTTAAGGAAGTCGCACAAATCAAACAAATATTTTTTTTTATTTATCGCCCCCAAACTATACGCAGAATATGTGGATAAAAAGCTATTTAGATATTTTTAAAAATCTTAATGTACGTATCGTGGCCAAAAAAACACTTGCTAGGGTTTTATAACAAGTTTAGATCCCAAGTCGAAACCTAAATTTTTACTATAGTTTGTTTTCGTAGTCTAATGAATTACGTGGACTATTATTCAACAAAATCGTCTAGATCTACATTTATTGAATCCTTCATACAAACAGACGAACAATACAATATAGTTATACCGAAAATTCATAAATTTATTTATTTTGTTATATCCCTGCATTATAGGGTACAGGGTATTATAATTTCAGTCAAAAGTTTGCAACGCAATGAAGGAATGATTTCCGACTATATATTCTTGATCAGCATCACCAGGAGAGTCGATCAAGCCATGTCCGTCTGTCTTTTCTTGTTAAGTCGCGTTATTCGTCAAAGGACGTACTCGAATTTCCTTGCTCTCCCATACGCTAACCAGTATTTTTGAAACAAGCTGAGCACTTTCAGATAAGAAACTTTGTTTCAGAGGAACTGTCCTGTAGAGCAAAGTACGGTCCTCTTTGACGGCAAAGTTTCTTCTTCATCAAAATTGAAATTTAGCTTTCCAACCAAAAAAAGGTGCTCTCCATTTTGTTAACGATTATGAACGAAATCAAATATTTGACAAGTGTAGATATGGGAAAAGATTTGCCTACCCAAAACTCATACTGGCTTACGTGCCGTATGAGTAATTTTTTTGGAAACTTTGAGACCATTGCGCAAGCCCTTAGACTTAATTTAAAATTTTTTGGATTTTAGTTTAAGTTATTTTGCACAAATATCTTGTGTTTAAAAGGGTGAGATAAAAATTCCTTATAAAAAACCGCCCTAATGTACATGTTATTCTTTCTTCTGAGAACATTGTAAGTTAATCAAGGAGAGTCCTCGTAATAATCTTCTAGCCGTATGGTGGAAAGAAATAAGACATTCTATCTATGACTTTCAACTGCTTTGAAGCTCAATTCTGAAAGTCGAACTTGGGAGATCCCTCGATCTCGTTTTGTAGGCAGTCTCCAAGGATTTTGGATGTCGTCTAGAATAAAAGAGTAATTATAATGACGAAGCGCACCAGGAGAGTGTGCGAAGGCGACTACTATATATACACGAAGAAATGAAAATCTGCTGTGATAGTCAGATCGTAATGAGTAATACACCAATCGAAAGGTATTGCAAAAACTTAAAGGATTGCATACCAAGACTTTAAGAAAATCAATTGGATTGGGAGAGAGAGCGGTGAAAGTGAAAAAGTAAAAATTTAGAAATTTGGAGCTGTTGGGGCCGGTGGGGATAAATGCCCCCTCGCAATGATTTACTTGTATTCCTTTTGAAAATACCCGTCGAATGAGGGGTCATTTGTCAAAATCCGACGCTCCGTTCAAAAGTTATAGCCAAAATAAGATTTTCTTCTTCTTCCCAAAATGAAAATTTAATTCTGTTTGTCAGTTTGTCCACTTGTCCACTTGTCCACTTGTCCACTTGTCCAAAACATGTTTTTTAAGTTCTGAAAATTTGATATGACGTTCATCACATCGATATAAAAAACTTTTGTTCTACCACTTTTGGAAAAACTCGCTAGTTTAGCGGGAAAACAGCTATAAATAGCTAAAATTCGGAAAGCCGTAACTTCTATACTACTAAAGCTACAGACTTGTGCTGCATCTCGTTTGAAAGGTATTTTGAAATGCTATAAACGCCTTCTATATGCAATTTGTGTAAATGTAATAGTTAAAAAAATATGAACAAAAGACAATTTTTTAAAACTTTTTTTTTAGCTTTTTTTATTTTTCTCAAAAACGGCTCTAACGATTTTCTTTAAAACCTTAAACTGTATAGCCCTTGAGATTCCTTAAATTTTGGTATATAACACATTACTGTAAAAAGTCACGTTTAATAGTTATTTTTATACGAAAATAGCCACTGTTGCCAGCTCGAACAATTAACGCTCCCTGAGTATTGAATTTTGTGGGAGGGTATCCGAACTGTATTTTAGGGTCATGGAATCAGTAAATTTGCACTTAAGAGTTCCATATAGGAATCTTTTGTTCTACGACTTTTGGAAAAAGCCGCTACTTTAGCGGGAAAGAGCTAAAAATAGCTAAATTTCGTTAGTTTGTAAGTTCTACACTACTAAAGGTACAGACATGTGCTATACCTCGTTTAAAAGGTATTTTGAAATACTTCAACGCCTTTTTAACTCAATTTGTTAAAATACAATAGTTTAAAAATTATGATTGACCAATTTAAATTTAAATGTATATATTAGCTCCTATGAGAGCAAAAGTAAACAAACAAAAACTTCTGATATCAAATAAAAACACCTCTTAACGAGGTAAAAAACTAGTGACGACCGCACCTTCAACATACAAAAGTTCTGATATCAACATTTGTGACGAAAAATTATTACACTCGTCATTAAATAGACTTTCTAATATTTTCTCATTCGGCACGCTGCAATAGAAAATGCCTGTGCAGGGAAAAAGGTTGGAATAGTTTGCTAGGGCGGGCCGAATGAGAAAATATTAGAAAGTCTATTTAATGACGAGTGTAATAATTTTTCGTCACAAATGTTGATATCAGAACTTTTGTATGTTGAAGGTGCGGTCGTCACTAGTTTTTTACCTCGTTAAGAGGTGTTTTTATTTGATAATTCTGACAGATAAATACGGCTTAATAAACAAACAGGAAGCAACCACATTCAATAATGTAGGTAGTTGTGAAATGACAAACAAACAATTATTTAACAGTCATTCTTGCTGCTCATTAAGAAATAATAAATATTTTGGAGAATCGCAAATTACTTACTGCTCCTTCAAGAGTTTGAGAGTGCTACGCTTTAAAATAAACAGCACAAATATTATGGTTCCCTGAGAACCGTTTATATAGTCAGGCACTATTGAAAGATTATCCCAAAACTGATTCCCCTGCAGGGTAAAGAATATTAGCTCCAAGCTCCACGTCAAACCCATGATGATGAAGATTCGCAGGAATATGGTGTAACTGCAATATGATTGTGAAGGGTAATTTAAAGCAATAAAATATATGTTTTATACTATCATTAGAATTACTTTTCTTTCTCCGCATTGGGGTTTAACTTCTTAGCCTTCTTCTTTACATTTATTATAGCAAAAGCTGTCAGGGTAAACATAATTACGTTAAAAACAACCACTAGTATCATCGGTCCATGGTAGTAGAGATACGTAGAATGGCCTTCAGCTGTGGGTAAAGAGACTTAATCAAGACTAATCAACAACAACTTAATCATATCGAAACCCACTGTGTATCCAACATTGTGAGGTGCCCACACGAGGTGCCCATTCGTTGTTCTCAGTGACATTATCAACTATGATCGCAACACTTGTCATAGCCAGAGGCAATCCCCAAGCGTAACTGTTGTAGGCTCGAAACGGATGCTCTGGCCGGAAACGATACAAGTTGGACGGAGAAGAAAAAGTTATCCAGAAGTGAAAACTGATGACAGAAAGCCAAAAGAACGCGGCCAAGACGAAGAAATAGCTCAGGTATCCTAAATGCGAAATCATATAGAATGATGTTACTATTAACTGCTTTCTGCTAACCTGACGTAGAGCAGGCGTTCGACGGTTTCTTCCACACGTCCCACAAATTAAAGAGCACGAAGATGTAGCCCATGGACAGGGCCAACATGTAGCACATGAGGCTCTTGCCGGTCAGGTTCCGCAGCTTCTTAATGTAGAGGTACACGCTGGTCGTAAGAGCCATGCAAATCAACGATATAATCATCACTTTGGAAAGAGAAAAGCGGACTCAGTAAAGGAGCACTAAAGTTGTTTGGATTTCAGCTTACCGATGGTCTGCCCCCAATGCGAGGGAGCAGCTTTAGCTTCAGTTTCAGTTGCAGCTTTAGCTTCACGACCACAAAAGTGCGGAGCAATCCGAATGCTACCATTAAAATCATAATGCTGCACGCAGTATTCCCCCTTACCCAAGTACCAACCATAGTAAGGGATAAACAAGGTTCCATTCTAGGGAATAGCAACAGTGATAAAATTTTCCATTTACCATATATACAATCAAACCTCAAATAGTGAGAAGCCATTGTCAGGCAGGGTGTGATCTATATAGTACATGCCATCACAGGGCATGGGCAGATCCGATTGCACGATTAGATCGTCCTTAAAGTGTCTTTTTGCCACCGTTCCATCGTTGAGGGTCAGGTTCACATAAGGATTGTGACCTTTCAGTTCGTCCTTCGAAATTTCATCACTGCATACGCTGTCATTTATTTTATGATAGTAAGGGCAGCAAAATCTGAGGCAGGGCTTCAGTTTACAGACACATCCTCTCACGTGACTCGGCACGTCCTCTTTGGAGCCATTAGGAAAAAGCTTGAAGCTATATTCACCCACCAAATAGGCGGGAATGAGTAAGCCTTCATGTAGGTATGATCCGTTCGAAAACTTTTGATCTTTTGAAATGTCTACAGTGTCGTAGAAGTCGCAATTTTTAATCTCCGCTTTAGTTTTATGTGATAACAGCAAAATAACTGTGACAAGCAATCTCACGAGTAGACGCATTTTTTTTGAAAAATAACTGAAAACGGAAGTAAAGTCATTCTTAATAAAATCTAATGATAAGAGTTTAAAAAGTTAAAAAACAAACAAAGAAAGAGGTATATACAATATCCAATTCAGGGCTGCTTGTACTTACCCATTTAAGGCAATAAAATCTGGAGATGGAGAATATCAACTTTATATGCCTAAGCTCAAGGATAACTAAGACCTATAAATTAAAGCTCCTTAACTATGTCAGCTCGACAACGTCTCAGTAATGACTGATTAAATTTATACAAAAAAATATTATTCATTATGAGTGTCATAAAAATATCTGTTTAAAATTTAAAAATCTCGCCTTTAAATTGCCAATTGACAACAAATTTTCTTATTTTAGAAAATTTGCTTTTAGATCTTGAAATGTTCTATATTTAAAGGTGATTTTACTGAAAACAAAAACTTTTTTGTCCGTTTCCAACGGTTGGCAATTCAAAATCAAGATTTCTAAAGTGAAAGTGAGTAACTCCCATTCTGAGTACAATACAAAGAATACAATTCACTAAATTGTGCACATAAAACGCAAAAGGGATAACTTCTCGGGAAATCAGACTTTTAAACTGAGAGAACCGTATTTTTCTAAGTAGAAAACTTGATTTTATGTGCCCGTTAATCAGCTTGCGAAGGATTATTTCGTGTTCAACGATCGTCTATAACAACAAGTCGTGATAATTCTAAAAAATAAATAGTGCTTTAAGCTAAAAATTTTTTTTAAGGAAATACCAAAGAAGTTGGTCAGAAATGAATTCTTATTTTTTCCATAAAAAACATTGAGAGTTGATATGCTTCATACAAAAATAGTTTTAAAATGTTTTGTTTCGGAATATTATTTTCAATTAATTAAATTGTAAATTTTTAATTTTATCTGTTCAAAAATATATATATAGAAAATATTTTCACTTTCTAAGATAAGATTGTGTTACCTTAGACTCTCCCGTACACTTTAAACTTAAAAAAAACTCTACTGTAAAGAAATAAGAACAATATTTAAAAATGCAAAGAAATCTATTTTTATTTTAATGAAAAACCAAAAGGACGTTATGACCCGAGATCACGCGTTCAAAAAATTCGACAATAGTAGCTTAATTTATATATTAAGATTTTACAAATTATAATTTAGTTAGTAATAGGAATAAGTAGTTTAGCTCCTGAGTACAATGTGAGGTAATTAAAACTGGTAGTGAGTGTGAGTGCTGCGCCGATGAGTTGTCCTTGTAACTTAGAGAATATCCCAGTCGTAGGTTAGGTAGATGGAGACCCATCCATAACTTCCAACTAGTTCTACGCTCTGTTATAATACACACCCTCACTTCCGCAAGTCGTACTTCCAACTTCCTTCGATCTTGTAGTTATGGCAGTCCACATTTGTTTTGGATGGCGTCTAGGATGTAAGAGGGATTATAAGTGGGACAGAAAAATAAAAATATAATACATAAAATCATGCAACATTAAATTGAGACAAACACCAAAAAGAAAGCAAGCACATTGAAAGGTTATAAGCCACAAACAATCGTGAGTCAAGACATATATCGTGCAATCAAGTTGAATTAGCATAGTGACATTCCACACTCAGTAGTAGAAAAATGCGGGTTTCCATCACCAAATTACCAACAAAAATAACTCTCTTTAGATTACCTATTACAGAACACTTGGGTCAAATTTCGTATTCTCAAGCGAGATCTGTTCTTCGCTGTCAGGGTCTTCATTGTTCTCACCCTTAATTCTGCTCATTCAGAGATAATATGGGGACCTGATTATTTAAACTTTTTCCACAATCGCAGATTACTTACCGCTCCTTTAAGAGTTTCAGAGTGCTGGGCTTCAAAATAAAAAGTACGAATATAATGGTGCCCTGGGACCAATTTAGGTAGTCAGCCACCTGGAAAACGCTACCCCAGAACTCGTTTTTCCGCACAAGGAAGGATACTATCTCCAAGCTCCAGGTCAAACCCATGATGATGAAGAGCCGCAAGAAGAACGTGTAACTGTCATGGGATTATACAAGTTAATTAACCCTTTAAAATATATAAATATCATAGTTTAGATAAGTATTACGTTCGCATATCCGAGCTGAGCTTATTGTTCCTTCGTTCCTGTTGGGCAAAGTTCCTGACCTCCTTCTTTACTTTCATTATGCGAATAGCCGTCAGGATAAACATGGTTATGTTGAATGCTATCAGCAGTATCATCGGTCCAAAGAAGTATATCAAGGCAGCATTATCTCCAGCTGTGGGTGAGAAAAGATGGAGCATGAAGACCCATCAACTTGATTGCAAATTGATGTCGAAACTCACTGTAGATCCAACATTGGTTGGTGCCCATACGAGGTGCCCAGTCCTCCTCAATGACTTGATCAGCTAGGATGGTGAAACATGTCATGGCTAGAGCCATGCCCCAAGCGTAACCGTTGTAGGCCAGAAACCGATGCTCTGGCAGGTAGCGGTTCAAAGAATGGGAGGTCCCGCTAAACGTATTCCAGAGGTGCAGACTGATGACGGAAAGCCAAAAGAACGCGGCCATGACGGAGAAGTATCCCAGGATTCCTATAGATGATATCGGAAACTATATAGCTGCCTGTACCTGTATAATAGCCAAATTTAACCTGATGTAGTGCAGGGGATCGACGGTAATTCCCACACGTTCCACAAGTTGAGCAGCAGAAATAGGTAACCCATGAAAAGGGCGACCATGTAGCACATGAAGCACTTGCCATGCAAATTCTGTAGCTTCTTGACGTAGAGGTAAACACTGATGGTAAGAACCATACATATCAACGATATTACCATCACTGTGGAAAGAGAAGGACTGTCAGGATCAAGGAACACTTGAGCTGTATTCAAATGTTTTGTTACCGATGCTCTGTGCCAATGGCGAGGCTTCAGAGTCAAGATGACAAAAGTGGGGAGCCATCCGAATACCATTAGCTTCGAAGTCAAAGTGCTGCACGCAATATTCCCGTTTGTCCAAGAAAGCCTCGTCCCATTGCCGGAAAAAGGTTCCATTCTAAGGATGATTAAAGGGGGTTAAAATTTTCCAACTTTAGCAACTCTAGAATCAGATTCACCTCGAATAGTGTGAAGCCGTTGCCAGGCAGAGTATGATCAATCCAGTGCATCTTCTCCTCCCCACAGGGCATGGGCAGATCCGATTGCACTATCAGATCCTTCTTGAAGTGCTTCCTGGCCACCGTTCCGTTGCTGAGGGTCACGTTCACGTAGGGATCGTGTTTGTCCTTTTCGAGCTGCGACATTTCCTCTTTGCACACGCTGTCATCTATTTTGTGATAGTGAGAGCAGCAAAATCTGATGCAGGGCTTCAGTTTGCAGACACATCCTCTCACGTGGCTCGACACTGCCTCCTTCGAGCCATCAGGCAAAGTCCTGAAGCTATATTCACCCACCAAATTGGCGGGAATGAGTAGACCATCGTGTAGGTATGAACCGTTCGGAAACTTTTGACCACTTGAGATGTCTACGGTGTCGTAGAAGTCGCAGTCGGGAATATCCGCAGTTGTTTTGTGTGCCAACAGCAAAAGAACTGTGGCAAGTAATCCAGCAAGAAGCCGCATTTTCCGCTAAGAAGCTGAAATCAAAATTATTAAAATAATGCTCATATATAAATAACTAAATTTTTAAATGCAATAATGCCTAATAAGGATATTTGTGGGTTAATTTAATACTTTTCCGTATGAATCTAAAATGTACATTTAGAATAAGTGATTTGTATTGTAATGTGTAGTAAAACCGACTTCCTCACTGTTCAGTAATTTTGAGGGTCACTTTTCTTCATACTCAATACATTTTTGACAATAAAAGCTGCTTAAAAGAGCGTAAATTAATTAATAAAAACGTTTTATGCTACTTCTAGATTTGGGTGACACGAGCCGAACTTTTAATTTGCATTTACGATCATTTTGCGAATATATGGGTGTGGACTTTTTATACCCGCTACTCGTAGAGCAAGAGAGTATATTGTATTCGTGCAAAAGTATGTAACAGGTAGAAGGAAACGTTTCCGACCCTATAAAGTATATATATTCTTGATCAGGGTCACTAGCCATTTCCGTCTGTCTGTCCGTCTGTCCGTATGAACGCTGAGATCTCGGAAACTACAAAAGCTAGAAAGTTGGGATTACCCACACATATTCTTGGGATTCCTACGCAGCGCAAGTTTATTTCAGCCGAGCGCCACGCCCCCTCTAACGCCCACAACCGCCTTAAACGATATTGTGTCTGCCGTCCACGCCTTTAAAGATTTCGAAAAGTGAAAATACAGTTTTATTGTGTTTATCAATGCCTATCGAAATGTAGAATCGGACAATTCATTAATATGTTATGAGCAAAAAATGAAATGGCCACTAGATGGCGCGTATCACCATCTCCCTAGCACTTCTTTAGCTGAGTAACGGGTATCTGATAGTCGAAATACTCGACCATAGCGTTCTCTCTTGTTTGATTTGGCGATGGACACATTTATCCATTATTGACTAATTTTCAATAAGTTTTGTGTGTATATAAATTAGGTTTATTTGGGGGAGGATCCCTTTTCAGTTCCACCCCCTTGATCCGCACTACATCAAGCTTTTTTATTTTTCTTTGCTTTTTAGATTTATAGATTACGTTCTTGAAATGCTTTTTCAACTTCCTGAATAGTAAATACATACATATATGGTCAGTGAGCACGAGTGTATGTCATGGAATACAATACACCCATGCTCACTAAACATGTACATATGTATTGTACATTTATAAATGCTATACGTCTGTACGCTTAAAATGGATCACATTGTTTGATTTTTATTGCGTCCGATTCCAAAGAATCATTTTAATAGTCGTTTTTATACCCGTTACTCGTAGAGTAAAAGGGTATATTGTATTCGTGCAAAAGTATGTAACAGCTAGAAGGAAGCGTTTCCGACCCCATAAAGTATATATATTCTTGATCAGGGTCACTAGCCGAGTCGATCTAGCCATGTCCGTCTGTCCGTCTGTCTGTCCGTCTGTCTGTCTGTCTGTCTGTCTGTCCGTATGAACGCTGAGATCTCAGAAACTACAAAAGCTAGAAGGTTGAGATTTTCCACACATATTCTTGGGCTTCCTACGCAGCGCAAGTTTATTTCAGACGAGCGCCACGCCCCCTCTAACGCCCACAATCGCCCACTAACGATTTTAAAATGTGCCTGGCGGTCACACCTTTAAAGATTTCCGAGAAGTATAAATGCAATTTTGTTGTGTATATTTATACCTATCGAAATGTAGAAGACATTTTTTAAATCGGACCATTCATTAAAAAGTTATAAGCAATCCAAAAATATATATCCATCTCCCTCGCACTCCCTTTAGCCGAGTGACGGGTATTAGATAGTCGGGACACGAACCCGACTATAGCGTTCTCTCTTGTTTTCTAGTCTATTAATTAATATTTTATATAATACAATTCTAAACATACGAATTCGTTTCGCAGAACTTTTAAATTAGAATTCTCCGAATTGTGTAGAATTCTTCGAATTGTGTACATTAAAAATTCACAGAATTGGCAGACCGCTTCATTTTGCATAAGAACCACTTTTTAATGTTCATTAGAAACATTTTTTATGTGAACATCATTTCCTTATAATCAGAATCTTGTTATTTTGCCAGCTAAATGTACATATGTAAAAGTAATAATATTATATTTCTATAATTTGTATAACATTCTGAAATTTTCCAAAGTATGTATGATATAAAACAAGAACAGCTACTTACAATAAACATAAAAAAAGAACAGATAAATTTTTAAAATATGATACGAAAGGCAGTTAGAACCCATATTTTATTGCTTTCTAGGCGAATGCATTAGCCATATCTGAAGTAGAATTCATCCATTCACCACTGGAACCGACTTTATAGATATGTATGTATGTACGTTAGGGCGGTCCAAAAAATGAAATTCTTTTCTCACCCCTTAACATGGTATATTAAAGTATTCAAAATATGTTTGTGAAAACAAAACAATTTTTTTTCGAGATTTAGACCTTGCGAAACGTCTTCAAAAGTTTGCTTTAAAATTACTCATACGACATGTATAACAGTTCGAATTTGGTCGAAAAAAATCGCTCTCCCATTTCTTGTCGTGTCAAATTATGAATTTCGTTGGAATAATTGGTAAAAAAAAGGAGAGCAAAAAATCTACTGAATTGTTGATATCCATGCCACCTTGATCAGAAAAACTTTTTGATCGAAGGCAACAATGCGTATGGGTGATAAACTTTGTAACCAATTCGCAGACCCTAAAACACGATTTTTTTAAAAATTGTCTTTTGGTATACCTTGAATACCACAATGCGCACCGTATAAGCGGGTGAGAGTAGGACCTTAAAAATTACCATACAAATGTGGACCGCCCTAATGTACGTGTACGTGTTCCATAATCTTTGCAAAAGGTATACATATATAAACTGTTTGTTTTGAACCGGCAAACTTGACATCAAACCACTTTAGCGTTATACATACATATGTAAATACATAGTACATATGCTCTCCCATTGCTTGCGTTAAATAAGAGCATCCGGCACCTGACGAAAGTTTTTATACTCTCTTTAAACACGTGAAACTTATTATTCTTTTAAATGAAATACATCTGCTGGCACACCAAAAAACCTCAAACTTTAGGTTGTGCAGTGCTGAATTTAAATACTGATAAACTTTGGAGGTGAAGCAAAAACACTCACCAGACTGGTAGTACGGACACAATCGTGTTTGTTTTGAGACTAAATTCGCTAAAGTTCGGTTGCTGATAGTCGCCAAATTTTTGAGCACCAATACATGTAGAAATTTCAGAGAATTATACTCTTGCAGAGGGTATTTTATCTGCTAAATCTGTTGACGACTACATAACTGAAAATTACTCTCTTCTGAGTCAGTTCCTTTTTTAGTGGTTTACCATTAGATTTTGAGGAGTAATGGCAAAAAAAAAAAACTTACGAGATTGTCCAATTTTTTTAAACATATGGATATATATATCATTAGCTTTACGATCAATTCAATGAAATTATTGCGATAGAGAAAATTCGATTTTCGGCTATAGAAATCCGACTGAATAACACACACGCACTTTTTTGTGTTGGGAGAGAGAGAGAGACTTATCTACATAAAACATACACAGGGGCGGATTAAGACAATTCGCCGCCGTAGGCATGTTTGATTTTGCCGTCCTAGACTGCAGCCTAATTTTCGCGGATCTACTAGTCTACAGGTCACTGGGTAGATCCGATTTTTATGAAACCAAGTTTGTTTTTGTAAGAAATAATGTAGAAACTTTCTAAAAGCATCATGATGATCGAAGCATTACTTTTTAAGATACACGATCCGCAGCAGAGAAAACATGACTCATTCCTTAACAAACTATTCTACCAATTTGAGAAATAAAAAAAAAACTTTTTTTTTCTATGTGTATCTTCCTCCTTAGCAGTCGAAATTGGCCGCCCCTGAAAATTTGCCGCCCTATACGGCAAATCCAGCACTGAATATACATATGTATAGCGTTCCATCTTCTTCTTTTTTTATTGGTTTGCAGTCAAGGCAACGATTCGTCGTCTGCCAGACGTTCTTTCGGGTCGTGTTAATGAACGCTTCTTTTTGGCGTTTATTATAAAAAAAAAAAAGAATTGATATATGATTCATATTTACTCATAGCCACTTCTCTAGAATCCACTTAAAAGATATTTGTTTAATTTTTTTAAGGAAATTCGTTGCATCATCGCAAACAATTTGGAATACATACAAACATAACACGTGTACACTTCGGTCGAACTAATAGCACCGAAGATTTTGCTTTATTACTTTCATCAAGAACATATGGGCACTTCCAAAAAAAAGTCCACCAAGCCAAAAACCTTGAAACTTGAATAAAACGTATTTCCACATGATTTTGCCCCGATATTAGTTTCTAATTAGTTGGATACTGAGCTTAACTACAAATTTGGAGTATAGTTTGATTATTTTTATGACAAACCCCACCAATATACGCAAAAATCAGTTTTTGGCTATTTTTTTGTTATTTTTTGGACCTGTCTTCTGTTGTTATTTTATCCTATAGGAATGCTAATATGTGACATTTTTCTGTACTGAATGCTTCATTGACATGCTAAACTGTTAAGTTAAAAGCAAAACATCCAGCAATTGAGAGATAGAGGTAAAGAAATCCGCTTTACAAAACAGTCGGAAAAAATGTCCCGAGCGACATGTCCCGAGCGAATGTGGTTGAACCTGCATTAAAAAAAAACGGCTAAGAATTTTTGAGTAAAACCAAAAGCATTTCACAGCGACATGTTTGAACAACATTCTAAAAAAAATCGCATTCAAATATTCCATCAGAATTTGCTAATTTCTGGTGTTGTATGAACTTCCCCGAAATCCACTTCTATTTTTGTCCCGAGCGAATACGGCAGTTTTTTACCGATATCTCAAAAACTAAAAGTGGTACAAAATTAAGATTTTTACCAAAAATAGAGCTTGGGAAGAGTGAAAAGAAAAGCCCATAATTAAAATTAAAATCCATTGTTTTACAATTTTTTTTCAACTTTAAAGGTGTGCAAATGTCCCGAGCGACATTTTGGAAGTGCCCATATACACTTTATGGGATCTTCTGTTGCATACTTTTTCACAAACACAATATACCCTTTTACTCTGCGAGTAACGGGAATAGAAACTGAACTCTGGATCTGAAGATTGTTGAAATCGCGTACATCCTGACATCATCGCTTTCGGCAATTTGCACCAAAAATTCGGAATTTCCCATTGGAAACGTTAGGCTTTGAAAATCCTAATCTTAAATTATTTAAACAATACGTTTTTTTAAATGTTACCCATTAACCAGCATACTACTGAGGATGAACAATTTGTCTATAAGGCTAAAATTAGTTTATTCATTCTTACAAAAATGTTTTTTCATTATTTTTTTATTATACCTTTAGCTTCTGAGTGAGATAATTAGTTCCTAGTGATTTTGAATGCTGCGCCGAAGAGGTTGTCCTTTGAGCTAAGATAATCTTCCAATAGAATTGAGGTAGAAATGAGAGTTCCTAACTATAACCTCCAACTTAAGCCAGGTTAACTTTAATACTTTGTATCACCCTCATTTGTGTTTTGGATGGCGTCTAGGATGTAAAAAGCGTTATAAGTAAGTGGGATAGAAAAATATAGATTAGTAAACTAAAAAATCAAGCAAACATTCAATTAAGAGGAAGCAAACACATTTAAAGGTAATAAGCAACAAACAGTCGTGATTCAAGACATACATATATCGTGCAAGCCCGTTGGATTAGCAAAACGACATTCCACACGTAGGTAGTAGTAAAATGCGGGTTTCCAACACAAAATTATATAATATAACATTCTTTAGATTACCTATTGCAGGATACTTTGGTCAAATTTCGTATTCCCAAGCGAGATTTGTTCCTCGTTGTCAGGGTCTTCGTCTTTATTACCCTTAATGCTGCTCATGCAGTGATAATTTTGGGACCTGATTACTGAAACTTTTTGCAGAATCACAGACTACTTACCGCTCCTTCAAGAGTTTTAAAGTGCTAGGCGTCAAAACGAATAGAACGAATATGATGGTGCCCTGAGAACTGTTTATATAGTCAGGCACTATTGCAAGTTTATCCCAAAATTGATTCCCCTGCAGGGAAAAGAATATTAGCTCCAAGCTAATATATGACCAAAGGATACTTTGGTCAAATTTCGTATTCCCAAGCGAGATTTGTTCCTCGTTGTCAGGGTCTTCGTCTTTATTACCCTTAATGCTGCTCATGCAGTGATAATTTTGGGACCTGATTACTGAAACTTTTTGCAGAATCACAGACTACTTACCGCTCCTTCAAGAGTTTTAAAGTGCTAGGCGTCAAAACGAATAGAACGAATATGATGGTGCCCTGAGAACTGTTTATATAGTCAGGCACTATTGCAAGTTTATCCCAAAATTGATTCCCCTGCAGGGAAAAGAATATTAGCTCCAAGCTAATATATGACCAAAGGATACTTTGGTCAAATTTCGTATTCCCAAGCGAGATTTGTTCCTCGTTGTCAGGGTCTTCGTCTTTATTACCCTTAATGCTGCTCATGCAGTGATAATTTTGGGACCTGATTACTGAAACTTTTTGCAGAATCACAGACTACTTACCGCTCCTTCAAGAGTTTTAAAGTGCTAGGCGTCAAAACGAATAGAACGAATATGATGGTGCCCTGAGAACTGTTTATATAGTCAGGCACTATTGCAAGTTTATCCCAAAATTGATTCCCCTGCAGGGAAAAGAATATTAGCTCCAAGCTCCACGTCAAACCCATGATAATGAAGAGTCGCAGGAATAAGGTAGAACTATTATAGAATTATGAAAGGTATTTAAATGGTTAAAATTTATATAGTATTATCATTAGAATTACTTTTGGCTGTCCGCATTGATCTGTTGGTTTCTTCTGTTCTGTTGGGCAAAGTTATTGACCTCCTTCCTTACTTTTGTTATACGAATAGCTGTCAGGATAAACATAAATATGTTGAAAACAATCAGCAGCGTTATTGGACCATGGTAGTAGAGATAGGTAGTATGGTCTTCAGCTGTGGATGAGAAGAGAACGAGGATTAATGCCCATTAACTTAGTGGCAAATGGATGTCGAAACCCACTGTGCATCCAACATTGTGAGGTGCCCACCCGAGGTGCCCATTCCTTGTTCTCAATGACAAAATCAGCTAGGATGGTGACTCCGCTCAAAAGCAGAGGCGTGCCCCATGCGAAACTGTTGTAGGCCTGAAACCGATTCTCTGGGAGGAAGCGGTTAACCGAATGGGAGGCACCGCCAAACGTATTCCAGAGGCGAAAACTGATGACAGACAGCCAAAAGAACGCGGCCAATATGAAAAAGTGGCCCAGGAAACCTGTATCATATACATAGGAAAAAGTGATTATAATATAAAACTGCTTAATAGCTAGAGTTAACCTGATGTAGTGCAGGCGCTCGACGGCTTCGCCCACACGTCCCACAAGTTAAAGATCAGAAATAGGTAACCCATGAAAAGTGCGACCACGTAGCACATGAGGCACTGGCCGAGAAGGTTTCGCAGCTTCTTGACGTTAAGGTACACACTGATCGTTAGAACAATACTTATCATTGATATTATCATCACTGCGGAAAGAGAAAGGCTTTCAGGATCAGGAAACACTTAAGCTGTTTAAATGTTAGCTTACCGATGATCAACCCCAATTGCGAGGGAGCAACTTTAGTTTCAGTTTCAGCTTTAGCTTCAGGATCAGCAGGGCAAAAGTGGGGAGCAATGCGAATACTATCACCTTTGAAGTCAAAATGCTGCACGCAATATTCCCGCTTACCCAAGTACCAACCGTAGTAAGGGATAAACAAGGTTCCATTCTGAGGAAGAACAACAGCGATAATACTTTTTCCATTTACCATATATACCATCAAACCTCAAATAGTGAGAAGCCATTGTCAGGCAGTGTGTGATCTATATAGTACATGTCATTACAGGGAATGGGCAGATCCGATTGCACGATTAGATCGTCCTTAAAGTGTCTTTTGGCCACCGTTCCATCGTTGAGGGTCAGGTTCACGTAGGGATTGTGACTTTTCAGTTCGTCCTTCGACATTTCATCACTGCAAACGCTGTCATTTATTTTATGATAGAGAGGACAGCAAAATCTGAGGCAGGGCTTCAGTTTACAGACACATCCTCTCACGTGACTAGGCACGTCCTCTTTGGAGCCATTAGGAAAAAGCTTGAAGTTATATTCACCCACCAAAAAGGCGGGAATAAGTAAGCCTTCATGATGGTATGATCCGTTTGAAAACTTTTGATCTTTTGATATATCTACAGTGTCGTAGAAGTCGCAGCCGGGAATATCCGCAGTTGATTTGTGTACCAACAGCAAAAGAACTGTGGCAAGCGATCGAAGTAGTAACCGCATTTCGCGTAAAGAAACTGAAAATAAAAATATTTTACGAGATTAAGCCGATATGATCTGGTCAATTTCATATTTTTTCATATCACTTTGATACTTTTTTTATTTTTGATTATTTATTTCCTTAAAACTACATTAGGTATTTAAAAAAGAGATGGACCGATCTAACACACATACATTTGTAGGTTTCTATTGTTTTGATTTTTATATTTATTGGAATATGTTTTTGGAATACTTTTTCAACTTCCTGTGTTCATATGTATATGTCTGAATTCATTCATATATATGTGTGCTATGTATGTAAATTAGATTGGTATGGAGACAAGAATATTGATAAGTCGTGAGAGAGAACAAAATCAGGGGGCACTAAAATTGATAATGCAAGTTTAAAGCGGAAATCATTTTTGACCCACATATGAATTTACTATTAATTATAATTAATAATAAATATTATTTCTATGCATACCAATTTACATTAATTTTCGTCAGTAAAAAAAATATTAAAAAAATATTAAAATATTATAATAAATCTTTATAAGTATGTATTCTTTAATCTTTGCTAAGAGTATAAAATGGTGGCAAGGGTATCCCACTGTTTGTTTTAATCGACGTACCGGCAATTAGAAATCAAACAACACGACCGCTACGCATACACATTCATAGATTGTTAGTTTTAGCAGTCGCTATTGCTTTATTCACTAAAAACTAATAATTATTTTACATTAAGGTTAACCCTAAGACTGGCTTACAAAAAGCCTCAAAGGGCTAAACTTAAAAACTGACACACTTAGGAAACAGAAGCACTCACCAGATTAGGTAGATATGAACACAATCGCGTTTGTTTTGAGACTGATTCCACATTTCGGCTGAGACTTTCGCTGCCCATTCAACAGCACTAATACATGCGTACATAGATGTAGACTTCTTAGAATTAAAAAATTGCAATTTATACCCTTGCAGAGGGTACATTGCCTCCTACGAAAGGCTGGTGAACCAGAGATGGGGTTTCTTATTTTTTTTTTTCATACTAGTTTTAAAACTGTCTAATATTTTTAAGCAGACAACTAACAAGAAATGACAAAGTTATAGGTAATCAATGTTTAAGAAATTGCACTAGTTTAAAAATTATTATATTTAGCATCACATCTACATATATCACATACATTTTTTGGTTGAGAGAGAAAGAGACTTCAGTTGAATCGGTATACCCCTTACTTCTCAGGTATATTGGTTAATTTTTGCCAAATTTTCTTTAAAATACTTCAAATATTGGCCATCAATTTTGATGTAAGAAGAGTCAAGGGTATGTAATAGTCGAGAAATATAAATATAGCGTTCCAGCATGTTTCTTGCAGTCAATAAAAATAATAATCGTGGCGTGTTATGAATAAATGAATTTTTTTGCTTTTTTTTTAAAAAGAAAACCCGTAAGATAAATGATTCAGACAGACAGACAGACATGGCTAGATCGACTCGGCTAGTGACCCTGATCAAGAATATATACTTTATAGGGTCGGAAACGCTTCCTTCTACCTGTTACATACTTTTGTACAAATATAATAACCCCTTTTACTCTACGAGTTATACCCGTTACTATAACCAAATATGCACGCATAATTTTATTTTATCCTTCGAAATTTGACGTAGTTTAAATGGTCTTTCTCCCAGTATATACAGCATTCCCGGATCTACGGAGGGTCATATATCACCCCCCATTCGGGAGAGAAATTAAAGGAATTTTGGTATTCAAAAAGTATGCAATGAAAAATGGTTTTGATATTATCACCAAAAACAAAATCCTGGACTAAGCTGTTCACACTCTACATTCGCTTACACTTGGAGAAAATATTGAAAACGAATTCCAATATATAAAATATAAAGAAATAAATCTAAATAATCAAATGAATCATTTGAAAAGAGTCAAAATTGGTATATCCCAACTGTCTCACGTCTCGTATGAGTAATTTTTACGAAATTTAAGAACACTAAGAGCCGTTTTCTTATCCGCCTGTTAAATTTAAAGTTGGGTTAAAACTCGGATTTCTCATACGATTTAACATTTTTACTGTAGAACGAGAAAACGGCCTTAGACCACTAAAAGCCGTTTTAATTTTCATTCGCATATTAAGGTTAAAGTAAGGTTTAAATTCGAAATTCCCATACGTTTTCAAAGTTTAATCCATACTTTAAATAAGTCATGCGGACAAGAAAACGGCCGTAAATCTACCATATTTAACGGTGAGATAAAGTTTATATTTTTCGACTACCATAGGTTGTGAGTATAAATAAGTAGATTTAATTACAATTTAAAGTCGTTTCTAAAAAGGTTAGTAAAAGCTATAAATAAAAGAAAGATGAGTAATCGGGGTCAAACCCATGGCATATTTTCACTGGTAAATCCCCGTTCTCTGATAAGACCTAAGCTTGATTCATTTCGTTTCAGTTCGATTCTGTCCAGCGCGCGATGAAGTTAGGGATTCTTTTGCTTGCTCTGTTCCTTTGCCACTGGACCTATTCCCAGTTTCTGGAGGAACCCTGTGGAACTACAGTAGGACCCAGAATTAACAACGGCCAGGATGCTAAAATAAATTCATCCATCTGGATGGCAGCCATTTTCAATCTCACACATTTTCAGTGTGGCGGCACGCTTATTCATTTCCGTTCGTATTCCTATATATTATCCGTTAGCGAGATATTGTGTAATAATTAATAACATTTTTGCGCAGGCTTTATTTTAACAGCAGCTCATTGCATGGATAGTGGATACAAGCTGTAAGTACCCTCGAATAATATATTTTATAAATACAGTTTATGATGAAATGCTTGAATTAAGAACAAAGAACCACACATTATAAAATTTTTAATATTTTATATAAATTACAGATACGTTAACTTGGGAGCTTACAATAAGAGTAGCTATACGTTCAGGCAAACGGTCAGTCAACAGATTAAGCACCCGGAATACAACTATTGGTCTAAAAAGAATGATATTGGCCTGCTTAAACTGTCCAACAGCGTCGACTACAATGGCAAGTAAACTTAATAACTGTTTGGCAGACTTTGTTGACGCATTTGCACTTCTCTGCAGATCGTGTTCGACCTATTTGCATTTTTTTGGATCCGAATATTAAGCGTCAAGTAGAGAACTTGCACACCTTTAATGCCTTTGGCTGGGGTCTTAAAAACGGCACTGAGAGCGATATACTGCAGACCATCATTCTGAACCAGAAACATCATAACGAGTGCAACCACGTCTTAAAAAATACACTCAATTCGAAACAAATTTGCGCAGGAAACCCAGTTGGTGACACCTGTCGTGGGGATTCTGGAGGTCCATTGACCAATACTTTATCGTATAACCAAAACATGAAACGTGAAACACAGTTCGGGATCGTAAGCTATGGAGCACCATTATGCGATGGACTGGGAGTGTATACTGATGTGACGAGCTATGTCGATTGGATCAGGGGAACCATCTCGAGCTATGGTTTTCAAAGTTCCCGGCCAGTAATCCCATTTAAACCGCCAGTGTCTCAGCCAGTTCATCCGGTTGTTCATCCGGTGGTTCATCCGGTGGTTCATCCGTTGGCTAAGCCGGTGGGCGATCCAATGAGACCATGGGTTCGTCCTGTTCTTCAACCCGATTTGGTTGCTCCGATGGGTAATCCCCATTTTCCTGTGATGTTTAGTGGCTGCAGTGAGAATAGCAAGTCGGCGATCATACGGCCTACGATTTATGGACCTGGTTTCGAGGCTCTGGGCGTGTTGATTACAGATCGTAAGTAAATATAATCATTTAACATAAGTTATAATTTAGCGGAATTAATTTTTTAAGATTTTTCAATAATAAAATCTTTTGATTTTCAGGATTTGTCGTAACAGTTGCCACAGACTTGCCAAAAAATCCGGCCTCTTTGTAAGTTGGAAGACTAAATTAATATAATCCGGAGTATCACAGAAGACTCTTAAACCATAACGGATTTTGGATGAAAGAGATTTTTGTGACACGCCGGAATATAAAGTACCATTAAAATCATACATCAGTTAATTTATAATATTTTCAAATCATTCTGATTCATTATCAGGGAAGTGTCGATAATGATGGGAAAAAACTATGCAGTATACAGAGTTGATTCGGTTTTGAAGCACCCACAAAATACGGAAGGTTACAAGAACGACATAGCTCTTCTAAAACTCACTGAAGCAGTGAGAAGCCAAGGTAACTATATTTTTTGATCGGGAGTAGCTCTTGCTCACATACTCTCTGTTTTTCAGATGGAATGAATCTCAACTGTTTTAATGCGAACCAGCAAAGTATCAGAAGTTTTCCATTTATTTTTGACCATGTGACACAGAATGAATTTACCGTTCAGCCCTTGACTATGTGTTCAGACTATATCGGATCTGAAATCAATCAGAATCAACTTTGTGTGGTAGATCCTCCCGGGATAAGTCGGCCCTACGATAAGCGAGGCGACATATTGGTTACCAAGATAATCGTATATGGTAGAATACGTTACCAATTGTTGGGAATTGTCAGTTATTCATCTGATGGCATTCACGTATTCACAAATGTTATCAAATTTATGAATTGGATCGCTTTTACCATTAATAATGCACTTAGGTCTTAACTTGTTATTAGAAAATATTTACATAACAAAACAAGAGAGAGTAACTGCACTGCCTCAATTCCATTATTTGCTCATAACTTTTAAATGAATTTACTCTACGAGTAACGGGTATAAAAATATGTATACTATTTAAAGAAAATAAATTATTAATTTAAAGAAATCATGCTATTTTATTTATATTTTTACAGTGATTAAGGAATGGCTTGGGTTTGGTTTATTTTTCAAAGTTATCATGCGCGTTTTGTACTACGAGTACTGTTATTTTGGAGTCTGGGACTAAGAGAACCTCGTTCGTTTTAGTGCGCACTCTCAGCATGAGCAACTCATCTGTGGGATCTATTTTGCTCATCCCACGTTCCAATCTTCCCCGAATCGCCTGGAAAAGTCCTGAAAATTGCACAGTATCGTCTTTTTCCATTGTACTTTTAACTGGATGCCCCGAATCGTTGAGAATCACCACATCTCGAACATTTTTTTTCGCTTTGACTTGGTCGAATGCTTTTTCCACATAGCGCAGCGTTCGAGGTGCCTATTTAACGATATGGTTATGAAATTATAGATAAGGTGAATAATATACAGGTTTTACCCTTTTTGGAGTGTTTAGAAACATTTTTATTTATTTCCTGCTAAAACTTTTCCAAATGGTTTTTATTAAAATGTTTTATTTGTACTTTTGACCCAGTTTCATTGTTTTTTGGTTTCCAAGGTGCGTTTGGTAACACAGAAATCCTGCTATATGGGTCAATATGTCAGCTTAGATTTCCTCAACATTTAGTTTTTTAACAGATTTCGTTTTAATCCATTTTTAAATGTTAATATTTAAATTAAGACCGTTAATTCCCAATTGGATTTTAATGGCTAACATTCTTATCGATTCCTATTTGATTTTAAATGGTTAACATTTGTATCGATAGGTTACTAGGTCTGTTAAGTTTACATTTAGCTATGTGCCACCACTGGCAGTCCATCTCTAATATTGAACAAACAACTTGAACTTTTCTTAAGATTTTTTATTAAACGATTAAACAGATTACGGTGGTTTTCGCCGTGACTTTAGCCAAATTATAAGTAAAAATGGTAGGTAAACATTTTATTTGTGTCAAAGAATTACAGTTACTTTTTTGCTTACAGTCGCAAGAGGTCGAGGAAACACTGAAGAGAATCCAGAGCCACAAAGGTGTTGTGGGTACAATTGTGGTCAACAATGAAGGTGGGTGGTTGCATTTAAACTGATTCCAATCTGGGCTCTCATACCCGACTCCCAATTAGGTATTCCCGTCAAATCCACGCTGGACAACACGACGACCGTTCAGTACGCTGGCCTAATGAGTCAGCTGGCCGACAAAGCTCGAAGTGTGGTGAGGGACTTGGATCCTTCGAACGACATGACATTCCTGCGGGTGCGATCGAAGAAGCACGAGATCATGGTGGCGCCGGACAAGGACTTTATCCTGATTGTCATCCAGAACCCAACGGACTAAGTGGCCTGGTGCTTGGTGCATTGCTGAAACTATCTACTGCACATTTATATACATATTTGAATTGCCTGCGAGCGAAGAGATAAATTATAATGTAACGAAATTGTACTTGGTTGAAGTAAATTATTTATGCATAAAATGACGTGATGTCACAGATTTTTGGAGCTCTGTTAAAAATGGGGGGCTGCCACTGTTGACTAAAACGGTCTCACCAGAAATTACGGTGGATGTCGCCGCTAACGAACCTATGGTATTATTTCGATATATACCGAATCAGGTTGGTGACGCTGCTAAGTAAGCATTGATAACGTAACGTAGGGGAGAGTGGGGGAATTTTGTCACCTGCAATATCTCGGAATCCATAAGTCGTAAAAATATATAATTTTTTTGTTTTAGTCCTTCAATATTATATAATACACAGTGCTAAAATGTGCATTTCTGCGTTAGTGATTTTTAACTTCGCGCCTAATTTCGGAAGAAAAATAATTATTTCTAAAAAAGTACTGTCTGGGGAAATTTCGCCACCCTATGCTTAGGGTAAATTCGCACCTATTTTAAATACATATTTTTTTATTTGACGAGCTGGCTAACGAACAAACTACCAGCAGCAGCAACAAATATAGGACGTCAATTAAAATGGTACGCTTGATCAGTGTAGCATACTTACTGGCGTAAAGTTCCCTACATTTTTCATGTGACGAAATTGCCCCGGTGGTGTGGTGATTTTACCCCCCTGTGTGGCGAGATTGCCCTGTATATTGGCTTTACTTTTTAATTTTTTATAAATCACCAAGGTAATTTAAAAATTAGGGGAATGTCACATTCTAAAGCTTGGTGCTAACCGCATTCAACAATAAAAATAGAAATATGATAACGTGTCTCAAGATGGACAAAAAATAGCTTTGAAAAAATGCTGACGAAATTACCCCACTCTCCCCTACTTACGTTCGATCCACATCGATGATGGGGGAACCCCCGTCATGCAGCGGCCGATCCCAGCGCAGGTTCACCACATCCGGTTGCTGTTAATGATGTTGACTCGTTCAGTTTCGACTCGTTTTTTTAATCTTTTTCCGCTGCATTATGAATTGGCGACATTCTAGCTAGTTATAAATTTAGCTACTTCTTGCACTAGTCCATCTCTAGATCCCTTATCGATAGTTGGCAACAGTCGTGAGTGTCAACATACGAGCAGAACGGCGAGTTTTTTACCACCTCTACACCACTGAAAAATCTGAAGCGATTCGAGTGTTGGTGAAAACCGTGAAAACCCGTGGTTTTGCGTACTGCATTTAAAGAAAACCCAGCGCCCGTGGAATAGTCAATAAATTGATTGGGAAGCCAATCAGCCCCGTTTCGACCCAGTGTACGCGAGTGCAGATCCCCGATCGATCGAATCGAATCGAAAAAAGGTAATTCGAAATGGGCGTGCAGCGAAAAGCGAACGAGCAAAGAAAATGGCGTAATCACGCACTTCGAAGCCCCAAACGCTACGCAAACGGAATCCAAACCCACGAAACGAAACCCCAATCGGCTAGTCAGCAGTACTTGGGCGAAAAAAACGAGCCACAAAAAGTGAAAAAAATTAAGTAAAAAACTGTGTGCTGCAGCCATATTTGTTCCGTGAAAATGAAAACGATACACACACACACGGGCGCACTCGAGTGTATATAGCCGTCGGTGCATATATATATCTATACATATGTGCTGGGAATTAACTGAATAAAAAGAAGCACTTCGTATCGGATCGTCATCGCACCGTTGTTCGCAATTTCATTTCATTTCCAACGCGATTCTCGTTCAACGTACGTTGTACATAGCCCGTACATACGTACGTACTATGTATGTACACATGTACTTTCAATATCGACGATGGCATCACAAAAACACGACGCGCACACAGACACGCACGCACGTACCGTACATACGTGCGGACAGAGACGGGGTCTGTATGTACGTTTGTACGTGGGACTGGTTGTTGTTGTACATAACGGAGAGTTGAACACATAAGGGCTGGCTGGCTCAATATAGAAGCAAAAGCATGTGGCTGCGCTGCCAGCGTCGCTGCCTGCAGCGCGTAAGGGATTTTATTACGTCGGACGTTTCGGTCGTCGGTCGCTGGGTTCGTTTTATATTTTTGGATATTTTACACATGTCCATATGCCCGTCGATTCCCCTGCATCTGCATCCTCTCCCCACATGCATCGCACTTCGCTCTCTTTTCGCGTGCGTGTGTGTGACTCCTTGAATGCAACGTAACGGTAAACGGGCGACTGCAACGCTAACAGCGGTGGGAGGGGGACGGCACTAGACCCCCCCGCAGCGCAGGGCTCCACACTCGCGTTCACAAACTCAGTGCTTTTACCCTCACAAGTGGCCTCGCTGAAACAGGACTCAAATGTTCCAATGCAAACAAGTGAAAATCATTACAAATCGAACGAAAAATAACCCAAGTGAATCACCTTAACAACAAAGTTTCAACGTCACAAGCTTAACCAGTGCACAGAGAGAAAAATCGATGCTGAATCGATTCAATTGAATGTGTTATGGAGAAACTCTTACGTTCGACGTAGTTTTTGCTTTAGTTCTGTCAGAATTCCAATTGCAAAGGCAAATGGCTGCCATTGTGCATATAAAATACAAAGTCCAGCAGTACACAAAGCTTTTTGAAGTTTTTCGGCTGTAATTCCCAACTGGTTCTAGTGCACCCAAATCCAAAACATTTTCTTCTTGTGTATATAAACATTTCCCGAATCATGACTCAATTTCTTAAAATCTGATTAGTCAGCAAACTTAAAAGATCCCGGACCGAGTTCAGAGACTTATCAAGGGCATTTGATTAGATTGTACGAAAAAGCTGAAACTTTTAGGCCTGCCAACATTCCAAGGGCTTTGAATCGCTGGCGACCAGCACGCTTTAAGCTTGTAGCTGTAGTTTCCCCTCCAAGTACAACCAGTTTTTTTCGATTTGTTTTTGTGTTTTTTGGCCGAACGCAAGGCCAAAGTTCACACAACACCAAACAAAGGTTCTCGAACCACTCGGCTGTTTGTGTATATGCTTCTATATCTTATCACATGAGTTGGGAATTCGCAGAGCAGCAGCACTGAACTATCAATCAGTGCCCGGCGCCTATTATCTCTCCAACTTTCAAACTCACAACTTCCCTCTAATTGCGTAGAAGAATGCCGAGAGCACAATCAACTTGGGAAATGAGCGGAAAATGCTGTGCCATCTGTTCTACGCAAATCGTAGAAAGCCACCGTCACAAAGATAATTAGAAAACTTGGCAAAACAGTTGATCAAACAATCGGATTGGCGTGGTTTCCAGTTTCAATTGGCTGCTTTGTTTGGTGTCTCAAATATCCCTTGCTGCTGGTAAAGTTCCCTATTTATCCTATCAATAAATGTACTAAAGCTTGTATGTTTTTATTTACATTTTTGGATTAGGGGAAGTAACTCTTGAAGTTAAGTTATTGACCTGGCTAATCTTAGTTGTAGATGCTTTTTGAATAACATGTAAGAAAAACTAGTATTTGCAGCTTAAGAATTCGCGTTTTTGAGGTAGAAAGTCAATACAAAGAAAGCTTTAACTAGAACAGTATTTTCTTAATTTAATATAAATAGACAATCAAACGTCATTGATGAAATGCTCTATTTGTGTAAACAGCTCTAGGCTATTATTGTGATGATAATAAGATTTAGATGAGATCTTTGTTAAGGTAAGGGTGTTTTGTTTTCTAGGGACATGGGTGTATAAGATCGCCCTTTCTGGCTGAGTTCTCCAACTTTTCGTAGGCTGATTCATGCCATATTGGCTCCTGATTGGCTCGCAATCCCCTTGCATCTGGGCAAAAGCTGTTCGGCCTGGCAGCAGCGCGTCGAAGGTCTTCTCCCGTTGAACTTTCGACCCGCTGACCAGGCCCCGGAGAAACTTTTGCCCCAGCTAGTCAGCAGCAGTCAGCAGTTTCCAGGCACACAGACACATCCACATCCTCATCTCCACACAGCTGCAGCAAATTCGATCGGAAAGCGACCGAGTTTGCTGCAGCAGCCACACAAAAGTACACACAGTAGTCCTTCGGTTGACACAGCCACCCCGCGCACAAGGATACATATATACATACATTGAAACGTATGCAGGCAGCAGCAGCTTTCTTCCCTTAGACGACGAATCGAAAACTCGATTTTCATCCCCGTGGCGAGCAGAATTTAGTTTTAATTTCATTACAGCCGCCCGTTCGGTCGCAGGGAAAAAGAGTGGAAAACATGCGTATTAAAGTCGCAGTTTGTTTTGGAGTAGGGAAAACGCTGAAATGGAAAAGCTAATACCCGGGGAATGAAATTTATAGGGGCGATTAGATATAGGTGTATTACATGTTGGGATTTCTGGACGGTAGACCGGGAGTTTTGGGGGGGGGATTATGAACGGGGCATGTGCTGCGTGCGCGTGTCGCCGTAGGAATCGTCATAGCCACAGTCAGATGATAACACGTTGAATACATACACATGTCGTACTATATAGCTCATAATATCGGATAGAGCCGCAGCCTTATCGCCCCGTTGGTTCGGGAAAAACAAAAATGAAAACAACTCCAAAACGAAGTTGTAATACCCTGGGAGGAGGGTATAGTTCTAGCCTCAAAACCCTTTTTTTACACCTTTAATAACCCACTAAATATTTATCTTTAAATATTTTTGATATCTTAAAAAGATAAAATACCTTTATGAAATAATTTGCAAAACATTAAAGTAATGTCTATGTATAGAATACCCTCTGTAAGGGTATACCTACAGAAAAAACAAACGAAAATAGCAAGGGGGAATCTATTTTTGGCCTGGCAATCGCGAAACAATTCTCTGCAGGATTTGCAACACCTGCTCTCTGTTTTTGGCATCTTTATCTCGCTTCTCCTTTCCTGCTGCTGCACTTTTGACCCTCCAACCACTTGTTTCGTGTGTGTTTTCGTTCGAAAAGGAGGACACAAAACAAAGGGAAGAGATGAAGACCTGCTGGCGAAAACAGAAGACAGAAAATTGCAAATGCTGAAGATTTCCAAAATGCCAAAAACTGCACATGTGTGTGTGTTGCTGGGTGTGTGCTCCCATTTCGGTTTTATTTTTTTTTTCTTTGTAAGAGAATACTTGAAAGGCTGTCCAGAGCCAAAGAAAAAGGGACCTGAAATCCGAGCTCAACGAACATCTGTTCCGAAATGTAGTATTTGTTGATTTCACCAGCCGAAAAATTATTGAATACATGCATAGGCTGCATTGTACATATCGTATATATGTAAAAGTGTGAAACAAGACTCTTTTTTTCACATACCTGCTTTTTATTTTATTCCAGGTAAATCGACGTCGACGACAGCGGAATACCTAAGAGCCAAGCCAGCGACAGAATAAAGAAACAAGGAAACATTTGCACGCCAGCGGAGCAACTGCAGCAGAGCACCACCAGCGCAGCAGCAGCGACAAGAAAAACCACTTCAACAAAAGAGGATAACATACTGGAAGTGCTCCGCTCGCACAAATACATACAACATATAACACATAACATATACACACTGTACGTGCCCGACGGTGGGAAAGTAAACCGACATCTTTTTACGACCGCCGAGAGTTTTGCAATCAGAAGAAGTCGGAGAGCCGAGCCGTGTCGATCGGTGAGCCCTTTGATAAGCCAGAGAGAAGGGAGCAGCTCAGCTCTCTGCAGAGAAACGGAGAAAAAGAGAGGAACAGGTTGCCAACGCGCAACGAATTTGGAAATCGAGACAGCCAAAAGTGCGTGAGCCCCCGAAAAACCTTGCATTTATCTTGGGTTTCCAGCCCAAACCCATGAGCAGCTGAGCCAGCGGCAGCAGCTAAGACGGAAACCAGACTTCCAGCCTAAACACACCAGCCGACCCGAAGCCAGATCCAAATGAAAACGCTAGTGCTCAGTCCGGATGACCTGCAGAACTTCAACAAGTTCATCTATGACCCCAAGTCGGCAGCCCAGCTGGCCGCCAGTGCGGGAGCCATTGGAGCAGCGGCGGCGGCGGCAGCAGCGGTCCATGGTGGTCCCCCCGCTGGCACCACAGTTCAGCTGCTCCAAGGCGGAGTCGGTGGTTCGGTGAATCCAGGCGTAGTGCCCGTTTCCGTGCCCGTTCCCACCAGCACAGCCAACAGTGCCAACAATCTGATGGCGCTGCACTACTACCTGAAGCATCCGGGTATCCAGCAGATGCCACAGATCCCACAGCAGCAGCAGCAGCAACATCAGCAGCAGCAACACCACCAGCAGCATCATCAGCAACAGTTGCTTGCCCAGTCGCAGACGCAGCTGAAACAGCTGCAGCTGAAGCAGCCAACGATCCACCAGCACCAGCAGCACATCAGCTATCATCACCACCATCCGTACTACCAGCAGCAGGTGCAGCAGGCGGTGCCACCGCAACCGCAGCCTCTCAAGAGCCAGCCGCAGTCGCACCTGCCCGTGCACGCCCTCAATCAGAACTCGAACTTCTCGGCCGCGAGCAGCAGCACGGGCGGCACTGCCTCCAGCCATGCGCCCACCCAGCAGTCGAACGGTTCCAGCGTCTCACCCACCATTGTGTCGCGCGTGGCGGCCGTTGGGGCGCCCAGCAGCAGCAATATTGCCGCCGCGGCCAATGCCCTGCTACGCGCTTCGGCCGCCTCCACAGCTCCGAGCTCCTCCGCCTCATCGTCGTCCTCGTCCGCGTCGTCCTCGTCGTCGAGCTCCTCGTCCAGCAGCTCCTCCTCCAGCGCCAGCAGCTCAGCGGCGAACTGCGCCAAGAAGCTGAAGACGGAACCGGTGCTGTCGCAGTACAATCAAACGGAGCGGCTCAACTTCGCCAACACGTATATCGTGTGGAGCGAGGAACACTGGCGGCGGGTGATATTCCACGACGAGCGCAGGTTTAACCTGGACGGACCCGATGGCTTCTCGTACTATTTCCACGACTTGCGCAACTACGAGCGCACGCTGTCGCAGCGGCCGCGCGGCAACTCGGTGTACATTTACCTGATGGTCTGCGTGGGCGGAGCCGTGCATCTGGAGGTGTCGTCCGCCAAACAGCGACCCGAGTCCTGCATCGAGGCCATCATGCGGGAGCGGCCGAATATCGTTAGCAAACTGGGCGGCAATTCGGAGTTTGTGCTGCAGGATCACAACTGGATGTCGCACGCCCTGCCCACCGCCCAGGATCTGCTGAATTCGGAGGGCCTGAAGACCCAGAAGTGGCCCACCATCGCGCACGATCTGAACATCATGGAGAACGTGTGGGGTTGGCTCATCCGCGAGGTCTTCGACGGCGGGAGGAAGTTCTCGCGCAAGGACGACCTGATATTCCGCATCAAGGAGGCGTGGTCCCGCCTGCCGCTCGACCTGATCACCAACCTGTACAGCACGCTGCCGGAGCGGATCACGGAGCTCTACTACACGCAGGGCGTCTACACGAATTGTTGACATCGGCGTAGAGAGCAACCAGTGCGGCAGGCGGATGAGGATCGAGTTCCTGCCAAAAACCGGAGAGCAGCAGCGAGTGTGGAAGCAAATCTTTATATACAATTTAACTTAACTTTTTGTGTATAGCTTTAAGATGTGTGCAAAGGAGGAGCGGACGGGAGACCGACGGACTGAAAGCAAGAAAGACAGACTATTAGACGGACACAACGGACAGACATACGGACAAACTGACTTGGGTTATAAGTTATAACGTTTTTTAGTTATTTAAAAAATTATGAAAAACAGAAAGCAGCAGATTGCGGGCAGAACACACGTCGAGTGTTGCGCCATATCGCTTTGTAATTAGTGTTTTTATCCCGCCCTATTATTCCCATTTGCCCCTAAAAAACCACCCTCTACCCCCAAAAACCCCCTCGTAATTTGTAAGTCTTAATTTAAGTTGTCGTTTTCCTTTTTATCCCCCCCATCCCCCAACTCTATTAAGATTATACAAAAATATATTAGTTACAAACAAGTTTATTTGAACTTAAATCCCCTTTTGTTGATTGTTTTTAGTTGTGCCAGCGGTAGAAGAACAAAATTGAAATGCCAAGCGAGCAGAGGAAGAAAACAGAATAAATTGTAACTAAAGTATTATTTTAAGGCATAGTTTTTGTTGTAGCAAATTACGGAGAAAACTCACAGACACACACACACGCATGAACACTCAGAAGAAGAATCCTATCATGTAAAATTGTTTACGAAAACAGAAATTATGATTAAACTAATTATCAATGTAATTAATACATATTAAACGAGAGAGAACTAACAAAAGAGAAGAAGAGCAAAGGCAACTTAGTGTTAATGTAAGATCAAAACAACTAACCAGAGCATAGCGACCTAGAGATCGATGAAATCATGCTGAAACTCAACACTCCTTCAATCCCGAAACCCCCTCCAATCCACACAGTCCGCCCCACAGGAAATCCAGCTCAGATGGCAGCTAATTGTGAGCGACGACTCTCTGACCCAGACAAATTCTTAGTACGCCATATTATGGTTTATACGTACGCACCCAATACTTAGCAATACAATTGAACTGAACAAACTGATTTGCACTTGGCAAGATCAAGTGCAAGTGCAAGCAACTAATCTGTAGAATACTTGAGCCACTATGAAAGTATCCTTGAAATAAATGCAACTATATACATTATGCGAAACACAACACCCTCTCTCAAAAGAAATTTGGCAGTTATGTGAATGTGATTTCCATTTCCCCCCTTGTTTTCGCTTCTGCATTAACGGCTCGACCAGCAAAATCGGCAACTTTATACAATGCATATACATATACAAGCAAGAACAAGAAAAAAATCAACAAAAATGGAATTATTATGATTAATTAATAAATCGAAAAATGCAATTACCAATAAAAACTACCAGCAGATACGTAAAAAATCAAAGAAAATCAAGATTATTTTTTAATAATGGTGGGTGTAGGTAACTTTTCATTTTCAGCTTTTGTTTCGAGTAAAATCTTTATTTAAAAATTGTGCGTTTCCTGTATAGGTACATAATACTTTTCAATACGTAAATAAATATTTTTGTATATTAATATATATAAAATATTTGTAGGTATAAACTCTACTTGGTCTATTGGCACTGCAAAAGCGGTTGGAATTGTAAATATGTGAGCCTAGCTATTATTTATGATAGGGAAAGTTTCTGATTTGATTGGAATCCTAAATAGCAACTGGGCTCTCCTTTAAATGCAAGTCTATGCTAGGCACTTTGAGTCTGTGGCATCTATTGATCACTAGCTGGTTATGAAATATTGTGTGTATCATCCAAAAAACGATGATTTTTGTGTATATAAATATGTGGAATACTGTTGTCTTATTTAATCAAGCTGCGCACGCAGACTGGGCTGCAAAAGGGCATGTTCTCCTTGACGCAAAAGCGTCCGCCTATAAGCGGCTTGGAGCACTCGACTCCGGCGCAGACAAAGCAATTGGCATGCCAGTGGACATCGCCCCAGGCGACGCCCTGATCCGCGGGTCCAATTGCTATCTTGCAGCGTTGGCAGCGGACGGCAAACAAGCGGTCGTAGCACGGCAAACACAGTGGCATATTGGACTTCTCATCGGCGATATACTGCTGTCCGGCCAGCGGCTCATCGCACTGATAGCAGCAGAAGTGCTTGATGTGGAATGTCGCCTCTTCCGCTGCCGTGTACTCCTTGGTGAAGATCAGCTCATCGCAGGCGCGGCATCGTGGGATTTTCAGCCTGATGGCCAAGTCGCGACCGCAGAAAACTTGTCCCTGGTGAAAGAAGTAGACCAGGTCGGCCAGAAGTTCTCGGCAAGTGATGCACTTGAAGCAGCCGGGATGCCAGGCGATCTCCTTTCCAGCGCGATCCGCCTTAACGGCCACTTCGCCATAGGCGATTGGTTTGTTGCAGTCGGCGCACAAAATGGTGCGTTGATGGTCTGAAAGGATTGGAATTTCAACTTATTATCTCATTCACTAATTGTTTATCCAAGCTATCTATAAATAATATTTATTCTGATACTTGTGTAGGTAGCATGTTTACATGATGCAATTCAGGCGTGAAATAAATAAGATGTAGGTGTCAAAATCTACAAAGTATGCATTAACGAGGCTACCTATTCAATTAAAAGTTAAACAAGAGAGAAAGCTATAGTCGTGTTGGTGTCCCGACGATCTAATACCCGTCACTCGGCTAAAGGGAGTTCGAGGGAGATGGATATATACAATTTTTTTATTGCGTATAACTTTTTAATGAATGGTCCGATTTGAAAAATGTCTTCCACATTTCGTTAGGTATAAATATACACAACAAAATTGCATTTATACTTCTCGGAAATCTTTAAAGGTGTGGGCGCCAGACACATTAAAATCGTAAGTGGGCGTGGCACTCGGCTGAAATAAACTTGCGCTGCGTAGGAAGCCCAAGAATATGTGTGGAAAATCTCAACCTTTTAGCTTTTGTAGTTTCCGAGATCTCAGCGTTCATACGGACAGGCAGACGGACATGGCTATACCGACTCGGCTAGTGACCCTGATCAAGAATATATATACTTTATGGGGTCGGAAACGCTTCCTTCTCCCTGTTACATACTTTTGCACGAATACAATACACCCTTTTACTCTACGAGTAACGGGTATAAAAATGAGTACTAACCTTTGCCCGAAGACTCCTCCCCGTGGAGACGAAGCTGCTGGAACTGCTCCGGCATGCCAGCGCAATTTGGGTACATGTTCATGTCTTCAATCCCGGGAATGCTGGTGAACCTGCCCTGGCCAGGCAATAGATCCTCGCTGCCATAACCCGGTGTTGAGGGTTTCGAGTGGAAGCCAGAATCACTGCTGTGCGAGGTGGGCAGCTCACCGAGACTGGGTTTCGGGTAGGAAATGTCCCTGCAGCCATTGGCCATATCGGCAAAGACCTTGTCGATCTCGTCCAGCAACTGATCGTCATCGAGCAGCCAGTCGTGCACTTGTTTCAGTGGCTGCAGCAGCTGGCACTGGTCATGCGAGATGCCTTTGTCCTGCAGCGAGCGGAATAGTCGTTCGTAATACGGAGCGTTGAACACAGCGGATTGCAGCATGTTCTTATCGAGTCCCACGGACTGGAGCTGTGCCTTAATGGCCGGCGTGAGGCCTTTCAGTTCCGCCAGACTCGCAACCGGGGCGGGGATATTGGAAATAACCACCGCGGAGGGCGAACGTCCAGCGCGCGCTTCCTGCAGCGCCTGTTTGAGCGGCTCCGCTTGGAGGATCTGCGCAAAGATCGGATCACGATCGTAGTCCGTGTTGGCGGGCAGTCCGCAGTCGTAGACAATGGTGGAGACTCCGCCAAACTTGACCCGCCGCATGGGCGTATCTTGGCGCATCTGTGCTCCGAATCGGATCTGCACAGGATTTTTTAAAGGCAGCGGGGAGTTGAACGGTGTGCTCGGAGAGGATTTCATTGGTGTCCTCGGCTGCTGCGGGCAGATGGTGCTGATCTCAGCTCTGAACTGCGGATTGCTTACATACTCCTTGCGGAATTCGGCAATTGGACCAAGTTTGGGATCCCTCGAGATGTTCAGCTTCTTTTCCTAGGGTAAAGAAGGGAATTTGCATAGGTTAGAAGCAAATATTCATGGGATTTTATCTATCCTGTACCTGTAGTATTCCCAGCACCTTGTCATAGACAACGCCATGACTCACCAAGCTCTGCAGGGCGGGCTTGCTGATGCCCAGCAGCTTTTCCTTGGTCTGGGCCCGCAGAGCTCCATTTTCCTCAAAGTGAGCCGTAGATTCGGACAAAGGCTCGGAAAAGGCCACAAAGAGCTTCGGTTGGGCACTGGCCGGACTTGAAAGAGCCTGGGCCACCTTAGGATTACCCAGCAGTTCGTTTAGCGTGTCATCGGCCACTGGCGAGAGACCCAGAGATTGCCAAGCCATCGAAACCGGGACGGGAACGTGCTCCACTTGGGCATGATTGAGACGATCGCCCAGGCGCACCACCACGCCCTGGCCGACGCACTGCTCCCTCAGCTTCTGGACATACTGCTGCAGCTGGAGGGCCTCCGTTTCCGTGAGTCCATCGCACAAAGCGGCATCCAAATCGTGCGGCGGTACTTGCAGCTCCAACTGAAGTTTTCGCTTGAGAGCGGCATCACTTCCGGCCACGGGTATTTGGGCAGTGCCCAGCTTCTCCATGTAATCGGTGACCACATCGGGCGCAGCATTCGGTGGCACCCACTCCAGTTGCACCGGCTGACTGGCCAGCGCCTTGATTTTAATATCTGCAATGGGGGAGAATCTTGTAGTATTTCGTGGTTACTTATTTGGTGCCACTTACATGCTGGCTTGGCCCTGATCTGTCCCAGAATCTCGAACTGTGCCCAGCCGGTGGCGTCATCGTCGTCCGGACAAACGTGCTGGTTCTTCGGGCACTTGCAGTTGCGGCACACCTTCCGCCAGAAGTGCAGGTCCAGGCCAGGACACTTGTCCTTGCACTCGGCGCAGGGAGCTCCGGCGCCTGCTTCGTGACCGAGCTTGGAGCGCTTCAGCTGCTCCCGACGGCTCTCCAGCTTGGATAGCCATTCCGGCGCCTTCGGCGTCTCCACGCAAGAGTTTGGACTCGCGGCGGACATCCTTTGTTTTGTGCTCTGTTTGTTGTTTTCTAGGACGGCAAATAATAGTTGCCAAATATACCAAAAAATATACCAAACATGTATCGATATGGGCAGCACATATCGATATGTGGATTTCTTATTGGATTTTATAAAATATAAAAATAGGGGGATTCCCTAAACTGTTGAATTGTTGAATTTTGGTCAGCTGTGAATCAGCTGTTTCATACAAAGTCAACTTTCAGAAATTTCAGCAATTCATCAGCCTCGGGGCTGATGAAAATTTTGTTGAATTGCTGAAAAGCCAGAGTTGTCACCTTTTTTAAAAAGTCGTGGCAACTCTGTAACATTTTAGTATCACCAGTACGCATTATTTATTTTAAAATCAACTTAGAAAGCATATTTGTGGTTCTTTTTACCTTGGTAAGACTTTTAGACAGTAACTAGCAATAATTAATCAAATTTTACATGCTTTAAGTTCCGTGAAATTTTTCAACAAATAACAGCTGTTTGAAAATTCAACAGGAACCATTTTGGGTCGTTCCCTTAATTGCTGAAATTTTTTGTTGAATTTTCAACAATTCAGCAATTCAACAGTTTAGGGAATCCCCCTTATATGAATTAACATCTGTCATCTATTATCTAAACTGATTTACTTCCCGCCAAACTGATTGAAATTTTCGATCAACGCGTATCTCTGAGCTTTCGAGGCACGGTCACACTATCGATACTATCGCAAAGCTTTATAATAATACGAATTCGGTAATAACAATTTTAATAACCCATTAAAATATGTATAAAATTGAGGAAATTATTTAAAAATGCAATATTTAAATAATCGGGAAAGCTTGCTTGCAAACATCGATTTTATCGATAGCGTCATCGATAGTCTGCCAGCTCTAACTGTATTGTTTTTTCGCGAATTCAATTGCAGTTTTTTCGCAAACTTTTAAATTGAAAGCAATAATTGAAAGGGCCAATTAATAGGTAATTAACGGTGGCCCATTTAGTGCGCACCTAAATAGTGTTTGTGTGGTGAAAAGCCCAGGGAAAATCCCTTGCAACCAAGCATTAGAAGCAACAGAAAACGCTCGATGCAATTTGCAAATACAGACAAAAAAATAGGTGAAAAACTGCGTCCCACTGAAAAGTGAAAGTGCAGCGTGGGTCGTGGGGACGCGGGCGGGGGAACAACAGTTGGACACCCAGGAGGCACAGTGGAAAATGCCCAGACCCAGGGCTATTTTTGTGATTCCAGAATCCCAAAGGATATCCAACGTTTTTACCGGTTCTGTTTACTCGAAGCTTTTGTGTGTGAGCTACGGCAACAATTTGATTTTCGCTCAATTTCGCACGGTGGTTGTTTTTGCCCAATGACTGTGACTGTATGTGAGTGAGTGTGTGTGGCGCGAGAATGTATTGGTGAAAGCGTTGTTGAGGCGCCTAATTGATTTTGATAAATAATTACAATAAAATATTGTAATTTAAGGGCTTAAGTCTCACTTGCATATTAAACACCCTGAAAAATTCCCACTGTGCAGTAGGAAAATAATCTAGTTTATCCCACAGTAATTTACAATAACCTTATAGACAACTATGAATCTACGGTTTTCCTATTGTTCCTATAATACATACATATACATATGTATAAAAGTGCATACATATTCGAAAATAACATCGAACAAAGTGTTAAAACAAAAATATAAAAAATTATAAAAAAAAATGTGCCATAATAACCATCATAACCTGAGTTTAACTTAACTTTTACGATATTTTAAAGATATAAGCCATCATTAATTGAGTTTCAAGCTTTAATTTTCATAATATTATTATATGTACAATGTACATATGGAATTAAAAAGCTTCCTTAAAACACAGAAATGGTTTTTTTCTATGGATCTTTATAAAGTTATGAGTTTTAACCTAAGAACATAAATAAGATCACTTTTTATAATATCTTTAACTTATCACACAATACAGTTCTGTTCTAAATGTAGTATTCCTTTAATAAATGAAATGTAAATAGGTATATTATTTTATTAATAATATTATTATTATTATAAACCCCCTTGCAGACCGCAGCTCCGGGGACACGGGCAAGAAAATCATGACCGAGAAGTACGACGGCAACGGTGACTTTTCCGCCTTTAACGACGATGACAACGACTTTGGCGGCAAGCCTCGCAAATCCGGTGGTTCCATTGGAGCTCCAGGTGGCGCCCACAACGGCGACAGTTCCGGCCACGATCACGGTCATCATGGCGGAGATCCCGGCGGCAGTGTCCAGATAAACGAGAAGGCCAATGAGTACATACGCGACTGTATGGCGGAGCGAAATCGCATGGACAGAAAGTTTCCCATTGCCGAGAAGCTGCTGGAGGGCGGTAAGTAGAGTCTTTCTGATTTCCAAGCTATCCAGAATCTAAAAAATATATCCTGTTGCCATTTTAGAGATCGAAAAAGTACAGACCACCGGAAGGATACCTTCCCGAGAGCAAAAATACGCGGATATCTATAGAGAGAAGCCGCTGCGCATCTCACAACGTGTGTTGGTTCCCATTAGAGAACATCCTAAGGTGAATTGAAGTCTAACTTTTATTATTATCTTATTTTATTAAATGTAAACCCCTATTTTCCAGTTCAACTTCGTGGGCAAACTGCTGGGACCCAAGGGCAACTCCCTGCGACGCCTGCAGGAGGAGACGCTCTGCAAGATGACCGTCCTGGGCCGCAACTCCATGCGCGACCGCGTCAAGGAGGAGGAGCTGCGCAGCTCCAAGGACCCCAAGTACGCTCACCTCAACAGCGACCTGCACGTGGAGATATCCACAATAGCGCCGCCCGCCGAAGCCTATGCCCGAATTGCCTACGCCATGGCCGAGCTGAGGAAGTACCTCATCCCCGACAGCAACGACATCATCCGGCAGGAGCAGCTGCGCGAGCTGATGGACAGCACTAGCCTGAATGACAACGACAATGCCAAGAGCGGCTACAAGAAGACGCCGCACATGCAGGGCGGTAACAATGCCATGGGTGGCGGCACTATTAACGCCATTGGAGGGGCCAAGAACACACAGCATCATAATTATAGGTGAGTATTTGTACTAGAGCCCTGCGTGAATCATTCAATTTTTGTTTTATCATAGTATGCCATGAAATTTCAAATTTGTTTAATTCAATTCTATGTGGAATAAATTAAATGTTTTTCTAATTCGTTTCGAATTGAATGAATAATTTTTTTAAATATGCCAGTTTTTTTTGTGCTTTCTTTTGAAAAAAAAAGTGGAACATTTTTAGCAAATTAATGTTTACTGCATAGTAAATAAAATTCAGGCAATTTAATCACAAACTTATGGCGCTTTCTTCTTCAAAAGAAATTGTCGTTTGAATTATTTCGGAATTCATGCCATTCATTCATTCAATTTTATTAAACTCAAAATTCGAATTAATTCATTCATATAAAACAATAAATTCAAAATAATTCATTGAATCCATTCATGCAGGGCTCTAATTTGTACTCCTCTGTGATTATTTTTACTTATTACTCTTCTCTAACCATTTCAGAAGCTCGCAGCAGTCCAACTTTAGCAAAAATGTGCTTGCTCCCAAGCAGAAAGTGATGTCCATATTGGAAAAGGCCAGGACTGCCATGGATGAGACGTATGGGTATGGTTCTTCAGCAAGATTTTGTAGACTTCAATCTTAATAAGTATTTCCTTTTGCAGTCGCGGCTATGACGACGGCATTGGCTATGATCCGCACCAATCGTACGATGGCTACTCCTACGGCAGTCATGGCCATGGACCCCATGGACCGCCGGCCAACATCCTGGGCGGTGTGGGCGGCATCAGCGGTGGCGGAGGGCGTGGTGGACACTACGAAAGCTCTGACTACGAGCCGGATTATGGCAGACGAGAGTACTACCAGCATTCGCCCGGCTATTCAGGTGGGTTAGGAATATTATTTAGTATAATAAAAGTAGTGATGCATTTTGAATATATTTTCAGCTGGCGGCGGCGGAGGTGGAGGCCTCGGCACCGGTGGAGGCTCTCAATCGAATGCCATCGGCGGCTCTGGTCTCAGTTCGAACCACAATCGCAGCCATGTTAACAGGTGAAATTTGCTGGATCCCAGCAGTGCCAGCGGAGGTCGAGCCAACAATCCAGCGGCAAGCACCCAAAATCTGACCATGAAATCCCAACCCAATAGCAACAACAACTTTTTGCCCAATCACGGAGCAAGTGAGTGCCACAACGGCAAGAGCATAAATCCCAACTACTACTACAATTCCAATGGCAGTTCCAAGGTGAGTGATAAACAGGCTGTCCATTATCATCGTGATAATCGCAACTATCTTCCAGCTAAATCAGCAACAACTTCAGCAATCGCAACCAAATCTCCCACCGCAGCAGCTATCAGCCCACAACAACAACAACAGTAACAGCAGTAACAATAACTCCAGCAACAACAATAATTGCAATAGCAACTTTCACCCAATGGGTGAGAAAAGCCAACAAACCAACGACGTTTCATTTCTATCCTCCTATCGACTTGGCCCAATGGATGGCCAAAAGAGTGCCAACAGCAACAGCAGCAACAACATCAACAATCACACATTAGGCAGTAAAGTCCACAACAACAACACCACCACAACAACCGCTTCAGTGCCCAATATGCTATTAGTAAGGTATTGAAATGCGACAGAGAACTCCTTCGTCCTTGCACACAACCTACAACCTACAATCCACAATCCACACCAAATCAATGTCTTTGGACAATGCAAATGAATACTCGGTCTTTTCGCTTGCTTTTTGCCTATACCTCTCCGCTTTTTTGATCCAAAGTTCCCGTATTGATTTGCATTGCTCCAGAAACCCCAAGACAAGAACATCTCTCTAAATCCAAATTAACATTCTCTTACAGACCTGCTAATCCTTCGCTTCATATTGGCACATTTCCGTTCTTGCCCGTGCAGTTTTTCTGAACCCAACAGATACATCAACAACAACATCTACAACAACCAGAACAAGCAAATCGAAAACCACATCAACATCACAGAAACCCTGTACACTTGAGTTCATAAGATTAGAGGAAGGCGTGGGAGGAGTATTTACAAAATGGACAAAATGAACTTTACGATATATACCACATACAAAAAGAAACATATACATAACAAATATATTTATACATATATTTTTGCGTGCAAGGATTGACGTTTAGTGAAGACGAGTCTGGATCAACAAATCGAAACCTTACTTTCGCGTTGGCTAAGAGCGGTTTTTTATCTCTATTTACAAAACCATCTTTAAGATATTCAAAGAGCCTGAACGACTAGTGGGAGCTGTAATCGGTAGAGAGGAAGGAATCAGTAGTTAAGCACACGGCTCAGCTCAAAGTTGAGCTGGGATAGTCTGGCAAAAGGCGCGAGCGAATCCAATTGATACAGCAAGACAAAGCTATGTATAGGGACAGCAGTCGAGACAAAATCTATGAGATTAATTAACTTAATAGAATATATATATATAATAATTAATACAGAGGGCACATTTAAACCATAATTTTATTTATATATGCATATATTTAACAAATCTAACGATACAGATAAAGAATATATATATACACTTACAAATTCTAATATTTACATAATTAACAGAGATCGACTAACCCCATGTTGACACGAAAAGTAACGGATTAACCTTAACGAAAATTATCTAATACTCGAGCATTCAGAATAAATATATCGAATACTAAAGATCTACAACTAACTAACGAAATACAACAAATATATACAAGTTTATTGTGAATCCAGGTCCATAAGTGGATAGTGCTGCAAATGATTACTTTATTAAAACACCAGATACGAAAACAATAACAGATTGAAGAGTAAAGAGAATACTTAAATGCAAGCGTAAGAATAACAAATACTCGATTTACTTATACACAAAGATACAAAAAGTTATAACTAAAGCGACAAGCGTAACTCAAAGTAAAATTAACGTAATAACAATGTAATTCAATGTACTTAACACACTTAACCCATGACGCCGGACGAGGCATTCAACGGGGGTTTACTCACTATTCGTTTCCCCAATTGTTCAACAATGAGTCGTCTGCCTTGTCCAGTTGTCTCCACTAATCATATACTAAACCAAACTAACAAAGGTAAACTAAATATATAACTCTGTAATCGACAATTTGATCAGTTGCCAAGCTCAATATATTTCGTTTTCGGTTTACATTACATAAATTAGTTTCTAAATTAAAGAGAATTCTCTGTAGAGCTTAAGTAGAACCAAGAAAGTGTGCCAAATGTATGAAGGAAGGGTGATTCGACCCCTTCCAGGTCTGAAATTACCAATTGAAATGCCAATTTATAGATATTATCATTTCTTATATACGTATTACGTAACCCTACTTATTTGATCCTTTCGAGCGAATCAATTTGACTCAACTAACGCAATGGAATAAACATAAACATCTACTCGAATAAGAATAAACGATATCTTGTCCAAAAACCATTTACTTACAACCATGTGAAACGTTAAATTGTTGAAAACAATTAAAATCTAGTTTTAAAGGAATATCAGTAATACAGATAATACAAAGGAATTACAACCATTTATTACAAATAATTATTGTTGTTACGAATTATACAGATAACTAATATGAAATTATAACAAATGCTACTTTAGGGCCGTTCGTCGTAGCCCCCAGATAATTTATGATAACAAGTTAATGAAATAACCGAAACAACAAAAACACCCCCGCCCTAACAACAATAAGAATATATACACTTATATTATATACCTACAACCAATGGATTAAAAGAAATAATATATTGCGATTGAGTTATTCTCATTAATTATTATATGTAAAATCAAATAACACAAGTAATAAATAAATGAATAAATAAATATATTTAAAATGTATCAAAAATCGAAGAAAATAGAGGTGTTTTTATAGGGTGGATTCATGATATGTGATATTTTATAATAAGAATTGGGAAAGTAGCAGACCAACCAGAAGAAAAGACTTCGTTATTTGCATGATTTATTTGTAAATTTATTTGTTATTTCGTTGTTTCCTATGATTTTTATATTGCTTGACAATAATTGACTAGAGTAAACAGCTTAGGATTACGCAGACTCCTGGGTTGCACAATATCCACCCCTGAAAAGGGGCTCAACCCTAGGATCTCTCTCTCTCGTTTTACTTGCAATGAGATCGCAGCAAAGTGACTAGAATGGCTAGATGGGCTCCTGCCCTCCAGTTTGTCTGTTAGGCCTGCAGCAGACCATCGCTTTGGCCGACCAATTTCCCGAGGAGAGTCTGGTAGAGTGGCGACTCCGTGGGTATTCCCTCGCTCTGGAGGAAGAGCAGCGTTTCCCTGGCGCACATGGCGAAGCCCAGTGCCTCCGCCTGAGTCCTTTGGGCCGGGGTGGGTGGTGCAAACTGGGCGGCCACCTCGGCATCATCGGCATCCTCCTCCTCTTCAGGTTCTCCAGCCTCATAGGAAGGATGCTCTCGTTCATCTAGATCGTGTTCAAAGGCATCCAGTTCTGCTTGCAGCTCCATTATCTTTTGCAGGGCTTCCAGAAGAATTCGATTGGGGGCTTCTGGGGCGGCTGGCTCTTCCGCCGGTGGAGTAAGAGGACGATGACGTTTCTCCGGAGCTGGAACTGCTTCATCCTGCTCCTGCGGCTGCTGGACATGATGCTCCTGCGCCTGCTGCTGCTGCTCCTCCTGGCTGGCTCGCTTGCGCTTCATGATCAGTTTGCCCGACATGGTTCAAGGTTCAAGATCTCCTGCAATCCTCTGGCTTCCAAAAAAATATCCAACTCTGCGCGACACAACCTTCGTTCACCTGGCGATCGCCACGACTGAGCTGCGGCCAACTGCAGCACCAGGGCGACCAACTGGCAACTCCAACCCCAAAAACTGTGGCAGGAACCAGAGATAGTGGCATTAGGGGATGTGCCGCCGCGCCAAGGAAATTAAAAACAACAATCCAACAGGGGCAGGCAGGGGACAAAAAAAATTGTTGCAGCTGTTTGAGTTGCGGCAGCTGAAGCGGGAGGGCAACAGGATACTACAGGCTGAAAAGGCAGCAGCAGGATATTGCAACCCTCAGCTGGCGCTGCCTTTGGCTCTGGCTCTCTCTCCTCCGGCTGCTGCAGCCGCACTTCGAATATCCTATCCTTATCCTGCCTTCCTCCCTTCCGTCCGTCCGTCTGGCACCCCATCCCCCTGGATCTCAAGCGCGCCCCTGCTCGTCCTTTCCGCCCTTGCAGTGGTTGTTGTTGTATTTTTCGTGGCTGTTACCCTTCGGTGCGGCATATCCGTTAGCTAAGTTACCTGCCTTATCCTGGCATTCAAAAGGGGTGGCTTTAAAAAATGAATTTAAATTAAATTAACCCTTCGACTTTATGTCGAACTTATCCTTAACAATTAAAAAAAAATAACTCAACTTAAATTTAAATTTAAATTTTAAATTTAAATTTATTTAAAAAATATTGAATTTTATTATTATCTTTAAATTACCTACTTTTAATATAATTTGTAATAACTCTCTTTCCCTATTTAAAATTCTTAAGCTACGAGTTTAACACTAATATTTAAAGATTTGGTTTTTATTTAAGAATAAACATATTCTTGATAATTGGTATTTAATTACTATCACTAGAAATACAATATTGTTACTGTTTAATCGTAAAAAAACATCTGGTCTCTAAAACAAGTCAATTTAAAATGTGTTAATCACTGGATCTGGTTTAAGCGAACAATGACCGATATAATTGCTTAAGTTGCTTTTCCTAAGAAACGTGTGCTGCTGACGCATTTATAAAATAAGTGATTCGCTCCACTATCTAGGAGGTATTTAATTAATATTGGTTTCCTGGTTATTAATAGTGATGAATTTATACATTTAATTAAGAAGTTTTTGAGGTGGTTCATCATTTGTCACCTTTGTGACAATTAATTTGTTATGTGTTCTGAAATCTTTATAATATTTATGTTTATTGGTAAATGTTTGGAAGCCTTTTTTCTTAAAATATTGAGGTGTAGTAAAAAAAACCCATAATTTTCGAAAGATTTCTTCTTCAAACTGTGTGCAGGGGATTTCCAAGTCTGGTACGACCTACAACTATAAACATTTGCAGCTGGCACGCTTCACATCTCTTCGATCGGCGCTTCCCCTGCGAGTTAGTTTGACCTGCCATTGCAATGATAAGTGCACACCTATAAGCACTGAGAGAAATTTTCGGGTTTTTCCTTTAGGGAATTACGTTGTCATGGGAATTTTCGTCGGCTAAAAAATATTTAAGTATGAATGAAATCAAGTTTACTTCTGTTGGCATGGAGAACCAAAGCTTATCGGTGTTATTACAGGTTGTAAACCGAGTAAAGTGGAATAAATTCAATCGATAATGCTTAAGAGGTGCCAGAAAATGTTCTTATGGTAAGTGGCTAGTTCCCCTATTTTACATAATCCTGATAACAATTTAACCATATTTTTTTGAGGGAGGAGAAGTTCGAAATCTTCCAAACTAAAGTGACGTAATAAACAGACAATGCCTTCCCTCAACCCACTGACTTATTGATAGCAATCAATTTATATTTATGGTCAAGGAAATTGAGCATTATTAGATTGATTTGGGGCTCCGAATTTGACACTATCTTAGCGTATTGCTGTTAATGAATTTTGGAAGGTATTTAAGTAATCACGCCTCCGATGCCTGTGAACTTTTGATATGTCAGATTGAATATTTGCATTATATCTCCCAACGACTCAACAAATACTGTGTACATTATGTGCCTGATAAGCAATGTATGGTAAAGGGCGTATCATAATTGAATCATATATTATTTTTATCTGGCTATTATCGCACACTTGACATTGTGTAATATTGCGTGTTGTTTTGCCCCTCATTTCAGAGCCTCAACTTTTTGCCGAAGCATCCACTATTTATTTTCGAACCAACTCAATTGCTGTTGTATCTTGTATCTTTGGGATATATTTAGGCGACAACGCGAGCAGGAAAGTTGTACCTTTCGTCTGAAGTATTGGCCCCCGAGACTACAGACAGTAAATACATCATCCACAGCCGCAGCTGTTGTACTGTGTATATAGCGGCTATTATATATGATTGAACAGTTTGAAAAGCACGCGACAAGTGGCAGCAGATAATTGGGGGTGTATTGTATACCGGCTATACAAGCGATCCCCACCACAATTGTGATCTTTTCATTTGGCTAAACATTCGCATGGAACTGGAAAAGTGATTTACCCGAAGCGAGGCAAATAAATCTTACGAATATTATCTATCCCTTCTCCTTCTTTTTTGGTGGCCATAAATCAGTGAAACAAGCAGGCCTCATTGTTATCAATGGAATTTCGACTCAAGTTCGCAGAAGACACTTGTTTGGAATTTTCGAGAATGAATAACAAAGATCGGGTTGCTTGGCACAGGCAGAAATTCTAGCTGAGCCAATAAACTTGCACAGTATAACCTCTAGGTAGTGAACAATCTATATTTACAAGACCTTACAATTTACTATCCAGTGAAAGTGAAACCATTTTTAGACCATTAAAGGATCTTTAAATGTCCATTAGTGCATTAATTCTATACAGAGTTATATTTGCACTTATGATATAATTTCGAAAATATAAGTTCCTCTTTTATTGTTATCCAAAAAGCATCGTGTAAGTTTTAAGGTCGTAGTTTCTTCAAAAAATCGATATGAAACGTAGGTCGATTTTAAATTATTTAAGATCTGGTCGAAAATATTATTTCATGTAAAAACGATATGAGTTTTGCATGCCCTGCATTTTACATGGCCATATCGATTTTACGGTATTTTACGGTGTGTGGTTAATTAATATTTGTATATAGCAAAAACTGCTGTGGAATATTAAAGTTTTCTACGTTCGCTGTACCGAGAGTCCACTGTATATATTTTTTAGCACAATTCCTATTTCGGCGTGGGAATGTCGCGTTGTGTTTGGGCAACTGTTTTACTCTATGTACCTGCCTCTGTCTGGGTGACAATGAGTCAGGTAGATATAGCCAATTCACCATTATCTGATCTATAACTGGCGATTATTGCGCGATAAGTCTGCTTCTGATGGCTCCCAAAAAAAAGGGGGAATATACAAATGCAAAAAGAGCATCAGCCATCCGCAAAGTGACGTTCTCGGCCAAATTAACCCGCTCTGAGCCGCCGACGCAACAATACGAGGCCTTATCGTAATCAGTCCGCGAGTCAGTAAATTTCGGTTTACTGTTTTAGGTATTCGGCTTTATGTTTTCGGCTATAACGGTTCTCGGACTCTCAGCCCATTTGGTGGGTCAGTTTGCCCGCGGACCGTGCGACGAGTGCATGTAAGTAGCGATCGGTGGCTTGGTAATTCGTTATTTTCGAGAGTCCGATTCGATCGATTGTTAGGTCTCAAAGTAGCAGAGTTTTTTCTCTGTCTCGGTCAGGGTTTTCAACTCGAGAAAGCTTTTCGGGCCCAACGGCCCTGAGCAGCTTAAACTCCGAGCTCGTTTCCGAGTTCAATTGGAACTCGAAACCAGTTAACCAAGTGAAGTGGCCAGCTATGGCAGAAGTCGGTGAAACGAAATTAGACGATCTGAATGGGCTGGGGATTTGTGTGTTTTCGCACACGCAGAGTGATAAGCGGCGATTAGATTTAAAGCACCCAATAAACTAACAAATGACGGGAATTGCGATTTCTAACTGCTCGTGATTGATAAATATTTGCCTCTCAGTAGTGGATGATAAGGGTCGCAAAAGGACCTTCAACAGCTAAAGCGGAAAATCAGGTTTATAGCTATCAAAGTGTTTACGAAATATACAAAAAAACTACTAAATTATATTTAATATTTATTAGTTATACGGTTTATTACTTCGTCATAAAAACTTCACAATTGTCTACCGTAAACAAATATGGAAATATTTTTAGCCCACTTAATAAACAAACAGGTTTCTATAAATAAATCAGTGTTTATTATGACTTTGGCATTAATTAGCCACCCACATCTCATCTCCAGGTCTGTGATAACTTATCAGTGATAATGTTCTTTTTTTTCTAGCCCCAAAATGATGTCTGGACGTAGTCTCTTTATCGGATCATGCTGCCTTCTGGCGCTACTCATCCATCCAGTTCAGCCCAATCCCATTGTTCCCCGGGCGGATGTGGCCACCGAGTTTATCATACTCCATAATAATGATATGCATGCCCGATTCGAACAGACGAGTATTACGAGTGGTACCTGTTCGAAGGAGGATGCGAATACGAATCAGTGCTACGGAGGATTCGCCAGGGTGGCCTATGAGTAAGTTTCGTCTATAAGTTGATAGAACTCTTAATATATTTAATCTCTAAATTTAAATTAGGGTTCGCAAGTATCGCAAGGAAGCGCAGGAAGGTGGAACTCCTGTGTTCTATCTCAATGCAGGCGACACCTATACCGGAACTGCTTGGTTTACCGTCTACAAGGACAAGATCGCCAGTGCTTTCCTCAACAAGCTATCCCCAGATGCTATTGTAAGTATGCAGTTACTGATATATATACCTATAATATAATAGTTTTTCTCAAACATCTATAGTCTCTGGGCAACCACGAGTTCGATCAGAATGTCGAGGGTCTGGTGCCCTTCCTCAATGCCGTTGAGTTCCCCGTTCTCGCCTGTAATCTGAACCTCACCGATGTTCCCGAAATGGCGGCTGCCAAGCAGCTAGCCAACTCCACGATCTTGGAAACAAATGGGGTGAAGATTGGCGTGATTGGTTACCTAACACCCGATACCAAAGTGCTCGCCTTCCGGAACAAGGTGGAATACGAGGAGGAGATCGTGTCGATCAAGTGAGTATAGCTGAAGAAGTGGCTGAGGAACTGGGATTCTATTAATGTAATATCACCCAGTGCGGAGGCCGAGAGACTAAAAGCCCAGGGCATCAATATCATCATCGCCTTGGGTCATTCGGGCTACCTAAAGGACCAGGAAATAGCCAAGAACTGTCCGGAGGTGGACATCGTCATCGGTGGTCACTCTCACACTTTTCTGGATGCCAGTCAGCCGGTGGCCGATCCCACTGACTCGGATCCCGAGGCCGTTCGAGGTCCCTATCCCACCACAGTGGTGCAGGCGAGCGGCAAAAAGGTTCCAGTGGTGCAGGCCTATGCCTACACAAAGTATCTGGGAAAGATCCATGTTCAGGTGATTATTTTGTATAAAAAAAGAAAATAGAAAATGGTATAGTTGTTAAAACTATAATATTATCTCTCTTTTATAACGGTCGACATCTTTTCTTCTTAGTAGTTTGGAACCCATTAGTTTAAAAATCTCTCATTAATTTACAGAATTTTATACCCCATTGTGGTTAGTGGTTCTTTTTTATAAATCTCTCATAAATAATAAAATTTTAATTTTCCCAGTTTGATGCCGCGGGCAATCTGATTGAGTTCGACGGAGCTCCCATTCTGCTGAACGCCTCTGTGGACCAGGAGCAGGATCTTCTCGATTTGCTGGAGACATATCGCCCCCAACTGGAGGAGCTGGAGAACACGATCCTGGGCTATACCAAGGTGTTCCTCGAGGGTGGCAATATCTGCCGGATGAGGGAGTGCAATCTGGGCAACTTGGTGACCGATGCCATGATCTATTCCCGCGTGATGGAGAACAAGGGTGGAGAATTCTGGACAGATGCACCAATTGCCTTTATGCAGGGAGGAGGTGGGTTCGATCAGTAATAAGTTGGGAGTTAAAATCTAGATATTAACTTGAAATTCTTTTAGGGATTCGCGCCTCCGTGGATAAGCAGTCGGATGGAGCCATCAATGGGGCCACTCTGCTGACTGTTCTGCCCTTCGAGAATAACCTCTATATAACTAGGATCCTGGGCAAGACCCTTCTCGCAGCCTTGGAGCATTCGGCTGCTGTAAGGCTGCTGGACTCGAATGGTGGATTCCTGCAGATGTCCGGTTTGCGTTGCGAGTACAACTACAACAATGAGGCGGGGAAACGGGTGGTCTTCGCCCAGGCTCTGTGCTCCAACTGCTCGGTTCCCACCTACAAGAGCATCAATGAGACGGAGTTCTACAAGGTGATCGTGCCGCAGTTCCTGCTCGAGGGAGGCGATGGCTACGATCTCATCGAGGAGTCGGATCCCTTCAGTGAGAGCCTTCAGCGGAACGATCTGAATGCCACCATGGAGTACCTGAAGCAGCGCCATTTCGTCTATCCCGAGATCGAGGAGCGGATCGTGATCCACGAGAAGACCGATACCGGTTCGGCTTCCGGTATTGTGGCTTCCGTAACGTTGCTGCTGCTCTCTTCCCTGCTAACTAGATTCTTCTAGTGGGCTTAGGGTATAATATCCTTTTCATTTCGCAACCTTATTGAATTTTCCCCCATGTAACTAGTTCATATGTGTATTTGTTGACCTCATATTGCAAGAATAACTGCGCACAAATCTTAAACCAAATAGCTAATAAATGTTGTGACAAGTGAAGTTCCCTTCATTTTCTTTATTTAAAAATTTATTTATGACTTTTTACTTCAAAAATTATAGCTGATGGCTTTTTTAATTAATTAATTAATTAATAAACCATTTACCACACATCAATAAGAAATAATAAAACCGCGAATTCTTCAGAGCAGGAGAAATCTTGGCTTCTTAGGTCAAAAAAGGCAGAGAACGACAAATATTTAAAGCGCGAATTCTTTAGAAAATAAGGGACATCTGCCCTTTTTTGGTCACAAAAGGCAGGTTTCCCAAAGAGCTGATATCAGAACATATAATTTATTTTTGATTGTTAAACTCGCACATTTTTTTTAGATCAACACTAGATCTGACTAACATTGGTTTCATTTCTGGCAATCTGTTCGCAATCGCAAGTACAAGAAAACTTAGCATTGGGATACAGATCCACAATTGTTGGCGATGCAAAGCGCTCTTCGAAGGAGGCGTATTGTCGGTGGTGATGTATAAAATCGAGACTGACTTTGTCATTGAATCGACGGTGGGGTTTGTCGCCAAGAGCATGGTATTTCTGGAAAAGTTCTCGCATTATTTCGTTTGGGTACTTAAGATAGTTTCTTGGGATAGGATACGGAGCTACTTTATCATTCCGCTGATGAAGGTGATCATCTTGCATCACCGATGTCTTCGCATTATCATTTTCCCACATTCCCTTCTGAATTTGACCAGTGTGCATGTGATAAAAGACTCCCTCACCATTTTTATAGCCTCGTGCAAAGTGTCCTTCGTAACGATTACCATTAGCTGTTTCGGGTTTTAAAATATTGCTATGAGTATTAAGGTCAGTTAAACAATTATCTCATCCTAACCGTAGAACATGACCCCCAGACCATGTCGAAATCCCGTCTCCCAATCGCCTGCATAGATGCTGCCATCATTGTACCATTGGATGCCCAGTCCGTGTCGTCGGTTCCTCAGCCATTTCCCAAAGTAGACGCATCCGTCGGGATAGAACTGCTTGCCCTCGCCACACTTCATGTCATCGTACCACCGCCCGGAATATATAAGCTGCATATCCGTTCCTCGCTTGCGGAGCATGGATCCCACTCCCTGTCGCTTGTTATTGACCCAGTGACCCTCGTAGACCAGCTGACCCTCCGGCTGCTTCTTACCGAAATAGAATTGCGATGTTCGTTTGGCCGTCTTCTTGACACCCCAGCCCTCGTGCTTGTTGCACAGCCAGTAGCCCGAGTAGGACCCACCGCCAGGATAATAGAAGGTGGCCCTTCTGCCAGTGCTGCAGACTGGTTTATTGGGGCAAAAGAAACGCTCCATACAGGTACTCATGTTCTTAACGAAAATTTATGTTCTTAACGAAAATTTAACCTGGACGTTTTGAGAAAAGGTAATGTGTGAGATAGGATTTTTGCTTATCAATTGACAAATTACTATTTGTATACAACAATTAAATGTAACAATACTTGTAGTAGACTTTTTATTTATAATTATAAATTTGATCAGATTCGCAATTGATTTTAATATTGCTATAGTTAATGAAGAATTTTTTTTATTGCAATCTTTTAATTCTAAACTTCGAACATCATTTTGTATGTTTTCCAAAATATTATTGATTATTCAATGGATTTTCATTTTCTCATAAACTAATTAACCCTTACAGAGGCAGGGTACTATGCCTTGCATTCCGTCTCTATATTTGGAATGCAGATCCCATCTCCCTTCCAGTGCCAGTGTGCGTTTATAATTAGCTTTTTGCCACGGATACTTTACTTTTTAATTTGTCTTCGCAAACATTTAAAAGAAGTGCTTTGATCTTCCATTACATAAAAAAGAAACTGTTTAGCTTAAAGTAATTTAAACTGCTCTTTAAAAGATATATACACTTTGATATGTTTTTTGTTTATAGTAAGTGTACAAATTTTAAAAATGACAACATTACTTTTTCTTAAGACTTTCCGATTTTGGGACAAAAATGTTTTTTTAATTTTTGCAAAATTAAATTAAGTTTTTAATTAAAAATATTGTTTCAGTGTGTGCGGTAAACTAGATCTGTTGTCTGCTTTTTTATTTTTGCACTTGATTGACGATTCGCAATTGATAACATATAAACTGACAGCCTCCAGCCGCACGTTACGTATACGTAACGTAACCCAGCGCAACGTAACTCCGGAGAGAGAAGAATCTGAATCTGCGGAGAGAATCTCACCTGCAATTGAGATGCTTTTCTGCCGGTTCCGATCTGTATGATTTAATATGATACTCTTGCCAACACACGCGCTCCCATGTGCCGGCAAATAAATTCGATATAAAAATAATTTATAATAATAATAAGAGCTGCGCTGCAGCAGAAAAAAGGCGCGACAGAGACTGTGACCGCAGAAAACGAGGAGAAGTCAGTGCGATTATAGACATCGGTGGCAAAGGTTGTACACATTTTCAGCGCAAAAGCATTTTGAAATACCGATCGTTATTTGAGTTTTGTATAGTGCAGAATACAATTAAGTTTTACGTTGGTAACAGCAACTGTTAATTAGGGAAAAAAACGTGTCCCAAGTTCTAATAAATAGTTAGTTCAATTGAAAAGGGAAAAACGTCGGAATCATTAAATAGGAAGTGTGAATCAAGAACCAGAGGAATTATATTAAGTGATTGCCCCAAGTGAAACTCAGTTGCGTTGGATTAAAGTGCAATTTGATATTAATTTTATTGTAATTTAAGGAAAATATGTTGCACAAATGGTACATTTATTAAATCGTTTAACGAAATTGGGCAAATACAGTCAAACTTCAATAACCGGTACCTTCGTCGGCATACATACAAAATTCCAGCTTTTTACTTTTATATTTATTTGTTTTACATATATTAATTGAGGAGTGTTTAAAGCAGGAATTTGTGTTGAAATTATTTCTTTTCCTACTTTTTGCATTACGCTTTTACTAAATTGATCAGTTTTGTGTAAATTCGCTTGGGTGCGAAATTATTTCCAAGGTGCGCGGATAAATTATGAGTTTAGTTTTATTTGTTTTTCTTTCGACTATTTGGATTATTGGCCTTTTCGGAATTTTTGCACTTCGCTGTTTTGTCTGGCCAAATGCATCTGCAGATCCTCCTATTCTGCCCGAAAGAGCTTTTCATAATTTAATTTTATTTACCTTTGCGAATGGGTATTTAATGAGATGTGCGAAATGCGCTGTCGCCCACTGTGGGGGGTTTTTTCGGATGACCCAAGCTCTCAAAATTCAGTTGATATTTTTGCTTTATAAGCAAATTAATTAGGTTTAATACCTGTGGATATGTGGAGCGACACAACGCCCGAGTTAATTGTATTGTTATTTTCGCACTTGTTTCTGTTTTGACGCTTTTGGATAGATCATTTTTTACTCTCGAGCTGCGCTGAGTAAACAAGATATGTTTATCATTTGCGGGACGGTTGAAAAAATACATGCTTCTATAGAAACTAGAAACTCATTTGCAAATAGCCGGCTGTTGGGGAAAACTAGGAACCAAACTTAAAGTTCTGCTTGCCTCAATTGTTCTATCTACAGTTTGTTTAGACAGTGAGTTCTGCAACAGACGAAAACTCAATTAATTATTCGCAAAAATGTAAATTAATCATGGAAAAAACACAATAAAAGCTTTGAGCAAAGAACTTGACTAAGATAATGAAATCGCTGTCTGCAAAACTTTGTAATTTCTGTCGTAAAGCAATTAAAGCTATTGGGGGGCCATAAAGATAGTAGCGATACATTTATCAAATGTTTATGGATTCGCCTGGCACTAATGAAAATCTCAACTGTCACTCGCAATTAAAGATGCAGTCGAGATGGCTCTTTGGAATCTTCGGGATACTCCTGATCCACTGGACCCAAGCCAATCCCATTTCTACCCCTGCCAAAGTGGCCACCGAGTTCATCATACTCCATAATAATGATATGCATGCCCGATTCGAGCAGACGAGCGTGAATAGTGGCACCTGTTCCCCGGAAGATGCTCACACAAATAAATGCTATGGAGGATTCGCCCGTGTGGCCTACGAGTGAGTTGGGAAATCGTTCTAAAGAGTTCTATAAACTTATATTAATCTTTTTATAGAGTCCGAAAGTATCGCAAGGAGGCGAAGGAGGGTGGAACTTCCGTTTTGTATTTAAATGCTGGTGATACTTATACCGGAACCGCTTGGTTTACTATTTTTAAGGACAAAATCGCCAGTGCTTTTCTCAACAAACTGGAACCCGATGCTATTGTAAGTGGTTTTCTGTATTTTCTCGAAAATATTTACTAACCTCTACCTTTATTTGCAGTCCCTGGGCAACCACGAATTCGATGAGAGAGTAGAGGGTCTGATACCCTTCCTTAATGAGGTCAACTTCCCCGTTTTGGCCTGCAATCTGGATCTAAGCAAGGTTCCCCAACTGAAGGCCACCAAGCACTTGGCCCACTCCGCCATTCTGGAGACCAATGGCACCAAGATAGGTGTCATTGGTTATTTGACCCCAGATACTAAGAAACTCACTCTCAATATGGATGTGGAGTTTAACGAGGAGGTGGAGTCCATCAAGTGAGTGGATGAATCATCTTAACCAAAATAAGTTAATTCTAAAATTGTATTTTACCAGTGCTGAGGCCAAGAAACTAAAAGCGCAGGGCATTAAAATCATCATCGCTCTGGGTCACTCGGGTTATTTGAAGGATCAGGAGATAGCCAAGAACTGTCCGGAGGTGGACATCGTGATTGGTGGTCATACGAACACTTTCCTCTACAACGGTGCCCAGCCGGATGCGGAACACATAGATGGACCCTACCCAACGATGATCAAGCAGAAGAGTGGCAAGGAGGTTCCGGTGGTGCAGGCCTATGCGTACACCAAGTATCTGGGAAAACTTCATGTTCAAGTAAGTAACTTCTGTTAAAAGTAACTTCTGTTAAAAGTTTCGAAAATAAAAATGGAAATTTAACTTATATGATTGCACATTATATTTTCATATTTGTATGACTAATCATATTAATTCTGAAATAACTGATATGCCATATAAGATGATTCTTCATTTTCAACTTATTTTTACATTTATTTATAAACACACGCCTTTTTATTGGAAATTTCGATAAAGACATATTTCTGTAATACTTCAGACGCAACTGATTTCTTATTACTATACTTTCTCATTACTTTCCTATCCAGTTTGATGCTGAGGGCCACCTGATCAAGTGGGATGGTGCTCCCATCCTGCTCAATGCCTCAGTGGCCCAGGAGCAGGATCTTCTGGATCTTTTAGAGGTCTATCGCCCGAATGTCACTAGGCTGGAGAAGTCGGTCGTGGGACACTCGAAGGTTCATCTGGAGGGAAGCAAGCAGGTTTGCCGTGCTGAGGAGTGTAACCTGGGTAACCTGGTAACCGATGCAATGGTGTTCAGTCGGATTTTGGAGGAGCAGGGCGGAGATTTCTGGACGGATGCTGCCATTTCTCTGATGCAGGGAGGAGGTGAGTTCCCACTTGGTTTTGTTTAGTAAAAAATAAAAGAACTATTCTGTTCCTCAGGCATTCGCAGCTCCATTGAAAAGCGATCCGATGGCTCGATCACCGACAGCGATATCCTTTCAGTTCTTCCCTGGAGCAATGATCTCTATATGGTGCCCATGTCGGGAAAAATGCTTCGAAGGGCCTTGGAGCACGGAGCTGGGCTGAGGGGCAAGGATTCGGATGGTGGCTTCCTGCAGGTGTCCGGCATCCATGTGGTGTTCAATGCCAAGAAACCCGAGGGTCAGCGCGTCGTTTCCGTGCAAGTTCGATGTGCCGCCTGCCGAGTACCCACCTACAGTGATCTTAATGAAACGGCCATCTACAATGTCGTTGTGGGAGAGTTCCTTTTGGAAGGTGGAGATGGACATGTCTTTAGGGATTCAGTACACAAGCCACAGCGCCTGCAAAACAACGATAAACAGGCTGTTTCCCAGTATCTTAAGCAGCGGCAGTATGTTTATCCCGAGATCGAGGGTCGCATCATTTTCATTAATTCCGCTGGAGGACTGATGGGATCGGTAGCACTGCTCTTCATCTCTTCCCTTCTGATGAAAATGATTAGTTAGAAAAGATAAGCTATTAAAGAGAGGAAGACCTTAACCCAGTTCAAGCTTCGATATTACGGTATTTTAGTTGTAGCAATCAAAATTTTAATGTTGGGATACAATTCAAGGTGCCAGTAAAACTTATTTGTATAAAGCCAAAACCTGCAAGTTATAATAAAAAGCAATCAACTTTTAAAACTCATTTTAATAAATTGTTTATCTGTATCTAAATAATAGTGATTGCTGCTTGTGGTTTCTTAATTCACTTTATAGAATGTAAAATTTCTTACATTCTTTATGATGTTGCCTAATTTCAGGCAGGCTTAAAAAAAGTACTACTTGTGTAGAGTACATATTCTACTTGCCCAGAGCAAGTTTGTTACAGCCGAGTGCCCTCCCATGGAAATTTATTGATGGGGATCGTTACTATAGATTATTATATATACCCGGTAAAAACGGTAGTTTGGTATTCGTTCCGAGTTCTCTAGAGTCGTAACACCTGGTTATTATTAAACAAAACTTAATGCCTTAAGATTTTTTTCAATCCTAAAAGTAGGCTTTTCTAGAACCCAGATCAAAGTCTTCTTTTGCTCTTTATTCACATTTGATTTTACTTATTTACTTTCAGTAAAAATGGTTAAAGCTACTCTGCAGTGGACTCTTGTCCTTTTGCTGGTGCTGATATTTCCGGATTGGATACGTGGTCTCAAAATCACCCTTCTCCACACCAATGATATGCACTCCTGGTATGATCCTATTTCCAGTAAAGGTGGAAAATGCAAAGCTGGCGATGATGAGCAGGGTTTCTGCTTCGGGGGATTTGCAAGGGTGGCTGCCGTGTAAGTTTTCTCAGGATGAGGATCTTTAAAATAGATCCCAGTGATAATTCCTATTCTTTGCTTTAGGGTTGAGGCAGCCAGGAAGGCAGGGACTGATTCAGTTCTCTATTTAAACGGTGGCGATTCCTTTCAGGGAACTCCCTGGTTCTCCGTTTATCGAGGGAAAATGGTAGCCCAAATGCTTAATTTTTTAGCTCCCGATGCCATGGTAGATTACCTTAAATTATTTATAAGTTTTTCAATTAATAAACCTACTGCAGACCCTTGGAGTTCATGAGCTTGACGATGGAACCGATGCCTTTGCCGAGTTTTTGGATATTATTAATTTCCCTGTGGTTAGTTGCAATATAAATCTGAAGGGTGAACCCAAACTGGCCGAGAATAGTAAATTGGTAACATCCACGGTTATCACAAAGGGTAAAAATAAGATTGGCATTGTGGGCTATATAAGGCCGGATACCAAGGAGCGAACTCAGCCGAATAATGTGATATACAAACAGGAGGTGCCGGCAATCAAGTAATAGATTTAAAATGATATCTTATCATAATATCTTAATTTCTATCTTTTTTTATCAGTAAAGAAACCAAGAAACTGGTGGATCAGGGAGTGAATATCATCATTGCCTTGGGGCATTCGGGATATGATAAGGATAAGGAGATAGCCAGGCGTTGTCCGGATGTGGATGTTGTGGTGGGTGGCCAATCGCACACCTTTCTTTATACCGGAAAAGTGCCTAGCAAAGAAAATTCGGAGGGTCCCTATCCCACAATTGTGGTGAAACCTGATGGCCGGAAAGTCCCAGTGGTTCAGGCCTATGCTTATACGAAATATCTGGGAAATCTATCACTGGAAGTGGGTTTCTTAAATCTTTAAATAATCATTCATTCAGGAAAATTCCTCTTCACAGTTCGACAATGGTGGAAACCTTCTCAGTTTCAAGGGAAGTCCAATTTTACTGGACAATCGCTTTAAGCCTAGAAAGGATGTTCTGGAATTTCTTGATCAGCACCGCCAGGTGATCGAAGATATGGAACGCCATGTGGTGGGTACAACCTCGGTTTATTTGAATGGCGATAGAAGAAGCTGCGGTTTTGGCGAGTGCAACTTTGGTAACATTATAGCAGATAGCTTTGTTTATGCCCGAGTGCTGGAGACCATGCCGGATAGAAGAACTTGGACAGATGCTCCCATAGGACTAATCAATGCGGGTGGTGGGTCCTTAAATAAAACTTCAATGATATAACTACTTCAAAATGCTATCCCACAGCCATTAGAGCCTCCATTGATCCCGGGGAAACGGGTGCCATTACAGAGGCCGATGTGATGACTGTACTTCCTTTCAGTCACGAAATGTTCTACACCAGGATCAGTGGCAGCCAACTGATGAAGGCCCTGGAGCACTCCCTTCAATTGCGCAGCAAACAGATGTCCAGTTCCTACCTTCAGATGTCCGGAATCCGAATGAAGTTCAACCACAGCCGTCCGAAGGGCGAGAGGATCACCGAGATCAGGGCCCTGTGCTCTGCCTGCCAGATTCCCCATTACGAGCCTGTGGAAACGGATAAGTATTACGGAATAGTTCTCACCTCCTTTCTGTTAAACGGCGGCGAGGGCTACAGCTTCATCGATCCCAAGCGGCCGGAAGTGCAGAATCTGAGCATCCTCGATCGCAATGCGGTTATCCGGTATCTGCAGGAGCACAAGGTCATCTATCCGGAACGGGAGGAACGCCAGGCTCCGCAGGAGAAGCACTTGTCCAACTCGAGTTCGAAATGTTTGATAGAAACCTTCTTTTTCCTACTCTACCTTTTGTACTTTCGTAACCTCCGAGTTCTCGGTGGTTAAATGTCGAGTCTGCCAAATGGGAAATAGGAAAAGAAAACGATCTGCGTCTCCATGGGGCATCATTATCATTAGCATTCGCTTTCTGTTTTTGCGCATTGCGCAATCGCTTAGAATCGAGCGATCAGCGATTAAGTCTGTTGCGAGCAGTAAACTTTCCTATATAAACAAAGGTGTCTAAGCTATAAATATACATGCCTGTACATTCTCAAGTCTAGATTAGCTTTAATAGAGATTTCTGTATTTTGTACGCATATACCTATTAAATTGTACGGTTTAATCTGCTTAGTCGTTTATTTGGTTGGTTAATTTTAGAGATAGGTGCTAGATTTAAATTATAACAGCTAGCTTTAAATAATAACAACTGAATGGATTTAAGTTAACCCCCATCAAATCAAAAAAAAAAAAAAAAAAACAAGAAAGGAAGCTAGCTTCGGCCAGCCGAAGCTTATATACCCTTGCAGATCATTCCTATTAATTAACAAATCGCAAAAATGTTCAATTTTCTAATATTTCTCATTAATTTTCCGATCGTTCCTATGGCAGCTATATGATATAGTCGTCCGATTTTGATCAAATTAAAATTGAAATTCGGAAATATTTAAAAAGAGTCATATCCTAGAGTAGAAGATAATACAATAAAAACCAAAGAAGCTAGAATTTATTTCCTATTACTTTTCCATTAATTTTCCGATCGTTTCTATGGCAGCTATATGATATAGTCGTCCGATTTTGATTAAATTAAAATTGAAATTCGAAAATATTAAAAAAGAGTCATATCCTAGAGTAGAAGATAATACAATAAAAACCAAAGAAGCTAGAATTTATTTCCTATTACTTTTCCATTAATTTTCCGATCGTTCCTATGGCAGCTATATGATATAGTCGTCCGATTTTGATTAAATTAAAATTGAAATTCGAAAATATTAAAAAAGAGTCATATCCTAGAGTAGAAGATAATACAATAAAAACCAAAGAAGCTAGAATTTATTTCCTATTACTTTTCCATTATTTTTCCGATCGTTCCTATGGCAGCTATATGATATAGTAGTCCGATTTTTTAAATAATTAATTCGAAATTCAGAAATATTTAAAAAATAACATCCCCAAAAGTAGAAGGTAATATTTCAAAAAACACCGAAGCTAGAATTTTTTAAAGTTTTTTTTTTCCGATTGTTCCTATGGGAGCTATAAGATATAGTTGTCCGATCCGGTCGGCTCCGACATATATACTACCTGCAATAGAAAGAAGACTTTTGCGAAAGTTTTGTCCCGATAGCTCAAAAACTGAGAGACTAGTTTGCGTAGAAACAGACAGACGGACAGACGGACAGACGGACAGACGGACAGACGGACAGACGGACGGACAGACGGACATGGCTAGATCGACTCGTCTTGTGATGCTGATCAAGAATATATATACTTTATGGGGTCGGAAACGTCTCCTTCACTGCGTTGCAAACTTCTGACTGAAATCATAATACCCTCTGCAAGGGTATAAAAATTTAAATAAATGTTATTACGATCCCTGATATAAATTCACGTGATGTCGTTTAATTGTAGATTATTTTAGATCATTTAAGGTAACAATGACTTTAACTCCTTATAGAAGGAAGCTCCTTCGGACAGCATCAGTTAAACCCAATTCTAAATTTTAAAATCAAACTAGACTTAATCTAACGAAAATTTCATGGACAAGCCCTAAACAAATGCCTGCTCTTTAGCTTTCCAAAGACATTTCGTGCTCCTCCTTAGCAGAACTGCTGACTTTGACTGATCAGTGGAGTGTCTTGGGCATATTCATATTGCCAGGTGCTACCAGCATGACTCCACTTCTGTGGCTGCTCGTAATTGACTGCCAAATGAAGGCTACCAATCTGTATCTGTGGCTTGGTCTTCGGGTCTTTGGTCTGGGGTCTCTGGTCTCCGGTCTCCGGGCTTCCGTCTCTGTCTTTATAGCTCTTTATAGCGACTCTGGTCTTTGGTCTCGTTCTCGGGTGTCTTCTGCTGGTGCTAAGCACTATTAAATTCCCCATGGTTAGGCTTTTCATGAGAAGTTCACGGCGCACCGACCCCGCCGACCTCTGCCCACATAATAGTCATCAAGCTCGTGTTGGCCGCCCCTGCATCGCCTTCTCCCCTCGATTCTCCTCGCTCTCCAGCCAATGGCCAATGGCTTTTGCCTTGGCTTTGGCTTTAACTTTAACTTTAACTTTGGCTTTGGCCCCAATGTCTGCTACTGGCGGCATGTTCTAGCTTCAGATTCAGCTCCATCTCCATCTGCAGCTCCAGGGTTCTGCCGTCGTGAGAAGCACATACACAACATGGATATGCACACACACTGCATCCACATCCGCATCCACATCCAAGCTCAACTCGATCGTAGGCGACACAAACACCATCTACTGTCGGCATTTGGCCAGAGAATTGCGTGCACAGGGGGAAAATATTTGAGCAATTAAAAGTCCTGAAAGTGGTTAATTTATAAGAATTTTGGTAACCTCTTTCCTTCGAAATGCCTTTAGTTTGGGTGTAGCTTATAAGCAAGACTGCTGTTCTACAGTATACGTGAGAGGCAGAGGATGGGCAGAACAATTTCCTATGCTCACTTAATAGGACGCTGCCGACCGCTGCCCTAAATATATGAGAACTTATGATTCATAAGATATATTAAATTGTTTGCATCAGTAGTTTATTATTATTTACTATATGGATTTTCTTTATAGGTAAGATTTCGTTTTGAACCAGATGTCTATCCCATGGGATACGAATTTCCTCTACCTGTGCTCTGCCGACACCCGCACAGTATACAATTGGTAGTGGAAACATACGCATTTTCTGTTTCCACTATCCACCAACATGGAACACATCCAATATCTAGATAAGATGCAGTTTTTTCTTTCAATGTATGGAAAAAGGTGAAGGGGTGGAAAAAGGGGGCGGGTCAGCGGGAGCTGGCATGTAATTATGTGGCCTCGTATACCGCGTCTGTGGCTCGGACATCGGTCAAGTGCAGAATCGGGCACTTTGGAGCGGCAACACGCTACAGTCGGCACCTGGTACTCCGAACTCGGTACTCGGCTATCAGTCATTCGGTTAGTCATGGCTCAGAGAGGTTCTTGAACCCCCCATGCCATACTATAACATACCCACTCCCACACCATCCACATCCACATCCACACCCGCATAAAGGTTGGCAGTGGCATTTCAATTTCGCAAATGAACCCCACTAACTTGGCCCGCTCTAACTTGGCTATAATCTTGGCTGTCGGGCGGTGTGTCTGCACATAAAAGTCTACTTCCGTCTTTCGTTCATTTCTATTTGATTCCCTTCATTAAGAATGCCTCTTGGTTTCCTGCTTAGCTCTCGTACTTCTCGTACTTCTCGAACTCCTCTTTCTCCTCTAGAAGTTTCGACCGTTTAGGTCTAATGGCCGTATTAGCGACATGAGAATAGAGAAGATCGCGCGCCATTTGTTCGGGGCATTACCAATAGAAATAGCAATGGCAATCCGTGAATCTGGCATCTGTTCTATATCGAATTGAGACATGGGAATTGTGGAACTGGAAGCAGATCATGCATGGGTCAATGAGTTGCGCGACTCACAAATTAGTTGAAATCATCCGAGGAACCCAAGCTTGCGCCCCTCGAAATCCCCCAGAGATGTGATTTTGATTTTCGTGTTGATGCGGTTAGGTTGCCATTGTTGCCAGTTATTCCTGTAGTTGCTGTGCCGGTCGTGATTTTGTTGCCCAGTTCGCCAGAAACGTTGAATTGGCTTCACCTTTTGACATGGAATCTGAAATGACGTGAAGCAACAGCCGAAGGAAGAGCAGCTCCTCCATGGACTTCTTTCTTCTGTGTCCCCAATTCCAGCTCCTCCACTTTGATTGCCAGTTAGCCATCTCAACCCCATCCAAATCCCCATCCCATTCCATCCTCCGGCCAATGCTCATTTGGTTTCGTTTCTCGTTTCGTTTCAGCTTCATTGCTCTGCGATCGAAATTATTTACCGTTGATATGGTTATGGTCAAGGCGAACGGGAAAGAATCAGACGAAGAAGGCCAATTGCGATTCCTGGGAGGTGGGAGGATCATTGGGTTACCTTGTTTCTATTTTTCGTTTGGTCCAAATAATGATTTGAAAGCCAGAAAGCCAGTCGTAGATTAGTTAATTTTTGGGAAAAATGAGACAACTGTGCGAACCCATCTTAAGATCGTTAATGTTTTGGATTGTAACCTTTTAGAATTCTAAGGTAAAGGTAATTCACTAAGAAAACATTATTTTCTTGATATCATCGCTTCATCTCAGTCCTATACGCCCTACCTCCTCTATAACTTTGCAAACTTAAGACCTGGAAAACATTTATTGAAAACCTGGCATTCATTTGTGAATATTTTAATAAGTTTATTATAAATGCACATGACTCATGGCAGTCGAAAGGGGGAGTGGGAATCGGACATGAATTATTTATGCATGAACGGATCGGTTCGGATGGGATGGTCTAGGATCGGATGGGATTGTATAGGATGGGTCCTGATCGGTTTGCTGGTCATGTTCCTGCGATTTTGTGGGCTGGGCCCTCACGACAATCACCATGTGTTCGATGTGTGTGTGCTATGTGACCTCCGATGCAAATGCTGATGACCTTCGTACCGCCAAGGACACACACTCACAGTCACTTTGGCTATCCGATCAGAAAGATATTCTAATTAGAACGCAGGCAAGTGGAAATGTGCGATGTCCGCCTCAAAAGAATATCTCAGTGTCATTTCTCAAGCCGCGGAACCCGATTCACATTAATCCTTTGATCCCAAGCGGAAAAAGTGTGTATTAGTGCCTCCATCTCAGCTTTTCTACTTCTTCTTCTCGGTTTACACGGAGAGAAAAAGGGGTTAATGTCATAGAGAAATATTTAAATATATATATCTACACTGATCTGTGTTGATCTGTGAATAAATTTAGATCTAGAAGGGTTTCATTTTTGTGTGTGTTTTTATTATCAGAGGTATGTATGATTATATATTTTTTTTTTTTGAAGATCTATCTTTTCTTTTATCAACTGTTTCTTTCTGTACACTTTAAGCTAGATGCCATGTCCATGTCGTCATCATCAGCATCATCGCTAAACTTGACGCTAAAATGGATGTGGATACACAGGAGCAACACTCACACACACGCACATAGGGGAGAAGAGCCGAGCAAAGAGGACGAAAGGCAAGAAATAGGAGGAGGAGAAAAGCCAAAGAGGCAACCAAAGTCCGTTGGCAAAAACCAAAGTCGAGGATTTCTACCAAAAGGCGAATTAAATTCCTCAATCTGGTGCCGAGTTTATTTTTAGACCAAAAACAACAAGCAACAGGAACAAGAACAGCAACTAGCAATGAAATGGTAACAGGAGGTGGGGCAGGAAGAGGAAGAGTAGGGGGAGGCGGTCAGAAGAGTCAGAAGAAGAAGACGACAGCAGCAGCGACGAAGGAACACACAAACACTGGAAATAAAACCTAACAACATCGATTTCGGTATAGGTTTGAACTTTGTAAAACAAATACATAATTTACTAATTTACATTAGATTAGAAATTTAATTTACTGTCAGTTGTAAAATAAATATATATTCTTAAGACACACTGGATATTGCTGATCCTTGAACTGTGGAACTTTTCTATTATTCATAATATTAATACTTAAACAATCGACTCAATTTATCTAATATAATTTATTAAATTATTTAATTTAAGCACCATATCTTCCATCATTTTCCCCAGTGCTATTCCTCACACAAATACAAATGGTGAGGATCAGAAGATCAAGCTAAGAAGAAGCAGCAGCAGCCGCGAGTATAGATGGATGAATGCTGTTAAAGGCGAAGGCCATCCAACAGCCACCCCTGACCCGTCCCCTGCTCCTGCCCCTGCCACCGCCTCCTTGTGGAAAATCCAGATTGCAAGGAGTCCAACCAGCAGCCGCGTCGGTCACATTAAGCTCCACTGTGCGTCGCCGTCGCAGTCGCCGTCGCGGTCAACGTCGCCGTCCACCCGGCGGCAGTTTTACCAACAAAATGCCAACCAAAACGAAGGGCCAAAATCTCGGTGCGTTGTACTTGCGATAGAATTTTCGATTGCAATGGGCACGCACAGGTTTTTAGCCACCCAACCCACCGATCCACCAGTCCACCGATAACCCAACATCCACATCCTCCGCCGTCCAACTGGGAAATTGCGGGCAATTCATTTCCCATGACTGTTAATCACTTGGCCATTATTATGTTTAGCCGAACGCGTACATAATTATAGCCTGCAACCGTCGATCGGGCGATGTGTCCAATGGGATTAACTATTGGTTGAGCTAGAACTAAACCAGAATTAAATAAGAGTGATAAAGGCGAGATGGGAGTACTCCACAAGCCGTTGAAGCAGGAATAAATTATCTAGATACCTGAATGGTATTTCAAAAAAAAACAATAAATGTAGCTCGAAGATAGCTTTAGGCTTGGAACATCAAAATATTCCCCAACGTTTTCGTAATATACTTCATATAATAAACTTGGATTCCACTGACATACTTTTCTAGGTAGCATCAATATAATCAATACGTTAGCAATAAGTAATGAATATATGAACATAACTGTCCAAAAGAACAATTTAAATTTTAATCTACCTTGATAATTATGATCTATTACAAAAGTACCCCATTTTTTGTTTTTCCCGGAGTCATATCCACTCTTTCAGACCTACGTTTACCAATTAGGTAGCTAATTTTCTCTAAGCCACTTAAAACTTTCGGTTATTAATAATCATTAAACCAATATTTATCCTTCCCCAAGTTCTAAGGTTAATTAGAAAGCTCCGAGCCAGAAGCCAAAGACGCCAGAAGAGAAGCCAAGAAGATGCCTTTAATTACACATGCACACATTTATCATATTTTTTCGGTGGACGGAGGTGGTGGAAAAAGCGATGAAGGAGTGTAAGTCGTGCTTTGCGGCTGGCACCCGCAGAAAGAGAAATATTGTCAAAATGCAAAGCAGAAGATCATTATTACATTTCACGCTTCCAGCAAAAATAAGTAAAAGAGCTAAAAAACTGAAACCGCAGAAAGCAGCGAGTTCAGATCCACGGGCGACTCTACGTCGCGATAGCGTACCAAATTAATGGAAATGGAACCACATTGCGTTGGGTTCATGGAAGAGGGGTTTTCAGAAAGGGTAGGCAGAGCTGAGGGTAGAGGGGCAGGGGGGAAGAACGTGCAGCGAGCCCTACAGGTAAGACTGTAGCGAAGACGAAGAAAGACCAGCAGAAAGAACCTAAACCAAAGCGTCGTTGTGGGAGAAAGAATAAAACTAACAATGGACTGCGATGACTCTCCGACGTCGACGTCAGCTGAGCAGTCGACTGAGGCACCGACTCCCATTGGAATGATGACGGCGACGTGCAGTGGAGTTTGTACATAGGTGTGAGTGGACACTGGAAAAAACTACTCACTTGTATGTACATCTCAAAATTATCCAATTCTTTACAACTGTCTTACAAATCAGAGACTCGATCGTTATTAAATAAACTCTTTTAGAGAGAATCATATTTAAATAAATAAATAACTTTTAAACCTATTAAGAGTTATGTATGTGTATGTACGTTATGTGCCCCAGAGAAGTCTGGAGATTTCTAACCTTTTATTAAGGTGTCTAAATGTATGCAGTAACAAAATAATATTAACTCTTGGCTTTTAACAATAGGACTTCTATACTGCAAATACATCGCAGCATACTTTTAGGTACCTTTTTAAGGGGGTTTCAAAACTTTTTTAAGGGAACTAGTATTCAAGAAAACTGGGTTCGAATGGAAAAAATTGCTCAAATGCTACCCATTTATATTTGAGTATGGATTTTCATAACATGCATCTTCTACATTTGACTGGAACCATGTTTCTGAAATACATACAATATCGACATTTTAATTGATTTTTAAGTGGTTTTAAGATTATAACGAAACAAAATCCTTAAACTCCACGAATTTCTTTCCGTGTATTAATATTTCGGTTTGAGCCCGCTTTTGTGTGCCTTTGGTTTATTGCGCTCTTTGTCTAGCACTGACTTCGGCCCACACACACCAGGACAGACAGGAAGAACTCGCACTCACACACACGCACGGCGAGGCCAATTTCCAATCACATCCATGAAATAAGCAAATAGTCGGTTCCATCGGATTCGGATTCGGCTATTTCTTTCTTCTTTCTCTTCCACGGCCTTTTCCACTGTCTTTTCCCGTTTTTCAGCCAGCAATTTCCTTCTTAAGCTAACTGCTTTCGGCACCAAGCGACATTTAGCAGCGCTAACTTGGCCAGAACAGAACAGAAGCTCAGCGGATCTAAGATTTCCCATTACCAATTCCAATTTCGGGATCCAAGGATTAACACACAAGTCGCTGCCTCGAAATCTGTATCTGTATCGTGTATCTGTGTTTGTGTTGACTGGAAGAGGAAACTGGAACTGGAATCGCTGTGGTTCTGGAAGCAGCGAGTCTGATCGTCGTTCTTGGCTTCTTCTTCGGCTCTTCTTGGCCTTCCATTCCATTTCCATTCCCGACTTCTTGGCGGACATTCGCGGCTGCGTGATATTGGCCTGATCAGTTGAGCGATCAGTCGACGACGAAGGCTTGCAGTGAACGCGACGTGAAGTGCTGAACTCCAAAAATTCCAAACTCCAAACACCAAACTCTCCTTCAGAGCCTACTTGAAACGCGCGTCCCCAAAACGCTGAGAGCCCGATTCGTATTCCCCGATCGTCGCCAGTGGCAATCAGATAGTGCTCCGCGCTAACCAACCATCCAACCAGCCGAAGAAAAGATGGCCAAAATCGTACTCTTCTGCCTGCTGAGCCTCTTGGCATGCGCTGCAGGTTAGTAAAGCCCCTGAATTTTTATTGATTTTCTGGCAGGAGTTACCAACTTTATACTTTTCTTAGTACTAATCTCTTTAGCAAGGCAGGATCATGAGGTGTGAAATAACTGAAAGGGTTTTTACTCACGTAATTTAAGGATTATAAAAAGTTATAGAATACGTTTTCCAAAATATTTTGAACACTTAACAAGTTTAAATATGTAGAAATCAAAGAAATTTTAAGATTATCCAAACTTAAATAGCACTTATAGTTTTTCAATCAATTTTATTTTCAGAGGTAACCTGTTTGTCATTATTTGTTGATTAAATTCAATTCAAAACTTTTGAAAATAAGAAATTGTAGATAGACTTACACATTTTTTTTTTCAAACTTAATTTGAGTCTCTATCATAAAAACTCTTTGAATATGGTTTAAAAACCATTGTATAACAGATTTGTTTAAATTTTCTTTAGTGCGTACCTCTTTAAAACGTGACTAGCTACCTAGCAAATTAAACGTCTTCTCAGAATTTAAAAAAAATGATATAATTATGTTTTTCTCCTCGGCATTTCTAAATGCCTTGCTAATTGGTGGCTTACCTCTGTCCGTCAATGATAATTCAATCTCCAAGAAGCCCCTGTAATTATTCCTACCTTCTCCCATTTAACAAGTAAACAAAAGAAGTTCCGAGGAACTGCAAAAAATCATCCAGCCAAGCCTGAAAAACCAGGAAAAAAGAAGAAAAAGTTTCTGGCGAAACGAATGATGCATTCCCATCATTATATCCGAATCAGAGTCGCAGTCATTAAGTCAGCTCGGTGTTTTTGCATCGATTCTTCGTTCCCCAGTCGTCAGTCTTCGCTAAGAGCTCTCTTCTCATCGATTACCCACCAGAATTGTTCCCGTTCCCATTCCCATTCCTGATTCCTCACAAACTGGCTTTTTTGTTTTATCAATTTCCCTCTGCTTATCCCAGTCGCCATCTCCATTATAATGATTTGCCTGCTAACTGGCCCGAGGGATGTTAGGTGCCAACAAATAACTAGAGTTAGCCGCATCCTCCGGCAATGGCAACAGCATCAGGCATCAGCATCACCATCAACATCCACATCAGATCCCCGGCAAACACTAGCATTGACTTTGACTGCATCATTAGAGACGTGCTAGATTCGCGATCTATCGCTGGCCAGGCGTAATTACCTTCGGAAATTATGGTGCTCGAGAGCTGCAGGGAACTTGGGTTCGGTGGTTCTGCACAGCACTGCCCAATTATGGGGTTACCTATCCCGATCCCGATTCCGAGCCCCATTCCTATCCCGATCTCGATCTTGCTCCCAATCCCGCAGTCGAATTCACGTCCAGAGTCAGTGTCAAATTAACTGCAATTGGTACGAAGCTCGTTATCTTCTAAACCAAGTGGCGAGAACTATCTTCCACTTCGAATCCGATTTGGGTTGAAACTGAGCTCCGAGCTTAAATTGCCCCATTAAAATGAAATTTAAGAAACTTCTGATATCATCGCGTGGTCATTATTCTTATTAGGCAGATGGAAATCTCGGCTCTTCGGACGCATAATAAATAAATTCCCCAAAATCTTTTCATTCATTCATAAATCTTCAACGTCTATCATCAGTCTGATCGGTCTGAAGACTTTGACTTGACTTTGTGTGTGTCTTGCATTTAAATCGCCGGAAATAATTTCATATACGAGCAAAGTACACAAGGTGATGTTGGGTGTTTGTGTGTGTGCTCAAACACTGGAACTCTCTTCATGTCTAGGCCCCTGTCTATATTCCATATCCCATATTCCATAGCCCATAGCCCCTATACCATATCCAATATCCAGCCACGACAAGTGCCATAAATGGCCAAGTGGTTGAGTCAGTGGGAAAACAAAGTACTCGCACTGGTATTTGTGTTTATCTTTTGAGCCGCTTTGTAAGGGCCAACACAAACACACACAGATACTTTCCGAGAGGGTTAAGATCTTTGTTCCTTGGCTACCTGTTGCCTCGAACCCAAAATCACTGTCATCTTGCATTGTTCCCAGCCTCGCAGAAGACTTTTCTTTAGTTTACTTTACTTTACTTCTCGGGTCAGCTATTACTCAAGATTCTTCGTCTCTTCATTTCGGACTGAAGACTGACGACTGACCAGCGGGCTAATTAATGTCATCAGCACCTTGATTCCCATTTGGGATTTCGTGTAATTAGCCGCCAGAGAGGTCAGGAACCTCATAAATGCTCCTGGTCATCATCATCATCATGAATCACGCGTCCAATTTGGGGCTCCAAAGTTCTGTTCTTCTGCTTTTGTCTTATGGAGTGGGGCCCAACGATGGCTAGCCACTTTTTTGGTAATCCTATTTAATGATGTTTCTGCGATTACGCATGCGATGTCCGCAGTTGAAACCGTTACCGTTTTCGCTCTTTCGGTTACGCATTGCGATTCCAATTGCGTTCGGAATTCACAGATATAGGTGGATAGGTTCATTCACCTACGGTGAACTTGATAATCTGGCTAGGTCTTTGATATTTATAAAGAAAGAGAGTTCAATCAGTTTTAAGATCTTCTTCTTAATAAACTATAATATATTATATTATATTTTCTTGAATTCCCAACAGGTCAACGCATCACGACGATCCACTTGGATGGAGTGCAGTACTTCATCAGCCGAATGAACCCCTATTCCCCGGAGCTCAACTACTTCCTGGCCTATCAGTACTGCCGCTCCCTGGGCCTCCAACTGGCCTCCTTTGAGACGAAGGAGAAGGCCGAGTCGATGACCACGTATCTGAAGAACGCCGGTTACGGCAACTACGATTTCTGGACCTCCGGCAATCGCCTGGGCACGGGCATGTTCCTATGGATGAGCACTGGCTTGCCTTTCAATGCCACCTTTGACTTCTTCGAGAACTCGGCGGACGCCATCCAGGCCGGTCTGCTCGATCCAGTCGACCATAATAGCAACACCTCTCCCCAGCGCACCGCTCGCGACAGGTAAATAGTCCTGAACTAATGGAGCTCAGAGAAAGAGGGGGGGTTTTCTAAAAGGTATCAAAATATATGGTCATATGAAACTGTATTAAATTACAATGTATTTAACAAAGTAATGGTAACCTAAGGAAAGAAAAGAGTTTATATGTTAAACCAGGTCGGCAGCGTTCTATTAAGTGAGCATAGGGTTTTGTTCTGCCCAGCCGCTGCTCGCTCCCGTGCACTGTAGAACAGCCGTCTGCACACACACGCTGATACAATTATAAAACAAAATGTCAACGTATGTGGGTGATTAAATATTTATTTGATTAAATATTGAAACAAATCAATGTAGTAATGTTAAATATTTATAAAATGCAGATAGAACTTATAGTGATATTTTATTCAAAACTTTTAAAATTTCGATACAATTCCATTATTTTGAAGATCTTTTTACAAAACCCTTGGGATCTCTGCTCCTCTAGCCTCGAAATCAAACCGATCTATATCGATATATTCTCTGTTTCCCCGTTTCCAATCTATAGCAGCAGTGGCGCCGAGAAGGGATGCGTGATCCTGAAGCAGCCCACGCTCAAGTGGATGCCCGAGGACTGCTCCGCCGTGAAGGACTTCATCTGCGAGCAGACCCGCTGCTACTACTACAACTACGGCAGCATCCCCGTCTCGTCGGCGCAGGGGTAAGGACACTTGACCGCGGAGCCACTCCACTCATAACTCCAAAACCCAACAACTCTACACAACCACAAAAAACATAAATCGAACACGAGAATCACAGAGAACAGATGTTAAGAGCACTGATTGGAGGAGGAACTAAGAATATTGATAATGCAATAAACAAATTATGCTATAATTAACGTTAATTAATTCGCTATACGAGCTGCCCGCCCAGTGGCAAATTAAACAAATGTCCCTAATTAAGTAAAACAAAAACATATTTATACCAGATACCAGATAAATACGATAAACTAAAACTAAAACACAACCCAGATCAAGAGATTACGCAAGGATAACGTGATTAAACACAAGTTACTTTAGTTGACCACAAACACACACACACACACTGAAATATACACACACACACACACTGACAGAGTGCGAATCCGATTTCGAATCTGATTTCCCAAAAACAGAATTTGCAAAAAGAATGAACAAATAGGTGAGCTAAACCCCAAATCGTAACCAATCTACCATAACTACACACACAATCTATATGCATATGTACATCTAAAGACTAATGCGACTTCTTACTAACGCCACTCCAAAGTTCTATAAGCCAGGCCAAGAAAACTTGGTTGGCCGACACTCTACTCAATCCCGATTGAAATTGAAATTCTTAAGACTCCACAAAATATCGACAAAAAAGAACACTGCCTTGTAGACGCCAATGGGATGATCAAAGCTAAACAAGTTAATGCAATCTATCAGTTTTGAAAGAAAGAAGTAAAGAAATTATATTTTATATTTCAAATCTCTTCTTTATAAAAGCTTTTTTTTAAATATATCGATTTTAATTAGATTATTTCATTTTGTCTATAAAGTAAAATATTACAATATTAGAATAATATATTTCTTAAAGCTAAGAACTTCTGAGTGAAATTTCGAATAGATCCCCAAACAGATTGCATTGACTTCTGTGGAACATCCCATATGAGCGCCAGAAACGTATTTTGTTTGGTGGTTTGGGGCTTAGCTTCCTTAGATGTTGTATCGCTCTCGTTGCTGTCGTTGTTGTTGATGTTGTCATGATGAATTGTGTTCAACTAACTAACTTTAGGCTAAGCAACTTTCGCACTAACCACGCCCTCGAACCGCCCCCTGTATTGGAGATTGAGAACTAAATCGTTATTCTTTCTTTATATCAATCTTTTGCGATTTAGGCGTCCCATCACCTCGACCACCCCAAGGACTCCTGCCTCCCTGATGAACCTGGCCGCCACCACCACTCCGTTGCCCCTGTTGATGTCCACCAGTGGAGCCATGTACACCGCCGTCGCCAAGGCCAAATCCTCGCCAGCTGTGGGCCACCGACTGATCGATGATGCCAGCTCCCAGCAGCCCTCCTTCATGTCCTTCAAACTCAACCACGATCGCTCGCTACCGGATACGGATGCCACCGATGTGGATGTGGACGACCAGGAGCCCGATGTGGAGGCCGAGGAGCACGATGACCATGAGGGCGAGGGCGAGGAGGAGCACGAGGAGCATGAGAACTTCGGAGAGCATGCCCGTGAGCTGGGCAACGATAGCAGCGATGGCGATATCAAGGATCATGTCTTCCCGCTGAGCGACAACGAACTGCATCCCGAGATGCACGCCATCGAGGAGGTGCAGCAGCAGTTGCAGCAACAGGATCAGGATCAGGACTCGGAGGCGGATTCGGATGCGGCACCAGCTCCTGCGGCGGCCGAGGAAAACGAGAGTTCGCAGCAGGATGCTGAGGAAGCCGAGGGCGGAGAAACCGAGGCGGAGAACGAATCCCAGGTGGCTGCCGTTCAGGCCAGCGACGAACCCCTGATCCTGCCCAGCTCCACCGAATCCCCGGCTGCCGCCATTGAGGAGCGCATCAAGCAGATCGCCCAGGACTTCCAGAAAATGGCCAGCTCCCAGGAGCTGCAGCCCAAGGAGGAGCTGACCCCCCAATCCTCCCTGTCCCTCAACGATCTGATACGCACTTTGAGGCCCAACGAGCAGCAGATCATCCCGCAGATCGACTCGGACTACTCGAATGCCATGCGTGTCCTGGGCAAGCCACTGGTGGTTAATAACTAGACATGAAGGACCCTTTAGCATAGATTGTGTGTGTGTCGCTGGGGTCGGGGGCTACTATATCATCTATCTGGCTATCCGGGTTCCACTGAGGAATGGCCATTTTCGAGAGCCGGCCGGACATGTCCGAAAATGACGCTTCTCTCTGGAACCTGAGGATGCCCAGCAGATGACCCCGCTAAAATTAACGATCCAGCGAGAGATTAAAGGAGCTAAGACATTAATCTATATATAACTATAAATATATATGTATTGTATGCTTTAATTGTATGACAAACACCACAAAAAAGGAAACTCTTGATTAATAAACGTAATAAGTAATTAAGTTGATTGCATTTGTTAAGTGGAGGTGGTAAAATAGTAAACCTATTGGATAACCAAGTTGAATGCACTGTTCTTTTAGATATTTCGTAACTGCACGGAAAAGCTATTAAAAATACTTGAGGCACTTAAAGTTCCCCCAAGAAAAACCCCCAAAGTCATGTTATCTCAGAGTTTCCCAAAGGAAAACCCCCAAAAGTGATGTTAGCTCTCTTTCCATCATTCGTAAAACAGTAAAATCTCCAATAATAGATTATAATCCTCAAAGGCACTGAGATCTCCTAACGGCTCGCCTTGACCACGGCCACTAGCGCAAATCATAAACAAGTCTGTGGGATTTATTTGGCTTAGTCGAAACGAAGATGAAAGCCAATAATCGTAAATTAACTGCTAAGGCTCTAAAAACTGAAGTGTGTGCCGTGGAATTTTATTGCACTACGAAAGCCAGCGGCCAAAGAATAAATAAATTCCTCGGTGGGCTTACATCACGATGTATGTCCGTGTCTGCATTCAAATCTGCAAATCATCTTTCTTAATTTAAAGAGGATTCCGAGACGCAGACGCAGACGCATCACATCAAGTTTTATGTGTGTCGGTGTCGTTCAACAATTGGATGAAGATGGAGATGAAGACGAAGATGGAGATGGGAGTTGAGACTTTGGCCGCAGCACACACATTAACCAGAAGATCGGAGATCCCGAAAAGGGGCCTCTGGCCAAGACCCTACCCATTCCCCAGCCCTTTCCCCCATCCCTGCCCACCTGCTGCTCCATCTTGGACTTCATCTTCATCTCAACTCGAGCTCCACCTTCGCGCATGCGCAGACGACTGACTTCGTTTGAAGTTCTGTTGACTGATGTTGTTGCTGTTCTTGTTGCTGTTGCTAAAAGTGGTTAATGAAAGAAGCACACACAACGTACATATATGGTATATGGCAGCAGCAGATGCCAAGACAACCTTGAAATGTATAGCAGGGTCCAACGAACGAATATAAAAAAGGTTCTTTGGTTCCTTGGTTTCTTAGCTTCTTGGTCTCTTTATTTTTCCTCTTTTTTTCTTGTTTGTTCTTCAAGCAGCACCAAGAATAACCGAGAACAGTAAGTAACTGCTAACTGGGAATGCCCCAATCTGGATGAATCTCTGGGGGAATCTCTCTCGCTGGGCTCCAGAAAGCAAAAGTGCTCCCTCCGATATGGGGGTTATTTTTAAACAGCCAGTCTTGCGAGTGCACAAATGATTTAAGTGCAAGCACCCGGAAGTTCGGGAAGTAATCTCGCTGGCGAAAGTTCCGACTTGGCGGCGTTATATAAGGGAATATCTCGGGTGTCCAGCATCATCAGTTCCAACCCAACAGTTGTCTTGAAAACCATATCCCTTCTAACAATCCTTCAAACAATGAAAGTAATCCTGGTTCTCACTTTCCTGGCCACTTTGGTAGCTCTTTCCCTGGCTTTTCCCCAGGTGGGACATGGATCTCCTAATGGACCCAGCGGCGTGAGTACTTTTTCTATTTTCCCCATGGATTCTGAATATAACCCTTACTATTTTTATATTTTCAGCGCTTTCCTATGACCAAAAATTGGGCCCAACCTCCAGTTGATCTGCGTAAGCCCATTATCTTCCTGCCCGAAGCCACGCCCATTCACGAAGCCCAGGAATCGCGACCCGGACAGACCAGACGTCGCAAGAGTGGTTAGACTCTAATGAATTACACTATAGTACATTATTTAATTGTAACTCTTTAAGCCAGTTAAATCGTTATGAAATTTAGAATATAAATATAATGTGTTGTCCTTGTTAAAACTTTTTACGCTGTGTGGTTAGCCAAACAATTTTCTTATTTTTTAGGAAAACTATTCTATGACTTTTGTGTAATACCAAATTTACACAATTACTTGAATTTATGGATTGGTTGGTAAGAAAATAGTTTATTTATTGTTTAGGTTATATTGAATTAATTAAATTGGCATGGTAGTGCAAAAAGGCAAACTCTTCTCCCAAACAATCTGTAAAAATATTTTTACATTTTTTACTTATTGTGTTCTCTTGACAAATTGCTTAAAAACAGGTGCACACAGTTTTTTTTCATTCCGTTAGGGTAAAAACAAAACATTTGTACCGTAATAACACTGTGCAGCATTTTTAGTGTTTTTTAAATTTACCTCGATGGATGCCATATTTTTGAATTCGTTACGAATTCCCAAGTTAAACTGCGTTTTTCAAGGAAAATTTTCAATCCTAAAATTATTTTAAGTATGGGGTTTGAAAGATAAAGAGTGTATCTTTTAAAAAACTTTAACATCAAATCAAACAATGTATCCGTTTGCCTCTGAGAGCTCTAGAAAGTTGGCCAATCTCAGCATTTTTCGAACTTTGAGGTCATTTTGCTAAGAATCCTTGCGTCGGGGAACTTTTTGGAAAACGCAGTTTAACTTTGGAATTTGTAACGAATCTAAAAATATAGCAGCCATCGAGGTAAATATTTGATGCTGCATAGTGTAATTAATTGATTTTAATTAAAGAACAAGTTTTCGATTGCACCAAAATAAATTGATAAAAGATAACATTCAATATAAAAATTCGGGTTAAATTGTGATTAAGTGTGATAATTAAAAACAATATTGCCAGATTAAAAAGAAGAACTTAGCTTAGCTTATAACTAAATCATTGTTTCATACTTACTTTAAGTCGTCTTTGGTTGCGGCGTGTGGGTCATAAAGTTTATGGCGGTCTTTAATAAAACATTAATTTGTCTTGTGTTTCCGGTTTAAAGATAAAGTCCAAATGAATGCATTCGCTCAAAGTGTTTTAATAGGTGCCAATTTCTTTTTAGTTTTGTAGCTGTTTTGCTCGGAGATTCTGGTTTCCGGGTAAGACTTTAGGAAATATATCAAATATAAATAAATATATCAAGATCACCCTCAAAGCTCATATGATGTAGATATTCAATATTTTTTACGGTCATAACACTTAATTTTAATTAGCCCTCTATTTAATTCATTGATATTTATGCAGTTTTAATTTAAAAATACGAGTTTAATAAAAACAACCAGGTCTAAATCGAAGTTTATAAAAGGCAGTCCAGACCACATAAGCTCCAGTGCTCATTTCAAATCGTGTGATTGATTTACCCGTTATTAAAGAGATTCTAGACTAAAAAAAGAGATTATCAGACATTGAAATCCAATCCCACCCATTTCTTTGACGCGAGAGTAAAATATGAAAATCCTTTTTGCTCTTCCGCTCCTGATAACGACGTTCTTTGCCCAAGGATTTGCGGAAGAACTAGATTTCTCAAATGTATCTAAAGGTCCTCTTGCCGACATGCGGAACTTTAACGATTTCCTGGTGAGATTTAAAGGCCTTCCTGTGGAAAACTTTAAAGCTAAATCTTAAATTGAAATTTCTTTCTAGACTCATACCGGACAGGCGCTCAACGAAACAGATCGGACATTTCGCGAGGGTGTCTTCAAATCCTCAAAAAATAGTGTGGATGCCGGTAACAAAGCCTTCGCCAAAGGTGTCGTTAAATTCCAGTCGGCGATCAACATCTTTGCCGGACGGACACTCGAGGAACTCGTCAGAGAGTTGACCGGTCGGAAGAGGTCACCTGAGGCAGAGTGAGACCCCTGAGGCTGGGATTATTTATACCTGAAATATCCTGAATATTATCTTTTTGCTCAAAGTGCACTGACTGCTGCCAAGCGCACACTGTTCGTCATTCCGGATGATTTGCCCATTCCGGACGCCTTCGATTGGCGGGAGAAGGGCGGAGTTACCCCGGTGAAGGATCAGAAATCTTGTGGATCCTGCTGGGCCTTTGCCACCACCGGAGCCATCGAGGGTCACACCTTCGCCGCCACGGGCAAGCTGCCCAATCTCTCCGAGCAGAACCTGGTCGATTGTGGACCAAAGGAGGACTTCTACCTCAATGGCTGCGATGGTGGTTGCCAAGAGTCCGCTCTTTGCTGGATTTCTGACAGTCAGAAGGGAGTGTCATTATCCGAAAAATATCCGTATGTGAACGACCAGGAATCCTGCAAGTTCCAACCCAGCCAGTTGGGCGCCCATGTCCATGGATTCGGCGTAATTCCCCCCGGAGACGAGGAGCTGATGAAGAAGGTGGTGGCCACTTTGGGACCCATTGCCTGCTCGATTAGTTTAGCTGAATCCCTCTTCTTATACGCAAGTGGCGTTTACGACGACGAAGAATGCGAAGATTACGAGATAATCCACTCCATCTTAGTCGTGGGATATGGATCAGAGAAAGGACTGGATTACTGGATCGTCAAGAACTCGTGGGACGACATTTGGGGCGAAGGGGGCTACTTCCGCTTGGAGCGGGGCAAAAACCGTTGCCAAATCGCAGAAGAGTGCTCCTTTCCATTGATTACTCCCTTGTAATATCCACGTTATAATTTGACATGAAATTCTTCACAGTCTCTTGTTTTTAATTGAATAGTTATATTCTATCAAAACACTAAATTCATTTAAATAAAGTTAAGAGTTATCTCTTGTTTACGGTTCTAACACTTAATCTCAATTGGCACTCTACTTTAATTTATTAATTAATGAAAATATTTATGCATTTTTACGCTAAAAATACGAGTTTCTGGATCGCGAATCTTTATATCCAGATTCCTATAAAAAGAACCAGGTCTAAATCGAAGTTTATAAAAGGCGGCCTGGAATGCATTGTTCGCAGTGCTTATTTCAAACCGTTCGGGGGATTTACCACATATTAAAGATATTCTTGCTGGAAGAAAGTCTAAAAGATAATCAGCAGTTAAAAGCCAATCCCATCCACTTGGATGATATAATATTTGTCCTATAAATATGAAAATTCTTTTTATTCTTCCGCTCCTGATGACGACGGTCTCTGGCCAAGGATTTGGAGAAGGAGGATTCGAAGGCTTCGGGGGAGCCTCTGATAGACTAGGAGCCTTTGCAGATGTGGCTAGGGGATTTGCAAGTGTAGCTGGAGGACTTGCGGATGGCGTTGCAGTAGCACTTTCAAATGTGGCACAAGGTGCTCTCACCAGTTTTGCCAATTTCGTGCCCAAGGTGCCAGTGCTGGCCAACATCCAGAACTTTGACGATTTTCTGGTGAGATTTAGGGGATTCACTTCCTATGAACTATGAACTTAGATCTTAATTCTAAAACCCATTCCAGAATCAAACAGGACAGGCGCTCAGCGAAGCAGATCGGACCTTTCGCGAGAGTCTTTTCCTCGCCTCCAAGAATCTTGTGGATGCTGGTAACGAAGCCTTTGCCAAAGGAGCCTTCACCTTCCAGTTGGCTATCAACGCCTTTGCTGATCTGAGCCACGAGGAGTTCGTTAAACAATTGACCGGTCGGAAGAGGTCACCTGAGACAGAGTGAGACCCCAGAATCAGGGATGAACCCACTTAAAACTAGATGGAAAACCCTGTATAATATTCTCTTCTTGCTTAAAGTGCACGGACTGCTAGCAGGCGCACATTGGCCATTGTTCCTGAGGATAAACACATTCCCGATGCCTTCGATTGGCGGGAGAAGGGCGGTGTCACCCCGGTGAAGAACCAGGGAACCTGTGGATCCTGCTGGGCCTTTGCCACCACCGGAGCCATCGAGGGTCACACCTTTGCCGCCACGGGTAAACTGCCTAATCTCTCCGAGCAGAACCTAATTGACTGCGGTCCGAAGGAGGACTTTTCCCTGAATGGATGCATCGGTGGTTTCCAGGAGGCTGCCCTTTGCTGGATTTCTGAGAATCAAAAGGGTGTTCCACCCACCGAAAATTATCCATATGTGAACAGCCAGGAATCCTGCAAGTTTCAAGGTAATCAGTTGATCTCCCAAGTGCATGGATTCAGTGTGATTCCCCCCGGGGACGAGGAGCTAATGAAAAAGGTGGTGGCCACTTTGGGTCCCATTGCCTGCTCGGTTAGTGTCTCCGAGAGCCTCCTCTTCTACGGAAAAGGCATTTACAACGACGAGTCCTGCAACAATTACGATCTAATCCACTCCGTCTTAGTTGTGGGCTATGGATCGGAGAACGGAATGGATTACTGGATCGTCAAGAACTCGTGGAACGTCAATTGGGGCGAAAAGGGATACTTTCGCTTGCAGCGCGGCAAAAACCTTTGTCAAATCGCAGAAGAGTGCTCCTATCCATTAGTTACCCAATCCTAATATCCATCTATGTTACTCACTCTTAAAATCCATGTTATCTTTAATACTCGCTCTTAATATCCATGTTATCTATGTTACTGGCTCCTGAGCTTCTTGTTTTTAATTAAATATTAATATAAGTTTAATTAATACAGACAACAACCGATCTCGTTGGGCCTATAAAAACTATAAACTAAACTGTTATAAATATTCATGTTTGTTTTGACATAATTAACTCATAGACACCTAATTTCGATAAGAAACTAGTTTTTTTAGGCAGATAGGGGGGTTCCCCAAGGGCATCTGGAGAAATTTCCTTTTTAGCTACAGCTACTGTTTTCTGTATATTTTAAGATGGTTGTCCACAAAAAGTATGAAGTGTGTGTGATAAAAAATATTAATATGTGTGAATTGGTTTAGAGGTTAATATGTTAATGTTTATAAAAAACTAGTTTTAGTATCGTGCCGATTTTAATTAATATTCGGCTAGATTAAAAGTGGTTCTAATAAAGAAACCTAATATACATTGCTAGCCACTAATTAGCCACGCCTTCGATCTAAAAAGTTTCTATAAAAGGAAGGACTTGGGACGGCCCCATAAACATTCGACCAAGTCCATCGTCCAGAAAGGTTGGTTGACTTATTTGATTTATAATCGCTGCGATTGATAAAGATCCTGTTTTAACGGCATTTTGATTTAGTGGAAACGGAACTTAAGCGTGTCGTGCTTTTAAAGTTGAATTTTTGCCCCTGTTCAGTTCAGATTATCTCGTAATACTTAATTTACTCGAATTTAACAACGGGTTTTCGGCAGAGTTCCGGTTTTTCCTGAACAAATACATTATCAAAGCAGCGACTTTGAAAGGGATTAAAAGTGCTAATTGGAAACGAGAATCCGTGCGACAAAAAATCAATGCACCCCGATAGAAACATCGAAATGCGTAATCATTGCTCACATAAGAGCCAAATAATCAAGATTAATATTCCTTTTTTTATTATACGTCAATGTGGTGTTTATATCTGCTCCAAACTAGATTTGGTTCTAATTTGTTCAGTGTTTCTGTCTATATTCTATATTCCGTACCATCTTACATAGCGCTAATGAAGCAAGACGAGTTCCCAAACCACTCGGCAAATATCGTCAGATCGCACACATCAAAATAGTTATAGCACAAATATATGTGTATGCATAGGTTTTTTAATCGACGCGCTTCGATTTCTGTATAATTCCGAGTCACTGGACTTGGGATTTATGGATTTCGGATTCGGATCGGGTGGGGGCGAGGTTGGCCAGTTTGTAGCCTGCAACCCTCTAGTCCCCCAGAGCTCTATAAAAGCTCTGTCCGCCGGTCGAGCCAAAAACATTTGTGTGGACCGTGCGAGCGCGAAAGGTTAGTCTATGGAGCAGTACTTGCGATGATTCGATCGATGATTGACAACCTGTGCCTAAACCCGTATTACTCAACTACATTGGCTGATAAGCATTAAATTATTAATTATTACAACGCAAAGATCAGTAGTAGTTCCCCGCTCTTAATAGATCGGTGTACTAGAAAACCGGGAAACCAGTTGGAACTGCTTTTTCGTAACACTAATTTTTAACTTTGCAGATCACAATGAAGGTTCTCTGGGTTTTTCCACTTCTGGTGGCTGCGGTCTCGGCCCAATTCGGTTTTGGAGGCGGACGAGGAGGCGGACTAGGAGGAGGACTGGGAGGAGGACTTGGAGGAGGTCTTGGTGGAGGTCTTAGTAACCTGGCCAGCAATGCTGCCAATCAGTTCCAGAGTGCTGCCAGCAATATCGCCAGTGTTGTGCCCAAGGTGCCTCTGCTGTCGAATGTCCAGAGCTTCGGTGACTTCTTGGTAAGATGTGCAGATAATTCCTTGCCCAAAAACTGAGAAAACTAAAATGAAAACCCACTTGCAGTCGCAATCCGGAAAGACCTACCTCAATGCCGCCGATCAGGCTCTGCACGAGGGAGCCTTTGCGGCCACCAAGAACCTGGTGGATGCCGGAAACGAGGCCTTTGCCCGGGGAACAGCTACTTTCAAGCAGGCCGTGAATGCCTTCGCCGATCTGACCCACGCCGAGTTCCTGCAGCAGTTGACGGGTCTAAAGAGGAATCCCGCTGCTAAGTAAGTGCTCCCTTTTCTTTAACTTCCGGTTTAGTTCCGGTTATAACTGATTTCTGATTTTCTCCTCCACAGAGCCCGTGCTGCCGCCAGTCAAAGGGAGGTCGCCCTGCAGCCTGGTCCCGTTCCGGATGCCTTCGATTGGCGCGAGCACGGAGGTGTCACCCATGTGCGGTTCCAGGGAACCTGCGGATCCTGCTGGGCCCATGCCACCGTCGGCGCCATCGAGGGTCACACCTTCCGCAAGACCGGCAACCTGCCCACTCTCTCCGAGCAAAATCTGGTGGACTGCGGTCCCTCCGAGGACTTTGCCCTGAACGGTTGCGATGGTGGCTTCCAGGAGGCCGCCTTCTGCTTCCTCGATGAGCAGCAGAAGGGCGTGTCGCAACTGGGTGCCTATCCCTATGTGGACAAGCAGGAGAACTGCAAGTTCGACATCAGCCAGTCGGGAGCCCACTTGGAAGGATTCGGTGTGGTGAAGCCCGGAGACGAGGAGGAGATGAAGAAGGTGATTGCCACCCTGGGACCGTTGGCCTGTTCGGTGAATGGCTTGGAAACGCTGAAGTCCTACGACGGTGGCATCTACAACGACGATGAGTGCAACCAGGGCGAGCCCAACCACGCCATTCTGGTCGTGGGCTATGGATCGGAGAACGGACAGGATTACTGGATCATCAAGAACTCGTGGGACGACACCTGGGGAGAGAAGGGCTACTTCCGCCTGCCCCGTGGCAAGAACTACTGTTTCATCGCCGATGAGTGCTCCTATCCAATTGTTTAGGGGGCAAATGTACTGCACAATGCAATTAGACTTGAAAAGCGTTAATAAAACAAAATAGATTTAAAAAAAATTAATAATATTATGGGGTCTTTCGTTCTAATCTTCAAGGGTTTTAAATGTTTAGGAATCTTTTTAGGCTCTTAAAAATATACTTTCCAAACATGGCCCATGAACGTATTTTAAAATGTACCTATGAAAAAGCAGAGCTTCGTAACACTGTTTTTTCTGTGTGCTAAATCCAAATTTAGAGGAATTACCTATCATAAAAAGCTAACGCTAATCAAATGGAAATTAATCCGCAACTTTTTAAACTAAAAAATATTTCTGAGTCTTTAGAATCAGATTTGAATGGACCCCGCCAAACAGCGTTGCCAGAGTGCGTTAGGTAACGATAAAATAATCGATGTTGACCCAAGTCTGCGCATATCGATAGTACACAATAACCATCGAATCTGCCGAGACAACAATAATAGAAGTAAATTCAATTAATTGGCGAATTAAACTACATTAGGCGCGGCGCGACGAAGGGAACTTGATGAGCAGCAGGCGGGGAATGCCGTGACGAATGGCGGCAGTGCGTCCCATGGAAGGCCACCGCGCAACCGTGTTCCTGCAGGTGTGTCTGTGCAGAGCAGCGATGTTCTGATCAAAAGAGGGCCCAGCCCACTTTTGGGAAAGTGGGTGTTGTCACCGGACCGCGAAAGCGAATCTAAAGCCCCCGGATCACCTGTGATCACCAATTGTCTCCATTGTCCCACTGCCCATTGTTTGTGTGCTAATCAACGTCTCCCCTTGGCCCCTTCCTTTCCAGAAATGTACGCGATAGAGCATGTGCATTGCGACTAATCCAAAGAGTCCCCTGTGGTCATAACGCATTTAATAACCTAAACCAGTCGGAAAGGCACAAGTCACCTGGAATCCCCGAATCCCCAAACCCTATAACCCATCCAAACATGGACGAGGACATCCTGAATGCCGTAGAGTCCCTTTTTGGCAAGGATGTGAAGATCGTGGACTGCGAGACCTCCTCATCGCTCCAGCAGGAGGAGGTTCTGCTGGTCAACGGAGTGCCCGTGAAGCTGGACGGCCTGCCCGCCGATGATGCCAGTGCCATCAAGGCGGCTCTGCTGGAGGGGCAGATGCCCGCGGTGGAGCACTTGAACCAGCTGCTCTTTCGCGCCGGCTTGGCCCAGCAGCCCATCGAGGTAGAGACCTCGTTGACGGTCAAATCCTCGCTGACCACCACGGAGGAGGTGCTGGTCTCGCGCAACGGACAGATCCTGGACGAACGCACCGTGGAGACAAAGGAGAACTTCAATCATCAGTCGCACCAGAAGGAGATCTGGCATCCGGTCAAGCAGCAGTCTGCCTTGGCTCGCGCCACTCCCGAGAATGCCCTCAAATATTCGAATTCCACGTTCGCCTCGCAGGCCACCGACTCGGACGAACGTCCGGCGGATCCTCTGGGCCGCCAGCTGAACCAAACCTTCTCGAATGCTTCCCTTATGTCCAGCAGCTCGGCCATCACTGGCTCCGATCAGGTCATTGGATCCGTTTCGTCCACCACCATTGGGGACAAGAGCTCGAATATAAGTAGCTGCGACTCTGGGCACGATGGCCTCTTCCACAGCGTGTCCATGAACACGCCCTGGTCGCATCCACGTGACACATTAACCGACTCCTTGTACTGCGACATTTCCAGCTCGGCAGATGAGGCGGATGCGGTTTCAATTCTAGTGAGTTATTGTACAGTTCCTGTTAATTGCTGATTTACTAATCCTTTTATTGGTTTAGAACACCCACTTGCAGATCACAGAGCCATCCGATTGCCAAACAGCGTTAGTTTACGCCAAAGACATGCCCAAGGAGGGCAGCCTGGATTCGCTAGTCAGCCTGCTAATCAACGGCGACGATGCTGATGTGCAGTTTTCGCTTTTGACCTCTGCCCGTTTGTTTTTGCCACCCCACGAGCTGCTCTCTAAGCTCATTGCCAACTGCCAGGGAAAGGAGGATAACCTTGTGCGATTGCTGAGCCACTGGCTCATCGTTTGTCCCGGCGACTTTCTCCACGAGTTGATGCTGCAAGAGCTGGAGAAGAAGCGGGGGCTCAAAGGAATGACTGCCTTTTTGGATGGCATTCCGCAGTCTCAGGCACAAAGAGCCGAAAAGGGGAGAAATCATCTAAAGCATCTGCTGACCAAGCAGCCATCTGCCAGCTCTTTGGGACGTCAGAGCAGTATTAAGTCGCTGAAACGCTTTGCAGCCAATGTCTACAAAACGGACAATGTGATCAACAACTGCAGCAATGTCTTCGAGTTGGCCCACCAACTGTATGCCATTGAGTACGCCTATCTGTCGCAAATACGCCTCGAGGAGTTCGTTGAAGCACTGGCGAAGGATGAGCTAAAGTCTTGCATAAACCAAACCAAGGCGGGCACCTTGGGCTCAAATCATCTTATCCAGGTGACCATCGACAGCTATGTGCAGTGGTTTAACCAACTGAGTTTCCTGACTGCCACCGAAGTACTGAAGGTGAGGTATGGAAAAGTTAAGCAAAGGAATATAAAATGTAATATTTCTCTACTTTTAGCTGAGCAAAAAGTCTCAGAGAGCACAAATGATTGACTTCTGGGTGGAGACAGCTCTGGAATGCTTTAACACAGGGAATTTCAACAGCTTAATGGCCATTCTTACAGCATTAAATCTGACTGCCATAGCTCGCCTAAAGAAAACGGTGGGTGTTTATAGCTAAAAAGGGTTTTTGGTTTAATATAATCTTTTATTCCAGTGGGCCAAAGTTCAGACCACCAAGTTCGAGGGCTTAGAGCACCAAATGGATCCCAGTTCAAACTTTCTCAACTACCGATCCACCATGAAGGCAGCTATTTGGCGTGCGGAAAGGGAAAAGGCCAAGGAGGTGGAACGCGCCATTATACCATTCTTCTCGCTGTTTCTCAAAGATCTGCATGCCATTAATGAGAGCCAGGAAACAAAGTGAGTTTGCCTTACAAAATACAAATACAAAAGATGGGAAGTAATCAAGATCCTTTGCAGATTGGCCAACGGAAACCTGAACTTTGAGAAGTGCCTGCTGTTGGGCAGCCAGCTAAGGAGCTTCAGCAAGTGGCAAGAACAGATCTGTCCCTACGGGCAGCAGGCCACTGTGGTTTCCTATCTGCTGAAGGCGGAGGTGCTAACCGAGGATCTTCTGATGAAGGCCTCCTACGAGCTGGAGCCACCCGAAAACGGCGAAGAGAAGGATCACTACAAGACGCTGAAGGCAGCTAAGAAATCGAACACATAATCACCCATCATTAACGACAATCCTCGGGATAGTGCAACATACATAATATGCAATGCAATGAGCCTCGCACACACACTTTTGTTGGCGTTCCATTTTCACATTTTGCATTTGTATCGCGATAAAAAACGGTAACAATAATAACTCTTACACTTCCATTGTGTTTGTTAATTTGTACTTAAGCTTAGACGACGGTATATATTTATTTGCAATCGATTTATATATACAAGTGACGGGCATTTAATTAGAAACACCAAAAATATGCATACACTTACTAAAGTAATGTTTTAAATGTTGTATTTTAGCAGTTATATACCCCGAAAAATACATAAAAATAAAAGACTTCGAATAGATATTCCTCAACGAATGGTGGCGAACTTCTGGAAGTCGACGGTTCCGAACTTCCCGAAGAGCTCCAGGGGATAGTGCTTGCCCTCGACGGGCGCATGGATGCGGATCTGCCGCATGTGGGTGTCCCTGCCGTTCTGGTGGTTCGAGATCACTGCGATCTGCAGCATGAAGGTGCGAATCGACTTTACGTTCCCGTCCTTGATGGGTATCTGCACCCAGCCGGTGGGCTCGGTGAGGTCCATCACCTGCAGCTCCTGCAGATCGTTGAAGTTGGTCCCGGATCTAATGGAGATCCTCGATGGCGTGTAGCTCTCGTCCAGCTTGTAGTCCGTGTATATGTAGATCTGGCTGATGTTGGTGCGCTTGTGGAACTGGATGTTGACCAGGTGGGGCAGCTGTCCATCCGACTGCCAATAGGTGTCCATGATGTTGTCCCGCAGACGCTCTACGCCGAATCCTAAAAGGCAGAAACATAAATCCTATTCTGGGAGAGATTTCAAAACCCAAGATTACCCGGCTTGCAGGAGGAGAGGCTCCAAACGGCCTGGGCGCCCACTTCCCGCACGAAACCCAGGCGCTCCTCGGCCAGGGGATCCTCCTCATTGCTGGGCAGCGGGTTGGCGGATATATCCGTATCCATGGAGGCTGCCATCGCAGCAAATTGACTTTAAAAACCTTTTCTAAAATGTAGTTTACAAAAGCCACTTGAGGACGCACAAATCAGCTGTTTGCTTGTTGGTATTTTTCGTGTTCCCGCTCTGGCCACACTACGCGGTCCATGTGTTTTTTTTAGTCAACAAAAAAGTCTGAAATTTTAAATATAAATAAAAATGGTGCGTAAACTCAAGTTCCATGAGCAGAAGCTGCTCAAAAAGGTGGACTTTATCACCTGGAAGGTGGACAACAGCGGCAAGGAGAACAAGATCCTCAGGCGCTTTCACATACAGAAAAGGGAGGATTACACCAAGTGAGTTTTGAGGGTTTCCATTGCCACTGAGATAAAACCTTTTTAAAACCTTTCTAGGTACAACAAGTTGTCCAGGGAGATACGGGAACTGGCCGAGAAGATAGCCAAGTTGGATGCCTCCGATCCCTTCAAGGTGGAGGCCACCACCATGCTCCTGAACAAAATCCATGCCATGGGAGTCTCCAACGATCAGCTAACTTTGGAGACCGCAGCCAAGATCTCCGCCAGTCACTTTTGCCGGCGGCGTCTGCCCGTGATAATGGTAAAATGTAAGTATTACCCCTTAACTTCACTCTATTTCCTAATAACCTATTACTTTCCCCCGACAGTGCGCATGTCGGAGCACCTGAAAGCCGCCACAGACCTCATAGAACACGGCCATGTGCGTGTGGGTCCCGAAATGGTCAAGGATCCCGCCTTTCTGGTCTCCCGCAACCTCGAGGACTTCGTCACCTGGGTGGACGGCTCCAAGATCAAGGAGCATGTTCTCCGATACAATGACTTGCGTGATGACTTCCAGATGTAGACTCTATTTTTAAGATCCCCCAATAAGCGTAGAATAACTAATAAAACAACCAACAACTTTTGTTAAATAATCATGTTCAATAACTTTATTACATTTTATATAATAATGTTTAGATCTCATTAATATTCATTATTAAGGAGCGAATTGCGCCGAGGGCACAAATGCGCCGACACGCACATACATATACATATATTTATTTTAACCTGATCCCCCGAATTACCGATCTGCTCGGAATCATTCCGTAATGGCGGTTCATAGTTGGATTATGCTCTATTAGTTTGCTTTTTTTTACCCTCACTTCGCTATCTAACGTCAATCGTTTTTGAAATACAATGCGGCGTGTGAAATACCTTTCGGATATTGGAGTAATATCAGTTTTGGAAACAAGTGAGAGAGCCGGCGAATTTACACAATAAATTATAAGATAGCAGCGTGGATTGATCGATCGCTTTATTTATAAAAACAGGATGAGTGTGGGTTAGGGACTAAGGTGCAGGCAGGTGCATCGAACGGTTGAGCGGTCTAAAAAGTGATCATTGAACAGAGTTAAAAGTAAGGTCAATGGCAGTTACACAAGTCAATTCCAGCCAGCCTCAACATAGGAAGCAAATGCATTCTAATCGTTAGGAGTGCGATAAAATTGTAGTGAAGTTTTTAGAGCTTTAGAGTCTGACTGCTCGTCGTGCATCTGACTTTGCCAAAAATGAAATCTAAAAGAACAATGGATCTCCGTTTCGTTTCAGCAGTCAAAAGTCTTTTTCTTGTTGTATAGATATAGATATCTTTAAATATTAGTTGTATTATTATTCCTTTTTAAATACGCATAAAAAGTAGGTATTAATTAGTGTTAAAATAAATAGCTAGTGGCATTAAAATTAGTTTCGACTTTGGCTGCGGCCCATACACGATTTCATATCCGCCTGCCTAAGGCAAAGAAAAAATTTCACATGAATAACTTCATAACAATATAAAACAAATTAATAAAAAGGGATTTTCTACATTTGTTCCTCATCCTCTCGTTCAGCGGAGCTTGCTGTGTTGCAACAAAAATACATTCATTCAAAATTCCATTACATTCTTTTGGCTTTCGAGTGCGCTCTGCTCTGTGTTCTGTTCCTAGTTCTTATCTGTTCGGTTCTTGGTTTACATTTAGATGGTTCTCCTACTGTTTCAGGCTTGCGTGAACAATAAATTCTTAGGCTGGATATATGCATTTATATTCAAAATAAATATTCAATCGCATTGTATTAATCACTACAATATTTTCCGTAAATTCCGATTTCCTTTGTTCTTCAAAACATGTGCAAATAGTAAGTAGCCGTACGTACATATATGTATATGCCCCGATGAACACCAAAACCCCGCGACCTACAGAATAACTTTCGGTATATGTTTTGTTATGTTTCCATAGATGTCTTAATGCGCAAACTTGTAGAATAGTGTGTTGTTCCGACCAAAAGAGCGCCAAGCGCCCTGATGGCCCAACTGCTCCGCCGCCGCCTCCTTGCATCCGATGAATGCCATTCAAAATACCCAGAATGCCGTTTAGATTACCAGCGCCATGTCCTTTTTGCTGGGCAACTGCACCCGCTTGCCCTGCCACAGGGAATTGTGTATTGTGAAGGCGTCGATGGTCACCGTCAGATGCTTTGTGTGCACTTGCGAGAAGCACTTGCCGCCTGAGTTGTATCTGCAGGGATAGGTTAAGTATTAGCTTTAGAAAAACCAATTAGTAAGCTTATCCACCCACTTGAAGAACTTGTCGAACATCACTTCGTCGACTTGACTAGGCCCAGTGCCATACAGCTTGGTCACCTGGTCCGTTTCCGGCTGGTAGCTGTAGAGGGCGCGGAACTGGCAGCCCGCATCCCGGAAGAGTACCAGGAAGTGCTTCGCCTCCGAGCGCGCGATCTTCTCCAGCACTTTCTGTTTGGCCTCGCGGTTGACGACGCCGGGAAAAACGCAGTATTCAACGGCGTTCAGGATGATCCCACGATTCGATTTGGCCGCTGGTTGTTTATAGAGTTTGGGACCTGTGAATGCAAGTCAGACAAAGTTAGAACACTGATAAAATCACACATCTTTCTACTTTTTGGTGGCAATGGCAAGCTTCTAAATCGTAAAGTCTTCTAGTCAATTCATCAAAATGAAGGCTACGTGCAAGATTTAATACCAAACATTTGGGTGAATCTACGGGATCCACTGTTTAGATACTTGGGAATAAAAATCATAAAATTTCCTGACAAAAAGTAACGAAATTATAAATTAAATGCAGCCTGGCTTAAACTTCTATTGCACATAAATTAGTTTAAAACTTAAAAACAATTCAATAACGTAAAAAAACTTAAACTATAGTGCTTGCAATTTAGTCTTTAGTATTTCAAAGTGAAGCTGTTAATCGGGCCAATCTGGTTTTAGGGATTAGAAAGCTCTTGCGGTGTTTTTAAATCACTAGGAACACAGTTGACCATCGAAAGTCGTGGATTTGACGACGCTAGGGAACGTAACAAGTGGACGAACGAAGAATCGGATTCTACAGACTGTCGCAGCCCTCTAGAACTTGTTTATCTATGTAGAACTCAGATGTATGTCGAATAAATCAAATGCAATCTGCTCAAAAGGATGCCAATTCGTAATGAATGAAAGTAACCAAAAAGAAATAAAACTGAAAACTGAAACTTTGAAATTATAATGAGGCGTTCCAACTTAGGTAGTACTGATGCAGGTGGATGACCAATGGTGTATGGATTGGTGGAAGGTGATTATATAACTGAGGGTTGATTTGAAGTATTGGTATGGCTTGTATGGTTTTGTATTTTGGTATTTTGAAGACGAGAGAGAGAGAGGATACAAACCCGAATATTCCATGTTCAAATTCGGAGTTAAAGAGAAATCGCTGGATCCATCATCAAATCCGCGACGTTTCGATATCAAACCTGGCGGCAAAGAGCCCGGTCCGGAGGGAGATGGCATATGCCTACCTGAAGCGCCCATTCCCATTCCAGGCGACGGAGCACGCCTCGGCGGAGTGGCGCGTCCCAGTCCCGAATCTGTGGTGTTTAACCGGCAAGCAAGAGAGCAGGGTGGAATCCGTGTGTCAATCGAGGCATTCAGGCATTCGGATGGGCATTCGGTCACATGCACAAAACAGATCAGATGGTATCGTATCGGATGAGATCAGAACGGATAGCGGATCAGCCAGGAATCATTCGATGGATGCGTTACGATGTTACGATGCGTTTTTGTTAGTCACCAGTCACGTGGATGGATGGCGAGTCGAGTTCGATGAGTTCGTTTCATTCGGTTAATATTTGATAGTATTTTTGGTTGGTTAAGAATCGTTTTTTTTTTTTAGACAGGATTGAGTTGAAAGAAAGAGAAATAAAAGAAGAGAATGTGTGCACAAAATTTAGTTAAGCAATTTCGTAGATCTCTTAATAGCTAGTTGATCATGATCTGGATTAAAATCGAACAAATGTACTGATTAGTGTGTGTTTTGCGGTGCAGATGTTTTGAGTGAGTGTTTGTGTTTTTGTGCTAGTGTATCATCCCATATATCTCACAAGTGGAGTAAGCAAATTCGATCGTATGCCCGAACCAGTTGGGAATTTTAAGCTGTAGAAACCAACCCCAGTCCCCGCAAATCAGCTGACGAACACAAGGAAGCTTGAGAAGGGACCAGACCACCACCACCGTCACCGCATCATAGTTAGGAGCTCGGGGAGACCGAATCATCATCGCAGTGAAAGGTTAAAAAACTAAAATAGCAAACCAGCAAACAATAGAATACTGTACATACATAGGTGAAAATGAAGACAAGAGTACAATTAAAAAGAAAGTGAATTACTTATCACCACCAAAGATACCAACGATACCAGAACCAAAGTACAATCACAAGTTAAACCAAAAGATACCACTAGAAACATCCGAAAAATCAACAGAAAGTAGCAGACAGTTAAATACTTAGAGAGTAGAGCGTATTGGGATAACAGAGAAAGGTTGAAAGGTAGGTAACAGGCAGGCAGCTTGATATTGTTGCTGCTGTGGAACGCTTCTTACCGCACAGATTCATTAGCGAATTGGACTTTCGGCCCCGGAAATTAAGCGTGCTGCCCTTTGCGACGGAGATACGCGACAGAGTGCGGCCTCTTTCTACGCCGGCTGGCTCTGAAATCAGGTCAAGTTGTCGGACGCGAGCCGAGTGCATCAGTATACAGGTGGAACATGATTCATATTCATATTCATTCGCAATTCGTTAACACAAATGAATAATATGGATGGCACAAAATGAGGTACAAATATCGTAAATCAAACTTATCGCCCCGGTAACCGCCAAAACCAAAATACCAGCCCCAAAAACCAGGTAAATTATAATAAAAAATATATCCTAAAATAAATCCGCTCCTCAGTTCCACTTTTCACTTCAGGTGCAATCTTTCTGGCAGTGCATTAGATTAGTTAAGGTTGTATTAGCTCTTATTTGTTATTTGTTAGCCACAAATCAAAAAACTAGTTAGTTAAAGAAAAACCGTACAAAAAATGGAAGCTCTCGAGCGTTAAAGTTCGTTTCTTTTCTTAGCGTGTTCGAATTTTGTGGAAATAAAACAAAGGAAAACGGGGAAAAAATAAAAGAACTAAGTGGGCGTGTGTTATCATCCATCACCAACCTCTGGAAGTTTTGTACGATCCCCGTCGTCCAATCGGAGTTGAACTTGTACTGGGATAATCATCGGGTGACTCTGTTGGAACGAGATTAGTGGTTATGGCTTATCAAATAGGTTGTCCAAGTACCAAAGTTATTTTTAAAGAGAACTTAGAACTACAATTAAGTCGAGGTGCAGCTCAAATCGTTAGATTATAAGTCCCAACTACCGAAAAAGTACCAGAGAAACCAATCAACTTAAAAGGTAACTAAACATGCTTAACGTAATAACTTAGAACTACAAAAGATGAAATTTATATAAGACAATGCAAAGAGGGTAGAGTAACAAAAACATAAATTACCTTTTACAGTGAGGGAGTCTTGCGAGCCCCTGTAGTAATCTCTTTTCATTGAATTTGAGCTTAGTTGACCGTAGCCTGTTCAGTTCAAATTCAAAACGAAAACAAAAAGTCAACAAATTAGCAGTGGGTAGAGGGATAAACCAAATCAATATAAAGGAAGGTTTAAAGCAGGTAAATCAAATTGGGTAAACACAAAAGTAAGAGTACTTTCGGAAAGAAGTTTGGCAAGTTCCGCTTTTTTTTAAACCCGGCCCGCTGCTCACCGGTTAGATTCGAGCTTGAGCCTTTCTTGCCCCGACTAGAGATGCTCGAAGCCTCGCTGATGTCCACGCTGGCATCGTCCACGTGGATCGTCTTGGGTCTGGGACGCGTGGTGCGCTGCTGCCTCAGCCGCGGAGTCGTTGAGGTGGATGAATGGGGTTGCAGTTTCACATGCAAGTCGGGCCGATCCAGGGTTTTACCCTAATGTAGGAAAAATTTAAAGTTTAGTCTTGTAATCTTAATATTTAAACTAACTTAAACTTAAATCTACCTCTCGCTCGGCCTCTTCGATGGCTTTCTTGAGTCTGTGCTGCTCCAAAATGGCCGCTCGCCGAGCTATTTGCTCTTCCTTCTTGCGCGACCGCTCCTCCTCCTTCTCGCGCTCCTTTTCCCGCTTCTGGGAAGACTCGATCTCCTTGCGCGCCTTGGCCTCCTCCTGCTGCTGGCGACGCTGCAGGGACAGCAGCATGATCTTCTCCTTGCGCCGCTCCATCTCGTCTACAGAATCCTGTGAGGGAAGTAAATGGATACGATTAATATGGAAATTATGGATTGTGGCACTCGATCCCCGACTAAACTTGTCTCTCTGCAAAAGGGGGAGTCAAATAGGCCTCCATTTCACTAGCTTCAATAATTAGTTGTAAAGTTATCTTTCTTTTTTGACTTCCTCTCGTTTCTTAACAGGTTTTTCAAATACATTTTGATTGATTCCAAACTAGAGCCCTGCATGAATGGATTCAATGAATTATTTTGAATTTTTTGTTTTATTTGAATGAATAAATTAGCATTTTGAGTTTAATAGAATTGAATGAATTTGAATTTTGAGTTTAATCGAATTGAAGAAATGAATGGCATGAATTACGAAATAATTCAAACGACAATTTCTTTTAAACAAGAAAGAGCCATAATTTTGTGATTAAATCTGCATGAATTTTATTTTCTAAGCAGTTAACATTGATTTGTTAAAAATTTTTTACTTTTTGTTCTTAAAAGAAAGCACAAAACAAAATGTAACAAATTCAAAAAATTTATAAAAATTATTCATTCAATTTGAAATGAATTAGAAATGAATACAAATCAGAAATTTCATGGCATTCTATGATAAAAAAAAAATTTAATGATTCATGCAAGGCTCTATTCCAAACTCTCCTATTTCCTAATCTTACCGGATCCAAATTCGTAGAATCTGCTCCGATGACCAGCGCCTTGTTTTTGGCCGCCTCCGCATTGTTGCTGCTCTGCTGGAGTCGCGTGGGCGACATCGGCTGTTGCTGCTGCTGCTGATGCGTCTGATTGGTCACATCCTCCAAGTGGCGGCGTTCGTTGCCAGTCGGCGAAACTGCTCCCGAAACGGCCAGCTGGCGGAGTTGGATGGGCGGCTCATCGGTGTACTTGTTGTAGGTGGCATTCCCGGGGGATTTGACACTGTTGGAGTTGCTCAGCCCGTGGATGCTGTGCCTGGTCACTGGCTTGCTGCTCACCACATCCTCACCTCCGCCGAATCCAATGTTGTTGTTGTTGTGCAGCTGACTTAGCGATTCACGTTTGAGGGTCGCCTGGTTATCCACGCTGTCCCTTCCACCCGGCGGAGCCTCCTTTTTGGGCGATCGCTTGGCCCGCAGCGGTGGCTTGGGTCGCTTGGGCTGCTCGTCGTCGAAGGAGATGTAGAAGCCCTTCTCGGGCGGCTCCTCGCCGGATGCCGCTGCCATTGGGGATCGGGGATCCTGGAAGCTGTTGGCCTGGATGGAGGGACGGGAGGGCGAGGGTATGCGGTACGTGAGGTTGCCGCTGGTGATGTTCAGCTTGTTGGAGATCATCTCCCCGCTGTCGTAATCCTCCGAGCTGCTGCCTCGTCCGCTGTGCCCCTGCAATCGCTGCTGCTGCTGCTGGAGTTGCTGTTGATGTTGCTGCTGCTGCTGGTGCACAAAGTCGGAGATGCGCGTCGACTGCATGGACTCAATGATGTTGCGCTCCAGCTCATCCACATCCTCCTCGTCGCCGATGAAGCAAATGCTCTGCGGCGCCATCATGTCCTCGTGCTGCATCGGCATGCCCATTTGTTGCGGTGCCCTGGGCGATCGATTGTCGCGCAAATTGGTCAGCGATTGCTGGCGCTGCACGCCATTCGAACCGCTCACCTGACGCTGGGCGTGCTGCGGCGAGGCCTGCACCTGAAACAGGTGCTGTAGTTCGCCACCTCCTCCGTTATTTCCTCCTCCATTCTGATGCAGCACAAAGCTGCCGGGACTGGGTGCGCCCACACTCGAGGGCGGCCTGTTCATCCAGGTCTGTTTCTGCTTCTGCTGCTGATGCTGCTGCGTCTGCCAGGCATTCACATCCACCAGAGGCTGCTGGATCTGCTGCTGCTGCTCGTAGGCGGCGGCTGCTGCGGAGTGGGCCCAAGTCCTCCGCTGCGGATGCGGATGAGCCTGCGGCTGTGGCGACGATTCGTGCAGGTAAAAGTGATTGGTGGGCTGCCCGTAATCATCGTACACCACGCTGCTCCGATACTGCGGAGCTCCTCCGCCGTAGGGCGAGTGGTTGTTGTACGCCGCCCCGTTGTCACTGTAGATGCTCTGCGGCTGCTGCTGTTGCTGCTGCTGCGGTTGCTGCTGCATGTAGTGGGCGGGCTGCGGCGGCGACATGTACTGCCCATGCTCGTTGACGTACTGGGGCATGGCCATCGGCTGTTGCTGCTGATGTTGCTGGTGGAGCTGCTGCTGGTAGGGATCGCGGCTGGGCGGACGGGAACTGTACGCACTGACTGGGGCGTTGTAGGCCTGCGGAAGATGCGGCGATGAGCCAAAGCTTTGCTGCATGGGTCTCGGCTGCTGGTAATGGTGATCGGCCAGGTGCTGCTGCGACCCGTAGGTCTGCTGCTGTGGATGCAGTTAGTGGGGAGATTGCAGGTGGCAGTTTGCAGGTGGCGAGTGTAGCATGTTGCAGGATAACAAAATAAAGAACAATTTGTTAGTTGACGAACGAGCATTAAATGATATTTTGCAATCCTTTACCAATTCTTAACAAGTAAAGTACAATAACAATTTGGGATACTTTGGGCGTTTATAGTTAAGAAGTAGATTAGTGATTACTTCATTGCCAGTATTTTATAGATTAAAGAGAAGAAAATTCAATAAAAATCGAAAGGGTTATATTACCAAAATTCCTAATCAACAATTAATGATTCTTAAACACTAATCATTAACCAGAAATTCAAGGCAGATCAACAAAGTAATCAGTAATCAGCTCTTAAAGCGACAGCCAATGGACAACACAAAACAATAAGCATTCCACATCCTTTGTTATTATGCTCAATAGGCTGCTGCTATGAGGTCGAGGCAGTTGGGTGGCTGACAGGAGGTGGATGTGGTGGGCGGATGGACACTTTACCTGGTTCAGCATGTTGGCTATCTGCTGAGCCTGCATCAGCTGCTGGGCCTGCAGGTGCTGCGCCTGCATCTGACTCTGCTGCGTGGCCAGGCGGTGGATGTCCTGCTGAATGTCCTGCAGATTCATGTTCATGATGGCGATGCTTTGCTGCTCGCGTTCCACATCCAGGCGATTAGGTGGTAGGTTAATTGTAGTTTTGATTGGTTAATGGGCGTGTTTTGTGTTGTGTTGTGTAATTGTTGCGTGTGAGTATGTTTGTGGATATGTTGAAGCAGGCACAGACACAAAATGGGGGTAAAAGAGAGACACAGGCGTTAGACATTAAAATTCTGGTTAGATGGGGCAGGGAAAGGAATACATTGGTGGTTAACTTGGCTCACACCCACCTGGTACTTGTCCAAGTCAACGGGATCCATGTCGGGCGTGCGCTTCGATTCGTTGCTCATGGTCTCCCATTTCATCACATCCGGACACGACTCCAAATCCTCCTAGAAAAACATTCAAATAAGTTTCTAGATCGTAGATTCGCTATTTAATTAGCAAACCTTCTCCTGGTGTCGCAGCAAGGCCATCTCGATCTTGCGCTTGTCCTGCTCTATGCGCCGCCGCTTCTCCTCCAGCTTCATCCGTATGGTGGACAGCTTGCTGGCGTTCTCCAGCGATCGCATATCATCGTCACCCACATCCAACTGCCAGGCAGCTGGACTCGCTGGCATGCTGCTAGTCGAGGATTTGCGCACGGGCGTGCTCTCCGGATCGTAGCCACTGGTGGAACGGGTATCGTTGTACGGCGTATCCGGCGTCATCGTCACCCCACTGTTGCTGCCGTAGTCTTTGTCGCTGGAATGTTGCTTGTGCCTGGCCACCGGCAACGGGCTGCCCGCATTCGAAAGATTGTGCGACGAAACAGTGGGCACATTGTCCACGCTATCGATAAGAAATTTGTTAACTAATTGATTCCTAATTTTGAATTTTAAATAACCCACCTGACTTGCCGCCGCATCGAATACTTTTCCGTCTCGCGATCCTGCTTCTCAGAGCCCGAATCCGTGTCGTAACCCAGCTGCAACGTGCCCCGCGCATCGGCAATCGAGGATCGAACGGCCACGGCGGGTTCCACTGGATAGCCACTACCACCCACGCTGGTGTTGGACAACTTACGTTCCCTGTCGCGTTCGTAGCGTCCTAATGTATTCAGCTGATCCTGTGAGCCGCCAAAGTTTTCAATGGTCAGCTGGGAGTCCTCACTCGAGGAATTCCTGCGTGAGCGACGTCCTGGAAGGGCAGACACATCGTTATTAACTTGATAGTAAAGGGAAATTCACAACACTAATGGGTTTCAGGAGAGCTTTCGAGGGACATGTAACAAAGCCGAAAATGAACCATAAAACCAACTAAATTGCATTCAAAATTCAATATCAAACAACTACGTTTGCTACAACGATACTGGGTCAACAGTGGCTTTTGTGTTGGCTCTCATACCTGCAAAGCTGGGCCGGCGGCTCTGTTCCCAGTTACTTGGTCGACCGGCAGCGACAAAATCGCCTGTTCGTTTCGATTCGAGAGCAAAATTAAAAATGGAAATAAATGAAATTGAAAAATTGAAAATTAAATAAATAATAAATACAACTAAAGTACAGACTTGTATGTAGCCCGAAACGAACATAATTTTAAATTGTAAGTAAGATTTAAGGGGCTCTGCAGTAATTAACGAGTTCCCACATGGCAAAACACGTTTGGGGCTCAACATACAAGTCAAAGAATTAAGAAATGAACTGCTAGCAAGCTGGGCAAACCTCTCTCGTCCGCCTTCGACTCGACATTGGTCTTTTCTTTAGCCTGGCGCAAGCGAGCCGGAACCAAGGGCTCCTGCTGCTGCTGGATTTGGAGCTGCGAGTGGGACGGGTGCTGCTGGTATTGCTGCTGCTGTTGCTGTTGCTGCTGCTGCTGATGTTGCTGATGGAGCTGCTGCTGCTGCTGCGAGTGCATGGAGGCGAGTGTGGTGATGCCACGCGACTTGTGCACCACAAAGGCTGCTCATTGCGGTTGCGATTACGATGGTTGGTGGTTAAGCGGGTTGGTGGGTGGTGAAAAAGAAAAGTAAAGTTACAAAATTTAAATTCAATCATAAACCAATAAAATGTTGAGTTTTTCTGTCTGCATTGTGCACGTGAAATTATATAAATAATCAAGTTTAGAAACATATAATTAAGTAACAATAATAAAAATAAAATAAATTACCTTCGGCATGATTATTACCGTCAAAATTATTTGACTGAACCGTCTGGTATTCGTTGGGCGGGGTTGATCTGCGATTTAGGCCGCCGCCAAATGAATTCGAGTGCGGAACTAAATATACGAAAATTCACCGAAAAAAAAAAGGAAAACGGTAAAAAAGAAAAGGTAAATGAATAAAATCAATTTGTTCAGCTTGCGAGGTAAATGAACTTGATATTTCGGTGGGTTATTCATTGACTCGTTGCATCGGAAGCGGGCAAAAGCAAACAACACATTCGAAAGCAGAAACAAGGTGAATCGCAGTCCGTGGATGGGTTATGTTATGGCCAAGTGAGCTGAGAACTCCCATGAACTCTGAGTAATTATCCCCAGGGGAAGTCTGTCTGACTAATACTTTCACTCTTATGAAGATGAGATTCTTATAACACACCCAAAACATCTATGACCCATGAATTATTTCCCCGATTTCTCTGCTAAATAGGTCAAGTCATTTTCAGTCATGGTGCTTAGATTTAAGATTTAAGATGACAAAATGCAGTCTCTAGAGTACAATAATATCTACTGATTGATCTGAGTGATGAGATTGGTGCACTTATCACAGACATTACAAGGCATCGTGTGTGTGCGACATTACTTGGTACTTAGGCTACATTAAGATGGTAATTATTATCAAACAGCTGCATATCACATACGATTACGGATCGATTTCGATAATTATCGATCAGTGAAGCAAACGAACAAACAAACAAACAGAATGTGAGCAGAACAAGCAAAGAAAGAGGCAACAAACAAATGGAAATGGAACAGAAACGGAAACAGAAACACATTCATGAACAAACGAAGGAGGATAAATCGAGATTTTTGGGATTTTTAAGGGGTACACATAGAAAATGCTCGGATAGATAATTTGAAGTAAAACCTTGGAACGGTGGTCGATTCTGGGGCGAGCCAACTGGCGGCTGGTCGAGATCGCTGCGCAGATCGGGAATGGGCGTGACGGGCTGTACAGTGAGGCCCCGTCGATGGCAGATCCCGTGCTCATTGGCGCCCAAAGTGCGCCGGGCGATGACATCTATCGTCGGATATCGTCGAGTTTCGGTATTGGAGAGCGGATCAATCGAGATTTTTGGTAAGTGTGAAGATGTGTGTTTGGTGTGGTTAGGACCCAAATTATTGGTGGATTGATTGCGGTTACGAGTGGCAAGAGGAAGCGTTTTTTTTTTGCACATAAACAAAGAAAGAGAATCAAGTACAGAGTTGATTTATTGGATTTAAGTTGTGGAGAATTTCACTACTTTTTTTTGTTGTTGTTGGGATCAGGTGGTGAATGAGGCTAAGATGATGAATATTACATATGATTCCATGTCAATTTATTGGTGGACTCGGTGGTTTACAAACGGAAAATAACCGCAGGAACTATACAGAAATATAAATAAGATTTTGCTAGATCTCTGTGGTTTCACTGACAGATCTCCCCCTAAAAGGTGCTTTGCGGTTGATCTTAAACTGAGACTTATTTGCGGCATAATCAACGAGTTCTACGAGCTGTGAAGCGCTCTAAATTCCTAGCTATTTTGATAAGCTCTCTGTGACTAACTGATGGATGCTTTTACCTTTGGTTAAGTCACTCACAAATCCAGCTGAATGCTTTAATAGATTTTCTGCTATCATGACTAATTTCTGTTTCTTATTCTTCTGATTACCAATTCTTCTTTAACAAAATCAAGAGAAAAACTTAAGGCAAAATCATAGGAAAAACGAAGACAAAACGAAATGCAAACAAGGATACTTCGGATACACTTGGACAACAATGCATGCCCCGGACTGATATTCAAACACAGGCAGGCCAATCGTTTGGGGAATTGAGATCAGGGGTTTTTCTTGGGGGGAAGATGCGATGCGGTGCAGCGTTTTGGGAATGGATACTCGACAAAGAAACGATCCACTTACCCTGACCATCCATGCCGGGGTAGCAAACGCACTTGGCTGGGTGTATCTCGAACAGATTGAACAGATCCGTGAGCAGCAGTACCAGATTCAGTTTCATGGATCTAAAACCAAAGCAATATATAAATAGAATATTTAATTTATGAGGGGAGTAGACTCAATAGCTACCCTCTCATATAGGTCACATCCTCGGGCGTCATGTGGAACACGCTGTAGGGCAGATGCTTCTGCGAGAAGTTGCACACCAGCAGGATGTTATGAATCGAATCCTCGACGGCCGGCAGATAATTAATCCGCACACTCGTCCACGGCACCACCTTGGGGCAATAGTACGAGATAAGCAGCGCCAAGCAGATGCCGTCGCACAGATCCTGGAAGTCCCTCACAGGCGGTATGTCCGGCGTCTGCAGACGAGAGCCCTGTGATTAATTTGTATAGCATTAATAGCATTAAGAAGGGGAACTTTAGGGGTTTAGGTGATAACTCACATTATCATCGGGCAGCCCAGCGTCCACCTCCTTGATAATGCGCTTCTTTAGAGCAGCGCAAGCATGCGAAATCCAGCCCAGCAGAGCTTGCTCATAGGACTGGCCAGGAGGCGCCTGATAGTTGTTGCCAGATATTCTAAGGTATAAAAACAAATCATCATAACCCTGTATCAGTTATCAAAGTCAATCAATTCCTTCACCTTCGTATGGCCGCCATGACGCGGTCACCCGACGATATTTCCTTCGCATACAAAACCATCAGCGATTCTATCACAGACATGTGGGCGTTCTGAAAGCGATAAAATAAATTAGAGTGAGAGAACCCATAAAGATTGATTTTATACTCACAATTCGCAGCGGATTCGTTTGAATTAATACCGTTTCGGTAATGGGCATGTCCGAGGTCTCCGCCACGGGAACTCCCTTGCGCGCTAGCGTCTGTATTATTGACCAGTGGTTCATGCTTTGGTAGTTGGGATCTGAGTACAGATTGGACAGCGTCTGGCAGTAGAGCGTGGCATTGCCCAGCTCCACGATGATCTGCGGCTTGAGGCGCTCCTGGTTCTCATGGTCGCGATAGAAGGGCTCCTTCAGGTTGTCTGGCACGCGATTGTTAAAGGCCTTCGAGAGCAGCCACTTGACGGAAGCACGTTGACGAGCCTGTGGGAAAAGAAGAGAATATTGGAGCATCAGTAGAGATTGCGATAATGTGAGAACATTCTGTATAACAGGTGGCACCCATTCCCATTCCAAGGCCAAGTTGAGCCTGCGTAATCAATGCTCTGCGAATGCAGCCTCTGCGAATTGAATGACGGGCCTTTTCTTGGCAATTAACTAGCGCACTCTTAAGTGCTTTTGTATCTGTATATGCAATGCCTATCCCCACCAGTTGCCTGCTGTTGCATCTGGTGGTACAAGTACAAGTGAAGCCATGCGTACAATCTTCAATATGAGTTCGATAAACTCGCTCGTGTTTGGCTTGGCGTGCGCCGCCAGCCGCCTTCCATTGTTCAACCCCCCTCTGCTCACTCCCCTTTCTGTTTTTGGGGCCAAAAAGGGAAGTGAAGGGGTTGCTGGTCGGATGGACGATGGTCACTCAGCATGAAAGACTCCACTAGCTTTGCTCCGTTTTTAGAATCATCTCGAGTGCTGCCATGTTTCGCCAGCCAACCCATTTCTTGTTGCACTCATAATCACAATTCTGATTCTGCTCTATTCCGAATGGCCTCTTCTTGGTCCAATTGAAACTGGGGGGAAAAGCAATCAAAATAAATTCTCAAGAGGGAAACTGTCGCCGTTGCAGATGCGGAAATTGGTTTTATCGGGGCAAGAATCCAATACAAAATATGTTCCAATTAGTGGTATCTTAGCCAGGGAACTAATAGAACATGTGTTTTTCTCTGATAAGAAAGGTGTAACTAGAAAAAGGGGTTCTTCTATTTGCTATCTATCATATAAAGTTAGTGGGATTATAATAATGAAGAAAGTAAACATAAAACAGGCGACGCCGATCAACAGTTAAGGTTTATTTTTAACAGAAGATAAGGTGGAACCTTAGATTGTATACATATCTAAACCAAAAGCCATAAGAATATAAAGAAACAAAACACCAGGCGATATATGTGCGTTACGCATCTTAGAAAATATATTTTTCTTTGGCTGAACCTCATATAAACGTTAAACAATCCATTAATTCTCATTTGGCTTTCGGCATGCTTTTCGTTTTGGCTGCAAGACCTCTGCGGTGTCTTTATTATTTGCTTTCATTCCATAAATTCCAAACGGGTTTCTTACAAAATCGTTGCATGAAGTCATCAATAAGTATGTCAGAGAACCTCATCGAAGTGGTTCAATTCTTTTTGTGTACCCATAGACCGCTGCTCTTGGGCGTTGTTTGGATTAAAAGCTTATTACAAAATGCCAGAAATAATAATTTGAGCAGGTGGGGGAAAAGTGCATGGCCGGGAAACAATATTGGCGTAGGTCGTAGACCGACCAACTATGCGAATTGGTCAACAGGTGGAGGGAAAACCTGTTTGCCCGGCCAGCAAAGCGCTTTCCACCAAAAGCAAGAAACTGTCCGCAGCATAATTTGAATGGCCAACGAATCGGAAAAACGGAAAAACTCTGGCTGCACTTTGCATTGACTCGCGGCAAGGGGAAAAATGTCTGAAACTCAAATTTCAAAAGACCGTGTAAACAATTCGGAGAAAAACAATAAATGAGTGCTGTTTTAGACGCCCACTATGAATGAGCGAACGATGGATGGATGGATGGCATATTTTTATTCAAGCATACAGATACAGAGAAAGAAATCATGATCTAATTGTGTACTAATTCAAGACTTTCTGTGGTGTATTATAAACAGGGGAACATCTTGAACAACTTATTTAAAAAGCGGATTAATTATTTCTGACTCAAAAACAATGAGTCTTTGCTGATTGCTTGTTTTAAATTATAATTAAAAATTGTATGAACTATGTATTCTTTGGCAATCTTTTTTGAATTTTGTAAAAAAATTGTTGTATAGTTTAAGCTCTTGTTTCTTGTAAAATTGATTTAATATTAAACCCACATTTAAAAATATGAATCTTCATTTTAAATTGAAAATATCTAATTTATTAAACCCTTGTTCCTTGTAAAAAGTGTCTTTGTAATAAACATTCAGTTATATTGAGTCGTAAACTACAATAAAATATGATATTTATTTTGTCTAAACAAATATTAATTCCAAGTTGGTTGATATGCTGACTTTGGACAACTTTTTGGCCTGTGCACACACATGTTTGTAATAAAGTTTCAGTTGCTGGTGGTTTTCAAATGTCACAAATTGAAATTGGCGCGGCTTTATGATTTTATTATCTATCGTTTGTTTTTGGCATTCCATTCCGGAGAACGGGCAGCGCGATACGATGGCTAAAAGCTAAATATAACAGAGAGTGCCGACGAAGGAAAGCGGCTAAAAAGAAGAGAGCGGTACGCTTGAGTCAGCAACTTGATGTTTGGATGTTTGAATGGGTTTAGCTTTGAGTTATGGTCGGTAGTCTGTAGTTGGTTTTTTCCAGCCAAGAATGACTTCGAGCGCAACTTTCTAGGGAGTTGTCTAGGGGAAAAGTGTGCACGCAAGGCCCCAAACCGCGGAGCAGAGTGTTGCTGGCGTGTTTCTCCCTTTTCGCCTGGCTTTCGCATGCGTAAGCCGTTTTTTTTTTCTTTTCTGCTTTTCATATTTAGCGATTAGGTCATGCAGCTAGCTCAAAAGCGAGAAAAGTACGATAACAGAAAAGCCTAATCGAAGGGGCTACATTTTCCGGCTCTGCTTTTCGTACTGCAGTTTTATGAATGGAACTTAATGGTTTGATTTTCCGATCGGCACACCCCACACACAACTACTACCGCTTGAAGTTGTTTGCATTGGCCATCGAAACCAGTCGAATGGATATGAATGGTAAGTAGGTGTCGGTCGCATACTAAGCGCTAAGTTGCTAGCAGAGCGGCATTACCTCAGCGCACCATTTTGGCCAAGAGAGTAGGTGTTAGCCCGCTTTGTTGGAATGTTAATGAGCGTTGTTTTTGTCTCAAATTCCCCCTGCTCACCTGTCGTATTTCCTGTGTTTCGACATCCATGCTGACGGATTTTCCTGCGACGGACGACTCCGGCTCTCCGACGCCCGCCACTTCACTTTCCGCACTTTTTGCACTTTTCGCACTTGACACACCGCTTTTCCTTTCAACGCGTGTCTCTCTCTGCGTGTGTGTGTGCGTGCGAGCGTGTGTGTGTGGAGTTTTCTTCACTTTAGGGGATTTTCACTTGGAGCCTAAGCACAGGGAAAAAGAAAACACGATTGGCACTTGGAAATCGAAAAAAACAGAACTAATTGCGCACACGCATTGGCAGCGTTCGTTTTCGGGGGGCGTGGCGCGGGGGGCGGCAGGCAGGTCGAAAGAAAATGTGAATCATTCACAGAGGGCGACGGTTGGCGGTGGGCGGGGGGTGGGGCTGCAGTGCGACAATAACAGAGAACACTTTACAGTTGTCTTTTCGCTGTTGGCTTTTCTCGAGATGCTGCTGCTGCATCAGCTGTTGCGATTTGGTCGCCTGGCCCAGCCATTTACGCACTCTTCACCCCGTTAGAGTCTTTAATCGCCCGTCCATGGCATAATTAATGTTTTCCCGAACCGTTTTCAGCCAGCAGGCTGGCGATTTTCTTTGGGGAACCCTCGTCGACTTGAGTAAATGAAAACATTTTCCTTCGCCTCGCACTGTTGTTGTCCGCCGCCCGCTGCTTGCCTCTCTTTCGCTCGCGCTGCGCTGCCAATGCTGGTGCGCGACACTGTTAGTGTTGTGCTGCTCGCACCCACGGCGAACGAGTGGTTGACCGAAAAAGCTGTGTATGTGCGCGCGCGGGTGTGTGTGTGTGAGAGATTGAGTGTGGGGCCTACGCACATTTGGGATGTTTTTCGCACTGATTTGCCGCACCGACGACTTTCGCATGCATTTCACACGGTCCGCGCTCGTCCCCGCTGCATTTTCCAACAGCTTTAATACTACAAATTGGCCTTAAATTGAGGAAATCACGGACACCGATCTGCTCTAAAATCTTACAAATTTTCATTTGATAGTGAGACCGAGCGGATAACAGTCGAAAATACCATCCGGCCTAAAAACATACCAATTAAGTTTCAAAAAATACCAACTATATTCAAGAATTTAGGGTATTCCCCAAGCTTTTGAATTGCTGATTGCTTACATTTTGTTTAACTGTTCCAAAGTTAATTTTACAGTAGAAAATGTGGATGTTCCTCAAACCCAGAAGAATTTTGTAATAGTAATTTGGCAACTGAGCTCAGCTGTTTAACAGTTTCACTTTACCGGGCATCGCTGGTAAATAAACGTTTCACGGCAACTAATTAAACTACAAATCGATTTTCAACGCAAATAGCAGGCGTCAAATTTGAAAATTTGCGCTTTTTCTTTTCAAAAATAACAGATTTCTGAAATATTAATCACAGTTCCGTCGCCGCGTTGCCAACTTAGTTGACCATTTGGCAACACTTACCATTCACACAAAACGGCTCTCCCCCGTTTCGCCGTGACTGCCAAATGCGGCATCTCGCTCTTCCTTTTTCACTTTGTGCGTGTGTGTTTGATGACGGAAAATTGCAAATAGATCGCTGAAAATGGCCAAGAAGAAAAGCGAGGAGCACTCCGGTGCGGATGCGAACGACAGCGACTACACTGAGGAGCCGAACTTCGAGGATCCGCCCAACTTTGTGGACAACATCTCCGATGAAGGTAAGTTTTCCCGACTGCCAGCGCAGCACCAGCGCACGCGGCGATCTAACCTCAATCTGATTCGGAGTCCGTGCGCGATGTGCGAAAGTTTTTGCATATTTAATTAATATTATGTGATGAATTTCAGATCTACTGGGAGACATGCTCGCCCAGCGCCCCTCGGAGGCGGATGGCGTCGAGAGCGTGGTGGTGGTGGACAACATCCCCAAGGTGGAGCCGGTGCGCCTGGAGAAGCTCAAGTCGGTGATCAACAAGCTCTTCTCGCACTGCGGCGACATCGTCAATGTGGTTTATCCCGTGGACGAGGAGGGCAAGACCAAGGGCTACGCCTTCATGGAGTACAAGAAGGCCGAGCAGGCGGAGGAGGCGGTCAAGAAGCTGAACAACCATCGTCTGGACAAGAACCACACCTTTGCGGTGAATCTGTTTACTGATTTCCAGAAGTAGGTTCACAAACTACCCATTAAATCCATCGGATTTACTAAGATACCATCCTCACAGGTACGAGAACATCCCCGAGAAGTGGGAGCCGCCAACCGTGCAGACCTTCAAGGTGCAGAGCGACCTGTACAACTTCATCAACGACCCGGACACCTATGACCAGTACTGCGTGGCCGCCGAGACCGCGCCCAACTGCGTGCAGGTGGGCTTCTGGCAGAACGTCCTGCCTGAGCCCTTCGAGCTGGAGACCCGCGAACGCTTCACCGACACCTTCGTCAAGTGGTCGCCGCTGGGCACCTATGTGGTCACCTTCCACAAGCCCGGCGTGGCCATCTGGGGCGGCAGCAGCTTCCAGAAGATCCAGAAGTTCCCCCACACCGGCACCCAGTTCGTGGAGTTCTCGCCCTGCGAGAATTACCTCGTGACCTATGGTCCCACGCCCACGGGCCAGAAGATCATCATCTGGGACATCCGCACGGGAGCCGAGAAGCGTTCGTTTGTGGCCGATGGCATGTCGGTGCTTTCGATGTTCCGCTGGTCGCACGACGACAAGTTTGTGGCCCGCATGGGCGAGAACTCGATCCACATCTACGAGACGCCCTCGTTCTATCTGCTCGATCTGAAGTCCATCAAGATTCCCGGCATCCGCGGCTTCTCGTGGTCGCCCACGGACAACGTGATCGCCTACTGGGTGGAGGAGCAGAACCAAATACCCGCCCGCGTCACTCTGATGGAGATCCCCAAGAAGCGCGAGACGCGCAACAAGAACCTCTTCCATGTGGCCGACTGCAAGCTGCACTGGCAGAAGTCCGGCGACTATCTGTGCGTCAAGGTGGATCGCTACTCCAAGCTGAAGAAGGACAAGAAGGACCTCGATGTCAAGTTCCTGGGCATGTTCTACAACTTTGAGATCTTCCACATGCGCGAGAAGGAGATTCCCGTCGACTCTGTGGAGATTCGCGAGCTGATCCTCGCCTTCGCCTGGGAGCCCATCGGCAACAAGTTCTCCATCATCCACGGCGAGCCCAACTCGGCCAACGTGAGCTTCTACGAGGTGAACAAGGGCGTGAAGCCCAGTTTGGTCAAGCGCCTGGAGAAGAAGTCGTGCACGCATCTCTTCTGGTCGCCACGCGGCCAGTTCATCGTGATGGCCAATCTCACCATGGGCACCTTTGAGTTTGTGGACTCCACCAATGACTACATCATCAGCGCCTCGCCGGATCACTTCCGCGCCTCCGAGGTCGAGTGGGATCCCACTGGACGCTATGTGGTGACAGGGGTCTCCTCATGGAAGGTGAAGGAGGACACTGGCTTCAACATGTACACGTTCCAGGGACGCATCATCAAGCGCACCATTCTCAAGAACTTCGTGCAGTTCCTGTGGCGCCCGCGTCCACCCACCCTGCTCGGCGAGGAGAAGCAGAAGGAGATCAAGAAGAACCTGAAGAAGTACTACGCCGCCTTCGAGCAGAAGGATCGCCTGCGCCTCACGCGCGCCTCCAAGGAGCTGCTCGAGAAGCGCTCCCAGCTGCGCGAGACCTTCATGGAGTACCGCAACAAGCGCATCGCCGAGTGGCAGGATCAGAAGAGTCGTCGCGTCATGCTGCGTGGGCGTAAGTATATTATATATATATACTATATATAGTATATGTGGAAAAAAAATTGGATTTTAGTTTTAATAATTGGCTTTTCTTTTCACTTTTCCCAAGCTCTATTTTGTGTTAAAATCTTGATTTTCTACCACTTTTAGTTTTTAAGATATCGGTAAAAACTGCATTATTCGCTCGGGACAAAAACAGAAGTGGATTTTGGAAAACTTCATTCAACAACAGAATTTAGCGAACTCTGATGGAATATTTGAATGCGATTACTTTTAGAATGTCGCTGTCAAATGGTTTTGGTTTTACTCAAAAATTGTTTGCCTTTTTTTATGCAGTTTTAAACACATTCGCTCGGGACATTTTTTTTTAGCGTTTTGTAAAGTGCATTTCTTTTTCTCTATCACTCAATTGCTGGCTGTTATGCTTTTAACTTAATAGTTTAACATGTAAATGAAGCATTCAGTACAGAAAAATGTCACATATTAGCATTTCTATTGGATAAATTAACAACAGAAGACAAGTCCAAAAAATAACAAAAAAGAAGCAAAAAACTAATTTTTGCGTATATTAATGGGGTTTGTCATAAAAATAATCAAACGGCTCTCAAAATTTTTAGTTTAGGTCAGGATCAAACTATTTAGAAATTAATGTCGGGACAAAATCATGTGGAATTATGTTTTATTTAAGTTTCAAGAATGTTGGCTTTGTGGACTTTTTGGTGGAAGTGCCCATATATACTATATACTACTACTTGGAAAAGATTTTCATTTTAAAAGAATCCTTGCTAAACTATATTTTCCTTTCCCCCAACAGATGTGGACACAGACAACTTGGAAACTGAGGAAGTGGATGAAGAGATTGTTGAATTTTTAGTCAAGGAAGAAGTCACCCTGCTGGAGTAGACGACCCCCCCGAACGCCCCACAAACGCTGTCGTCCCCTGCCTGCTTCGAAGCGATCCTGTCGCCTCACCTTTCGTGTCCGGGACGCGTCTACGTCCTGGTTGATGCCAGGACCCCAACCCATTATCCAATCCAGTAGCACGCGTCTGTCTGCTTGCATAAACAACTCTAAGCGGAACCTTTGCCTATACATACAACATACGAATTATAAGCCCTAAAGTAAACTCCCGAACAAAATCACTTTTCCTAAACATAATAACTAATTAAATGACCTTTATTGAGCACACCCCTCCTCCCTCCAGTATGCCTAAAAGTAGATTTGCGATGTATTTGTATGTAAACAGCAAAAAGAAAACGAAAACAAAATATGTTCGGGGTATGTTTTTATTTTTGTTCAAAGGTTTGTTGCCATTGGCAACCGGAAAAAAGGCAAAGCAGGCGGAGTATTACTAGTTTAGTGTTTGGATTGAAAATACAATTATGGAGAACACTTCACCCAAGAAGAGTTTAAAGAAGAAACGGAAGACCCACACGACTAGGAGCTACCGGAAAAGGGAGCAGGAGGTGCAAAAGCTGCTGAAGGAAACGGAGGAAACCACTCCTAGTGAGGAACTGGACTTTGAGGCACTTGGCCTGCAGTTCTTCCATGGAAACGAGGGTGAGGTGGCGCAGGAAAAGGACTCCCCGGTGCAGCAAAGCGTTGGCCAGGAGAGCGATGAGGATTCTGGCGGGGAACTGCCCACGGAATCTCCCTCCCGAACATTTATACAAATCGATCTAGAGGATCCACCGGTGGTCTGGAATCAGCTCTTCAAGCAGCGCCACTTCTACGATGAGAGTTTACTCTATCGACCCAGTAACACGCTGCACTTTCAGTTGCAATTGGGTGAAAATCAGATGAAGAATGCCCAGATCCGCCTGCTGAATCGCTACCAGGAGCAGGCCAAAAGCGAGTCCACCAAACTGAGCTCCGAACTGATGGCCCAGCTAAGTGGGGCTTCACCTCCTAACTTTCTGCTGAATGACCAACTCTATCGCAGTGTCTGCCGAAAGGAGTTCCAGAGCGTGTTCTTCACCCCCAAGTTTCCAGATGAATTCCAGGGATTGCCCACCAGACGCTGCTTGAAGCTCAGCCTGAAGCAACTCCGTTTCAGCCAGCATCCGCAGCTCCTAGAGGAGCACCGAATGGCGCAGCAATTGGAGGATCTCTACGATGTCTACCGACAGCAGAAGAAACTAAAGATCTGCAGGAAACTGAGGGAGGAACTGGAGATTGCCCGACAGGTGGCCCTCAAGCTGCTCGCCTCAGCTGGCCAGGATCAGACGGCGGAGGTGAAGCGGCAATTGAAGCTCACCAGGCAGCTAAGGCAACGATATTACTCCGAATCGGCTGCCCAGCGTAATCTCCTCCAGCGCCTGCTGAGGGAGTGGGCCAAGCTGAAGGAGCTGCGGCGGCAGCAGCGCTTCCAGTGCACCCGCTTCCAGCTGGGTCTCCGGGTCATACATCCTCCCGATCTGGAGGCCTCCTATTTCGCCTGGAAGGAGAGCTTCGAAACGGATCTAGTTGAGGTCTATCGCGAGCATCTGGAGATCTTTTACACCCGCCTGCGTCTGTGGACCGAGCAGAACTCGAGGAGCCGCAAGTCTCCTGGCCACTCGAAGCCTCCAAGAAAGCCCCAATTCGATCGGGTGATGGCCAGCCTGAGGAAGGATTACGACAAGGCCTTCCAGGACCCCGAGGAACCTTTTGTGGAGGTCTTCCGCCTGCATGCGGACGAAGCCGCCGCCAGGTTGTCTATTCCCGGCGAGGATCAGCTGCCCAAGGCGCGCAACTACTTCCTCAAGATCTTCCTGGACGGCCAGTTTGTGGGCCAGAGCAGGAGCTATCGCCTGGAGCCGGATCTCCTCATTTCCATCAACGAGTGCATTGGAGTGCTGCTGGAGAGGACGCTGCCGGAGAATCTGAACATATGGGTGGGTACTTTGGGTATTTTGGAAGCTTCTAGGTGCTATAAATATTTACCACTTCACTGATAAAGACATGAATAAGAAATTATACTAGTTTTAATGATATTTCTTATCAGATATAAGATTATATGCATTCAAATTAGAATTTAAATTGAAAAAACCATATCCAATATCTTTTTAACATTATTCTATGGTAAAACTGATATATATAAGTTTACCTTTTAATATCAAAATGATCTTAAAACTTTATTTCTTCTGTGTAGAGCTCAATGAAAAACCCAAATCAAATTGAAAAAAATTATAATACCCTCTGCAAGGGTATAAAAACCATATCAACCATCTTTTTAACATTATTCAATGGTAAAACGCACAAATTTACCTTTTAATATCAAATTGATCTTAAATCTTTATTTCTTCTGTGTACAGCTCTATGAGAAATCCAAATCAAATTAAAAAAACCATATCCAATATCTTTTTAAAATTATTCAATGGTAAAACTGATACGTATAAATTTTCCTTTTAATATCAAAATGATCCTACAACTTTATTTCTTCTGTGTAGAGCTCTATGAGAAATCCAAATCAAATTGAAAAAAATTATAATACTCTCTGCAAGGGTATAAAAACCATATCGAATATCTTTTTAACTTTATTGAATGGTAAAACTGACACGCACAAATTTACCTTTTAATATCAAATTGATCCTGAAACTTTATTTCTTCTATGTACAGCTCTATGAGAAATCCACCTTGACGCCAAAGAGTCGCCGTTTGGCCCAGATGAGCACGCCGCTGCTGTTGAGCTCCAAGGAGGATGCAATGCAGGAGAAGCTCAGTTTCCAGACCTCCTCCTCCTCCAGCCAGTTGGCAGGTGATGTTTATCTGTGCTACGAGTACCGAAGCACCGAGGGAAGGGGAGGTGCCCTCCACCTGGACGATGTGCAAAGACTACCGGATGCACTGCGTCAGACTTTGGTGCCGCCGAGACTGCCCGCTCTGCCGAAGGCTTCCAAGGAGCTGGTGACTCCTAGACCGCCGAGTGGAAGGACCAAAAAGAGCCTACTGCCTCCGCTGATCTTCGCGGAACAGCAGCTGCAATTCTGTGGCATTGAGGTGCTTCTGGAGAGCCGCCGCTTCCAGTTACTCCACTCCCGCCATCAGCAGCGCAATCTGCACACCAAGCAGCTGCGCTTTGTGCCTGCTTTGGAGCAGGAGATCTCGGAGGAGGAGCCGCTGCCAGATGGCCGAGGAGCCGTGCAGCTCCTGGAACCGGGCACCTACTGGAACCCCATCGATCTGCACAAGCATCGCGGGCGGAAGTTCCTCCAGCTGCTGTACGAGGTGATCAGCAGCCAGAGTGCCAGGAGGGCCAAGGCCCTGCAGACGCCTCTGCCGCTGCTGCTCCTGGCCGAGGATGCGGATCACTCAGCGGCCACCGGTTGGACGGCTCTTTGGCGGGCCATCTGCTCCGTTTTCCAGGCACAACCAGCCACCCTGCCCAGGGAACCACCCGCTTGGTCGGGCCACCAATCCGGACCCGATCTCTTCAAGCACTTCTGCGTCTCTTTGCATGTGGTCAGGGCCACGGGAGTGCCGGTGCGCAGTCGCCACATCCTCAATCTCAACGAGCGGCGCACCAGCGCTGGAGGCGATATGGGCACCAGTTTGTTTGTCACGCAGAGTGAGTAACTATTGCAATTGGGTACTCAGTCGATTGCAATCTCTATAAGCAAAAAAAAGAAGAAATTAATCAGAATTTATTATCAGAAATGAATTGATTACTTTTTGATCTATATTATCTCTATTTAAATACCTTAGGAAATTGACGATTTGAGGGTTGGGGACTACAAAAACTTATCAAATCAGCTAATTATTTGCGTTTTGAACTATAAAATATATGCTTAATTGTTATAACCACTCCGAGCTTTGATAAGGAACCCCTCCTTAAGATTAAAATGACTCATTAAATGAAAATGTTTAATAGAAACCTCTTAAATTCCTTAAGATTCTTAAGTTAAGAACAAGATGGGTAGGGGATTCTTAAATTGGTTTTTACACTCAGAAAATAAATTGTCCTTAATTTAAGTCTATTGACTTTGATTTAAGAAATGGCTTTATATTAGTCTATACGTGGACTTAAAAATTTTCATCCCATGTAAATTTTAAGTTCAAATGGGCTACAAATGGACTTAAGTCCATGTTGCAGTCCATATGGCCTTAGGTCCATTTTTAGTCCGTTTAGACTTAAAATGTATATGGGATGAAAACTTTTAGGTCCATGTATGCCTTATTTAGGCATTTTTAGTCCATCGTTCCTTAATTTAAAGCCCGTGGACTTAAATCAATGTAATTTTTTTTTCTGGGTGTAACGCTTTTAAAGTTTTGAAAGGAGACCTTGGTCTTAAAATGACTTATTTAACTGAAATATTTTAAATAAACCTCTTAACTTCCTCCAGAAATTAATTTTAAAAGCTAATTAATAATTGTTGAAGAAATCATTCCAATAAAATGACTCATTTAACGGGAACCTTTCCTTTAACTTCCTTTAGATAATTCTGATAATTATAATCTCTCATCCTCCTTCAGCTCTGATGTACTCCAATGTGCGACCCTTTGTGACCCTGAGCTATGGCCAGCGTTTGTGCCGGAGTCGCACCGCCGAGGGCAGCAATCCCACGTGGAACGAGCAACTGCAGCTGCAGATCAACAGCCAGTTTGGTGATCTTCGCGAGGATCTCAAGATCAGTTTGTTCGACGAACTAATAGAGCAGCAGTACAGCGATGAGGCCTCTGATGTCTATCAGCGGGTGCAGTGCAACTGGTTGGGGGAGTTCCGGGTGCCCATCAATAGTCTGCTGGCCAGTCGAAAGGTAATATATATTTATATTATCCACTAAAACTAACCCTTAAATATCCCTAGTTTGAAGGATGTATTGAGTTAACCATGCCCAAAGTCTTGGTGGGCTATAAGAGACCTCTGATAGACTCGGTGACCAACATGTCCACGGATCAGTATCCCGAGTTCAAGGAGGCAGTGCATCTGTGGTTCTACCTGAGCATCGAGCCCAGTGGCGGCGACCTGTTGCCCCTGCAATCGAGTGCCTTGGCCTGTGCCGAAATGCCGGAGATTCAGCAATATTTAGGTGAGAGGCGCTTGGAGCTGCTGCAACTGTTGCCGCAACCTCAGCGGTATGTGGAACCTCTGGTATGCACGGCTCAGGGGAAGAGGGTGTGCCTCACCAGGCTCCTGGATGCAGTGCCTCTGCCGCCGTCGGTGGCCTCGGGGGAGAGTCCCCTGGAGAGCTCCTGTCGCTTTGTTTCGCTGCTTAGCCAGTACCGCAGCTATGATCCCTGCCAGGGATTCCGAGGCGTTTGGCTGGACAATCAGGCTTTGCTCGACAGCACTTGGTGTTCGGTCAAGGATCTGGGAGTGCTGCTGTGTAACTACTTACTATCCTTGGGCCTGGAATGCTGGCTGATCCTTGGGGTGGCCTGTCCCCATGGCGAGTGCTCCTTTGTGCTCTTCCGCCAGCCGGAAACTGCCGAGCTTTTCCTTGTCTGCCCTTCGAATGGCAAGAGATATCAACTGCAGGATGTTCACTGTCCTTTAAGAAGAATATTTTGTGTGGTGGGAAAACAGAATGTGAGTCAAGGGATATTACTTACCTTTCCCTCAATTAATTCCCCTTTTTCCGGCAGATATTTTTCAATATTCAGTCAGAAACCCGTGTCAGCATGACCAATTTCAATCTCAGCGATGGCGCCTGCTGGTTTCCACTCTTCAGCCGACGAGTTCCTGCCCCCCAGAGTGGCGTCCAAAAGTTGGACTACCTGTACAAGAGGAACTACGAACTCAGTCAGCTGCAGAAGCACATCGAGCGGAAGGTCATGAAGAAGATTAGTGCCTGGCGCACCACCAGGAAAACCATCTGGAATCGGTGGGTATTTCTCTTGATAACTCTTGGATTACCTATAAATTATGGTTGTAAACTAATCCACAGAGCCTTTCAACCGCGTCTCCAGAAAATCCTCTGCGATATGGAAAACCTATCCACCTTCTCCAGAGGTCGATATGATGAGCCTATTTACAGCGAGCAACTGGAAAGGGAATTTCCCAACTACAGAGTAAGTAGGTTACCCCCAAAAAAAAATCGATATGAAACGTATATCGATTTTACATTACTAAAGATCAATTTTACCTAGTCGAAAAAAGTATTTCATGTAAAAACGATATGGAATTTGCATGACCTGAAATTTACTGAAATGTTATCAAAAAAAGGAAATATAATTAAATGATCCCAACAGGGATTTCACATGTCGTAAAAGTGAATGCCTAACTTTTCATCACCTCTTAAGTTTTTTACGCCCTGATTAATGTGTCAAGATATCAATTTATTGGTATAATTATTTTATTGGTGTTTCCAATGAACAAGCTACCCGTTTTCAAGATTTCAAATTCTAGTAAAATTCTTAGAAAACCTTCTTTTTATATTTCAAATCAAAGGTCATAAATATAGCCTGCATAGAACTTTCCACTGGTAGCGCTTCACCCGTTGAATTCACAAATCGACCCCTGCCCTACCCCACCCCACACCTTCATTACTTCATCAATCACTATCGTAATCGATCACTAACCCCGCCTGATTTTCCACCCAGCTCTACGGCTTCACCCTCAACTTTGCGTACACCAATCTGGCGGCGATATCGGAGCGCATCCGGACCACCTGCATCCACTACAACCACGACGCTTCGGTGGAGTTCTGCGTGGCGGTCCATCTACATGCCCACGCCAACGACGTGCTCTCCGTTTGGCTTTTCCTGCTCTCCATGGTGCCACTGGTGGTGTGATGATTCACCAGTGAACTCATCGAAATGCCAGAGGCAATCCCCCATTTCCATGAGGGATTCGATTCGAACTCGTAATCGCTATCAGTTTACAGAATGATTTTTATCGCACGCCGCACAACTGTCGACCGAAAAGAAATCTATTTAATTTGGTTTACAGCCCGAAAAATGTATATATATGTATTTATAGAAAGAAGAAAAAAATAGTAGTGATAAGGCGGTGACGGGGACGCAGGTACCAAATGGCGCACCTGGCGCGGGGTTAGTTCGCCGCGCACCCTACAACCGTCCACATCGCTTTGTATCGCCTGACATCGCATTTCACAAGCCCATGTCCAAAAGCATGTTCCAAAAGCTGGCCGAGGATTATGCGAAGTTCAAACGCTACGTGAAATGGCTGTATTTGCTCTACGAGCTGAACACACAGATTGCCATTTGTGAGCCCTGGGAAAAGGTGTTCTTGAGTAAGTAGTTTAGGGCTTGTGTCCTCGGGATAGATTATCACCTAGCCATAAAAAGCGACAAAGTAACTTTGGCGCGATATATTGTCTTTACTCATCGATATCTTATCTTTGCCGGTCAGTCGGTCGGTCTTAGTCATTTCAACGGACGGTGAACAGCCGACCAGCTAATGGATTGCTACACATGTCTCACCAGGCTATTTTTTCTATGTTTCTAGATGTTCTCCTCGGCAGCTGCGTCTCCTTGATCGTCTACGCATCCATCGCCTTTGTGCCCGGCTACTGTGCGACTGTCTTCCACCTCCTGTGGCCCCTGACCAGCATGCAAAATCTCACCAGCGCCTGTAACTCGAATATTGAGGGCTTCTGCGGCAACGAAAGTGGAGCAGTAATCACATAATCTTAGTTTAGCTTATCTTAATCAATAAATAATTAAAAATTTAACGGTTCTGTTTGAATATCAGTTTGAATATGTGCAGCATTGCCAGGTGTAAGGGATAGTAGGGACAGCAACCGGGGTTTGTGTCTCTGCTAGCGATTGGTTTAAGCGATATTAATCGAGCATATCCAGAAATCATCGAAATCACCATTTGTTTCCAGCTTGTTTATATTTTGCGGTTTGGTTTTTTAGTTTAATGAATTAGTTTAACCATGCCCAACGACAAGCGCACTGTTTATGTGGGCGGCCTGGCCGACGAGGTGACTGAGAGGCTGCTGAACAATGCCTTCATACCGTTTGGCGACATTGCAGACATCCAAATGCCGGCGGACTACGAATCACAACGCCACCGGGGATTCGCTTTCATAGAATACGAACAGAGCGAGGATGCAGCGGCTGCAATAGATAATATGGTGGGTAAGCCCTTAAAATAGATGAACTACAACTTATAGTACCTCTTCCAGAACGACTCCGAGCTCTGTGGCCGCACAATCCGCGTGAACTTAGCCAAACCGGTGCGCGTGAAAGAGGACAGTTTCAAGCCCGTTTGGGCGGACGACGACTGGTTGCAGAAGCATGCGGGCGCCACACTGCAGCCGGAAGGCGATCCGGAGGCCGAGAAGGAGGAGGCCACCCCCTCCACGGGGCCGGCAGTCATCGAAAAGGCCGAGAAACGCAACCCACAGGTGTTCTTCGACGTTCGGATTGGCGGCAACGATGCCGGCCGCATTGTGATGCTCCTGCGGGCGGATGTGGTGCCCAAGACGGCGGAGAACTTCCGCCAGCTGTGCACCCACGAGCAGGGCTACGGCTACAAGGGCTGCTCCTTTCACCGCGTGATTCCAGAGTTTGTAGGTTGATTATATCTATTATTTATACCAGTTCCTAACTATATCCCCTATGATAGATGTGCCAAGGAGGCGACTTTACCAACAACAACGGCACTGGCGGCAAGTCCATCTACGGCAAGAAGTTCAACGACGAGAACTTCAGCCTGAAACACAACAGTTTCGGCACTCTGTCCATGGCCAACTCGGGTGCGAACACCAATGGCTCGCAGTTCTTCATCTGCACCACGAAAACCGACTGGCTGGACAACAAGCATGTGGTCTTCGGTCATGTCATCAGCGGCGCCGATGTCGTGCGCAAGATGGAGCGATGCGGCTCCAAGACGGGCACGCCCAGCCAAAAGATTGTCATCTACGCGTGCGGGGAACTCAAATAAAGACGTACTCTTCAACGTTCGCATTTATTGAAAAATCCACTAAGTCATATAGGTGAAAAAGCTGCAGGCGAATCCTACTGGAAGTAGGTCCTGGGCTTCCTGAACGAGAACAGCTTCCTGTTGCCCTTGTGGTGGACACGCTGGACCAGCGGGAACTTGATCTTGGAGTCGTGGAACTGCTTGACGTGCACGCGGCGCGTCTTGGCGGCAGCGATCGAGTCAACCTTGATGATCTGAATGGAGTGGGCGCGGGCGCGGTGGCGGGCTCCCATGTCGCGGTAGCACTGAGTGACGGCACCGCCGACGGTCAGGTCGCGGTACTCGCGGTACATGTTGTGGGTGCCGGAGCGGGAATCGTAGCGCAGCCAGATGCCAAAGTTCTTGATCTTAATGGGAGAGGTCTCGTACACCTGCTTGATGGACACGATCTCGCCGGTGGTCTTCTTGAACTTCTTCAGCTGGCGCAGGAAGTACCAGAAGCGGGATTTCGCGACAATGTTGTCGGGAGCGAAAATGCGCATCTTGTAGAGCGGCGTCTGGGGCTCCTTCTCGCTGGGCAGCTTGCGGCCCACGACCTCGTACTCCTTCAACTGTAAAGGGGTTTTGGTTTTAGTTTAAAGGGTCTTGAGAACGTTGTAAACAAATGTGGGCAGTTTAGGCAAACAAACACACGCATGTCGATTTTTCTAGGTTATGTTTTTCGGCAACGCAGATTTGTTTTTTAAAACCATTTAAAAGGTCTGCTTTATATAGGGGCCCTTTAAGCACCCTTCACTACATCTGTTAATTACTTTAACTTAGCGAAGTAAGCCATTTCTTCAAGAAAATTGGCCAGACAAACTGCGTCGACGACACTTTTTGCTCCCAAGTCGTTTTTCACACAGAAATAGCGCAGTTTTACGAAACTCAACGACTGCATTGCATGCTCTATTTGTTTGCCCAGCTGTTGCACATATTTTCAACGCAAATAATGATTGCTTAAATCATTTTTTTGCTAAATACTAACCAATCCCTTGGCTCTCATGTTGGACGTTCACGCGAAAAGGAAACGGAAAGAGCTTGTCAAATCGAGATGACACTGAACCGCGATTCAGGGCTGGCGAAAACTATCGATAGGTGAACTGGGAGAATGGTAATGAATGAAATGGGTTAATTAGGGCTATAAAATCGTCATTGGTATTAATTTTTGCTAATTATAATTATAATTTAATTCGATTTCATCTTTAATTAATAGTTACAACTATTTTTAGGACTATTCACCAACAATCGATACTTTTACACTGCACCGCGGACAAACCACGCAGCGATGCCCGCCGCACGGTTGCATTTTTGGCAGTCACACCAGCACGCTGCGCGACCTATCGAACCATCGCCCATCGCTAGCTTCTGCGCGTGTTTCAATGCCCTGGCTGTAAAAAAAGGCGAAAAATATTGCTAAAAACTTGTTTTTCACGCGTAATTCGAGCGCTCCTCGCAGCCAAATTGTGCAACACCCGAGCCACACACAATACCCCAGGTGTTGCAACTGAAATACGGCGGAAAAGTGCGCGCACAAAGTGAGCAGAACATAAAATGCAAAGCGTGGACGGCGACGTGCAAAAAGAAGAAAATTTTATACCCCTCACGAGAGACGCGCAAAAAGGCGAAAAGACGAATATTCCGTGCCGTTCGTCGGGACTGCGTTAAAGTGCCATTGCGTGCAGTTGTGAAATCCGCTTGCATAACGCAACGCGAGTCCTGCCCGTTTATAAACAATTGAAACCAGGCGTAAATTGTATAAGTACGCCGAAGGGGTGGGGGCACCCCGTCTCGGTCTCCGTCTCGGCCAATCCAATCCCATCCGCTGGGCAAAAATCTCTCGGCCTCTCGGATTCGGTCTCTTTTGGTTCAGTTGTGCAGCGAACTTCCGTGAAATCGGTTGTTGTTTTGGCTACGTTCTCTCTGCGGTTTGCGCGCGTAAAATCTGTCGCTCTCTTGTTTCGCCTCTCTCCCCCACTCTCTATCTGCCGCCTACGATTTGTGGGAAAATTCTACCTAAGCAGCGGTACAGCAACAACAACGGCGAAGCAGCAAAGACAAATACAAATACAACAACAAACAACAGGAGGAGAGCAGGTAAATAAACGTGCATAATTGCTGTACATGTGATTGTAGTGTCCATTCCAAGAATGTTTCAAGTAAATTCGTTTATTTTTAGCAGTAAGTTGCTCTCTTTGGCTGGCTTTTTGCCGTTTTGCTACCATTTATTTGGTATTTTCAATTATTTTGGCATTAATTTTTGCGCCAGGGCTGCAAGAGAACTCGCTCAATGACCGGTGATTTTCGTGCAATGTTTATGCCGTGCAAATATGCTGATCAGGAAAACAAACAACGTATATTCGCGCGCATAAACGATAGATTTTGTTTTTGTCGAAATGCCAAACCTAATATCTCACGTAATAATAAATTCATTTCATTTCGCTTTCAGCTGCGTAGAGAACAACGAAAGAGCGAGAACCGGAACGGATTCAACGCCAACGGCATGCAAAGGTAGTGAATATAATAATTATTGGCCCAAAGTGCGTTTAATCGATTAACGGTTTTGACCCACACAGCGTGTGAATGCAGAAAAGATGATGGAAGCATTGGATCAGCAACAAGCCAAGCTAACGTCCAACCGAGATGATGGAGATGCGGGATCGGGAGCGGGATCGGAAGTGGGAGCCGGAACGGCAGGAGGAGCTGCCGGCGAGGAAGACGACTTCGAGGAGCCTCATCATGCGATGGGCCTGGCGGAGGAGGAGGAAAGCGAGAACAACAACGCCCGGGAGGAGAAGGGCGAGGGAAAGCGGAAAAAGAGCGGCGATGACGTGATAGACTTAACCCTGGCAAATGGCCAGGACTGCAGAGATGCGCCAGAGGAGAAAGAAGAGGCAGAGCTGGCAGAGGAATCTCCCTTGGATGAGGAGAGAGAGGATACATCAGAGGAACCAGCATCTCTCTTGGTTCCAGCAGCAGAAGATCTTGTGAAGCAAGAGATGTGCGAAGATAACTTAGAGGACCTCCAAGAACCCCCCAGAATTCCACTCGAAGGAGAGTTCTTAGACGGCATCAAACTGAAGACCGAAGTGGAGGAAAGAGCCGATTCCATAAGTGATAACCAAATGGAGTTCTTGTCCGATGCAGAAGAGCAGCCTGTGGAGTCTCCAGGGGCACCTATTCCGGAACCAGAGAGCGAGGAAGTGGAGGAGAAATATTTCCCATCTGCCAATGAAGATTCCAACAGCCAGGAGGAGGAAAAAGTGTTTACCCCGCCTGTTATTGACCTGGAAACGGACTCGGAATGCGGCGAAAAAGAGTTCTTATCCATCAAAGATCCCAACAGTCCTGTTTTGGAGAATGAAGAACTTAAAGAAGAGTCGCAGGGCTCTATAGATCTTTACAAAGATGCTATTGGTGAGGAGGTTTCCAATGCAGAAGCAGAAACGGATAAGGCGCCATCACCTCCTCCTGCCGACGAATCTCTTTTAGAGGGATCCGATACAGTGGATGCTCCTTCGCTGACCATGGATGTGGATCTTCCAAGCAGCGAGGACGGAGAAGCTCCGCCTGATGTCATTAAAATAGAGTCGGATTCGGAAGATGAAGTTCACACTGATGGTTTGAAGATGAAGGAACCCATAGTGGAGGTTGTTCCGCTGATCAAACTGAATGGGGCTCACCAAGCGTTGAAGGAAGAGCAACAGGAGGAGGAGGCGAAGCAGGAGGAGGAGCAAGTGGAGCCCAAGCAACTGTCTGTGATAACAAACCACATTGGCAACAACAACACACAAGTGGAGCCGCCGCTTTCCCTGATCCTACCCGTTCGCGCCAGCCGTAGCAGGAGCACCAGCAGCAGGAGCAGCACCGTCAGCTCCGCCTCGCAGCCCCAGCTGGTCATCGATCATCCGGAGAGCAGCGAGCACAATAATGCCAGGGTCCAGACGCTGAAGCTTTCCCTGAAGCGCAGGCGCAGCAAAAGTTCCTCCGTCAGCCAACCCGAGAAGCAGACAAAGGCGGACTCCGTCTCCTCGCTGCTCCTGCAACGCCTCCAGGGCCCACCAGTTGCGCCTGCGGAGAGCCAAGTCCTCAGTTGTGCCAAGTGCAATCTACAGTTCGAGTTCGAAGGCTTCCAGCAGCTGAACGAGCACCAGGCCCAGTGCAACGGCATCAGGAGCAGTTCGCAGCAGCTGCTGCAGAAGAAGGAGCGCTTCTTCCGCTGCGCCCAGTGCAGCAGCGTCCACCAGTGCTGGCACTTTTTCCTCCACATGCGGGAAGTACACCAGCGATACATCTGTCTCTACTGCAACCACGTGTATCCCAGTGTGGAGAAGCTGTCGCTGCATCTGGAGAACAAGCACGACATCGACCAGAGTCACTTTGCCAAGGATGCGTGGGCACTGCAGCAGAAGACGGAGGACAGGGCGAGGCATCTCGTCTGCTGCACCTGCCAGGCCACCTTTGTGCAGGGCTCCGAGTTCGAGGATCACGATTGCGCCCAGCTGATGCAGCCGTGTGCTTTGTGCGGTCAAAAGGGTTGCCATGCCATGGGCTGTAAGAATAATAAGAGGAAACCGCTAAGAAGGCGGAGAAAGGTGCGAAGGCAGCCGGAACAGCCTCTGCCTCCGCCTCTGCAGCAGGTGGTTGAACAGCCCCCTGCGCCTACAGAGGTAATACCGGAGCAACAGCAACAGTTACTCATGTTGCCACTGCAACCGGAGCTTCAGAACCTTTTCCCAGCTGAAAACAGTAAGTCAAAGAGCTTCCTTCTATTGAGCACTTTACTAAATCACCTTGTAGTTCCAGAGCCCGTCGAGGATCCTCCAGCGCCGCCCATTCCCAAGTTGGTTGTGCCCAAGATAATGCTGCGCGTGCCCAAAGAGTTTCAGAAGTCTGTGGATGCAGCTCTAAGCAGCACCGATACGGAGGACGAGGAGCAGGATACTACGCAAGCGGTGGAGGAAGCTGCGCCTGCACCAGCCGAGGATTTGCCCTTCGAGGAGGCACCACTTCTTCCACCATCGATTCCCAGCTTTGATGACTCGACTTCGGCCAAGCTGAATCGCGTTCTGGCGGAATTGGAGCGCACCAAGCTGGACATTGAGCGAACCAAGGCGGATATAATCACCAAAAAGCAGTCTAAAATTATCATGGCCCATGCGCAGGTAGAAAATGTTGCGCCACAGGTGGCGGATCCTCCACAGCCGCAGCAGGAGGAGCAGCGTCGTTGGTCACTCACGCCGCCTGCGTCGCCGCACAACAATCACGTCAATCTGCCCGAACCTCCGCCAGCTGTGATCACTGAATTCCAAGATCAACCCGATGCAGTGCGTCGCAACAGCCTGGGCAGTGATTGCATGGACATAGATGACAGCTTGAATGGACCGGAGGATAGCAGGGATCAAGCAGAGGAACAGGAGCACTCTGTAGAGCAAGCAGAGCCTTCACAGGAAAACCCTCAGCTTGCCGAACCGCTTCCCCTTGAGCCACTGCCTTCCGCCGATGGCATTATGGTGGCCGGAGCAGACACGCACACGGTGGACCTTCAATTGGATCGTCCCCTTGACCGATTTTCCATGGTTGACTTCGTACGTCTCTGCTTGAAATCCGTGTACTCCGTTTGCCTGTACTGCAATCATGCCCGCAGGATCGCGGTGAATGGAAAGCAGCTGGTGCTTCATATAATCAGTCAGCACAGGTTCACGGCCACCGTGGACAGCATCACGGCAGAGGAGCTGCACGCGGAGACGATTGTGGCCAGGCTGAAGAGTTTTCTGCCCCATCTAGAGAACGAGTACATGAATGCGGCCAGTTGTTGCAGCCTGGAAGACGGAAAGTATGCAGAGCCGTTCAACGAGCGAATCTACGAGTGCTTCACCTGCCGCTTCGTGACCTCCACGCACAAGGAGCTGTACACGCACAACAGAAGGCTGCACATCAAGTCGAACATAACGTGCGTCATGTGCCAGACGAACTTCTACAGCTACAGTGAGATTCTGTGTCACATTTGTCCCGGCGAAGTGGCTGGCAGTATATACGATCTACAGTTCCGTTGCTGCCTGTGCGAAATGGCTCCACTGCCCTCCGCCTTCCGGCTGATGGTGCACCTGAGGAAACAGCATCAAGCCTGCGACATCTGCCTGGAGGATTGCCAGTCGCAGGCAAAGCTCTCGTCGCACGTGTGGAAGCACAAGCTGCTGCATTTGTGCTATCGCTGCGGCATTGCCTATCGCAACAAGCAGGACATCTCGAAGCATCTGTTCTGGAAGCACGGAACCGAGAGTGCCAGCTGCAAGCAGTGCCTGCAGAAGCGCTGGCGCCACGTCTACCACTTTTGTGTGCCGCCCGCGCAGTTCCCCTGCGAACAGTGCGGCTTTGTCTTCAGCAAGGCCATCTACCTGGAGGTGCATCAGAGGATGCACGCGGGCGATTTTCGCTACGCCTGCACGGAGGAGAATTGCGAGGAGAAGTTTGTGTCGCGCAAGCTTCTGCTGAAGCACGCCAGCAGTCATGTGGTGAAGGAATTGCTTCCAGCAGCTCCCGAGGAGCAGACAAATGATGAAGCTGCTGGCGAAAAGCTGGACGAGATCAAGAAGGAAGCAGAGGAAGGGGGGGAGGAAACAAAAGATGGAGTACAAAATGGGGAGAAACTCTTGCCGGAAACCAATAAAGAGTCTGCCAAGAAGGAGGAATCGGAGGAGACTACTGCAAAAGAGCCGAAGAAGCGTCGCAAAAAGTCCAAGCGCAACAAGGAATCCCTAGAGGACCTCAATCTCATTGCACCCAATCTTTCCGAGTCGGATAGCAGTGATGACAGCGATTCCGATGCACCGAGAAGCAGCCACCAGGAGCAGCCAGTGCTGCCGATGCGATCTTCTGTGGATGACCTGGGCATGCCCAAGGTGATGCTGTCCCCGTCCTCGGAGAGTGATGCCGACGAACTGGAGGGCAAGCCCAAGCTGCAGGATAAGGAAAAGCCTTCAAAAGAAGAAAGCGAGTTAAAAGCGGATGAAGAAACGGAGCCCAAGAAGGAGGAAGAGCAAGTGGATGTCTCGATTTGGAAGAACCTGCTCCAAAATCAGGAAGATCAGGCGGTTAAGGAGGAAGAAAGGGAAGTGGTCAACCAGCCGCCTGCCAAGCTCCACGTTGCCTGGTCCGATCACGATTACTGCAAGTTGCATCGCACTCCGCCACCCTCGCCGGTGAAACAAAAGACCACTGGCAAGTCATCTACGAAAACACCTGGTCAGAATGCCTCGAGCGATAGCGACAGTTCCAGCAGCTCCAGCTCCTCGGACTCGGATTCCTCAAGCTGTTCCTGCGGCTCCAACTGCAGCTGCAGTTCCAGCAACAGCAGCAGTTCCAGCGACGATTCCGACGACTCCGACAGCTCCAATGCTCGCGGATCACCGCAGAAACGTTCTCGCAAGAAGTCTTTAAAACTTAAGAAGAGCTCGGATTCACTCAAGAACGGAAAGGAAAATGAAAGGAATGAGGATCAGGAGAACGTTAGTGAAACAGCTGCCGTGAATGAGAATCCTGCTGCTCCACCTTCGCCCAAACCGCCCATGTACAACGAATCGGATTTCGATACGGCTTTCTCGGATACCGATGAGGAGTTCTACGACTCGCATCCCCAGAAGCTGGCCAATGAACTGCTGGCTCAGAAGCGCGAGGCTCTAATGGCCGAGCATGCACCACTGCGTCCGAGCAACAACTACGATATTGTGGAGAACAGTCGACCTTCGACGCCGTCGCTGCCCGAGGAGGCGTCCGCTTTTGCCGACAAGCGGGAGAGGGTGAGAAACAAGAAGAAGAAACGGGAACGAAAGTCTACGTGCAAGTCGGGCAAGCTGCCGCCGATGGCCAGTACTCCATTGGTCGGAATGTCTGGGATGATGGCGCCACTGGAGCCACCGACTCCTATTCAGCCCCTCCTGGACTCCTCGCTATTTCCCGTCACCCCGCTAACCCATCGCCATTTGCCATCCTCGATGACCAGAATGAGCGAAGGTAGCAGCTGCTCCGATGCCGATGGCCAGTTGAAGCGCTCGAAACGCCAGCGGAGACCCAACAAGTTCTACGGTTACACGAGCGACGATGAGAATATGAGCGCCATTCTGGCGCCACCTCTCCAGGTGGGAATGCAGCTCATCAAGCCGCAGCCGCCACCACAGTTGACCTGGGCCAAGGAGGATCTGCCCACGCCGCCCAAGCAGCGCAACAGGAATAACAATAACAGCAGTCACCACCATCACTCGCACAGCAATGGTGGCTCTGGTGGATTGGGCGGTTCGTCGCGGAAGAGGAGCAAGCAGCAAGCATCTCGCTCGGCCAAGCGTCATAAGCCCGATCGCGAGGATCACTTGCCACCCATTCCCACGCTCAAGATTCGGCCCAGCCTGCTGCCCGCCACAGCTCCGCCGACGGACAGCAGCGAGAGCAGTTCCGAGGATGAGGAAGCCGAGATTAATGTTACCAGCTTGGTGGCGGCTCCGCAAGCAGCGCCGCCTACTCCAGCTCCCCCAGTTCCTCCTCCGGTGGTTCTGCCTGTGCAACCACCACCTCCACCGCCGCCCGCAGCCACTGCTTTCAATCAGCCCATTCCACCCGCCCTGCTGCCCAATCCCGGATTCGCCACGCTGCAGTACTTCAAGGCCAACAACATCAGGTATCCCATTCGACCGCCGGCGGGAGCGCGTCTCGCTCGCGAGGGAGAATCGGTGTACTGCTACTGCCGCTGTCCCTACGACGAGGTCTCCGAGATGATCGCCTGCGACGGGGACAACTGCCTGATCGAGTGGTTCCACTTTGAGTGCGTGGGCATCATGGTGGCGCCGCAGGGCAAGTGGTTCTGCGCCGAGTGCAGACCCAAGTACTCGGAGGGAATCTATCAGGGCGCCAAGCCGCAATAACTGCATCATTGGTTCCTCCAACTATAACTACAAACCCCACTACAGAATGGATTACGCTTATTAATTGATAAAAACATGTAGTCGCTTGTTCTCGGCCATCTGCTGAGAATGAGATATCTATATCTTATCTAAAAACTACTAAACAAAAAAACATTTAGAGTAATAAAGTAACGTATTGTGTAAATTGAGGGCAGATTGTAACCCCAGGCTCAAAATAGCTCTCCGCGGAGAGCCTAAGCTAAGCTAATGCTAATTTAAATATCTGCAAACAGGCTTATCAAATTATATATTTCTCTATTCACTTAAATTGTATGTAAATATCGATGGCTGCATATTCCGCATATGCACTTTGTAAAATAGCTAGATTACGCGAGAGATCCCATAAACACTTAGGAACTAGGCTATACACTTATAAATAGAAGTCCCCAAGTATAGTACATAACTAAATCTACATATATTATACATGTAATGACTATGATTAGAACACAAACAAATCGAAAGCCAGCTGCAAATCGAAATGCAATGGATTATGAGAGAATAAACATGCAACATTGTGAGACGTATACAACAAAAACTATCAAAACTAATTGTCCTAATTTGTTTGGTCAGTCGGCGAAATGGAAATCGAAATCGAAAGCGCTAATATTGGTTCATCAATTTATATGGTAATCAACGAGGCATTTGGCTATATAATTGGTTAAGTGGATGGGTCTTGTAAATAATAGATAGTAAATTATTAAGGATCATGTTAATTTATTAGGATTCAAGGAGAAATTTTCAAATTCTTGAAAATCTTTCTCAAGCATTTTGCCACCTCAGGGAATTCCACTAAACTATCCAAAACTTGTAAACCCACCCATTTCCCAGCTAGGAATTCCACGTTCCCGGCTCTGATTATGCCAAAGTAAATGCAAATAAGCCACGACAAGGCGCCTAATGTTGTTGTAGTTGCGCACGATGAATGGGCACGAAAGGCGCCAGGGTCAGCGGTGGGTCATCTACCATATATCACCCACCCATCCGTTCAGAACCCTTCCACAATCGGGGGAGTTTCGGTTTGTTTACCAAACAGCACGTAGATTTAATTGCCATTGTGGGCAGGAGTCACCTTTAGCGAGTGCCTCTGGCGAGTGGAAGCAACAACCACAACAATGGTCAATTACAGGTGGTGCCGGGGGTGTTCCCTGGATGGTTGGGTGGTGTCCAGTGGCCACTAGTGTGCGTGCGTTGAAATTACCATAAATCTGATGGCTCGAATAAAAAAGGCTGCTCTGGTGAACTTGGCCAGCCAGTTCGTGTTGAGTTTTCGCGGCGAGCGGCGGTTAACCGGAAACGCGGACAGCCGGAGAACGGAATTTTGAATATTAGCCGACCTGCGTGTCCGTAGTGCCATGTCCACGTTCGCGGCACCCTGAGCAAACATACGACCCCCCCATCCTGGCCAGTGGCTTCACCATGGTTCGTCGCGCCTCGAGTGTTCCGCATCTGAACAGTAGTGGCGGCAGCAGTGCGGATAGCGCCGGAACCTCAGGCAGTCGTCGTGGTCGGGCGCCCGTAGCCGGTTCTCGGGCGTCCCGGAAGACGCCACCATCGTCCACCGGTCAGAATCCCCGCCAGAGCTCCGGGAGCAGCAGCAGCGTTCCCCGATCCCGCAGTCTGACAAACGGCATGCGTCGCCTGAGTCCCCAAAAGGGAACTGGGAGCAGTGGTGGCGGAGGAAGCACTCGGAATACGCCGTATTTCCTGCGTTCCCGCGAGAATGAGTAAGTGGGGGATAAGGATTGCGATGCTTCCCACCGTAATCAATAGGCGATAAGTTGTTGACAGTAAAGATTGGGCCATAATGAACCAAACTCACCTAAAGAATTCACGTTTAAGACATTTTTTCAAAGACTAATTGAATTTTTTAACCACAAAATCTTAAATATAATATTAGAGATCGGGAAAGGTGACTTATATTTAAACTAAAATATGCAATAATCGAACATTTATTGTAGTTTAATCCTACACTTTTATATTTGGAACTTTTATTGCGATAAGAACATTAATTATTATAAAAACGTTCACCACTTAGACATTCTGTACTGTACCTTTATATTTGGAACTTTAATAGCGATAGGGAATATTAAAACGCCTTCTCTTGTAAAACCTTGGCAAAGTCGTAATATAGGCCATTATTTATTAAAAGTGTCTATATGGGGCTACCGAGGAAATGTATTAATTTGCATCAGAACGTGTGGCAGGGCGGGAATCGGACGAGGAGGAGGGGTAATGATAACACGACAGGCAGCAGGAGCAGCTCACCCCTAATAGGCGATCCATTAAAAACCCTCGAGGCAAAGGAAACGGACGGCGAGCCACAAGCCAAACCATAATGACCACGCACAATAATCCTAGAGACTGACTGACGGACAAACGGACAGATGGACATACGGACAGGCAATCAAGCGGACAGACAAGCGGACGAGCAGTTAGCCCGACTGACCGGCCTCCATTGAAACACTTTTGGTGGGACGAAACCGGAGGAAAGTAACGCCGGAGATACGGGGGTTGAGTTCCCAGCGAGCACGACACAAATCGATTTTGCAATTAAAGCATATTGAAGTCTATAGCCATGTATAGTATATACTGTGTCTGTCTGTGTTTTTGACCGGAGTCGAGAGCGAAAGTGACATATTTATGTTAGTTTTTATTCTCGATGTGGGTTCAGGTGTTAAGGTTAAGGACCCCAGTTCCTTAGCTCGCCAGCAAGTGGGTTAAGTGCCAGTTGGTGACTTGCTTCGGTTTCGGAAGGATCATAAATAATTTATAGAAGAGAAGGTGATTGGTGATTGGTGGGTAAAATAAAAGTTTTGAACTAGAGCTGCGTTCATCCTAATTATCTAAAAGATAATATGAATATCGTTGTATTTTGGGAATAATTAGTTTAGACATATTCCCCGCTAAATATTAATTTAAACGAACAAGGCCACAATTGACACCTATGTCGAAATGGTAATTAAATGAATTGCCTGGATATACGGAACCCGAGTTTATTTTAGAGATACTATATGATTAATCCCACCAGGCTAACGGCATTATGGGCGTTATAATTATTTTGGAGCACGCATGTGTTTCAGTCTGTTGATTAATTAATGCGTTGATAGCCGCATGATTGACGACACACTTTGGATTTAGAAGTGCCATAGTTAGTCATACATATAAAATATATATCAACTAGATAAAGCCAGAAAATTGTAATACATTAGCTAAAACATTTTCAGGCCAAATTCCGAAAGTGAATTCGCGTGCGTAGCTGCAAGTTTGTAGTTTAAAAATCCATATGGACTATCCATATAGATTTTCTGGCATGCACAACACGAGTTAGGTCATAATTACGCCCCCGCCTGATAATCAAGCCTGACATTTCGTTGCCTAAACTTTGCATGGCTAATAAATATCTCTCCGAATCCAAGGGAATCGGATTCGGAGCTGGATTTCATGCCTGGGAAACAAAAGTGAGAGTTACATTTTCTCACTCGCTACTCCTTTATTTGATTCGCAAACAAATGGCCTAGAAAAACCCATATTTTTATTGCTCATTGGATTTAAGTGGGGGTGGGTTCTCGTTGCTTTTAAATCGGTGCTGAGAAAATATTTGATATTTACTCTGAGCAAGTACACCCAAAAAAAACTCGATATGAATCGTAGGTCAATTTGACCTTTTTTAAGATCATTTTTAACTTGATATGGGGCCAGGTAAATGTGATATGTTCGAAATGTAAGAAATCTTATTTCTGACCAAAACGTACACTAGTGCGAGCGAGAAAACATGCTTGAAGTACGTCAGTTCGAATTTCGAATCAGTCTTTCTCGCTTCCACTCATGTCATTTTATTCGCCATATTGATTCTTGCGCTCTTTTTCGAAGTTAGAGAATCTCCGAGAGAGAGAATTCGGCAAAATGATATTATTTAATGTAAATTTTATGAATATTTCAGGTAAAAACGATATGAGTAGGAATAACCAGAAAATTACCTGGACTTATCGATTTTACGGCGACGTGCTTTTTTTTGTGTGTATCAACAATACTAACAAGTAGGCTTTGATTTGGTCAGGCCTACAAATATGTTAGGGGAAGAAAAATTAAGGATTATTTATAAGGAGATTAAGAAGGTATTTAAAGGAACTTTTAAAATTAGAAACAATGGTTTACAAAATATTTTGCTTACTAATTACATTAGAATAGTATAGGACCATTAAAAATGAATTGAAATCCATTCTAGGTTTCAACAAACGTTTTGAAATCAAAACTTTCGCTTTTAGCTAAACCTTTATAGGGGTTATATTGGCCAATCAATTATTTAGGATCGGCTAGGGTAGACCAAAAGTTGATTGAACTTTCCCGAGCGCTGGCTTCTCAAGTCGCCACTCTAGGGGCTTCGTGTTAATTCCTTTCTATTGGCGCCTCCTGAAATATTTACCAAGAGCACACGGCAGGCCCAACTCATGCCTGATTAATAAAGGCAGAGTGAAGTATGGCCATTAGGCCATGAATGTTTAACAAGTCATTTACGTGAAAATGTTAAATGCCAGCCACAATCACGCCAAGATGCCACATCGCACATACGCAGCGTTGTCCGGCCCATTTTGCGGTTCAATAAACTGTTTGTACTGGAAACTTTTGTTTGATTTGTGGGGGAAATTGGAAACCACAAACTTAGCTGGATAATTGCTGGGTTAGCGTACAACTAAAACAAAAATCCTAATCAATAATTTACTGCTTTGTAATTTACATATTTCCATAAAGCAGACGATAAAATTCCTTCGTAGCTAATTTGTTAATCCAATTGAAATGTGAACTCTGACCCCTCCACCCAACTAAACTAATAGCGAATTAGTGTGAAAAAGGTGGCCAAATGAATCAGAAAAAACCACAGAAGTAACGAGCCACGTTTTCCACCCTTAACCTTGGCTATTTATAGGCCGGTCAACGTCAGAACTCCATCAAGTTCAAGGCAAATCCACAAATTCTGGAAATTTGCAGGGGCCACAACAAATAGAGCTCACAAAACAAAGAGAGGTTTGTTCCACTTTGATTGATTAATTGCGATTCTGGGAAATGTGAGCGAACATTTGGGTTTCGAGTTGAAGAACCGTAGCCTTGAAATCAATGTTATACTCGTATGTATAAGTCATTCTTACTTTCATTGATTAATTGGAGCTTATGCGCAATTACTCTTAGAAATATATGGGTTCCAAGCTTAGAAACTGAAATTCTAAAAATAAAGTTAATCAGATACTTATACAGATCAAAGGTTTTCCACTTTGCAATCTTCATAAACGTATTGCTAAATGAATAGGAATTATATATTGATCAACCATAGACTTTATAACATTTTATCGAGATAATGTGCCAATTGAAATCATTATTTGTAATATCATTCCAGGATTGGTAGTGCCGACACCCTGGAGATCGTGGCCTCCAAATCCACGGGCAGCGAGGAGTGCTCCACGCCAGAGGACAACATAAATGTTGTGGTTCGAGTGCGTCCCCTGAATGATAAGGAGAAACGCGATCGTCACGGATCGACGCTGCAGTTTCCGGGCAACGGCCAGGTTATAGTAAGTGTGCTTCCTCCTAATTTCATAGAGGAGAATTAATGTACTCCCTCCAGCTGGAAGGCAACGATGTGGGCCAAAAGAGGTCGCACAATCGTGACAGCGTTCGCGTCTTCACCTACAACGTGGTCTTTGAGCCAGGAGCCACCCAGGATGACATCCTTGATTACTCCGGTATCAAGCGCATTATCGAAATGGGCATCGAGGGATTCAGTTGCACGGCCTTTTGTTATGGCCAAACGGGTTCCGGCAAAACGCACACGCTCACTGGACCCCCGGACTTGGTGAGTCAAACTCTTATGATAAATCTTTGAAATCCTGTGACTCTATATTAACTTTATTTTTCAGTTCATTGGAAAACCGAATCCCAAGGATCCGCGCCATGGCCTCATCTTCCGCTCGTTTTTGTATCTCTTCCAATTGATTAAGAATCGCAAGGACGTCAACTACGTGCTAAAAGCCTCCTTCATGGAAATCTACAATGAACGGGTTAGTGGCGCCCAACGTGGGGCATTGCTTTAATTTACTTTAATGACACCGCTGTCGTCCGTGGCTTGACCTCTGCAAATTCAATTTAAATCCAAATTGCATTTGCCATAATACTGATTGCTCGCCCGCAAACATGCATTGCATTGACCTCTATTTAATGGATGTCAGCACGCTCCACCCACCTAAGAAATGGACGGTTAGTCCACCCACCTTTCGTGGATTGTCACAATGCGTGAAATGCATTCTGCATTTTGCGTGGCATTTCCAATGATTTGTTTTCTTAGCCCACCTGCCATTTCCTTATTGGTTTCGCAAATTGAATTGCATTTTTTATCTGTCTCCTATCTTCCACTCAAGGTAATCGATTTGCTTAATCCGGGAAGTGCAAGGAAACCGCTGGCGGTGCGCTGGTCCAAGAAATCGGGTGGTTTCTTCGTGGAGAACCTTTTTACGGTGGACTGCGAGGAATTGGATGATCTTCTGGCCGTTCTAGAAGAGGGTAAGGTTCTTTCGTGAGAAGATATTTCGAACTATTGCTTATTCTGATTATGTTTTAGGTATGAGAAATCGTGCTGTTGGCTCGCATGCCATGAACGATCACTCCTCGCGATCTCACACTATCCTCACGGTCCACATCCTGTCCGATCAGCAGACGGATGGCGGGGTGTTCCTCTCCAAGCACGGAAAGATCAACTTCGTGGACCTGGCTGGCAGTGAGTTGACCAAGAAGACGATGAGCGAGGGCAAGACCCTGGAGGAGGCTAATAACATCAACAAGAGCCTGATGGTTTTGGGCTACTGTATCTCCTCGCTGAGCGACTCCAAGAAGAGATCGGGTCACATTCCCTATCGGGACAGCCAGCTCACCAAACTGCTGGCCGACAGTCTGGCGGGGAATGGCGTAACCCTGATGATCGCCTGCGTTTCTCCGGCTCACTACAATCATGCCGAGACTCTAAATACCCTGCGATATGCCTCGCGAGCGAAAAGGATACGCACCAAGCCGGTGATCAAGATGGATCCCAGAGAGGCACTGATTCTCAGTCTGAAGCGGGACATACATGCTCTCCAAATGGAGAACGACCACCTGAAGGCGGCCTTGAATCTGCATCACCAAGCGGCTCCAGCTGAAAATCTCCTGGAGCTTCAACTGGATCGAGTGAGCAGTGGTGGTGCAGTGCCAGTGCCCAAAGTGGATCTGCAGCGATTACCAGAGCTGGATGGTTCCGAGCTGGCTGAGCTCGTCAAGCTCTACATGGTGGAGAACGAGTCCCTGAGGCAGGAGAACAACCACCTGTTCACCGTGCGAGAGACCATCCTCCGGGATCAGGAGATTGTCTGCCGGGAGAACGAGCGGCTGCTGAAGAAACTGGAGGATGTCAACAAGTGAGTGGGGTGTAGATTTGATTGGTTAAGTTAAGATTGTTTTGTGATCATCCCAACTGGTGCTTAGTTCCTCCTTCAGGCTCCTGGCTCATTGTTCTCTCCCATTTCTGACTCGTTCTAGGTCGAATCCGAACGGGAACGAGGACAATGAGCCAGGAAAGGAGGACCCGACGAAGGAGTGAACAAATTACCTATATATCAAACGTTTTCTACTTTTTAACATGTTTTTATGGAATGTGTATTTGTAAATGTTTTTCAAGAACAAGCCTAGAGTGTGACTAGTCATGTAAGGATTTGTAATAAAAGTATGTTTTTGTTCCTATGAATCTAGATAGTGTTATGGAAATGGGTAAAAATTAAACACTTGAAATAGTATTGTGATATTATTTTCCTGTGATCTATTGCAGAGTCTGTGTTCGTTCCCCTTTGATACCAGCACGTCCGGCTATATCTCCAACCACCGGCAAGGAAACGCCTGGCACTGAGATATGGACAAATCCCGAGCCTCTTCAGGACTTACCAATCGAACAGAGGATGTCGGAGAATTCCGATAGAAGAACAGAAACGGCCCAGAAACGAATAGACCAGCAACGCATAGCCAAGAACATTCTGATTATGGCCAATGCATTCCGGAAACCAGACTCCGATTTGGCCAAGGAATTGAATCTTAACCCAGAAAAGGCACCCGCAAAGCAGTCAAACGAATTTATGCCTGAGTAAGTCTATAAAGTTCTCACTAAATTATTATATTACTGACATTTATTTATTTTAGCATGCTTACCTAATTAACGTTGAATGGAAATACTTGAAAACCTAGAGAACGATATATATTTTTGCAACTAATGGAATACAATGTGTCCAAAAGATATGAAATAAACCATACAAAATGTAATTGAAATTTATTTTTGTTTATAAATGGAAGGTTTGAATATGGGATCCCAAAAATATACAAGTCGAAGATGAGGGGTTTGATTTATAGAAGTTCAACTGTATTTGTGCTAGTTATATAGATTGTAATTTAATTAAGAAATAATAACAATTGTATTATTTAGATCATGAGGTAATTGTCTTATCCTTTAACCAAAATTCCAAGCTTTTGAGATCCACAGGCAGTTTAAACTTTTTCCCCACACCTCCAAGAACTTTAAAGCTTTTGAAAACGGCCCGGAAAAGCCGGAAAATCGAAGCATCATCTCCAGCGCGGTCACACTTTGGTAAATATTGATTTTTCAGCGCCCCCACAAGACATATCTGTTGAAGACGAAGCGCATACATATTTTCGCATTGGAAAAACACAAGTCGAAGGGTAAATCCTCAAAGACCAAGTGAAGGATACACGCAACAGCTCCCAGTATCCGGCGGCAGCATTAGCATCCCAGCATCCACCATAGGTCTCGCGGAGACAGCCGTCCTGGACATAATGGCTGCGAATCTGCAACAGCAGCGCTCCATCAACCTGCAGCTGCGCCGGGAGGTGGAGATGGAGCGGATGCCCGTCTCGGAGGCCTGCTCCCTGATGATGCAGTACATGCTGGAGCACGAGGAGGAGGACTGCCTGCTCAGCGGCTTCACCCAGAAGGTGAATCCGTTCCGCGAGAAGAGCTCCTGCAGCATCCTGTAGGTCCGGAAAATCCAGAGTCCGGAACCCGTTCCTAACACAGTATTATCCTATAAAGTATACTCAATTACGGCGGACATTCCGATCCGATCCCGTATATGTCGTGTAACCTATCTGCTGTATTATCGTTGTAAGTGTGCTGACCTCAATTATGTCTATAAACTGAGTATATACAATGGAATCGGGCGAACCGAGAATATTTATGAACGTGTAAACAAGAAAAATATCGGGGAGCCGTCTTGAACCTAAACGCCTGTGTAAACATAAATATCGTGTATTTTGCTAATCCTGTAGCTCTTTATTGGAGAATTTAGCAAACACCCTCTCTATATAGATGTTTCCTATTGAGATATTCCAGAAATAAAGCTATGTAGCCAGAGATTTTCATGTGAATGGAGTTTGTTTCAATTTGGTTTTTCAAAATTTTCCAGGAGTTTTTATAGCGAAATGTCGTCTCCGAACTTCAGGGTGAGCTGCTCCACTTTTGGCTGGGCAATGCGAATGACCAAGTCGCTGTCGGTGAATCCCTACTTTCTTTTCCTCGATCAATTCCGGAGTAATCTTCAGAAGCGTGGCATTCTCCAGCTGAAACCCATTTCCATTGCCAAAATTGCGGGGAGAAAGTGGCGACAAATGACGGCGGAACAGAAGTCTGTTTTTATTGAAATAGCTAAGATCAATAGCGCCAGGACAAGGATGCGTGCTCGTCCTAGGCTTCCAGTGGGAGGAGTCAGACGGTGCCGAATTAAAAGGGTTCCCAAGGAGATTTTATAAGACAATTCACCCGCCATCATTTCAAATTTCCTAGCGCGTTTAGCAACACTATCATTATCAGCTGTTAATTTGGCGTTAGCAACACTGGCCATATCGTGGTTTACTTTTTTACGGAACGCAAATACATTTTACGGATAAAAAGGATGAGTTCGGGCTTTGTGACTGAGGCAGAGGCCGCCGAGCAGCGGCAGCGACGCCAGGAGGAGTGGGAGCGTGTCCGCCAGCCGGATGATCCCGAGGAACGGCCCGAGGAGCCCTACGACGGACGCTCCCTGTACGAGCGCCTCAAACAGAATAAAGATAAAAAGGACATGGAGTACGAGGAGGCCCACAAGCTGAGTAGGTCTTGAAAATCTGATCAGGCAGGTCGATAAATAACATTTTAATACTTAGAAAACCTGATACGCGGCCTGGACGACGACGAGGTGCAGTTCCTGGAGCTGGTCGATGCCCACAAAATGAATGCGGAGCGTCAGCAGATGCGGGACGAGGAGCTGGAGCTAAAGGACTTTCGCAATCGCGTCGAGAAGCTGCAGGAGGAGAGTGTGGACAAGGTAGGGGCATAGCAAAGTGATCAATATATACATATCATATATGTTTAAAATTTCCTGTAACCCCCAGAAACTGCAGGCGGAGCTCAAGACCACGGCCAAATCCGCTGGCGCTGCGGCTGGACGCAGCACTCAGAAATCCCTTCTAGGCATGGGCATCAAGCGGAAGAACGGAGAGCTGCCCACCACCAGCAGCAAGGTGGTTAAGGTCGCCGAGGAGGAGGCCACCAAGGAACCAGAGGCAGAGCAGACAACGAACACCACGCTAACCACAAACAGATACAACCAGGGAGCCCTCAAGTGCATCGCCGTGCTGCCCGGCATCGGTTCCTACACAGAGTCCAGCGACTCGGAGGCCAGCACGGATGAGGAGGAGCCCGATCTGTGCAGCCGGACCGACCTGTGCGGCCGCAAGATTCCCAAGAAGAAGCAGTGCGCCGAGTAGGATCAACTTTTTATTTGGATTCTTAATATGTAGTTTCTTTCCTTGCAAGAGAATATAGCCTAGAGTGTAAACGTAGCGCATTACGTGTCCTTCTTCTTGTTCCGATTGCGGTTCTTCACGTTCGTCGTCTCGTAGAAGTTGCTGCCGATCTTCTTGCGCTTCTGGCTGCGTTCCAGGGATCGCTTCTGCTTGGCCGTCAGCCGGGGGGCCTTCGAAGTGCTGGGGCCATCTTCGTCCGAGCTGCCGCCCTCGTCTGAGTCTCCCGGCTGTATTTTGGCCACGCGGAACTTGCCCGACGATGTGATGGCCAGCTGCTGCGTCTTCTTGGCCTTGGCCTTCTTGTGCACCACGCGCTGCAGGTCCTCGTTGTACTCGTCCTCCGAGTAGAACTCATCCGCTCCGTCGCTGGACTCCTCCTCCTCTTCGCCCAGGTTGTGCAGACGAGCCTTCTTCTTGGCCGCCCGCTCGGCCTTCTGCTGCTCCAGCAGTTCCAGGTCAATGTGATCCAGCTCCCTGACGTCCTGCTGCTCGTACTCCAGACCCACGCGGATCTTTCGGAAGTCCTGGATCTGCTTAAACTCGCGCGCCTTCTTCACGGATTCGCTGACGAAGGTTGGGGCCGTGGATTGGGCATCTTCGTTGGGATCTTCGGGGGCTACTTCTTCTTCTTGCGCCTCCTTGCCCTCCTGCGACTTGGGCACGGCGAATCCCTCGGGGGGAACGTAGAAGGGCAGCTTGCCACGCTGCCAATCATTCAGCACCATGCGGGCGGTCACCGTGACGTCCGGTTCGCCTCCTTTCAGCAATTTGCCCGTCTTTTGGGCCAGCTGCTCCAGGAAGTGCGTGCAAGTGTTCCAGTGCTCGATCTTGTAGTTCTTCGAAACGTATTCCCTTCGCACGCGCTTCAACAGGGCGTCTACGTAGTCCTCGGGATTCGTGACCAGCTCCACTCTCACCACACCCTTCAGCACCTTCTCGGTGTCCGTCTCCGCCGTGGGATACACGACGCCGGGACAATCGATCAGGAAGATGCGCTTCATTAGGGTGATGTACTGCCACACCTTCGTCTCGCCCGCAATGGGAGCCACTTTGCACACCTTCTTGGAGCGCAGGGCATTAATCACAGAGGATTTGCCCACATTGGGGTAGCCAATGAAGCCCACACTGATCTGCTTCTTGTCGAGGTGAAGTTTGCCCAGCTGGCGGAAGAGGTTGATCAGGGCACCTATAAAAGAGGAGGTCATTTATCAACTTGTTTTGAATATTTGAACCCTCATTTACTCACCCTTGCCAAAGGGATGTTGGAGGGAGGCGTGGAAGGCAATGGTGGGATACTCGGCACTCAGGATGGCCACCCAACGCTGGGTTACCCAAACCGGCACCAGATCCACCTTGTTCAGGATGAAGAACAGATGCTTGTGCGGCTTCTCCTTGCGCAGGAACTCCTCGATGTACTTGGAGCGCGTGCCCATGGGATCGCGGGCATCCAGAACTTGAAGTAGAACATCGGAGGCATCCACCACCTTGTGCAGTTCGTTCCAGATGCGCTTACTCTGACCCGCACCAAAGACCCAATCTCGCACCGCCTTCTTTTCGCCCGTGTCCTCGCGGATCAGATCCAAGTCCTTGGCGGAATCGTACTTATCCGCCTGATCATCGGCCGCCTTGCTCAGATCCTCCAGATCGCGAACTTTGAGGCTCACACGCTTGCGCTGCTTCTTGGGTCCAAAGGTACTGTCGAAGCTCTCGGTGTCCAGCAGGTGAACCCTTTTGTACTTGGCCGCCTCGTTGAGCAGCGTCACCGGCAGCTGGGAGGGCTTCATGATCACCTGGTAGGGATCCTTGACAGCCTTGCCGATCTCATCCTGGAACTTTTGCAGCGCCGTCTGGGAGATGACGCGGGAATTGCTGAACCACTTGGGCGTGGGCTCCACACGGGCCATTGTTCCAGCCGGCAGGCGCCCCTAAAATAGAAGATCATTTTGGGATTAGAATTATTCTTGTGTAAAAAATATTTTGTGATCATATCTTAAGCACAGCAATAAAATGCATGCTAATCTAGTAAATTAAAGCTCTTATTTATTTATTTATTGTCAGGTTAAATAGGGAATTCCTCTTATTTAGAAGAAAAGTTCTTAAATCCTTTCCTATATTTAAAAAAAACGGTTATTTATTTTACCTACATTTTACACTCTACACAGTCCTTCAGAACGTCATCTATATCTATCGAAAGTTCTGTAAAATCTATGTGTGATCGATTACCGCAGGTATCGACCTGTCAACTCAAGCCCTTTTGCACTATCGGAATGCAAAAAAAAATTGCATGATTACACGTGTTTACCGGGGGAAAAACAAGGAATATTCGACTAAATTCCATTCAGCAGCGACAAGATAAAGTTAAAACCGAACAACATGAATCCGGGATCATCCAGGCCAGGAGCCGCCGGCTCTGATGCGACGCTTTCCCAGCAGATGAAACAGAACTTTTGCAAGATGAACGACCTGGTCGGTGAACTGCAGCAGGAAAAGCAGAGGGTAGCAACTCTCCAGGAGGAGAATGCCGGACGGAAGCGGCAGTTGGAGGAGCGCAACGCCAGTCTGCAGCAGCGAGTGCGCCAATTGGAGCAGCTAAATGCGCAATTGGAGCAGTTCAACGGCGAGCGTGTGGGAATACTGCAGCAATTGCAGGAGGAGATGTCCAAGTACGCGACCATCCAGGAGAAGTTCCACGAACAGGAGCAGACCATGCAGATGATTGTGCGCGAGCTGGAGGCAGATCGCCTGGCGCTGCTCGATGAATTGGCCGTGAAGGACATCATGAGCTCGGACAGCATCGACGACCTGAGCGAGGAGGTGAACGATCTCAACTCCCAGCTAAACGGGATGTCCGAGGACATCACCTGCTCCATCTGCCTGTCGCCCTGGGAATCTGAAGGCGGGCATCGCGTGGTGTCGCTGCGCTGCGGCCACCTCTTTGGCCAGAAGTGCATCCGCACAGCCCTCCGGAACTCGCGCCAGTGCCCCATCTGCATGAAGAGAGCCCATCCCGCCGATGTCCGCAAAATCTACGGTCGCAGCATTTTGCCATGTTAATGGCTTCGACTCAATGGAATGGATAATCTTATTTTAAAATTGAATCTCGCATTTTGAAACCCAATCTTCCCAAGCCAAGTTGCTTTTAAAGTGGATTTACATATCCAAATTACACAAATATTACCACATAATTTTTACTACAAAAAGTGGTCGCTTTGAAAGATCTGACATTGCCAAATATTTTCTTTAAGTTTTGTTTTAAAAAAAACAAATATGAACGGGATTCCTGAACGTTCAAATAATATTTTAATCGTTTGTACAATTCAATATTATCCTGATAATAACAGAGCTATTATCTAAAAAGGAAACATGTTGAAAATATAAACATAATAAATACTATTGAAGCCAAACCAAATTGGTAGAACCTTTCTTAGGTATATGTAGTTAAATAGCTTGATTAATATGATCAATCATTTGGAAACTGCATTTTATAACAAGAGCTCTTAAGGGATACCATTGATCAACAACCCCCAGAGATATTGTAACCCGTAGTACAGACTCACCTGGAAGGGGGCGGGCGTGAGGATCTTTCCAGTGCGATCCCGCTTGGCCTTGAAGTTGCGGTACATCTGGAGCCGCTTGATGGTGCCCTTGGTGCGGGGGTGGGCGACTCCCTTGAGGCCGCTTTTGGGGCGCTCCGGATTCATCGAGTGGTTGGAGTGGTTGAATCCCTGCGTCCGGGGCTTCCCCGGGGTGCTGCGTACTTTCGGCATGGTGTCGTGGATGCCGTGTGCCTCGTTAACAAATTAAAATGTATTTTCTCGGCACGTTAAAACCAAAACACACGTGTTTGGTTGAAATAAAAAAACAAAGGGATCGGACGTTGCACAGCACTGCCTGGATGTGCCTGGCAACACTACTTTTATGCAGAATTTCTCTACCACGAGGACTGGGCACACTTAAATAACAACAGCACGGCCGAAAAGTTTAGCAACAGCTTTGGAATTACATTTACTTAATAAATACTAAGTAAAGCTTTAAGTCTACGTAATAAATTAAAATGAAATGGGCTTAAATACATTATTTTGCCCTTTTTAGCTACTCCCTTAGACCTAAAAAGTAGAAAACCTTTTCCTATTGGTTGTAGTTCTGTGACCGCCACTGTGTTCAAGAAGCAAGCTGGTTTTATGTCCGTGTGCATACACATATCCGCTTGGCCACGAGCTTCGGCTGCACTTGGGAACTTAAATAGTTAAACTTAAAATTACTGCCTAATTTAGCGAAGTGATAATGTAAATCAGAGCATTTAAAAGAAAACGTAGTGATTAGCCAAGTAGAGTTTAGCATTCGCGCGATATTTGTTTCCCAAGCGCGACTTGGAATTGCGTATGCGTGTGTGCCAGCCCCTGCGCGTGTGTGTGTGTGCTTTGGAATGTGGCCCTGCACGAAATTCAAACCGAAATAGTGACCATCCTTGAGATTCGCACACTTGCGCGATGGACGAGCACACACTGAACGACCTGTTGGAGTGCTCCGTGTGCCTGGAGCGACTGGACACCACGTCGAAGGTGCTGCCCTGCCAGCACACCTTCTGCCGCAAATGCCTGCAGGTGAGTAATACTTAGATACTTAGATTTCTATACCCCTAAAACATACATACTAACGATTTCATCATCCCCAGGACATTGTGGCCAGCCAGCACAAGCTGCGCTGCCCGGAGTGCCGCATCCTGGTCTCTTGCAAGATCGACGAGCTGCCTCCAAACGTCTTGCTGATGCGAATCTTGGAAGGTAACGGCTACGCCCACGCCAATCTCAACTGGCACAGCAGCCTACGCTCGAAAGCCAGAATGAGTGGCTTTTTCAATCGAATGGCTTATATCTAACAGAAAACCCCTTCTCCCTGCTTCCCCTTAGGCATGAAACAGAATGCAGCAGCTGGAAAAGCCGAGGAGACGGCTGAATCGCAGGCGGAAAGGCCCAAAACTCAACCTCCAGCGGAACCAGTAGCCCCGCCTGGCAACCAACTCCTCCACCAGCAGCAGCAGCAGACTCAACAGCCATCTCAACAGCCGGCTCGCCACAAGCAGCGCCGGTTTCTGCTCCCCCATGCCTATGCCCTCTTCGACTTCGCCTCCAGCGAAGCCAGCGATCTGAAGTTCAAGAAGGGGGATCTGATACTGCTCAAGCATCGCATCGACAACAACTGGTTTGTGGGCCAGGCCAACGGGCAGGAGGGCACCTTTCCCATCAACTATGTGAAGGTATCGGTGCCGCTGCCCATGCCGCAGTGCATCGCCATGTATGACTTCAAGATGGGCCCGAATGACGAGGAGGGCTGCCTGGAGTTCAAGAAGAGCACGGTGATCCATGTGATGCGCCGTGTGGATCATAACTGGGCCGAGGGACGCATTGGCCAGTCCATTGGCATCTTTCCCATAGCCTTTGTTGAGCTGAACGCAGCGGCCAAGAAGCTGCTGGACAGCGGGGTCATCAATCATCCATCGTGCCATCCGCCGCAGCAGCAGGGCCACCGAGCGCTCCCTCCGGTTCCGGTTATTGATCCCACCGTGGTCACCGAATCCAGTTCGGGATCCTCCAACTCCACGCCGGCCAGCAGTAACTCCAGCTCAACATCCAGCTCGAACAACTGCAGTCCGAATCACCAGTCCTCGCTGCCGAATACCCCGCAGCATGTGGTGGCCTCTGGTTCGGCATCGGTGCGTTTCCGCGACAAGGGAGCCAAGGAGAAGAGGCACTCACTGAATGCTCTCCTAGGAGGTGGAGCTCCTTTGAGTCTGCTGCAGACCAACCGCCATTCGGCCGAGATTCTCAGCCTGCCGCACGAGCTGAGCCGCCTGGAGATGGCCAACTCAGCGGCTCCCAAACCTGCTACGCCATCCTCGCGCGTGCTCAAGACGAGTGTCCAGCAACAGGTGCCGCCCAATTTGCCCTGGGGTTACTTGGCCCTGTTCCCGTATAAACCACGCCAAACGGATGAGCTGGAGCTGAAGAAGGGCTGTGTTTACATAGTGACCGAACGCTGTGTGGACGGTTGGTTCAAGGGCAAGAACTGGTTAGACATTACGGGTGTCTTTCCGGGCAATTACCTGACGCCCCTGCGCACTCGCGACCAGCAGCAGTTGATGCACCAGTGGAAATACGTGCCCCAAAGCTCGGATGCCCAGCAGGCACACGCACAGCAGCCACCAGTTGCGCCAGATGTGCGGCTCAACAACATGCTGCCCATGCAGCCACCGGATTTGCCACCCCGCCAGCAGCAAACCACCAGTTGCTCCGTTTGGTCGAAGCCAGTGGAGGCGCTTTTCAGTAGGAAATCAGAGCCTAAGCCTGAGACTACTAGCAGCAGTTCCTCCTCCTCGGGGGCAGTGGGCCTTATGAGGCGATTAACTCATATGAAAACACGCTCCAAATCCCCGGGAGCATCGCTGCAGCAGGCAGCCAAGGAAGGAACGAGTGGGAATGTGGAAACTGCAACTAAACCAGCAGCTAAATTGCAACCAGTGCATGTGAGGTAAGATCAGCATTCATGGTTTAACATTATGGATCAGATTTAAATTTGTTTTATATCCCTAGATCCGGTTCGTGCCCCAGTCAACTGCAGCACAGTCAGCCGCTGAATGAAACTCCCACAACAAAAGCAACACCACAACAGCAGCAGTTTCTGCCGAAGCAACTGCCTGCTGCCACCAACAGCAGCGTTTCCTACGGATCACAGCGCATCAAAGGAAACAAGGATCGTCCGCACTTGATTTGTGCCAGACAATCCTTGGATGCAGCCACCTTTCGCAGCATGTACAGCAATGCAGCATCGCCTCCACCGCCTGCTTCCTCTGTCTCTCCAGCTATCTATGCAGGTGGACAGCAGCAGGCGTTGCCTGGAGGAGGAGCACAATCCCAGTTGCATGCCAACATGATCATTGCACCCAGCCACCGAAAGTCGCATAGTTTGGATGCAGGACATGTGCTGAGTGCGCCGATCACCGAGGCGGCCATCAAGGCCAGTGCCACCACGAAGTCGGCTTACTGCACGAGGGAAAGGTGGGTAGTGATCTTCATAGTAGTGTTGGATAAAAACTGCTCATTTGGGTGAACTGTTCACTTGTTCTTTTTTTCCCAATGAGTCAGCTCACTCAGTTTGCTCACTTGTTCACTTGCTCATTGTCTGTAAAACCGTATGCAAAATGCATCCTTTTGTGCCAAAAACAGCAAGAGAGCAACTGAGCAAGTGATCTAAAAAGATCAAATAAGAGAGCCGAAGTGAACTAGTGAACAAAAAAGCGCAAGTAAGAGATTAAAACTGAGCAAGTGATCAAAAAAAAGCAAGTGAGCAAAAATGAACAAGTGAACAATAAGGAACAAGTTCGAAGGAACATGTTCACTCACTCATGAGCAACCCAACACTACTTCATAGCAAGGATTCAAGGGTTTAACTTGTATAATCTCTTATTTTAGTCGCTTCCGTTGCATTGTGCCGTATCCACCGAACAGCGACATCGAACTGGAGCTGCATTTGGGCGACATCATCTATGTGCAGCGCAAGCAGAAGAACGGCTGGTACAAGGGCACCCATGCCCGAACCCACAAGACAGGACTGTTTCCCGCCTCCTTTGTCGAGCCCGATTGCTAGGACAAACTAGAATTTATCAAGCGAAATTCCAAATTACTTGTCGAAATTGATTCAATCGCCGGTCGATTCGGGCTTCCAATTCTCGCAATCTCCTACTACTCTTTTTAAAAAAGAAACCGTTTTGTACTCTTCCACTCGAATGCCGATGTACTTTTTATAGGATCCCTAATCAAAATAGGCTAGCCATGTAAGACTTAAGCAACAGTTACTTAAGCCCTAGCGATAAGTTAGCTAGAGAAACAATCTAACCGATTCTTGTGCCCGCTACGAAGTTATTTGTAATATACGATTTTCAGTAATACCCTTAAGTCGTTTTAACTTATTTTATTCACCAAGCGAAACATCGAGGCTAAAAGTTGGTTGCACTAAGGTTCTGAAGTTATTCGCTCTTGTCGAACTTGGAGCCGTAGATGGGCACGTACTGCAGGACGAGCTTCCAGTCGGTGTAGTAGAGCACGGCCAGGCCAGCAGCTCCTCCGAATCCAGCTCCAGAGCGGATGCTACAAAGCAAAGATTTGGATGGTTATGCAATGTGTGGTTTATACGCGGTGTTGGGGGTCGGAATCCCCGTATGTCCTTGATCCAAAACAGAGGAGAACAACTAATACTCACAAGGAAGTCGCGATTTCAGCGTGCTTCTTGCCAAAAGGTATGCGGAAAGCCATTTTTGTCGATATTATTACTTTTCTCTCGCACCAAAAGATTCGCAATAGACGGGAGACCACTCGAATGCCCTAAATAATGCCACAGCAGTAAGACCCTAATATTGACCAACACACTTTTTTGATAGGTGACAACTCTGCAGGGTCTACGTGAGAGCAACAATTTGTCATCAACAAAAACTTTTATTGGCTAGAATTAAATTCAAAATCAAGGAATCACAATGAAAGTATCCATTTTCGGTGAACTAAACACCTTCGAGCTGTTCGTCCTGTGCACTGTGATACCGGCGGTCTTCGTTTTCCTGTGGAGCCTAATATCCGGTGATATGAAGGTAGGGCATTCTGTTCTTATCACAAGTACCGATTTTAAGTAATTTTCCCTTCCTGATTTTATAGAACTTCAAGGGCAGCAAACTGGCCTATTCAGTTTACACGGCCAAGGATCCCATTAACTGCTATCAGGACTACGTGGAGTCAAAACAGAAGGATTCTTAGGATGTATTTTATTATTACCCCAAAATGTATTAAATTTGTACATATAAGCCATGAATGCTGAGGATCAAGGGATATCTAGTTAGAACAATAAACATGTGTTGTTTTTGAAATAAACCAAATTTTTTAAGCGGAAATTGGGACAATTTTAAAGTAAACAAATATCTAATTGCAACATGAATCATTTATTGCCCCACCTGGTCACACCCACGCTTTCTCGGTATTTCAGCGTTTCTTCACAGCTGCCTCACTAAACTGAACACAGTTGGAAATTTTAAGGCAATTTTTAATTTGTTAATTGTTTAAAGGCCTCGTTAGCTCCGGATATTGCGGATTTCGATCGTGTCCTGTGCACTTCCTGGTGCCCATCCGCACCAGCAATCCGATAATCCCGGAATTAGGCCAACTACAAAAACAAACAAAGGAGACAACTACGCAGAAGAGGAACAAAAACAATGTCGGAAACATACGGTTTGTCATCGCACAACTAACCAATTAACGACTCTAACTAATTAATTCCGGTGCACTCACTCACCTAGATTACCTGTTCAAGTTCCTGATAATCGGCAGTGCTGGCAGTGGCAAAAGTTGTCTGTTGCATCACTTCATCGAGAGCAAGTGTAAGTTGGTAGCTGGAAGTCTACATCCCAGTCCTAATTGTATTTATTTTATTATTATTATATTATATTACCCATCATCCAGTCAAAGACGACAGTTCGCACACCATTGGCGTGGAGTTTGGCTCGCGGATCGTCAACGTGGGCGGCAAATCGGTGAAGCTGCAGATATGGGACACCGCTGGACAGGAGAGATTCCGCTCGGTGACGAGGTCCTACTACCGGGGAGCTGCCGGCGCCCTCCTGGTCTACGACGCCACGTCGCGGGACTCCTTCAATGCGCTGACCAACTGGCTGAACGATGCCCGCACCCTGGCCAGTCCAAACATTGTGATCCTCTTGGTGGGCAACAAGAAGGATTTGGAGGAGGCGCGGGATGTGACCTTCCTGGAGGCCAGCACCTTTGCCCAAGAGAATGGTGCGTTATCTGGGTCTATCTCTATTATCTCACTATTTACTGCCTTTGTAGAGCTTATCTTCCTGGAGACAAGCGCCAAGACGGGCGAGAATGTAGAGGAGGCTTTTCTCAAATGCTCCAAGACCATCCTGGCCAAGATCGAGACCGGTGAGCTGGACCCCGAGCGCATCGGCAGTGGCATCCAGTACGGCGGAGCCGCCCTGCGCAACTTGCAGACGCGACAGCGCAGCATCAACAAACCGGATTGCACCTGTCGCGTTTGAACAGCACGATTTGTGCCCTATGAATAAGCGAGCAAATTAATCTCTATTTTATCTCAACCCGGAATGCGCATTCGCATTCCCCCTTAGTTGTATTCTATTTTACTTCTGTGTGTGTGTCCACTTTGTTTTAGTTCGTATTTCGTCTTGCTAGATTAATCATTCCAAATGTAGGCATAACGCTCTTCGGTTTGTTTTAACATAATAACCAAGATTTCGGGCCTTCCCCCCCTTTAAAAATGTTACTTACTATAATTTGTAATTCGTGAAGCACTGGAAGCCCTCGAACAACGAATAATGAATGGCTGAAATGGGCTTATTTGGATCGTATCCGGAGGGTGAGGAGAATGCACTCGGCATTTTTAATGTAAATAAGTGGCGTTCCGTCGTCGACGACGTCGCCGATTGTAAATCTAACTCAAGCATATGCACGCGGTAAATAAAAACGCAAAACCATAGAAATTGTTTAGTACAATTTATTAATAACACCTAGGGTATAAAAATATTTGATTTGGAGTACTATCAGATCGTGCTTTTGACAAAAAACAATTACAAATATTTGGAATTTTCAAGTAGCAGCAGTTAGAACTTGTAGTTTTAAAAAGCTTACTCGCGAGGCCTTATTACAATTTTGGAAATATTTTTTTTTTATCTGGGGGATGGCAAAGGAATCTCTGAGAATGGAACCTAAATTTCCCATCAAAAGATTTCTTTGCCGTCTTCGTTTTTGTTAAAAAGATTTTAAAATTTAGAATGTTTAAACTACATGCAAAATTAATATTTTTATGGACAATATAAAAAATATTAAAATACAAAATTCGTATGATATTGTTCATAAAAGCAGTTCTTTCCGTTTTGTACTTAAAAAGGATTTTTTCGAAGCCAGATAACGAGTGCAATGCAGTTTCGAAAAAATCCTTTGAAAGTAGAAGGGAAAACGATGCCTAAGCATCACATTTACTCAACTTCTGGAGCGCATGCTTGGCAGCCGCCAACTTGGCCTGGTTCTTGTTGCTCCCAAATCCGTACACCTTGATGGACTTCTCCATGCAGGTGAACTGACAGCTGACCATCACCTTGTCCTGGTCCACGATGGGCGAGCTGAAGACGGGATTGGCGAGCTTGTGCTCGGTGAGCTGGCGGATGGGATTGATGGGCACGTTGCGCGTGAACTCCTGAAGCTCCGGCTCGAAGAGATTGAAGATCACCTCCCAGGTGCGCTGCAGATCGCGGCAGTCCAGGTAGATGGCTGCTATCAGAGCCTCCAGCACATCTCCCAATGCCTTGGGCACATCCACATTCGTCGACATGTTGAAGTCGCCCTTCGGCGGAGCATCTTGCTTACCGTCCTGCGAAATGGCATTCAGTGCCTCCTTCAACTCCACCATCTCCAGTTCGTCATCCAAGTCCAGCGTAGTCGGCTGAACGTCGGCTTCCTCGAGCAGGATGCGCACATGGTTGGTCACCCTGTGCCCCTGACTCTCCTGGAACTGCACGAACTTGGCAATGGACTCGGAGAGCATCGAGTTCTCCGCCAGGATGAAGAAGTGCAGCCGGTGGCGCACACAAATGCAGGCCAAAGTCGTATTGTTGACCAGAGCGGATCGCAGATCGGTGAGGGCGCCTGGATTCATTTTGGTGTTGTTCTCGAAAATATAGGCCGAAATGAGGAAGTCCAGGATGGCATCGCCAATGAACTCCAGCTCCTGGTAGCAGCCAGTGATGCGATTGGTGGGATACGAGGGATGGGTGAGCGCCTGCAGCAGATAGCCGCGATCTTTGAACGTGTAGCCCAGGTTCTGCTCCAGATGCGAGTGATTGATGAGGAAGCCGTCGATCTCCGAGGTATTCGCACGCATCTTATCCCCGCCCAATTTGAGATCCAGCAATTGAGTCAGAGGCTTTCCAATGTCCGCTCGGCAAATGTTAAAGTACTCCAGCATCCGGAAGGCATGCTGCAGTCCGTAGTTCTTCACGATCACCCCGAGCAGCGCCTCCAGGGTATCGGCCACCACCTTGTCCCCAATCTTGGCCAGACCCACGCAGAAGTTTACCTCGGCGGAGAAGTCGGAGCCAGCGTGATGGGAGTGCTTGTTCGACTGACAGCCCTCCACGAAGCTGCGAAAGTTGAGGTCGCTGCAGTTGCTCTTGATCAGCGACTCCTCCTCGCCGAGCGCCAAATCCCGCAGATTGTGCGGACCCACCAGCTCCGCCAGCTCGGGCTTCTCCTTCCACAGAGCGAGCACATTGTGGGGCAAACTAACGCTGGGAGGGATCCAAGTGTACCTAGGGGTAAACAGAACAGTGCTAATCTTCCTCGGAATGTCCGTGTCGCTGAGGCAGTACAAAAGATTCCTATTCGACACCAGCTTGGACTTGACCTGCGTGAGGGTGCCTTCGTTCCAATCGGGATACTTGTTGGCCAGGTAGAGCGTGGCACTCAGCTTGAGGAAGGAGTCGCCCAGCATTTCTAGGCGCTCCATATCGTAGACATCCGCACTGCCCGAGGAGGTGATGGCAGCCAGGAACTCTCCCTGCTCAGCGGGCGTAATGTGCTGCCTGGACACCGTTCTCTGCAGGATGGGCAGTGGGTTAACTGCCCCGGGAAAAGCCTTGCCCGCGGGCATTAGAGCTGGCAGTGGTTCCCTACTCTTAGCAGGAGTTCTGCTGCCGTATATATTACCCTTGGGCATATTGAACTGCGTCTCGGCCCAGTACTCCTTGTCCTCGTACTCCATCTTGTCCAGCTGCGCCACCTGGCCCATGGTGAACTTGTAGTAGTAGTCCAGCTCCACTGGATAGGCGCCCATGATCTTGCGCGACAGATCCACCGGCTCCATGTACTGCTGCCAGGGATTCTCAAAGTCATCGATGTGCAGATTGGCCACCGCCGTCTCGAGGGTCTTGGTGGGCATGGGTTCTAGCAGGGAGCGCGGCTCCTCGACATCCTCCGTGGGCATGGCATTGCCCAGCGGGTCGACATTCCTCTTCAGCGACCAGTCGATTTCCAGTGGTTTGGGTTTATAGTCCGCTCCATTCCGGGGGAGATTCTCCAGTCCCAAGTACGCATTGAATCGCTTTCGCAGGGACTCTGCGTGGAGCAGGAAGTGCAGGCGTCGCAGAATGCTGGGCAGGAAGATCAGCTTGAGCCAGAGATCACCAGGGAAGCAGAAATTGAAGCACAGCTCGGGAATCAGCATCACCTTGGCCCTCGCCTTACTTTGAGCGGAGGATCTGCCCCTTTGTTGGACGTAGAAGTTGAGCTGCTCCGTGAGCTCCCGCACCTCGATCAGGAACTGATCCCTGTGCACCACGTCGCCGATGTGGTTGCTGTACTTGGACATCGTGAACTCGTAGTACGACTTGTCCTGGTGGTTCTTCTCCATCCGGCTGAACGGAGTGAGCTCCCGGTGCACCTTGGTGACCAGCATGCGCTTCTCCTCGTAGTTGGCATACCACTGGGTCACGATGGTGCCCTCAAAGTCCTCGGGACGTGGAGCAGCCTGCTGCTTGCGCTGCGGGACACTTGATTTCTGGACCTGCGGCAATCTCTGGAACCTGCTCACCAGTGGCCAGTCAATGCCCTTCCGCTGATCCTCGCGCAGGGTGAGGGGAACTACCAAGTAGGAGTTCTCCTTGCTGCGACGATCCAGGACGAAGAACGGCTGCCAGATCTTCAGGAGGTCGCGGAACACCATGCCGTGGAACTGATGCAGCAGCTCCAGTTGCTCGGCGTTCTGTAGAGTCACTTCCAGGGGCTCCTCCGCCACACGGACATGCAGTTTGCCCTGGTTACTGAACAGCGGCATCTCCGCCAGGCGGGGAAGCTTGTGCCGCAGCAAGAGAGCAAAGTTCCTGGGCGTCTGGAGGCTTGTGTACATGTGGTCCGTGTACTCGCACTGCTCGAACTGCGGCTCCAGGAAGATCTCGTAGGCATAGCAGACCTCACCCACCCGAGGACGTGCGTCGTAGAACTCCGCTGGGCAGTCGGTCTTGTAGGTGCGCACCTTGTTCTCCGCATCCTTGCGAACGGCAGCAGTAACTGAAGGTGAAATATATTAGAGTAGGCAAACAGATCTAGGGAAGAGTACCCACCATCATCGCCGTACTTCTTCCAGTGCTCGAAGTGAACGTCCGCAATAGTGGCCACCCGCTCCTTCAGCGTTATGGGTAGGAATCTCTCGTTCAGCTCTCCCATGTCGTAGAGCAGCTTGCATGTCTTGAAGGCAGCCGATATCTTGGCGGATTTGACGCAGTCCATGGGATCGCTCTGCCATTAAAAGCATAATCATAATCATTATCTCCTAAATCCACCGGCAACTTACGTAAATGGTGTCCTTTAACCTGGAATTCAGTGGCAGATTCACGGAGATAACCTGCTTACCCCTCGCAGAATCACCGAAGCGTTGCTTCCGCGCATTTTCATCCAGCAAATTGAGCCAGGGAATCACAAATCCAAAGGCATCCGAGGGCATCGTCTGGCAATAGCGATGCAGCAGGATGAGGGCGCTGCTGGGCAGCAAAACGGCTCCGTGCTTATTGATATAGGGCGGTATGATGTCCTGGAAGTGCTCCTTGATCTCGTACATTTCCGGCTCAGTTCGCTCCAGCACTCGATCCTTCAGATAGGCAGCGATCTCGGCGTGGGCCTCGCGATACTGGCAGATCTGCTGGGATATCTTGTTCCTGTCCACATCCGAGGAGAACAGCACGAAGCTGGCATCCTTGGAACGAGCACGACCCTTGGTCTGCACGTACATGTTGAAGGTCTTGAGCGGATCCAGAATCAAGACATAATTGCAGGCCTGCACATCGATGCCTTCTTCGAGGACGCTGGAGCAGACCATCAGATTGGCGTCTCCCTCGCGGAACTGCTGAATGGCCTGTACGAGGTTGTTTAGAAAAGTTATACAAGCAAATTAATCTCACAACCTACCGATTTCAGCCACTTTCGCTCCAGGATGCTTTCAAAGTCCGGCGAGATGCTGTTGCGACCCACCATAAACTGGGGAGTCAGCACATTCCGCAGCTCCGGTGTGGACTCAATGAAGTTTAAAAGCAGTCCGTAGATACACTTGCAGGTGTATCTACGTTCTACGAACACCAGACAGCAGATATCTTTGGGATCCTTGTAGGCGAAGGTCTTCTTGAGATACTGCAGAAATTGCTGCACCTTCGGGGTGGAGAAATTCATGATGGTCTCCTCGGTGTTCGCCTTGTCATCCAGATCCTCATCGTCGTCCACCAGGTCCCGCAGCTTCTGCACCAGCGCATGACGGATGCTTTCGCACAACGAAATGGCCGTGCGGTGCATTAGCTTCAGACTCAGCGTCTCCGCCTGGCGCCTCTTCACCTCGAACTCCACAATCAGCGAGACAATGGCTATGGAGGCCGCGTAGATGCCGTAGTTCTCCAGCTGGAACAGGAAGTCGTTGAAGAGCTGCTTCACCGTGCCCTTCTTCTGCGGATCCCGCTGGCTCTGCAACGACTTGGACCTCCGCACCGGTTGAGTGCCAATGTCCATGAGGTCCAGGGACGCAAAGAACTTCTGGATCTGTGCCTGTATCGACTGGATGACCATAAACGACTGGGTCTGACTGGGATACGTGAGCAGGTACTCCTTCGGCTTGGTGGAGTAGCTGAAAAGTAATCAAAATATAAGAGATTCTGTGAGGAGAAGATGATCATCTCTTACAGCATCACATTTTCCAACTCCTTGGTGTCGGACACGGTAATGATGTTTCCCCGATACGTGGTCTCCAGCTCCTTGAGCTTCTTGGCCACCTGCTTGATCTCATTACCCTTGATCAGGACTCCGGTGAGGCCAACGACGCGAGGGAGCGCCATATTTCGGTCAACGCAGAGGAACAGCCGCATGAACTCATGGAATGGGTGGTGACCTGTGCCGTGGTGGCACTCGTCTATGATCACGATGCTAATAGAGCTCAGATCCATGTGCCGCTGGGTGAACAAGTCCAAGACCACCTGGGCTGTGCCCACAAGAACCTAGGGGAATATCGAGAATTATAGTACAATTTTTGCTATTCAGAAATGAAATAAATAAATTTATAGGAATTTTAAGAATTACGAATTTTATTTATTACCAGATGGAGATATAAAACTTTGATCGGGCATAACTTTTTAACGAATGGTCCGATTTAAAAAATTTCTTCTACATTTCGATAGGTTTAAATAAACGGAACAAAATTGCACACATACTTCCCTGAAATCTTTAAAAATGTGGATTTTAAAATGTGTCTAATAATACAAAATATTCTTCAGTAGATATAAATCCGGTCTAGAGTACAAAATTATATTTCTATATTATTTCCATTCAATTTATCTCCGACTTCCGGTAAACAGTAAATTCTGCGATCCGCCATATTCGAGTTTTTTATTCATCTTTAATGAACTATTTTAACCCAATAGAATAAGGGTAGTTGAAATTGAAACAAAGAAAAAATGCATTACAGATTAAACATAAATCATGAAAAATATTATTGGGTAACTAAAGATCATATTGGAAAAGTTAAAGTCTTAAATGTAAACAAAATGTAATAGATCTGCATTATGATGACTAAGTAAAACTCGACTTTTGGGAAATAAAAATGCTGATCCTAAATTTTCGGCACTCTAAATTCAAGTGGTATATGCATGTATAAGTGCTTCGTACGTGATCATAAGTGGAAATGCGAACACAGGGACACGTCATGCCCCCCACCCCACTCGGCCCCCCACGATATGTACTCACTTGGTGATCTCGAATTTCATCACTCCACTGGCCGCGCGTCCAGTCGTCCACGCCCTGCTCGCCCACATAGAAGCCGACTTTAAAGTTTGTGTACTTTTTGACGGCCACAGCTTGTTGACGGGCCAACTCCACGGTATTGCAAATAAACACGGCACGTTTTCCACCATTTTCAAGGGGTCTGGGAATGCAATTATATATTATGTCTAGGCCTAATTTCCCCTGGAAACTCACTTGTCCATGTCCTGCGAAAAGCGCTTGAGGGCCAGGATGGCCACGTAGGTTTTCCCAGAGCCTGTGGGCAAGTAAATGATGCCATTGTGCTTGGAAATATAATCAACAAGCCGCAGTTGGTAGTCGCGAGCCTGTTTACAGGAACTTTAGGTTATATGTATATTCAGGACCAAGGATCTCACCTTTATTTCCGTAGCCTCCAAACTTTTATCTGTCATGGTTTATCACAAAATCTCTTTGATCCTTTCTTGTCGCCTGCAAAAAATAGTCTGATGCGTTGCCCTGAAAATCTTTTCTCAAACTGACGTCTTGGCCGATTTTGCTGACGTGGCGAGATCGAATTGGATTCCTTATCACTCAGATGTTTGGGCCGCGACCCGCAATTCTTGGGATTCACCGGTTTTTGTTTTGGTTTATCGGACGCTGGTTTTACCTTTGCGCGTGAGTGACACCCAACCGCGCCCCAAATTGGCTTGCCAAAATTCGCTGTCTTGCTTTTCACGACACTGGCTAGGAAACCCAGTTCTCTGTAGTCTCTATTCAGGAAGTTATACTTCTTAAATGAAAACTAAAGAAAATTGCGAAAGGAAAGTGTCAAACACAAAGAAAAAACAGGCCGGCAATAGAGTGGCCGGCGATTCTGGATTCCTTCCTTGAGGCTTACGCCTCAAGAATTATGTTTCCGCAACGCACTGGTCACACTGAGCAGGGCGGGAAAACATTAGGGTGTTCGGTTTTGCATTCTTATCAATTTAATCTTTGATGAAACGAATTACGAAACGAACTTAACTTAACTAAATTTTAATTCGTTTTTATAAAGTATTTTGGTATTCTTAAATTGCACAATTCGCTTCTTAGCGCCTTTCGGCGAGTTTGAGTTCTGCGCCAAAGATTTTCGTCCTCCTGTCGTAGGTGAGGTAGACTTCCTATCTAGAACATCCAACTCCTGCTTTGTTTTGAACGTCGTCTAGGATAGAAAAAACATTATAGTGTGACAAAAAATTAAGGAATTAATTAAGGAAATTAAAGCTGCTCATATAGAGATAGTAAAGGGATCTGGTTATGCCCACTTTTTGTAAAATCGCAAATTACTTACTGCTCCTTTATGAGTTTTAGAGTGCTAGGCTTCAAAATAAACAACACGAGTATGACAATTCCTCGGCACCAATAATAATAATCAGTAACCAAAAAAGTGTTGAACCAAAATTTGTTGTGTCCCCCAAAATATGGGATAATATCAAAGATTCTCGCCACACCCATGATGACGAAGAGTCGCAGGAACAACGTAATCCTGTTGAAGGATTTTGAAAGGTATTTAATCAATAAAAATATATATCTAAGTGTTTGCATTATAATTACGTCAGATTGTTTGAGTTCTTCATGGCGACGCTCTTGACTTTGTTCTTTACTTTCGTTATATGAATAACCGTCAGGATAAACATGATTATGTTAAAACCAATCAAGAGTAGAATAGGTCCAAACAAGTATATCAAGACAGTATTATCTCCAGCTGTGGGTGGAAAGAGATAGAGCATGAAGACCTATCAACTTAATTGCAAATTAATATCGAAACCCACTGTAGATATAACATTGTGCGAAACCCACACGAGGTGCCCTATCCTCTTCTATGACGTTGTCAGCTAGGATGGTGACACTTGTCATGGCCAGTGACAATCCCCAAGCGTAACTGTTGTAGCCAAGAAACCGATGAGTTGGCAGAAAACGGTGCAACGCGTCAGGGGGAAGGGCTATAGTTGTCCATAGGTGAAAACTAATGACAGAAAGCCAAAAGTATACGGCCATGGTGAAGAAGTAGCCGAGGAATCCTACAGATAAAGAGTGTTGTTACTTTTCATATGCTTTGGATATAGTCGATAGAAGAAAACCTGCTGTAGTGCAGGAGCTCGATGGTAAATCCCACACTTCCCACACTTTAAGAAGCTCAAATATGTATTCCATGAAGAGGGCGACCATGTAGCACATAAAGCACTTTCCGAACAAGTTCTGTAGCTTCCTGACGTATAAGTACACGCTGATCGTAAAAACCATACATATCAATGATATTGACATCACTGTGGAAAGAGAAAGGCTTTCAAAGTCAAGGATCGCTTAACCTTTGATCAAATGTCACCTTACCAAATGTCTGCCACCGTGGCGAGATTTCAAATTCAAGTGGACAAAAGTGGGGAGCCATTCGAATACCATCACCCTCGAAGTCAAAGTGCTGTACGCAGTATTCCCGCTTGTCCAAGAAAACCCCGTCCCAGTGTCTCAAAAAGGTTCCATTCTAAGAAAGAGCGAAGGCGGTTAAACTTTTTTAGCTTTAGCGACTGCAGAGGCAAGTCCACCTCAAATAGTGTAAAGCCGTTGCCAGGCAGAGTATGATCTATCCAGTGCATCTTCTCCTCCCCACAGGGCATGGGCAGATCCGATTGCACTATAAGATCCTCCCTAAAGTGTCTCTTGGCTACTGTTCCGTTGCTGAGGGTCACGTTCACGTAAGGATCGTGATTGTCCTTTTCAAACTGCGACATTTCATCACTGCATACGCTGTCATTTATTTTATGATACTGAGAGCAACAAAATCTGATGCAAGGCTTCAGTTTGCAGACACATCCTCTCACGTGGCTCGGCACGTCCTCCTTGGAGCCATTAGGCAAAAGCTTGAAGCTATATTCACCCACCAATTTGGCGGGAATGAGTAAGCCATCGTGAAGGTATGAACCGTTTGGTAACTTTTGACCTGTTGAAATGTCAACAGTGTCGTAGAAGTCGCAATTTCTAATCTCCGCTTTTGTTAGTTGCGTCATGAGCAAAATAACAGTGACGAACGATCCAAGTATGCGCATTTTCCAAGAAAAAATTTACTTTTCTTAAAACAGAATTTTAAAAAGTGATTTTTAGAGGTCCTCTTAATCTTCTGGATTGAACTTTTGATTCTTAGCGATTCTTAACTTTAATCAAAGGTAAATTTTTCTCTACAATTAAAAATTTTATTTTTAACACAAGGATAACTAATAAATAAAAACGCAACTATGTGGGTCCGACAACGGTTCCGTAATGACTACAACTCTTTCAGAGTTAGCTAAAAACAAAATTTAAAATATTATCCATTACGCACGTCTTTACGTCAAACTTCGCCTTTATCAATGAATCCTGCATTATGGAGAAAACACACGAGATTCTTAATGCCTGTGCAGATTTCCTATTTAAATTATAATCATTGCTATGGAATTTGTCCAAGCAATACTAATGAAATTGATTATATCTTATCAAATGATTTATCTGTGCTGTACGTTCTTGGAATAAGCTACCACATCCAATAAAAACCATTAAATCTGCCACGCAAATTCAAAGCAAAATTATACACACATTTTTCAAACTAGTAATTAATTTTAAAAAAAACTTTAGTCTTTAAGAAATCAATGTTTGTAATGTCATTATTTATTTATGTTCATGAATCTGACAAATTGTGATTTAATTGTAATTTATAAGTATTTTTTTTGTACTTGTAGCGTTAGGAAGAAATAAAACCAAAATTAAATTAAATTAAATGATTGCATTTCTAGCTTATCAATGTTCTCAATCAAGGAAAATCGAATTGAAAACTAATAAATATTTATATAATTTTTTTCAAAAATGGTCACTTTATTGATTATAATCGTCACAATCTTACACATAACTTTTCCTTATTTGGCTTAAAGAGAACATGAAAAAGGTATCCTTAGGGCTAAGATCTCCTCACTGGAACTTCGGCTTCCTCACGTCTCGCTCCTGTTCTCGCTCTTGTCCACCTTTCCGCCGGACAGCATGTGCTGGATCTCGATTATCGTCTTGCCCTTCGTCTCCGGGACGAAGAACAGCGAGTAGAGGAAGGCGAGCACCGCGATCACGGTGAAGATCCAGAAGGTGGGGCCCGGCCCAATGGACTCCTTGAGGATCGGGAAGAGCAGCGTGACCATGAAGGCCGACAGCCAGTTGCTGGTACCGGCAATCGATCCCGCCACGCTCTTCACGTCCTCCGAGAAGAGCTCCGCCATGACCAGCCAGGGCACCGGCCCGAATCCGATCGAGAAGAAGACCATGAAGACGCAGATGCTGGTGATGGGCAGCCAGCCGTAGTTGTCCATGGAGCCCGGATTGCTCTCGCTCAGCTGAAAGTAGACGCCCATCAGCGCGGTGGTCACGGCCATCAGGATGCCGGAGATCAGGAGCAGGATCCGGCGACCGGCCTTATCGATGATCACTACGGCCACAAATGTGCTGGCCACCTGGACGACTCCGATGATGATCGAGGCTTCGGTGCCAGTCAAGCCCGAGCCCGTGTCCTCGAAAATGGAGGCGGAGTAGAAGAGGATGGCGTTGATACCCGTCCACTGCTGGAAGACCTGCAGGAGCACGGCGATGAGGAGGCCCTTCAAAACGATGGGCCGACCGAGGGCAGAAAAAATGTTGACCTGCAATTGAAAAAACACGGAAACCCAGGTTAGTTATAGCCCATATCTTTTTATTATCTTTAGGTTTTAAGATTGCATAAGCCTAACCAAATCAATGTATTTATTAGCAATGATAAGTAGTATCTCTCAAATATATACAATACTAATCGAACCGATTAAGGTAACCGGAAACGTATTTTTATTAGCCCTAATCAAACTGTCAAAACAACGAAAAACCTGTAATCAAACTATTCACTTGCCCTGTAATCTAGGTCATTTTGAGCTTTGAACAATAAAAGTATTAGAAAGATTCGTAACCGTATATCGGTTGTAATGAGTATTTTATATTTAAACAAAAATTTGATTTTTAAATATCAATATAGAAAATAACAACTATTCTAAAGTTCTAAACAAGGAACAAAAAAAAGTTATGTAAAAACCTTGTTATAAAAATGTCTAAGTACTAAATATTATACATACACAAAAAAACTTGATATGGCCATGTAAATTTCAGGTCATGCAAAACCCAGGTCGTTTTTATATGAAATACCCTTTTCGACCAGGTCAAATTTACCTGATGCCAGGTCAAATTAAAAATGATCTTAAATAAGGTAAAATTGACCTACTATTCCTATCGATTTTTTTTTGTAGGTGTACATATGTAAAACCAAAGAAAAACCGAAATTTCTATAGACCTATTTACAATGTCTATATTTTTATATGTATAAAAAATATACATTATCTATAAATCTATGGAATTTTCTTTGTTTTTTCTTTTAGCTTAGTACTTCAACCCCAATCAGTTTAGAATTTTTCTCAAGTGGCTACGAACCTTGGGCGCATCTGTCTGCTTCTGGGACTCCTCCAGGATCTCCTTGAGCTCGTCATCGATGTCGGTGCCCTTGCCACGCAGCCATTGCAGCGCCTTGGCGGCATCCTCGTTGCGACCCTTCATGGCCAGGTAGACGGGGGACTCGGGCATGAAGAAGTGGACGGTGAAGAAGATCAGGGGCAGGATGGCGCACAGGATGTTGATGGTGAGCAGGGGCAGGTAGCCGCCCACAAGGTAACCATAGAGCACGCCCGACACGATCAGCAGCTGAAAGAAGGCGCCAATGGTTCCTCTCAAAGCCGTCGTGGAAATTTCCGTACAATACATGGGAGCCGTAACGCAAAAGGCTCCGCCGCAGGCGCCCAGGATGAAGCGACCGAAGTACAGCATGGTCACGTTATTGGCGAACAGAATCAGCACCCAACCGACCATATAGGGCGGGATCAGAGCCAACATAGTGGGTCTGCGGCCGATCCAATCGATGGCGAAGCCAATGGGAATGCAGACCACCGTGGCGCCCAAAGTCAGGAGCGAGGATACCCAGCCGAACTGACTCGAGCTGATGGGAAATCCGTAGTCCCCATCCACCGTTAGCATTTTCTCAACCGGCGAGGACCAACCGATGGAGGCGCCCATGCAAAGGGCTCCGAAGCTGGCCGACAAGCCGGCAATATATTGCGGCAATACCGATCCCTTCGACATGATGATTGATGATTCTTTTGGGTTTCGAATTCTTCTACCACCAGGTGCACTCTTCCCGATCGCCGGGAATGAACTGAATTCGCCACGCGACCGTTATTCCGCTGGAAAAATCGCTTTCCATGCGATAACTAAGGCAGCGACGCCGACCGAGAAGTCAAGCACTGCAAGTCATAGTCGTAAATCAGTTCCCTATAGTTTCCCCCGCGCCAGGTGATGGACGGATGATGATAGGAGGCACAGCACAGCGTCATCGAAAGCGCCCAAAATCAGTTGAAAGCCGAAGCAGCTAATTAAACGCCCGCCTCCGCCAACAACACATGTCGTTATAAGAGCAATCGAGTGCTTCTATAACGATTCCCATTCCATTCCCCGATTACTGCCCTGCGGCGAAGTATGTCTACTAGCCCTTCGGTTTGGGAATTGTTCTGGAATTTCGGGGGCTTCAAGTGGTCCAGGGAGTCCCCCCGAAAAAAGAGAAGAATTCTGCCCCATCATCTTTAATTTGTGGGAATGTGAATTGATTTGGAGAACTACGAAAATTACCACAATTACCTCTTTAATTACTCTGAAGCGTAGTTATGTTTGAGATTTATTTGTTATTATTTTATAGTTTGTAATACGCACTAAAAAGTAGATAAACAGGATGGTGTGAGAAAAGGTTACCACTTTTATGAATAAGTTATCTTATGATCAAGTTATAAAAATCATGTTAACATTGTGTTCTACTAACTGTTTTCTACCTTTACGTATGCAAAAATATACAGAAGTTAGTTGTTATTGCTTATTAATTTATTGAAATTTGCCTAAGCATTCTCTATTAATTTTCTATGAGGTGTAAAAAACCGTGTTTGAGTGTCATATTTATTTAAGCTTTTAAGGGGCTTGGGGCAAGTATTACCCGTTGGAATCTTAAAATTGATTTATTTATTTGAATTATGGAAAAGTTAATGAGATATTTAATTTCAAATATTTCTGTTCTTGATACTTAATATGTTATCATATCATATCGTCATATGTTATACATATGTTAGCAATTTGATATTCTATCCCTAATTATCCTATTTTTGAGTACTCATATCTCTTCCCATTAAGTGTACCCTATCTTCGGCTTGATTTACTCCAAACATTTCCGGTATTTTGTTATTTACGGCACAATTGATTCGTCGCTGCCGTGTGAAAAGCAGATAATAACGGAGACAGAGCCCAGAAAATAATTGAATGAGCGTAAATCGCCGGGAGTGCATCTAATCTTTGTCGCAGCCCAGCCAACATCGCATCGCATCACGCCGAAAACACATGTAGAGAAATTTCCTATTGGATCGATCCGGATTGGACCCCAAGTGTGACAAAATCGCCAAATACCCGAGGCACTCACTCAAATCGCAACGGTCACCTGGCGGTCAAGCGGCGCTATCGGTTATCAGCGAATGTGGATGGCCCAGGAGTCCTCGATTCCGATGGGACGGAAGGGGGATGTGTGGATTGGCGGGCTTGGCCGCAGATAAGCGATTACCGCCGTGTGATAGGTGATAATATGCGACAGAGTAACCCGTTTTCAAGTAGCCCTCTCGCTCCTTGTGGGTCTTTTGGCCCACTTGCAATGCATGTCAGTGCTCATGTAATGGCCTTATCAATGGCCACCCCACACCAAGTGCTCTTGGCCTGCAATCGAATTGTTTTCGCCAGATAATGGACATGGGAATAGCCATCCGAATGCATTTCAAGTATCCCCTGGAGCCGCATCATAGTTATTTCCTGATGATTTACAGTGGTAAACACTTATCGAAGGGATTCGAGTGTGTTTTGTTTGGTTGAATACAAGTCTTTATTACGTCGTTAAAGGGCGCGCTTAGTCACATCCATCCGGAGGAGCATCGGTTGCCTTGTTTGCTTGCCCCCGGTTATATAACATTGGGATTAACTGGATTGGTGGTACATTATCTACTTCTTCTTGCCCTCCGCCTCCTCCATGGCCCGCATCATTTTGGCGTCGTGCTGGGCATGGTGCTCCCGTATCGCCCGCTGCAGCTCCTCGTGGTGGCTCTTGCTCTCCGGCGGATAGAGCTCCCGCTTCTTCTTGGTCACCCACTCCTCGAAATATTCCGGCTGGTTGAACAGGTGGAACAGCGTCACGGGGAAGGCCATGTACATGCCCATCTTGGCCACCTCCAGCACCCAGGTTCCCATTTTGCAGGTATTGATTACTTTTTGTGCTTGAAAATCGAAATAAAATGCAATTTACGGCGGAAAATGTTTTCCTCAAAAGTATCAACAAAAAACAGCTGTGACGGAAAAAAAGCCAGTGTTGCGTAGCGTTCGATCTGTGTTGTATAACGTTACTCTCGGCTTGGGACAATTGTCCTAAAAACGGTTTTGGGACATTTTTAAAATTTGAAAGATGATTTTATTTAATTATTTGTATTATTATGTAGGTATTTGTTAAATCATATTTCCCTAAACAACAACATTTTTTAAAATATACTCACTTTAAAAAATATTCCTTCCTTTCACCTCAAAGTTGCACAATATTATACTTAAGCACATAACATTTCCTTTCCAACGATTCCACCATCCTATCGCAAGCACTTAAACAAGTATTATTCAACTACTTTATCAGTTTGATTACTCAGCAACCCCCCACAAAGCTTCTAACCCATTTACAACCGTTAATCCTTTCAATAAACCACCGCTTACTTTCCGATTATATATAATTATATATGTATATTTTTTTAATTGTTCGAGGCATGCATTTAAAATGTAAGATCTTAGACTAAAACTTTTAGAACGCGGCCAATTAAAAACGAGAGAACGTGTCATACCGAAAACATTTTTTCACGGAAGCCATCTTATTTTTTCTTTTAACATTTTCGACGAGAGATGATTTTTTAAAACCGTACAACGGTTTTAACGTTAGATTATGAAAATACCTAGGGGGCTATTAAATGAAACTTAAAGCTAGAGGGCCGTTTCGCCCGGATACTCCTCGGGAGAAGTAATCAGCAGCTTTTTGGTGCGCGAGTGCTCCTCCTGGAGGTTCTCCATGTTCTCCTTGTTATCCGCATCCAGGTCGGCGATTAAATTCGTTTTCAGGGGCGTTCCCGCCGATCGCTTTCGACCGTTGCTGCTGCCAAAGGGCGAGGCCAAGGTGGGCTCATTCCCGTCCAGGCAGTAGAGCAGACTGGGACTCAGATCCGACTCGTCCAAGTCGTCGATGTCCTGCGTGGTACTGGCTCCCCCAAAATCATCCGAGCGACTGGCGAACGACAAGTCTGTGGGACTGGCGGTAAGCACACTGCGTGTTAGCAAATATTCCCTGGTAAATAAATAATATAAATAAAAATCCCTTGATCTCTACTCCGATCTGCACTCACTTGAAATCACTGGACAAGGCATTCGATGGCTTTGAGTCTTCGTTGCTGGTGCTGCTGCTCGTGGTCCGCTGTCTGGAGTTAAATAAAGCGAAGCTCTGCTGCTGCCCCAGGATATCAGCATATCCTCCCAGGGAAGTCGCATCCTCGCTGTGCAGCGTAGGTGGCTCCCGCTGCTTGGTAGGCGTGCCGCCAATCGAATCCTGCTCCTCTTGCTCGGCAAAGCTCAAGTTCAGCTGCTTGTCGCCATTGCCAGCCAAGGCGGTCAGTAGCATCACGGGTTTTCGGGAGCGGGGAGTCATAATGGATTCCTAGAAAGGCAAACAAAGTGTTATAATTATTGGGAAAGGAAGGGAGTACTTAATTTTGAATAGGGAGATAGGAGATAGCATTGATTACGCTTGGTCTTATCATGTAAACAATAAGTTTTTCGCACCTGCATCGCCTTGGGCATGCGCTGCGTGGACTTGGTGATGGGCGACATGGAACGCCGACCCATGTGGAGAGCCGGTGTGCTCGTGATGAGATCCATGTTGCGGTACACGCTGCTCTGCAGGATCTGCTGGTAGCCCAGGTTCAGGGCTGGCAGTTCGTTGGAGCTGCCATTGTTTTCTGATAGCGTATCGTCGTCGTCTTCTTCCTGCTCATCATCCACCTCCTCTTCATCGCTGTCATCCACATCCTCTAGCAGTGGGGCATCTGCTGCCCTCTGCTTGCCCTCCTCGCCACTGGGACGCCTTCGCAGCGTGGCCGAAACACTGCGCACCAGCCGTTTGGTCGTCTCCGGCGTGCTGAACGGGAATCTCAGGTTGCCCATGCTGACGCCCTTCATCAGTTTGCGAGTTATGGACCGTCCCATGTGGTGGCTGCTGGCTGTCATGGTGCTGCGCCCCTCCACAATGGGCGTTAGTGCGCCGTCGTCCTCTTCCTCGGCGTCCACCTGCGGCAGGATACTCGAGAGATTAGGCTCGGACTTGTAGCGCGAAGATTGCTGGACTGGCGTGGAGGGATTCGAGTACTCCTCCACCTCTAAAAGTCGATGCTCGTCCCAGGCCACGCTCTTCTTGTCGATCAGCTGCTTGGCAACCACTGACATGATCTTCAGCGGCGTCACACAGCAGTCGGCATCGATCTCGTCCTGGTCTTGGCCAGGAACAGCAGGCGACTCCTTCGACTGCTGGCGACTCACTGGCGCCGAGATGCTGCCGCTGGCCGCACAGCTGGAGCTGCTGTCCGAGGAAGAGGTCTCTATTTTAAGGGAGGCGGATGAGATGGATTTCTGAAGCTGATGCCGGGGATTAGTGGCCAGGGTGACGCTGGTGATGGTCGATGAGGTGGGTGTGGGTGGCGTGGGACTCTGGAAAAGCACCCGCATCTTGGGCGGTTTCACATGCGACATGTTGGGCGTCTAGACGATGACCATGCAATGGATGAGAAGACATGCGGTTAGTCAACAGACACAAGAGTATGAAGTAGTAGTAGACGACTCACCTCGGGTCCTCCAGCCAAGTGGAAACTAGGAGGCACTCTCTTTGGCGTGCGCGACATGAGACTCTTGTGGAAGATGTGCTTCTTAATGGAATCGCCCAGGGATTTGGCACTTCGAGTGGCCTCGTTGTTCTTCAGACGATTCATCACCACCAGCTGCAACGGTGTGCCTGATCAAATGAGATTGAAAATGGTTTAATATTCAGCTAAACTTTCCTTTAAAGTAATGAGTATGTTTGCAGGTGAATGTGTGTTTTAAGATGTATATTATATAAGTGCAAAAAACTTAAACATTCTCTATAGTTTTCTTACTTTACTTAGTTTATGTAATTGATAGTTTAATTTAGCTTGTAAATTTGTAGAAAACCCTGTTTAAAATAATGAAGAATTGAATTTTTTAGCTTAAGGCCCCGTAGTTTAAGTTCGTCTGTAAATTTTACATTATAGTCGAACACTTTATAATAACAATACTAATAATAAGTATATCTAAGCACTCGAAGACTTCTGCCGGCTATGTCCAATCACTTTTGTAGGAACCAGCAGAAGTGTTCAAGTCATAAGAGCCAGTAGTATTTAAAGATCTGAAAGCTCTCCTGTAGATATAAATTAATTTACCCTGCCCGTTTTGCTTGTTGAACTGCTTGATCAGTCGCCGCTTCTTGGAGGACTCCGGCATGCTCTGGATGTGGGCATAGAGCTGGGCCAGCTCCGTGTCCGTGTTGTTCGTGTTGGTGGCCGCCGCAGTGGCGGCTCGGTCTACGAAAGTGTACACCGTGTTGACCGTCGAGACGTCCGAGATGGACTCGTCGAGCGTTTGTTCCGGCGACATGGTTTTCTTTCGTTTGCGCTCGAGAAAGTACGCCCGGATGTCGGTCGATAGCTTGCCGGGCACCTCGAAGATGTCCAGGCCGCGTACGATCATGTAGGTCACGATGCTGGCCATCTTCTTGGCCTGGTAGTGCAGCACCTCGGGCGGCAGTTGGCGCGGGCAGATGAGGTGGGGCGTGAACAGGGTGGCCAAGTTCTCGGCGCTCATCTTGTTGCTCTTCTCGTGCTGCGCCACGGCATGCAGCATTTCGATGATGTGCTGCAGGAGATCGCGATGCTCTTCGGGCAGCAGCAGGAGCAGCAGCTGCACGGAGTTAAGCAGATGCCTTTGACGCTCGGCGGTGGCCGCCACCTGGCCATTGAGCGCCTGGCAGAGCGGGGCTATCTGCAGATGGGCTGGATAGTGGGCGTCTGTGAGCAGGGGTTCGGGCAGCTCGGCGAGGAAGCCCTTGAAAACGGTGGCGCAGTCGTGGGCCGAGAAGCCAGCCAGCTCTAAATTCAAGGGTTTGTCGTGCTGGATGTGCATCCTTAGCTCGTTTTGCCGCGACACGGCTCCCGCCTTGCGAAAGAGGCCTTCTTGAGTGAGATCTATATAAGGAAATATATTGAAAATCTTTCTAATGGTTGGTTCGAGTATACTAACTCTTCTCCAGCATGAGGAACTCCTTGAGCTCTTGCAGATGCATTAAGAAGCCAGGATCTATTTGCTGTTGTAGAGTCTCTGTTGGACTATTGCCCACTGATTTGCTGCCCGAGCCGGCGGCACAGGATGTGGCGGCAGCTGCTCCATGGCCCAGGCGATGTTTCTTGGACAGGCGGTTCCACTTCTTCAGCTTGCCCTTGTCCTCGTAGACGATTTCGTGGCAAGGGAGGTCGAATCTGATTAGGAAAACGGAGTTATTAATGTCTAGTAGTGATAATCCCAATCCCCATCTTACTCATCCGTATTCAGCTCCAATTCAAAGGACAGGTGCATGCGCACCAGGGACTTGTACTTTTCGTAGTTGCAGCGGCGCATGCGCGTGGCCAAATCGCGATCCCTGCAATCATTTAGGTTCGCCTGTCCCTGTGGCGTTTCCATCGCGTTCTCCTTTGTCAATCCGTCGACACTATCGAGTTAGCACTGTAGATTTCGATTTCGATGTCCCTGGGCAACCACAACAACAACGACGGCCAGCGGGTAGAGGAAAAACAACAACAACAACGCTGGGAAGGACAATGACAAGTTCGTTTGGAAAACCCGAAGCCTACTCCTTTCACTTCCGCCCGTATTGATTTTCGTTCTAGGAATGGTTTATCGCCGAAGGTTTGTCGCCCGAGCACATAATTGCGCATTTATCACATTTATCGCGGAAATTTAACTGCTAAAATTGAAAATTAAACGAGACGCCACCGAACTAGTGATGTTCGAAAAACATCGATGCGTCGGACATCGATGATTTTCGGCCGATATCTATAAGCTGATCTGGTAGCGCACTAGTTTGGTTATTTTTAGTTATTTAAGAACGTTCTGATGGGTTTTCTACTATTCTTTGCGGGTTTTAAGGCTTTTATAAAGAAGTTTTCCACTTAAAAACACCTGTGGCGGGGATTGTATTTTCAAAGGTGGAAAATTATGCATGGCGTTGCCAGACTGGGGATTTTAAAGTTTAAAAATTTATTATTGTTTTTTATGAAATTAGGAATTATATATACATAGCCTTTTATTTATTAACAAATTTATAAAAAACACACAAATTAAATAAAACTTTTTGCAAGCGTTGCCAGACTTTTCAGGGCAGACAAGAAAACCGTGTTGGAAAAGACTGGAACTTTTGGCCAGACTATTGTTTGATCGCGCTTTTTACATTTAATCAATTAAATTGTATTAAAATGGTGCTTATTATGCGTGTCTCGCCGCCCGAACACGGCCTGCTGTATACGGCCAACAACATCAAGCTCAAACTGGGCGACAAAGTGGTGGGCGAGGGTACCATTTACATAGCCCAAAAGTGAGTACGCCTGCAGAGCTTTGCCGGCGTCTGCAAATGTTGTTTTTTATGGTAAATCATTCCCCAATCAATAAATTATTATTTTCCGCCTTTAGTACGCTATCCTGGCAGCCAACCGACCTGCCGGAGGGCATTTCCATCGAGTGGAAGCAGGTTAGTCTGCATGGGATCTCCTCAAACCCGAGGAAGTGCATCTACTTCATGTTGGACCACAAAGTGGAGTGGAACGGCGTGTATGGCGATCCTCCGCAGCCGGCGGTCAATGGACAGAATGGCGGCGGCGGTCCAGACGCCGAGGTGGACGAGGGAAATGGTAGCGACGAGCACGAGGACGACGACAACTTCGAGGACGCCGTGGACGAGCAGTTCGAGGAGGTGACCGAGTGCTGGCTGCTGCCCGACGACATTCACACGGTGGACACGATGTACAGCGCCATGACCACTTGCCAGGCCCTGCATCCGGATTCGGCGGACAGCGATTCGGAGGACAGCGATCCCATGCAGGATGCCGGCGGGCTGAACGACGACGAGGCCATGGAGGAGGACGATGCCCTGACGCTGGGGCGCAATGGCGGCATGCAGAATCTTAGCCTGGACGACGATGACGATCGGTTCGAGGACGCCGACGAGTGAAGAGGATGCATCACCTAATATAACCCTTTTATACAAGATTAAGCGTACGAATTGTAAGGATTCACATGTATTGGATTAGATTTTGAAGTACTAAATAAAGACTCGCTAAAAGCGCTACTAAAGACTAGGCATTCTCCTTGTTCCGAGCGATTTCCGCCTCCAAATCCTCTTCGCTGATGGGCTGCGACAGCTGTGGGTAAAAAATAGGTTATCAGGGATCTTTGGGGAAGCTTAATGGACCTACAGCTTGGGCCACCTCCGCCTGGAGGAGCGCCTGTCGGTAGGCATCGCCATTGGAGGGCACTTTGTCGTAGTTCCAATAGGTGAACTCCTCAAAAACCCCTGTGAGACGTAGCTGTCGGTCGGAGGCTTCGCTTATGGGCTTCTCCGTTTCCTGGAGCACCACACCGCGGTATCCTTCGGGCACTTTTAGTTGCTCCCCCATCAGAGGATATCCGCGCAAGGCGTTCGTCAGGATTCCCTGGCCAAATTCGCTTGCTTCCCTTGTGTAGTTGTTGAAGTACTGCTCCACATTCGCCTCGCCATCGCCGTCTATCTTAGCCGGCAGGTAGTGAAGGTCCAATTGCTTGCTTTTGGCTAGGTTCTTGCCGTTAAAATCCAGAGTTATGGACATTGTTTGTTAATTTTAGCACAGAATATAAGGTAAACAGAAACGCCGCCAAAATGTGTTTGTTTATAGGTTCGAATCACGAATAACCGTCAAACGTTTTTGCACACTGTAAGGTAAGTGTCTTCGCTTATACCTTTTTCTGGTATATTTGAGTAAATACACGGTATTTTACAACTCCCCGGTCACACTCCTCACAGCTCTACACTTTGCCCACCACTAATAAAAATGGCGTTCGAAGTTGTAGTTAAATTTTTAAGGGAATCCGTAAAACAATAGCTCGTGAGGCCGCGACAGCATAAATCGCGCACTATCAACCGTTCCGTGGACGTGCAAGCGTGTGGGCGTGCGTTGTTCGTCGAGTTCTAGGCCGATTTCGGGACAAACTGGAGCCACAGAATTGTTATTGCAAATTTTAGTACCACACTACACACTCGCGCACACAACGATAGCGAAGCGAAGGAAATACGAGTGCGAGTAAATAGTGGGCACCCATACTGGAGCAGCGACTAAATTAAAGTTAATTAAACGCCTAGTGGTATTTCATTTAATGCAATTTGTGAAATAATAGAGAAAGGGAGGGAGCGAGAGCGAGACAGATCACAATCCCCCGCTCTCCTCTGCAGCATGCGTGCGTTGCGTCGGTGTGTGTGTGCGTGAGAGAGTGAGCGAGACATGTGCGTGTGAGGTGCAGCAGCAGCAGCAACAACAAACACATAAACAACAACAACGACGGTGGCAAAACAATTTCGGGTGAGTTTTTCGTGAATATTTTGCCTACTACCTGCAAGATTTCTTACCTACATACGTACACCTTCGCTTTTGGGCTGGGTTTTTGCACTCGGCGGCGGGGAAAATACATACATTATCTTCCCCACCGAACTTACTAATAATACCACCCATTTCTATTTGTTATCTTTGATTGCAGGTTGTAAAAAAAAGCACATAAAACACGGCAAATCGGTGTTATTATTATTTATATAAATATCTATGTGCGTGTGCCATGACACACAGCCACAAACGCAAAAGCTTCAACAATTGCAACCGTCAAGGCTACCGCAACAGCAGCAACAACAGCAAATACAACAACTGCAGTTACCTTCGGCAATGAAATTACCTCTCACCACCGCCCTCACCTGCTCCTCCTTCACCTCTGCTTCCTCGCCTCCTCCTCCTTCTTCACCTCCGTCTTCTTCTTCTTCGCTCTCCGTTCGCCACTTCAGCAAGAACAACAATAAAAACAACAAACATGCCCGCGACGTATAAATAATCAATATACAAAATAAATCCATTTATTTTTATACAAACCAAACAATATCAATTAAAAGTCGGAAATTATGAATAAATTGGATTACCCACGTCGCAATGGTACACACAAAGTTCGAATAACGAGTAAGTCCGCCTGCCATAAACAACTCTAAGTAAATCCCCTAATAAATTTACTTCTTCTTTTTCAGTATTGTGTGCTAGAAATTTGGCCCGCAAGGATTTATTTCGTGAGTATTTTTATTTTGATTCTGGAAAAACATTTACTTAAGAGAAGGGTTGAAAAGTATACGAATGAGGGGAAAATATTAGAACTGTTTAATGGTTATATTACAGACTGAATAATAGTGTTGGTAACCCAAATCCATTTCCTTTTCGGTTCTTTATGATTCAGATAGTTGAAATTCATTTTTTCATACTGATTTACATGAAAAACATACTAAAAATGGCCTGTATTTTCCCACATTAGTTGCCCTTAAGCACTTAATTTCCCTGATTACGTTGAATATTTTTCGGGAATTTCGTTCACCTGACTGGTGCTAATTACTTGACTCACTTTTGGCTAGTTACGGGGAATTTGAAGCAAAGTTTTCTTTTCGTATATAAACCATCAATTACGCACCTGTTTAGCCGCCCAATCAAAACACACACATTTTGCGGTAAATTAAAGTTTTGTTTTATTTGCTTCTGCTACCGCTTCTTCTTCATCTTCTGCTTCGGATTTATCTATGCATCTGAGGTATCGCTAAATTTAGCACTTCCTTTTGTCTACTTTCATTTTTATACAAATTGCGGAAAAGGGGCGGGCCCCCCATTCACATTCACATCCAAATCCCCATTCCCATCCCCCCGCCCCTCTTCACTAGCGCCCATCAAGTCAAGTGGGTGAGTGTGAGTGGTGCCATATCTGAGCTCTTTTTCCATATTTTGTTTAGATATAACAAAAGTGATTATTACTAATTTGCTTTCATTGCGGCTCACTCACTCGCACACAAGTTTTTCTTTCCCTGTATTCGTGATTTATTATTTGCTCTTTTCCACTTCTTGTCCATTTTTTACACTCGGCTGCACTTAAATCACGCGCCACGCAATGCCCAATGTGCTGCCCCAAAAAAAAAACAAGAGAGAACGCTATAGTCGGGTTGTTGTCCCGACTATCTAATACCCGTCACTCAGCTAAAGGGAGTGCGAACGCTGTGTCGGGTTGGTGTCCCGACTAATAATCGTAACTCAGCTAAAGGGAGTGCGAGGGAGATAGATATATGTTGACAATTTATAAAGCGTATAACTTTTTAATGAATGGTCCGATTTGAAAAATGTCTTCTACATTTCGATAGGTATAAATATACACAACAAAATTGCATTTATACTTTTCGGAAATCTTTAAAGATGTGGGCGCAGGACCCATTTTAAAATCGTTAGTGGGCGATTGTGGGCGTTAGAGGGGGCGTGGCGCTTGGCTAAAATAAACTTGCGCTGCGTAGGAAGACAAAGAATATGTGTGGGAAATCTCAACCTTCTAGCTTTTGTAGTTTCTGAGATCTCAGCGTTCATACAGACAGACAGACGGACAGACAGACGGACAGACGGACAGACGGACAGACGGACAGACGGACAGACGGACAGACGGACAGACGGACAGACGGACATGGCTAGATCGACTCGGCTAGTGACCCTGATCAAGAATATATATACTTTATGGGGTCGGAAACGCTTCCTTCTAGCTGTTACATACTTTTGCACGAATCTAGTATACCCTTTTACTCTACGAGTAACGGGTATAACTACTAGCTATACGATATGTGATGTACTGTATCCGTACTGTATCGCCTATTTCAATAGGGGTTCCCAAAAAGGGGGTCCTACGGTCGCTGGTGTCACTTTCATATTGAATGGCACATTAATGCTAATGTCTAAATTCCATGACTGACTATAGAATCTGGCATAGTTATTCGGTATTTGCCTTTCCGCCATATATATATAGTTTGTTCTTCACATTTTATCGATTCCATTTGATTAGATTTGAGTTTCCGCGCACCGTCATTAATGGGAAAATCCAAGCTTGGATTTTTTTTTTGGTATAAATAGATCGGTTAGGCCATAAACTATACAATTGTGAGTTATAAACGCAGCATAATGGGTTTTTCATTTATTTTGATCCAAGAAATCTTTGACATAGTAAGCTTGGGAGTTTCCTTTCATAATTAACGACATACTACACCCTCAAAATAGAATTCAGAGCAGCCGGATATAGAAATTTATAGAGAAAATGATATCTTTTCTATTGAATCGCCGAGTTTTTCGTGCCTATACGATTTCCTCAAGAATTATTCGAGTTCATAGAGGCTTATCGGAAGTTAAGAGCATAAGTGATGCCTTGAAAGTAGCTGATAAAACAGTGAATAGGAAGCTGGTGAACATTTTCGGAACTCCCAACATAAAAGATGTAGCATATTACAGTGAAACCAATGATAACGATGATCTACTGTCGGCTGAGCAGCGAGCAGCAAAGAGGGAAATTTTTAAACCTATTCAAGAGGACTGCCCAAAATTTCCCACCGAAAAACCACCGCCTACAACAAAGTTTCCCATCAATAAGAATGCTGAAAAGCAAATAGAACTGGGTGAAAAAAGAGAACAGGAAGCCAAGGATTTAAAGCGACTGAAGGATATTACTAAAAGAAAGAAGTCTGAACTCGAGGAGAAAATAGATGGGCAAAGAAAGAAATTTACAGATGTCAACTTGATTGGGATGAATTTAAAATCTGTGGAGGCAAAGGAACCAACTCCTCCTAAGGGAGCTGCTCCTCCACCGAAGGCAGGTGCTACTCCTACGAAGCCTCCTCCCAAAGGTCCACCGCCTGGAACACCGCCACCCCAGACGAAAACCACTTTTGGATCCCTCGCCGATGCCGATCGCATCTTTACCAATCTCTACGGACGTCACGATTGGCGTTTGAAGGCGGCCATGAAGCGTGGCGATTGGTACAAGACCAAGGAGATCCTGGACAAGGGTGACAAGTGGATAGTGAACGAGATCAAGACGTCGGGACTGCGAGGACGCGGTGGTGCCGGCTTCCCCAGTGGCCTCAAGTGGTCCTTCATGCACAAGCCGCCCGATGGCAGGCCCAAGTTTCTGCTGGTCAATGCGGATGAAGGGGAGCCGGGTACCTGCAAGGATAGGGAGATAATGCGTCATGATCCGCACAAGCTGATCGAAGGATGCCTCATCGCTGGACGGGCCATGGGCGCCAACACCGGATTCATTTACATTCGCGGCGAGTTCTACAACGAGGCCTGTAATCTTCAGTATGCCATTATAGAAGCCTACAAGGCTGGCTTTCTGGGCAAGAATGCCTGTAACTCCGGCTTTGATTTCGATCTCTATGTGCAACGTGGCGCCGGAGCTTATGTTTGTGGCGAGGAAACCTCTTTGATAGAATCCCTTGAAGGAAAGGCTGGAAAACCTCGGAACAAGCCTCCCTTTCCGGCGGATATCGGTGTCTTTGGCTGCCCCTCCACGGTGACCAATGTGGAAACGGTGGCCGTTGCCCCAACCATCTGCCGCCGAGGTGGCAAGTGGTTTGCCAGCTTTGGACGCACTCGCAATTCGGGCACCAAGTTGTTTAACATCTCCGGACACGTTTGCAATCCCTGCACCGTCGAGGAGGAGATGTCCATTCCCACGAGGGAGCTAATCGAACGCCATGCCGGTGGAGTGATTGGCGGTTGGGAAAATCTGCTGGCCATAATCCCCGGTGGCTCTTCCACTCCCTGCATAACCCAAGAAGATGCCAACTGCTCGATTCACGACTACGATGGGCTGATGCAAGTGCGCTCGTCACTGGGAACCGGCGCCCTAATCGTGATGAACAAGGATACGGATATAATCAAGGCCATTGCCCGCCTCTCCGCCTTCTACAAGCACGAGAGCTGCGGCCAGTGCACTCCATGCCGCGAGGGTCTCCACTGGGTGAACATGATCATGCAGAGATTCGTGACGGGACAGGCGCAGATTGGCGAGATCGATATGCTGTGGGAGCTGACCAAGCAGATCGAGGGACACACTATTTGTGCTTTGGGGGATGGAGCTGCCTGGCCACCGCAGGGACTCATTCGTCACTTCCGTCCGCTCATCGAGGAGAGGATCAGGAAGCGCAAGGCCGAGGAGCAGGCGGCAGCAGATGCCGTTGCCGCCGAGCGATTCCCTTGTCAGACGGTGGCTCCTTGCCCAGAATAAAGCGTGTGCCAAATGCAGTATGAACTCTTTTTTGTGTCCAATTCCTCGCATGCGGCTGACTTCAAGCTCCGCTGATTCCGACTGCCGGCTTCCGTCCGAGTGAAAGTGCAGCCAGTCGTTAACTTCCTCGCCTTGTCGACTGGGCCATTGGAAATTGTGCCACGTAGCGTTAAGCCAAAAAGGGGGTTGCTTTACCGGGCTTTCTTCATTCTTCTTTCTCACTTTTCAGGCAGCTCAGCCGTGAAGAGAGTGAGGAACTCTCGGATGTTGGGTTATGCAATCTGTCGGGGGTTTATTCACTGTAATACATCGTTATTCTAAAGTATACAAAGATTGGCTGTTGATATTCGGAGTAATCACTGTTCACTCTGCTGTTTTTCAAACTCTTTTTCAAGTTTTATTAACAATCTAGTTCCCTTGACACATATTTATACATCCCCCAGAGTTTTATACTTCCCACTTCTTATGCAATCGCAAACGTTTGCAGTCGGTTCCGATTTCGTTGTAAAAATATATTTATTTTTACACACAACACAAATCAAAATAATCTGTCGTTTGGTTGGATATCTGATAATGGAAAAATATATTTTAGGGGAAGTAATGAGGCTTCTAGCATGGATGTTATAACTTTGGTAGAACTAATCCAGTTATCCAGAGGAAGTTCGTTTGGTCAGATTGATGATAATGGATAAATATAATTTAGGGGACGTAATGAGGTTTCTATCATGAATTTTATAACTAAGGTTAGTTTTAGTAGAACTAATCCAGTTATATAGCAAAGATAACTTAGTTTAATTGCATTACAGAGGAAGTTCGTACACTTTTCTTTAACTACGCACACCTTTTACTTCCATATAGAGTGCTCTTTAGGTACTCAACTGTCTACCTACCTTCGCTCCATTCCCCTGCTGTTTTTTGTATGTTCTCTCTTGCATAAAATCAATCAACAGCTGCCCGGCGACGACAGCGAAGACGTTGCAATGTGGCCTACTCGAATTACCTGGCCAAGTCAGTCAGTCAAACGGGTTGATGACTACCATCTACCATTCCATCCTCACCAGCTGATGGAAGGCCCGTTCATGCTCTTGCTTTTGCTTTTGCCCTGACAACAGCGTCAGCCTTGAGATAACGATTCACGAATGGATATAGATATAGATATAGTTATAGATATAGATACAAATATGGGAGTGCGAGAGAACCTAGTTGTGATATCTACCAGGTTATGAGTCAGAGGCCGTCAGACTGGGAGCGACTGGTTGAGTCCGGTCTGCATAAATCATTGCCTCGATATGGTTCTTAATTGTTTAATTCAGCCGGAATGCCGTGCGCTTAATTTGTCAAGATTCCAGGCATTATCGGTGGCCGCCTAAGACGATAAGAACAGACGAACGAATCTTTTATGCGGCAGCGGGGGTTCCTATTTCTGTTTTGATAGCGGAGATTGGCAGATAGAGTCTATTCCTCCAACTACTAAATAGTATCTCTATCTCTGACTAATGACACTTGACCGCATTCACAATTTTATTGAAGCATTGTTCAGATTTAATTGACATTTCTGGCTGCCTGCCCTTATACCGAAAAATCAAAGAGTGTGGAGTGGGGTTCCCAATGAAGAGTGTGTTCCCCCGAGTTCTAAATATAGTAGAAACTATTTCCACATAATACCTGGCACAATTTTTGAAAACATTCACTCTTGATATTGAGATACATATATTTATTTTGGTGTTTCCTTGAACAAATATTTTTCGTTTATCCATGGGAATTAAAAGGTGGTGTGTGGGGAAACGACGGCATTGATCCTCGCCGTGGATTCCAGCCTCTGTGGCGTCGCTCGTCGAAGGGAAGGGGTTCTCCTGTGGCCAGGGTCACGAAAAGGAACAGGGCCAGCAATCCCAGCAGGTGAATCCACGTGGAAGACATTGCTATTTTGCGTATGATGATCTTCTGATGATGGGACTGCGTTTATATAGGCCTCATTTAAGCTGAGGGGCTTCACAGGCGGAAACACTGATAAGCTAAAACCAAATAGGGAACGGGAACTCACACTCGGCGGGGAACTCTAATGCGATTAATCTGCTTTTGCTGCTCTGATGACCTCTTCCTTCTCCAGCGCAGAAAAGATTATTGTCGGCGTTGGAGTTGGAGCTTCAGTGTATCTCTGAGGCACCTGCAAGCAGAGCGGCTTTATCTGCAAACGCTGGGCAAAACCAGGGTGCTGGTGGCTATATCCGTTAGTAGATAAGTTAAACTGGTGCAGGAGTACCAAAAGCACAAACAACTTGAAGCCTTGCATTTTGTATTTAAACTAACCGAGGCAAATTTATTCATAGACCTTTAAATAGGTTTAGTTTGTAGTACAATTCGTGTGCATTAATGGTTTACATATCCAATTTAACACTCTATCTGCCATTTACGGTGTTAAATAGACCCATTTTCTCTATTAAAAGCGAGCCACGCTAACCGATTGTGTAATAAATATAATGATTCCTAATAATCGTTGACAATAATGCAAATATACAAGACACTGCTTGCACTGCTTGCATGTGGCCATTCAATTATTTGGTCATAACTTATTAATGAATGGTGCGATCTAAAAAATTTGTTTACATTTCGATAGGTATTAATAAACAACACAAAATAGCACTTACAATTTTACTAATTTGTTTTTATATTTCCGTTACAGGTCTACCCGATCCCTTTGCTAAGGTTCAGGTGGATGGCACTGGCCAAGTGTACTCGACGGAGATAAGCAAGTCCTCCTTGGATCCCAAATGGAATGCACACTACGATTTGTTTCTGGGCATTGGCGATGCCATCACGATAACTGTGTGGAATCAGCGCAAGATCCACAAGGGCAGTGGCTTTCTGGGATGTGTGAGGATACCCGCATTCAATATACAGAGCCTCAAGGGAGCTGGCTGTAAGTGAATCTTGTACTTCATGTCTTTATATGTTAACTTATACCCTGCACTCCCCACAGTTCAACGATTGGACCTGGGCAAACTGTCGCCGGATGACGATGAGCTGGTGCGCGGTCAAATCATCATTTCGCTGCTCTCGAAGGATGGACCCAGCAGTGGCAATCCCCTGGCCATTGTGGGACCCAGTGGCGATGTTCGTGGACCTTCGGAGGACGACTCTTCGGAGGATAGCTTGCCCGAGGGCTGGGAGGAGCGGCGCACGGACAACGGGCGCATCTACTATGTGAACCATGCGACCAAGACGACACAGTGGGATAAGCCCCGGCATCCAGGGGTTAGTAGCCAGAGGACTTCGCCGCATCAACGGAGCAACACACACAACGGCAACGGCGGTGATCGACAGGCGCCGGCTGGACCAACGCGCTCCACAACCTGCACGAATCTGATGAACAACGGCCATCGCAGTCGGGATCTGGCTGTGACGGCCTCGGACGAGCGCAGGCACTCCACGGAGATCCTGTCCAGCGTGGGCAAGGAGAACACCAGTCCCACAACTCCAATCTCGGCCACGACAACGCCCGGCAAGAAGAATTCCTCATCGAACTCCTCCTCCTCGTCGGGAGGCCGCACTTTGGAGCAGCAGCGGAGCACAAATGAACCAGCCACGCCCACTAGCAGCAGCGCGACATCGGCGTCGGTTCGCCTGCACAGCAGCAACAGCAGCAGCAACAACGACAATCATGTGAAAACGCCAAAGCACCAAACGAATGGCCATGCTCCGCCAGAGGCAGCCACGCCCACATCTCCGACGGGTCAGCAGAACTATGTGAACGGGAATGCGGCTCAGAATGGCAGTGCAAACGGCAGCGGACAGGCGGCGCAGCCCCAAAGTGCTAGCAACGGATGGATAGAAGAGGATGATGCAACGAGGACTTCGCCTTCCACAACCACTCCTCCCAGGCACAGCCAGAGTCCGCCGACCCCGAATACATCGCCTCCAGCTCCAGCGACGCCCTCTTCGAATGGAAATGTGCACAGTCCGAATGCGAACAGCACGCCAGGAGGAGGAAGTAGCGGTGGAGGAAGTAGATCCTATGCAGCAGCCACTCCCGGTCAGCGTTCCCAGCGTCGCAGTTCGCGGCAACAGGGTGAGGAGTCCTCCACGCGGCGGCGTTCCTCGCGAGGAACTAGAAACGGAGGAAGCTCTGGCGGCGGCGGAGGATCCAGTGGCCAGCGTTATGCCTCTGCAGCCATTGCCGCTGCCAATCAGGCAGCTCGTCCTTTTCTGGACCTTCCCCCAGGATATGAAATGCGCACGACGCAACAGGGACAGGTGTACTTCTATCACATACCCACGGGCGTTTCCACGTGGCACGATCCGCGGATACCGCGTGACTTTGATGCCCAGCACCTGACGCTGGATGCGATTGGACCGTTGCCAAGTGGCTGGGAGCAGCGGAAGACGGCCTCGGGAAGGGTTTACTTTGTGGACCACAACAATCGAACCACACAGTTCACGGATCCGCGACTGAGTGGCAGCATTTTGCAGATGATAAGACGGGGTGCGGTGCCCCCAGCCTCGGCTAATGCTGGCTCACCTGCTCCGCCAGCTGCTAATCCTGCTGCTCCGGCCACGCCCTCATCCGCAGCAGCATCCCAGCCAGCAGCACCAGCAAACCACGGAGCTACAACGATGACCAGCACAACCACAACTAACCCGCCACATCGCATTGTTCCCGATCTGCCGCAGGGATTGCTCGAGGGCGCCGACCTGCTGCCCAAGTATCGCCGCGATCTGGTGGGCAAGCTGCGAGCTCTGCGCACCGAGCTGCAAACCATGCAACCGCAATCCGGACACTGCCGCCTGGAGGTGTCGCGCAACGAGATTTTCGAGGAGAGCTATAGACTGATTATGAAGATGCGGGCCAAGGACATGCGAAAGCGTCTGATGGTCAAGTTCAAGGGCGAGGAGGGACTCGACTACGGCGGCGTGGCGCGCGAGTGGCTGCACCTGCTCTCCCGCGAGATGCTGAACCCGCAGTACGGCCTGTTCCAGTACAGCCGGGATGACCACTACACGCTGCAGATAAATCCGGACTCGGGCGTGAATCCCGATCACCTGTCCTACTTTCATTTCGTGGGCCGCACCCTGGGCATTGCCGTGTTCCATGGCCACTGTCTGGACGGCGGCTTCACCACGCCCTTCTACAAGCAGCTGCTGAACAAACCGATTACGCTGGGTGATATTGAGGGCGTGGATCCGGAGCTGCACCGCAGCCTCACCTGGATGCTGTGAGTTTAAATCCGATAATCGTTACGGAGCAGTTTCCTCATAATTCTTTTGATTTCAGGGAGAGCAACATCAGCGGCATCATCGAGTCCACCTTCAGTGTGGAGAACAATAGCTTTGGTGCTCTGGTGGTGCACGAACTGAAGCCCGGCGGTGCCTCCATTCCGGTGACGGAGGAGAACAAGCGGGAGTATGTCAAGCTCTATGTAAACTATCGTTTCATGCGCGGCATCGAACAGCAGTTTTTGGCTTTGCAGAAAGGTTTGTGGTAGGAATTAATATAATTAATTCATGATAAATAATGCCTAATTTATTCAGGATTTTGTGAGCTTATACCCAGCCATCTCCTGAGACCGTTTGATGAGCGCGAACTGGAATTGGTCATTGGCGGCATCTCCAGCATCGATGTCAACGACTGGCGGAACAATACGAGACTGAAGCACTGTACGAACGAAACGACGCAGGTGTTGTGGTTCTGGCAGGTGTGTAATCTACTTTTCCTGGATTTTTGATTTGTGACTTCGACTTATTTGCTTTATATTCTTCTCAAGGTGGTCGAGTCTTATAGCTCTGAGATGAGAGCCCGCCTGCTGCAGTTTGTGACGGGATCGTCGCGAGTGCCGCTCCAGGGATTCCGAGCGCTGCAAGGATCCACGGGAGCGGTGGGTCCGCGACTATTTACCATTCACCTGACTGCCGACGTGCCCACGCAGAATCTGCCCAAGGCGCACACCTGCTTTAACCGGATCGATTTGCCGCCCTACGAGACGTACCAGCTGCTCTGCGACAAGCTGACGCAGGCCGTTGAGGAGACCTGCGGCTTCGCCGTGGAGTAGAAGAGCGACACTGTGACCCGATCCTCACCCGATCCACGCATATGCATATACATAGACACCCTTAAATATATATAATACACATTATAAAGAACACACATATATATCAAGGCGATTTGAAATCAAAATTGTACTGACCCTGGTCAAGATGATAAGTTTTTATTTTTATTTGTTTGTTGATGAACTGCTCTCCGCAGCGCTGTTTAATCTTGTGTGCTGCGCATTTTGCAGTTAAAATTTTATTATTTAGCGAGTATGTACTGACTCATCGTATACATAGTTACCAAGTGCATATATATATATGAGTATATACACTTTCACACCCCAAGCAGACATATACATATATATATCTAACCTGGCCTTTGTTTGTTTACGTCGTGGCGCGTGTTATAAATTGTAGTTTAAAATATTACGAAACCAATTATACATACAATTATACAAGATTATACATATATCATAGTTCATAATTAGGCATAACTAAATTTTTAATTGTAGGCATTGGACCGGCAATTTTTTCGTGCTTTTGTTTAGTTTAGTGCATATTTTTGATGTTTATTAATTACATTTTGTACATTTATAAAACCCAATCGAACTCACTGCTAAGTTTTTAATTATTGTTTAAATCGTCCTTAAACACCCACACACACATACACACTCATCGACACATCCGCTTGCATATTTTATAAGTATGTGAGCGAAACGATTGCCTACCCCAAAAAGATATGGAAAATAAGAGAGCAAACAAAGCACTTGAAAAATTACTCAATTATTAAATTAGTTATTTTTTAAATTTTTAAATAAATGCAAATTATTTAAATTACCTTTTACGTTCATTTTATTATTATTTGTTGCCGCATCGCCAAAACAAAACTTAAGGATCAAACTTCATATACATGTTTACATCAGTTTTTAATGAAAACGAATTGGACAAATTTTTAGAAGGTGATATTAGTGAAAATTTTATCTGACTTTAATTAAATCGGAACAATTGGTAGATATTTAAGAGCCCCACCCGACCTCCCATCCCAATACCACCCAGCATATCCCCCAAAATGTAGTGCATATGTGAGATCTATTGATTTTTTATTAAGAACGATGATTCAAGCCTTGAGTTAAGGCAGATAGAAGTAACCCTCCCAAAATACAACACAAATCGATCGTTAACTCTTTAGCTTTAGCGAGATCTAGGAATCAAATGACTAACGATTCTAAGGCAGTAATCCTGCGCACATTGACAAGGACTTTGCTCCATTAACCAAAAGGGATTTAAAATAAATGAGCCTTAAAATAGAGTTGTTTTATTGCTTTGGGGGCTTAATTTAACAGCTGGGAGGTAAGGGATTAGTATTGAAACCATTCTCATGCTTTAAAAAAAATAAGAATTTGAGAAACAAAAAAGTAATTGCCGAAACCCGGGATTGAACCGGGGACCTTTAGATCTTCAGTCTAACGCTCTCCCAACTGAGCTATTTCGGCAGATGATGTTAGCGTGTCAAAAATGCCACTAATGTTAATGTCTGCTGTTAACCAAAGGCGTTGGTTGGTGTCTCTGCTAAACCCAATTGGAATTTTACAGCACTGAAAGCAACCGTTTCCAATTAGACTCAAACCATTGCTGGTGTGAAAACCGGATTTTAACACAAATCACCCAACTGCCGAAATAGCTCAGTTGGGAGAGCGTTAGACTGAAGATCTAAAGGTCCCCGGTTCAATCCCGGGTTTCGGCAATTACTTTTTTCTTTTTTATTCCAATTTAATGAATAATAGATATTTGTGTATATAGTTTTTTATTTTCTGTCTAGACCTTAGACATTATTAGTATTATAGCAAGCCGCCAGTACTTTAAGTAATACAAAAGTATGCATTGTAGTGTTTCTAGTTTTACATTACATTCTAGGGATTAACTAAGAGTGCATGACTATTTATTTTCCGGGGGGCATGCCCCAAAGTTCTATTTCCTTCATACGTATATCCAGATATAGCAGCTCCATTAAGTATACAAAAGTAGATAGATAGCTTAGCTTAGTTTTTAGCTACGGCTGGCTGTGGGTACTGAAAAGTGTCCGACTTTTGAGCCAAGCCAGCAGGCAGTACGATAAATTATAGCAGCATTACAACTACGATTCTTTACGCTATTAAGTTACAACTCAAAATCGTTCGCAAGTTACTAAAGCTAGTGCACGGATGGGATGGATGATCCAATCCAATCCAGTCCAGTCAGATAGATAGCCCGCTCAAAAGTCGGGATCATAGTCGCGGGAATAGCGCGTCCGACTCGCGTGGTTGTTGTAGCTGTACATCTGGTGGGCATCGGCGAAGGCATCCGGATACTGGTGGCCGTATCCCTGCTGCTGCTGCGACGCCTGGTGGTGGTGACTGGCGGGGTACTGGTTGTGGCCGCCGTGGTTGCCATGATGGAGCTGCGGCCTCTTCAGCGAGTCGCCCTTCTGCGAATAGGTCGGCTGCTGGTCGTAGAAGTAATCCCCGCTGGAGTGAGGATGCCGGGTGGATCGCCAGCTGTCGTAGATATTGGAACTGTTGCTGCCGTGCATCGAGTTGGTGAAGCGCTGGAAAAACGAAGGAGGATCATAAGTTGGTATATACATTTTTATATCAAATTGTATCTTAATTACTGAGGAACGCTGCGGTACCTTCGGCTTAATAGGTTGCTTGGTATCATTCCAGGGATCGTCAATGTTGTAGAAGTCATCTACGCCATAATTGTCGGCTCCACCCATATGGCTGACCTTTAGCTCGTTTAGCATGTCGTTGGTCAGAGGAATTGGCGTCTTCTTGGCCCTCTTCTGGCGGTTTAGTAACTAGAAAAGAGATTATTTTATTTTAAAAATTTTTATATTATAAATAAATCTATAAAACTCACCACTGTGACACCGAAGATGACGACAAACACCAGGGAACCCACTCCAATAACAATCACCACAATGGCCCATTGGGGAATAAGCAAATCCTCCTCGGCAAACTCCACATTGGTGTGTAGATTTTTGGCTATGACTAAAGAAAAGATAATATCAATATCAGTTGCATAGAACACAAATAGTATGCCCTGACTAACCACTGAAATCTGTGGCCACCGGATCAATGATGTATTTGCCCATTTGATAGCTGGCCGTGACTAGCTGCTCCTCCTGCGGTCCTGCCACACTGTCCGTCTCATTCTCCTGGGCATCCTTGTCGGGTAAAACGGGAGTGGCTGGCTTGCTGAGGGCATCGTGGAAGAGTTGTCGAATCTCCAGAGTATCCACATCCTCGGTTATGTTGGCCAGTTCCACGTAGTAGTCCACCAGGACGCTGCCCTTGCTGAAGCTATCAATGCGCACCTTTTTGTACCACTTGTTTAGCTGCGGGGCTCCCGAATAGACGTCATTGAGCTGGAAAAAAATTACATTAATACCATAATGATAAGATCATATCCTACTCAAAACTCACCTGTGCCTCCAGCTCGTGGGCCAGATTCTTCCATTCCAAGGTGTTGTGATCCAGGAGTTCCGGCTTCCAGGCCACACCATCGATGATCTTGATAGTGGCCGCCAGATCGCAGTCGGCGGTGCAGTGACCCGGTTTCGTGGGTCGTGGCGTGGTCGTGGTGGTGGTGCTCGTCGAGGTGGTGGTGCTGCTCGTGGTGCTACTGGTTCCACTGGCCGTTAGCAGATCCTCAAAGTTGATGGTCTGGGCATTGAGTTTGTCAATTGATAAGGGAGTTGTGGGCGGCGTTGGCCAGCCGGTGAACTCGGTGGTCGCCCTGGTTGGTGGACCCTTTTTGATCATCACCTGAAGGCCTGAGTTCAAGGATTCTGTAGAGGGAGCTCCCTCTGCTGAGGGATGAGGGGTGGTCAAGCGGTGCGAGCCCACTCTCTTGTGGAAGCCCTTGGGGAACACCACCTTCAAGCCACCATTTCCTCCAGCAGTTTCCGTAGCAGCTGTAGCTTCAGTGGTGCTGGAAGCTATCACCTTGGGTTTACCAGTGGTTGTCGTTGTAGTGGAGGTGGTGGAGGCGGGATGCAGTTTTTTGGCTTTGTAGCCAGGTGGCAGCAGGGAAGCTGGTATCTCATCGCTCGTCTCGCTCTCCGTTTCGTTTAGTTTAAATCCAGGAGGAAGAAGATCCTTCAGGTTATCTATTTTAATAGGAGTCACACCTAGTGGAAGTTTAGGTTCCTCCTTTGCCTCGGGAGCCTTGTAACCCGGAGGCAGCTGGAAGGTGCTCAGATCATCAAAAGGAACAGCAACTGGTAGATTCCGTGGAGTACTTGAGGGACTGGAGGTGGTGGTGGTATTTGCCTGCTTGGGCTTGGGAGTACTGCTCAGTTTGTAGTCCTTGGGAAGGAGTGAAGCCAACTTTTCATCAAACTGAATTTCGCTAAAGAGACTCTCCAGTCCAGAAGGACTACTCTCTTCCGGTTTCCCAGTAGTCGTAGTGGTAGTCGAGGTTGTCCTGGGTGGTTTGTAACCCTTGGGCAGAAGACCCGCCTGGGCCACATCCTGCACTGTGACCTGACCACTCTTAAACGACCGACTGATGGTGGAGTTGCGACCTGGTTTCGGTTTGGATGTCAGTTCAGCTGGCGGTGCTTCTGTCGTCGAGGTTGTGGTCGTTATCTTTCGGTTCTTGTAACTGGGTCGCGGTTTGAAGCCCACTGGGAGCAGGGTGGCCAGCTCGTCCATTTCCCCGTCATCGAAGTGCTGCACCTTCACCTTGCTGCCACTGCTCGTGGTTCGGGGAGCCGAGGATGTGGTCCTGGGTTGGTACTTCCTGATGTGGGGAACAAACTTTCCGCCCCCTGTACCTACGGTGGTGCTAGTTGCCGGGGTGGAGGAGTCCATCTGGCTGATAATGGGGTACTTGCCGGATAGCAGACCACTCGAGAGCTCCGATTGCACGCGATCCAGCTTGTCGATGATGCTCTCCGTGGAGGCAGCCACCGGAGGTTGAACGGAGGAGGAGGAGGAACTGGCCGCCTGCTCCTCGGCGCTGCTCTCGGATTGCTTTTGAGCCGGGCTCTGCTGCTGCTTGGAGTGCACCTTCCTCTCCAGCTCGGAGAGGGTCTGCTTGGTCTCCTCCTGCTCGATGGCCGGGAAGGGCAGGAAGCGGGCTCCATTGATGCTACGACTGGGTTGGATGGAGGCCACAACCACATAGTTCTCGGTGGCATTGCTGCCCTTCTCCTCCTCTTCTAAGGTTATGGGAGTGGTGGTTTCCAGTTTCAGATCCTCCTCTTGCACCTCCTCTTCAGTTACAGAATTGGAGGCGGGAGTAACTGGCGCTGGTAGCACTGTGGATCCATTGACCACGCTCTTGGTGGTCACCACCGATATGATTTCGCGATCTTCTTCGTGTTCGCCACTGGGTGTGGATGGCCTGGAGTCCTGACTCTCCACTTCCTTGGTGGAGTCCTCACTTCCTCCCTCCTCATCATCGTATTCGTAGTCCTCACCCTCTCCCTCATCGTCGTACTGGGACTCGGAGTGCTCCTCCTTCTCCGATTTGGATGAGCTGTGCTCTTCCTGCTTAGATGATTTTGGTTCTTCTTGTTTCGATACGTTATCCTCGACCTTGTTGACTTCGATTTCTTCTTGTTTGGAGGTGCTCTCCACTGGCTGTTCAGTGGTTGCGGTTTGCTCTTCCACATGGAGATCCTCGGTGGATTGGTTCTCTTGTGGCAAAATAGTGGTGGCTTCTTCTGCAATCTCCTCGATCTCCTCTTTAACTGCCGGCAAAGTGGTGACCTCAATCTCTGGCTCGGTGACCTCGGAGACATCCGTTTGGCTTTCTTCGGTGCTGCTCAAGCTGGTGCTTTCATGATCCACTTCGGAAAGGGTTGTGAGTTCGGAGGGTTCCACCACAGGTGGGGATGCCTCATTCTTGGCCACCGTCACCGGGGTTACACTCTCCTCCTGCAGTGGTAACTTCTCTAAGCTGGAGGACTCCGAGTGCTCTTCGGTACCTTCGTCTGACTCCTGTTCATACAGCTCATCGCTGCCTTCCTCCTCATCTTCCTGCTCTTCATCCAAAGCCTCCTCCTCCTCTTCCTCTGCACTCTCTGTAGTACTAGTCGTGCGAGCTGTGGGTCTGGCCGGCAACTTTAGCCTGGCTCCACTGTAGTTGAAGGGTCGTTTGCTGACGGCATTCACTGGTTCGTTAACTTCGCGACTGATGAAGGCCGGTCGCCTGGGATTCGGAATGGGCTTTCGCCCAAAACTGGGTCGTTCCGAGGGAGTGTTCTGGGTGGTCGAGGTGCTCGTGGTGGTGGTGGACTTGCCACGGTTGCTGCCGAATCGATTGTACCGCTTGCTGCTCACCTCCGCACTGCCCGTGGTGGTGGTCGTGGTGGAGGCAGTGGAGCTGCCCGGCTGATAGCGATTGCGGGGTCTAAAAGGTGTGGCTGCCGGAGTGGCTGGATTCTCTGGTATCGCCGAAACAGGCGACTGAGTTCGAGTCCTGCTGGGCGAGAATCCTCCATTGCCGAACGACGGACGACTGCTGGTCACCGGACGCTTTTCGTTCTGCCAAGAAAAGATATATAAAAAAATTAGAAACTGTATTATTAAGATTACTGGTGCGAATTTTGGGATTTTGGAACATGGGTAATGATACCCCAGCAGAAGCCACAGCTGCAGCTCTGCGTTCACAGCCTCGAATCTCGACTAGCGACTATCGTCATGGGAAACTGTTACAGTTTCGACATGGAGCCCCATGGAGCCCCATGGAACCACCGCAATCTCTGCGGTTCGTCTGCTGCTGTCAATTGTCTTGCGTGCGAACTCTTCTCAACCGCCGTGCCATTCAAGTGATTCTCAAATTTGTCTAAAGCGTTTTGTGCAAATTTCCAGATGCCAACCCCCTCTACAAGCCCCCCTCTCAATTCGTTCATCCATAATTTATGCGCTCGTATTTATTTAATTTTTATGTGAAGGCAACCTCGCAACTGTCAAAGTTAGGAGATTCCCCCCAGCAGGTTGCCAAATCCGTTGCACGGCGAAAAATAAGATCGTTTTGCACCTGATGGGGATTTAGTTTTCCATGAGGCTTAAAGACTTGGATTTCACATTAAAATCGATAAAAATCCGAAAGTAAAATGAAATATAGAACTAGTATCAAGTTGTAATGGAATATTAATATTTATCCTATTCGTACTGTTTTAAATCTAGTTCAATTTTAGATAGATTTTGATATGAGAAAGGATGAGATAAGATTGGTTATCATCTGATTCTAATAAGGTTTAAAAGACTTGGATACTTTAAAAGCGATCCTTCATCATTAAAACCACCAAAAAAATAAAAATAAAATAAGATTCACTGCAAAAAAGGGTTTCATTATTCTATAATTATCGTTTTAAATCTAGTTAGCTTTAAGATATATTTCGCTGTGAAAAAGGTATTAAATACTATTTGATTGATTCATAGACACATCAATCTTTTCTTTGCGTGGCTTAGTGCTAGAGCCATGAAGCCTCAAGAGATTGCCAATGGATGGCAGGTGGAGAATGGCTCGGGAAAATGATTTCGTTAGCCACCAGGCATGATCTTAAAAGTAATGCCAACTAATGAGCTCCGAGCGCCCACTAGCAATTGTTATTATGGCCGATTAATCGTGAGCTGATTTGATATTTAAGCCGGCATCAATCAAGGCAGCACTTTCGCCCGAATGGGCAAACAAATTGCTGCAATTAAAGCGAGAAATCTATGTGGGCAAAATGGGAAAACGGAAAGGAAAAATGGAGCGAGAAACGCTTCCGCTCTGACATTTCTATTATGAGTTCGACGTAAAGTAAATATTATATATGTAAATATTAGCAGCTTGAAAATATACAAGTTATATATGAATGTGCAAACACTTCTCGAACTCTTTTAAAAATAAATAAAAATTGCCAAAGAGGTGGTGGTAATGCGAACATGATTTATGAACGAAGTTCGTTGGTTTGCCAAAAACGTTAAGCAAATAACAATAAAAAATGTGGAGCATGAAGTGCAATCGGGTGAAAGGTAAAATATTTTAGCCACAATTCGATTTGGCCTTTTTCTGCGGTTTTTGTGTGGCAAATGTTTTTATTTTATTTTACTTTTTGTTTTTGTTAAATTAAACAGAAAAAAGAGTGGAGTTCGCGTGGCTTCGAACTGGTTCTGAAGTTTGGCTACTTGAAGTGGTAATAAAAAAAAAGAAACGCCGCAAAGCATTTACTGTTTGGAAGTCACGTAAGACTCCCGACTCCCCGAAAATCGAAAAAAAAAAACAAAACTGATATTGGCCGAAATCAGAGCAGAGCCAATTGTTTTGTTAACTTGTTATGCAATGCCAAAGCGAAATTGTTTTGCCTGAGTTCGAGTGCTTCTTGTTATGCCAATTGAGATTGCTTTTCTGTCGCTTTTACTTTCTGCGATCAGCACTCTCCATCTCCAAATACACAGACAACAAAATGGAGATTAAATAAATAAATAAATAATACTATTTGTATTTATTTTTAATGATTTGGGATTTTTAAATAAGCAGAACTAGAGAGTGGGCAGAACTATCAGCTAAGAAGCTTTTAAAGCATTTGTAATAATGTTCATCTATTTTTTCAGCCTTTAAAAAGATTAAAAATCTCAAAAACGTTCATATAAACATTTCTTTCCGTGTACATTTCGATTTCCTTACCCCAGATTCGCTGAAGTGGGCCAGAAATTGCGTCTGCTGGTGGGGAACATTGATGCGCTGCGTCTGCGGCTGGAATCCGCCGTTCAAGCTATTTCCCGATCCATTCCGTATCGCCTTGGAGCGTGTGAAGCCGTTGGTCAGCGATGCGGACGTTGCACCAGATCCCGCTGCCGCCGCTCCTAGTCCCGCCGAGCCGCCCCCTGCCGCCGGCACTCCAAAGGGGCGTGGCGAGATATCGTAATAGTCCGTCTGGCGATTCGGTTTCTGTGGCCAAAAAGATAGAGGTGGAGAAAAAATAAGACACCGCTATAGGCTTTTAATGGTGTTATATGGCAAAGCAGGTTAATTAGTTTTACTTTTTGTTTTCAGGGGCTTTTTTGTCAAATGATATAAATGGTCTGATAAATAATGGATTAGGGCTTCGAGCAGAATGGGTCTGTAATTAAAAGTTGGTGGGAATATATATCATCGTTCTTCGTTTAAGGATTTCCAACTTTGGGTTATTGAACTGGTTGTCTCCTCTTCATTAACAGCTGGCACACATTAATCTTATCTTGGAGAATCTTAGCTTCTGGTTCTTGAACTTTGCCATTATGATAATAAGTTGCGAACTAACTTACAATGTCAAGACCTTTTGTTGTTTACCTTTCTTTTAAAACAGAAATGTTATTAATTAAGCCTTTAAGAACTTGGTAAAATACCTAATAAATGGTATATAACCAAATTGAATCATCCTCTGAACTTTCTTAATGAATCACTGTGAATCAAAAGCATTTTAATGGTTCAAGGCTGGAATTTACCAGGTTGTTTACTCACCTCTATATGCAAATAATCTCTCAAGGTTCTTTTTAAACAAAAACCCAATCATGTAATTTTCCCATTGGAGATTATAAAAAAAAAACCAATGAAGGAGAAAAGTACATTTTTAATTATACCTACAACTTTTATCCTCTCTATCGTAACCCTTTTTTAATCCGTCAAAAGCTGACTCTGATCGGGGCTTTTCAATTGATAGCCCCAAAAGTCCGCTTAAGTGACAGAACTATCATAAGCAGGCTCTTAAGAGATGACAAAGTCCGTAATCTAGGCCAAACTTCAGGTGGGTGGGGGCACTTGAGTGCTCAGAAAAGATCGGGCAGACCCTTCTCAAGCACCTTCAACGTGTTGCAGACAATGCCACAGAGCTCTAGACGGATTGCCAAAGAAATCAACAACTAAAGCTGCAACAAACAATAGAAATCGATTGAAAATATTTGATTGAAGTGTATCAAGGTCGTACGAAACGATATCCAGCGACTCACTAATTATCCAGTCGCAGGCCAAAATCCAAATTGCCGCCAGTTTCGCCTCCAATCCAAAGTACTTGTTATTATGAATTATTATTGGTATACTACAAGTATTGTTTGGGCTGATTTTCTGGTATTTGTTGGCTTTTTGAAAGTGTAGTTGGGCCTTTTTGGACTGCATTGGCTCTGAAAAGTTTTGCTCTGTTAAGCAAATTGCATACAAAACGCGAGTTTTGTTGCTAAAAGGTGCATTTCAATGCATTTATTTTTCCGCTTCTTGGCGGACCAGTTTACGCATCAGAAAATCTACGTTTCCCTCCCTCATTATTCCCACCGATCTTTTTCAATCTTATGTTCAGCGGGGGGGCTCTAGATTTTCTTTGCCGAGAGAAATGCCAACGGACTTACTCTGATTAACAGACATTTAATGGGCGGCTCTACTAATGGCAACACCTTCTCATTTGTACACAGGAAAAAGAGTGATATGCATATCATATGATCATGATAATGAATAAATATTTATTAAATATTTTTTTTCATTTCAAGAACTACAGTATATAAATTAAATTATAATCTCGGTGGAGATGATGAAATATAAATTTTACTCAGAACTCCTTTGTTTCAATCTTTAAGATTTAGATTTCTCAGTCTTTAAGATGTAGTTCAAAAATTGCCTATAATGTAATTGTTTAGGTAATGCCTAGCGCACATGTTAAGATATTTTTTCCCAGTTTAGTGTGGGTTTGTGTGCTCTCATATCGAAATTTCACTGCTCTATTGTCAACAGTGGGACGGAGTTTTGTGTGTTAGTTGGTTGCTCAGTGGTGGAGTGGCGGCGAAGAAAGCTATCGCCACTCTGTGGGGGAAATTAAAAACAAACGTTTCTAAGACATTTGTCAATATGGCATATAGCATAATGAAACTATGAAAGCTTCGCTCACGTATGTGGAAAGCTGAGGAAGGGGGTTATTGCACTGCCACTCGTTTCAGTCTCAGCCATTACGACGCACTTTCCCCTTAGACCAACACACTTAACACTCGACTTGGCCAATCACCAGCCATTCAAACAAATCACAATTTTCCATTATGTTTTATGATAAGCCGATTGGCTTGGAGACTCAAAGAGGGAGTTGCAGAAAGGATCTTTTCAGTAGCTCTGCTCCTTTATCTTCATTCTGAAGCTGTCTTCATTCATCATTTCGAGATATGCCCATGGATTCTTGGGAGCTACCTCATCTGAACTTGAGCCAGGTTAATTGAGTTTTTCGCTGGCTCATAAAGAAGTCAGTTCCATTAGTTAAGGTGGAAGAATAATAAAGGTTTGAACAACGAATATTGGAATACCCTAGAAGGTCAATGCGATATATAAAATCTATAAAAAATATTTAAAGGATCATTACTTTAAGTTCTAATTGGTTCTTAATATTAAAAAAGTTTGCTGAATTTAAACACTTATTTTTAAGGAAATTCTAATTGTCTAAGTACTTGAGAAAGTAGTATATACCCAGAGAAATGTGGGACTATTTTTTAGGTAACGTATGACCTAAAAAATTTAAATAGACTAAAATTTCAGATTTAGGTAATGGGTTACCTAAAAATATTAGCATGTGGACTATGTTCCTACTTTTTAGGTAAAGCTAAAGAGATTTTTATAGGCCATCGTAACCTTCAAATTGGTCCATAAGACCTAAAATTTAGGAATAATTTAAAGTCGATTATCACTCACAACTTAATACAAATATTGGTCCCTAATATTAATAAACAAATTATTCGGTTTTTTAAGTTTAATGTTAAAAAATTTATTAGACTTTTCTTAAAGCTAGTGATGGAAAAGTTTCAATATTTAAAATCAATACCTACGTGGACTATTTTCCTACTTTTAAGGTAATAGTGCCCGTGCCCTATTCTAAAAATAGAATTCGCCTGAGCCCCTTGAAGCAGGCTTTGGTTTTGCCGCAGGGCCTTTAAGTAGTTCCGTAGACCAGAGGCTAGCCTATTGGACTCTCGCGCAGAAGACCCGGGATCGATTCCCACCGAGGACAAAATAAAGTGATTGTTTTTTCAGAAAGATAAAATATTTGCTTTTCCGAATAATACAATATAAGCAATTAAAATAATCAAATATGTTACTATCAATAGTAAAAATCCTAGCTTTTTTTTAAATACCTAATATTTTGGTAATTCTGACCTAAAAATCTAGTCCACTAGCCATTTTTTTAGGTAACCATTACCAGAAATAAATTCAAGACTGCGTACAAAATATAGTCCACATGGACAACATTTTAGGTAATGCATGGCCTTGGCGCGTTTTTCTGGCCATATTTCCTAAAATTTTAGGTAATTAGGCCCCTTTTTAGTCCATTTTGTTTTCTGGGTGTAGGTTGGACATTTATTTATTATTATTTTATTTAAAAAAAAATAAAAAGTCATTGCTTTCATGATCCATCAATAAGAAATAATTGATTTGGCATAACATTTTCTACTTTCGTTTCCAATTTCACAACTTTTCGATAGTACCCTCTGCTAGAGTGCAACGAAATCAGCAGCACAATGCGAGTGGCAGAGCTCCAGATTGCTGATTGTGCAGCCTGGGATTGATGGTGCAGCAATGGCTATCCCAATCTCAATCCCAAGCGAAGACCCCTGCTGGGAGGCACCACTTCCTCCCCTTTCTGACCACCAAGTGCATTTCAATTAGGGCCAAGTTGCAAGTTGCAGGCTGCAGGCAAAGTGCGTGCTCATCGCATTTGCTGACTGGCCATAAACAATATGAATTTACACTTTTTTCAATTAAGCAACAACCTCTTCGCGTGGCTTTGAATGGCCAACAACAATTACTCACGCATATATTCGTTGATATGCAGAAGCCGATTCGCTTTGTTTGCCTTTGGTCAAGTGAAAGTATGCTATATCCAAATGTAGCCTGCAGTTCCCGCCATTTCGTTCACGCATATATTTTATATCTATAATTTGATTGTAGTTTTTTTTATGTTGTGGGTTTATTTCTTTTTGACGTGCTAGCGTGCGGCCTACGGATATATTTTAAGAGCAACTAACAGTTTTTGACAGTCGCGTGCCGTAAAAATAAGCTAAACATTAAAAACTTTTGGGGATTTAAGTAAGGTGAGAGATAAAAGAGAAAGGTTGATTTTCGGGAATATTATATGCAGTGAAAAATTAAACAAAATCGTAATAAAAATATTCAAATAATATTAAATCTTAAAATACAAACATTTCTTGTTTTCCAATTAACTGTTTTTTATATTCAAGCTTTCGTGATTTGCAACAATTAACATCCTTTAGTAGAAACATTTGCATTTTCCGACACTCCATTGAATTTAACTTCTATTTATTCGTTAAAATAAAAGAAAGTGGAGCTTCATGATCCACAACGATCCCTAGACATTGATTTCTGTTATATCCTGCCTTTTTCGTGTCACGCGACCATCTCAACGGCCAACGGCAATTTAAATTCCGGCCTGCAATTTTGGTCAGCCAACTAAATCAAATTTCATATGTGGCATGTGGAAATCCTTTTGCATTTTGCATTTTCCGTTCGGTTCGATTGGATTTCATTTTTGGCGTTGATTGACTGGCGTGCCTAGAGCCCACAAAAAATCGAAGTAAAAACCCGAAAAACTCCACTTAATTGCCTATGCGCTCTATAGAGCGGAGCTGCTTGAACGCCCCCTTCGCCGAATAAGGAAATGTAATGGGGAAATAATTGAATTTGAATTTTGGAGCAAGCGAAAAGGCGAAAAACTTACCGCAAACTGGGAACTACTGCCGCCAAATGGAGTTCCGAATGGCGAACTGGGCGCCGGAGCAGATTGCTTGGCATTTTCGTTGGCTATAAACAGGAGCTGTTCCTGGTAGGAACCCGGCGATGGGGCAAATCCGCCAGATGAAGCCCGAAATCCACTCAACGACTGCGGCTGCTGTGGGCGCGGAAAGGTTCCGGACGATGGCACAAATCGATTTTGCGATGGGAAATAGTAGCTGGAAGTATCTGAAGGTCACAGAGTTATTAGTCAAAAACGCGTAAATGTGTCAACAATCAATTAATTTGTTCATGTCAGCGCCTCTGGCATCGTTTAGCCTTGAAACGCACAAGCACAGTCCCCAAAAGCCCAAAATCATTGCTCTTAATTGCGCCAAAAGTGTAATAAATAAATAAATAATGCCGCCGGCTGGCAGCAAATAAATTATTTTATTTTTTGGGTCACAAAAATTTGTCACAGCTTTGACAGTGGGCCAAAAAGTCAATTTAATTTTTATCTTAAAAATTTTAAATAAAATTAAGTCAAAAAAAAATAAACAACACAAATGTAAATCCCTTAATTTTATAAAAAATTTCATAAAAAATGTTATCTAAAATTATGCCCACTGTGCTTAGCGAAAAAATATTTTTTTTTTTTTTTTGCCACACATTTATTTGTCAAACAAAAGTGAATGTGAAACAAGTGAATGAATGGTATGTTTGGTCAAAAATTCCCTAAAGTAATTACTAGTAGGTGGGGGATTTTGTCGATTTCAACCAAATAAAAATCCCAAAATCAATCTGGAAACCTTAAACAGTGTTGCTTCGATTTCCCCATAAATATCCCATAATAATATGCTATTATATTTTGAAGATACTCAAGTAGTTAAGCTAATAATACCCCATTAAATTGTTAAATTTTAAGACTCGTTTGTGCCATTTTTCATGTTTACTTTGCAACATCTTTGGCGGCTTATTTTTGCTCAATTCTGCTTTTTAGTTGAGATTATAAATGATTGGAAAACGAAAGTGTAGCAAACCTGCAAGCGGATATTAACATAATTGGTCATTGGCGAAATATTTCGTGTGGCATCGGGACGATAAAATGGGTAAGGTAGTAAAATAAAGTAGTAAAGTCACCCAACTCGAAGCTATGCCGGTTGCATGCGTCACAATCCTGACTCTTTGACCCACAATGTCTCGGCTTAAAAAAAATAACAAACACGAAAATGCAGTTGAACCACGCAAACTTAATTTTTTGTTCGTTTTCCTCGTGTGTCGACAGATTTTCGAGTCGCTAATTGAAAATTGAAATATCATATGGCCGCAGTATTTCAAACGAAATTGCAGCAGCAGCGATTCATTGAAAATTTTATCAGACGAATTTATGCAAGAGCCTCGAGTGCTGGGGGATTTTTTGGAGTGGGGACAACGCCTACGTTCCGATTCAAGTCGAATTTATCTGGCACTCTTGGGCTTCACACCTTGTTTTTACCCGCAACGCTTTTAACTGCAAGTAATTGCCGTTTATTATCGCATCTAAGAACGCGACGAGGCGTCGCATGTCTCGCACATTTGCCAGTTTTGTGAGTTGTCGAAATGACTGACTGGAGATTAGTTTAGGGTTTGATTTTGATTAATGGCCCAGGGATCTGTCAGAAGAAATATACCCGAAAATTTGTATGCCAAGGCAGTTGCAGCAGCCAACGAAGTGTTTATTTAAGGTTGTCGAAAACACGCCCACTTCCGTTGTTTTCAACTGGGTAATTCTACAAGTTCTCAAAAATTGATTGACAAGAAGGTTTATCATCTTTTTATTTTTGTCAGGAAATAATACTCTTATATTTTTCTTGAAATTAATAATTTAAATATATAAGTACAGTTTTTATATTACGAATTTATTGCTCAAATGATGTAGGTATTTAAATTTAAATAAATAAATAGATATATAATAGAAATATTGGTAATACAAGTATTGGTTCTTAATGAAAGTTTTCTACATTTATTCTACATGTTCTTTACTTCTAACTTCACTGCTTGCTATTCTGCAAGCAGTGGTCAATGTCGAGGTGAAACGGTTTAAATATATCTCACGTAATATGGGAACCGTCGATGGCGCAGCGGTCTAAGATGCCCTGATGTTCTTGGTAGAGTTTTGGGTCGCGAGTTCGATTCCACCGCGAAACAACTAAAATATATATTAAATTTTTCCTTCTGCTCTGGTGCAAGGCGGTTATATTCTCAAGCGTAGCTAGCCTAATCCGCAAAAGGTAGATTAAATCGTTCATCCTCCATTGCCGTTGACACTGCATTATAGTTCCATATCTAAGTGGGCATTGCAGTTCGAATGTGGGTGAATACACTTTGTTTTTCCACCTTTTTGGTTTTCTTTTCTTGAGGGGAACCTACCTCATTAGCATTCCTTGCGCACTTGACCCAAAATCGAAAAACCATCGAAATAAATTCAAATACGCCGATTCCATGTCGTGACACATTTGCCTATTTCTGGATTTATACGAGAATTTTACGAGACGTCGGCAACCTTCGGGCTCTTGTCGCATAAATAAGCCTATCGATCGCTATTGGAATTTATTGTAATTGCGGTTTGAGGATTCCATATGTGTGCGCTGAATTTATGATAATCAGAAAATCACAGTTCAGAATGGTTTGCAAAGAAAATAAATCTGAATATGTAAACCATTTGTAATTTCATAATCAATTTTAAGATATCCAGATCTAAGCCTAAAAAAAGCGACTTTTATGAGGTAAAAGTAGATCGACAGAATATTATATTTCAGAAGACTTTTGACGATAAGGAACAAATTTTGGCAACCTCTTGGAGCGGTTTTCCTTCCTTTTCTTAGGACTGGGATGCGGAGTCGGTCGTCGGGCTATCATCTTGGGTCGTACAATCTCTACAGAGGGTTCCACCAGATTAACTTTCCGCTTGGGCTTCAGTTTATTGCTGCGCATGATCCCATCCTGCAATGGTTTTTCCTTCGATCTTTTCTTCAATGCCAGCTCCATGAGTTTTCGCTTCTGCGACGCCTGAACTCTCTTTTTGATTGAGTATTGGAGCTTGTACTTTGGGGCCAGTTGGTGCCACATTTTGATGGCCTTCTTCTGGTTGTTCTTGTCCGTCTGCTGTTGTGCAGCTTTTACTCCATGCCACACAAAAAAATCCTTGAGAAAATCTTTGGGGAGACTAATGGGCTCTCGACCCTGACCAAAAAGGGAACTTTTCTCTTTAGACTTGCTAATTTGGCTGCTTGTCGAGTTGTCCAAGTTGTCTAGCCAGTCCATTTCGCTAGTTGCTCTCTGGAAATTTTGAACAATAATATTTTTTCTTTCAAGGGTCCCGATGTGACAATCCCTATTGAAAGTTAGGGCACAGGCTACCACAATGGCTTTCCCATCCGTTTCAACTTAGCCGCCCTGTTCTAACTCAGCCAATGTGGCTCTCAAACTGTCGTCTGCATTTGGCATTTGGCGAAACGAAAAACTAAAAAAAAAATGAAGAAAATGATCGAAACAATGGGGCCGCAAACGATCGAGGGGCGTTGTGTGGGCCAAGCAGTTCAATGCAATACCATTTTCAGCCGGCGATCGGTGATCGGTAATCGGTATTTGGTACCCAGACTGGTCACGTCAAGTGCTGTTACCCCAGCACAGTGCTTTATGGTAGGTTTATTTATAAACAATCATGCTCTCCTAAGGCAGAAAGGTATAAAAGTTTAGAGTTCTTTACCGATTAAACATTTTTGTGACTACGTATTTATTACATCCATAAAGGTTTTACTATATTAAATCAGCCCACAATCTATTTTACTTTTGTGTGCTTTATATCTATAAAGCATTCACTACATAAATAACACACCCAATATATTTTACTTTGTCCTTGTTATTTTATTATCTCTACTCCCCTTCAAATCGGTTTACTTCTTTTGGGATTAGGCTACATATTCTCTACTCTATTTTAATTTAATTAATTAATTAAATTGTTTGTATTTCAACTATTTCACATTAATTAGTTTAGACTTTAATTAAATAATTTTCGCAGGCCCACGACCAATGTGGCATATTGAACTCCTCCGCTTGACATTTACGGTTTTACAGCAAAGAATTTGAAATTTGCACGGCATTATAGCCGCTGGATCTCATCGGTATCGGTGTGTGTTGTCTATAAGGCAGCTACATAGATAGAGCTTGAGAGCAGCCGGCTAATTACGCGAGTGACAATAGCCCGGGCATTTTCAGATTCATTATATCGCACTGGGCTGGGCTGGTGCAACAAATTGCGAAAATAAAAGCATGAAATCTTGCAGCCTCTTCTTCATTTGTATTTTTTTCGGGCTATGTTTTTTTGGGTTTTTTTTCGCCCTGTTTTTTGTTTTGTGCGAAATGTCAAGCCATGGCGCAAATACTTCACCAGAAGTGCAACAAAAGCGAAGCAAACAGGCAAGAAACAGCAACAAATGACAGCAGAAACAGAAACAAGTTGAACTTTACGTTTTTCTTAACTTTAATCAAGTTTCTTAGCTGGCCGCTCTCTGCGATGCATTCGTTGTTGTCTATTGTTGTTGTTTTTATTGTTTAAAGCGGCTTCTTCGTTTTTTATTTATTGAAGGTCGTCGCCTTTGCTTGAAGTTTTTTGAATGAAGCGCAAGATTTTGAAAGTTTCACTGGCTAAAATATAGTTTTAAAGGCACTGAGAACTTACCTTACTATGAAATTCTAAACAAAAATGACTCAATAAAATCCCACATTTTAATCTCTCATCAGAGGTAATCAAAGACACTCCCACACCAATTTGACAGGTAGTTAAAACTATATTTACCTAGGCCTAGGTAACTTCAAAAATACTTAGTTGCCTGCCCAAGCAGAACTCATTTCCTAGATCTCTGACATCACGTATCCGCGCCCAGTTCAGTAAACCCCTTATTTTGTTTCTTTTTGTTTGACAAAATTTCATTTAATTTACTCACTTTTAATGGACTTCGCCGATCTGTGATCAGAACCAACTCGAAAGATAACATAAAAAAATGATCATAAAAAACCAACAAAATTGAAAATGGAGACTGGAAACGAGAACAATAAGCTTCCGACTCCGACTGGCGATAATATCAAAGACAAATAAACCTGAGAAGTCTTTCAAGAAGTGGACAATGTTCTTTCTGCGGCGATTCGCTAATTAGAAAATAATGCCCAGAGGCCCAAGGTCAAGATTGCGAGATGAAAGTGAGGCGTTA